TGCTTCTCGAGGTGGTCATGGATCTCCTTTAGCTCGGCTTGTTCTTCGGAATTGAAACGGTCAATTTGGTCAAGGGACCGCAGAGGGGAGGTCAGGACGAAGGTGATATCGCCGTTGCGGATGACATGAGAGCAGATATTGCGGCTTCCAGTTTCAAGGCCCTTGTAGGCTATACGTTTGAAGCCCATGCGGGCGATGTAGTAGCTTGCGGCCTGCTTGGCATTGCCAACGTACCAGTGGACATGGTCGTAACCACGATAGCTGGCCACTGAAGATGCCTCGTCGACAACTGAGGGGGGAGGACTATTGGAAATAGCTGAAGGAGCCATTTTGCTGAATCTATTATGTTTGTATGATGGTGATATTGGGGGAAAACGTAGAAAGATGGTAGTACAAGATGAGAGGCGGGGAATTCGAGTTGAAGTTAAATATTCGGTTCCTTTGATTTCAAATAGCTGGTCCTCCAGTAGCCGCAAGTCATCTCGGCAGATATCTTCTTCAGTCCACTTTTGTTACTTTACACTTAGACGCCTTGTCATAGCTCCCGGCCGCACGGCTATTTCAGGACCCTGAAATATCCGGAGATACCCGGGCCCGCTGAGATCATAGTCAATATCCGCCTGGAGATCGATTTCTTAGATTCACAATTCTTGAAAGATTTTATTTTCTTCTTCAATTATTGTGCATAGAACCGATTGCAGATTGAGTCTCACAATAGCCCACAATTCCTCGCCTCAACACCAAATCCCAAGATGACATCTATCGCAACTGCTCGCCCATCATTGACATCTAATGATTCCGCTGTCCTACAAGCTCTATTTGACGCCGAATCCTCCCCCTCATCGGGAGTCACCATTGATGCATCCCTTGCTTCATGGCCATCATCTCTGAACATCCCCGAAACAGACTTGGCATCGCTCAAGCAGCGCGAAACAGACATCATCCGCAAGCTGCAATCAAACAAATCACCTAGTATAGAGACAGTCCAGTCAGCACTAAACGACTTCGACACTCTACTCACCCAGCATCCAACATATCCCTCCGCATACACAAACCGAGCACAAACACTCCGCCTGCTGGTCGATCTGATCTACATCCCAGAAGCGGGTAGTGATCAAAGCACTCACACCGAGGTGGCCGATGCTGCCCTCTTTGCTCCTAAAACCTCCCAGCTTTGCTCCCGCATCTTCTCTGACCTAGGCCAAGCCATAACCTTTGCCACACCAGCCTCCCCGGCTGATGCGGTCTCAACAACTCAGGCACGGCTATTGGCTGATGCACACACGCATCGGGGATACCTGCTTCTCAAAGCGGCGCGCGTGAAGAAGGCTGGTTCTGGTGATGATAAGACAGGCCCAGAGCGCCTGCGTGGTCTTTCGGCTGATCAGCTTGAAGAAATGGCCAGTCGGGATTTCTTCGTTGGGGGTCGCTATGGAAATAAGGTTGCGCAGCAGCTTTCTGTGCAGACGAATCCCTATGCTAAGATGTGTGGGGCTATTGTTAAAGAAGCGATGAGGAAGGAGCTTGAGGAGTGAAGATTATTTAGCCTGAAGAAATAATTTAATTTGCGAAGTTGGTATATGAAATAATGAAGCAATAAGGAAAACCTATTTTGATAGATTTGATTGAATGCTGGTATCTTCTTATGCTACAGAAATAAGAGGAAATGTGCACATTTTCTCTTCGCAGTGCTCAGGCCCAAACCATAGCTTATGCCTTTTTGTTGGGGTTCACAAAGTGCCGCTTGAGAGGCTTCCAGCTGTGCTCGTTGTATTCTGGCTGCACCTTCTCGCAGGTCTTAAGACCCCACTCCGAGACGCCGACCATGTGAGTACTAATTATTGTCAGCAAATATGAAGTCTCGGAAATGATAGCGGAAATCGAACGAACCTTTCGAACATAAAAGCCATACTTCCATCACCAACCTTTTGAGGCTTCAGTTCAGCATTGCTAGCTCCCTCAAAAGCACCCGAGTCCGGACCATGAGCGCTCATGACGTTGTGCAAACTAGCACCAGCAGGCCTGAAACCTCCGCCGACCTTCGCATCGTAGTCACCGGAAATTAGACCCATGAACTCCGACATGGTGTTACGGTGATACCAAGGTGGGCGGAAAGTACCCTCTGCGACGAGCCAGCGAGGAGGGAAGATAACAAAGTCAGCAACGGCGGTACCAACATGGTCCGACGGAGCTGTCAGCACAGTGAATATAGAAGGGTCGGGGTGGTCGAATGAGATCGAACCGATAACATTGAATCGGCCGAGATCGTATTTGAAGGGGTAGTAGTTGCCGTGCCAGGCGACAATATCGAAAGGGGTGTGGTTCTGTCGCGCGGCGAAGAGCGTGTTGTTGAATTTGCTGTAAAGCTTGTACTCGCTTTCCTCTTCATCGTCGAAAGAGGCAACGGGGGCTTGGAAATCGCGTGCGTTGGCCAGGCAGTTAGATCCAATGGGGCCCAACTCTGGGAGCTGGTAGTGGCCCTGGTATAATTCACAGATGTATCCCCGGACAGGGCCGTCTGGGAGCGTCACTCGGTATCTGATGGGAGTGATTAGCTGTTGATCGTATAGCGGATATGGAAAGACACCCACCTAACACCGCGAGGGATAACGCAGATTTCATTTGGTCGCAAAATAATGCGACCGAGCTCAGTCTGGATGTCCAGCACACCGTGCTGAGGCACGATTAGGAAGTCTCCATCCGCGGAGTAAAAAGCTTCCTTCCCCATGTCCTTGCCCGCGGCATACATTAAAATACCCAGTCCTTGCTTCTGGGTTGGGTCTCCGGACCCTGCAATCAGGTGCAGTCCATGTACCCAGTCAACCTTCTCATCTAAATCGAAGGGGTTCCATCGCAGCTGGTTAGGGATGTGGTGAAGCTTATCGGTCTCAGTCGTCATCCTCGTATGATACGAGTCGGCATCCTCCGCGGTGAAGTTCTCATGAGCTGCCGCGGGTAGAATCCGATACACCCATGTCTGCTTATTCTCATGGCGGGGTGCAGTGAATGCCGTTCCCGAGAGCTTCTCGGCGTAGAGTCCATATGGAGCTTTCTGCGGGGAATTTTGACCGATTGGTAGAGCTCCTTCGATGGCTTCCGTCCTATTTACTGATTAATTTTGGGTTCATTCGTTTTCATCCGTGTTGACTATGTGTATACATACTCGTGATACGAGTCGAAGCCCGTCTGGTATTTATAGGGATCAGGGTGGTTGAACTTAGTGACAGGCATATTGGCAGTGATTTTTGATGTTGGATGATGCAGACCTTGTCTTTTCATATATTCCAGATCAACCGAGGGTCTCCTTTCAAAAGAAGCAATTAATGTGAGGTCACACCGTTCCGCGGAAATCTGAGAATTCCCGCGATTATCCTCATTCCGCATCGGTTGAATGCGGGGGGAGCGGACCAGTTCCGCCCTACCTTCGAGGGGCTAAACATCATAGTCAGGTAGTTAAGGCCCGTCGCTTTCTCTTTCTTTGAACTTCTTCACACATTACATCCATCATGGCTTCGTGGTTTCAGATTCCCAAGAACTCGCCGTTCTCGCTCGCCAACATCCCGTTCGGCATCATCTCAACACAATCCACATCAAAGGCCGCTGCGATTGCAATTGGTGATCATGCATTGAACTTGAGCACATTTGCTTCATCTGGAGGCTTCTCACAGCTTCCAGCTATCGAGCAGCACCTAGCTGTTTTCAGCCAACCGACACTGAATGACTTCGCTGCGCTTGGGCGCCCTGTGCACCGACAGGTGCGCGAGTATCTACAAGACGTATTCCGCGCCGACACAAAGTTCCCACAGGTCCTCAAGGACAATGCCTCCCTTCAACAGTCAGCTCTGCTGCCTTTGTCTAAGGTCACCAACCATGTTCCTATGCAAATTGGCGACTATACCGACTTCTACGCTGGTCTGAACCACGCCTACAACATTGGTGTCCTTTTCCGTGGGCCGGCCAATGCACTCCAGCCTAACTATAAGCACCTGCCCGTTGCCTACCACGGCCGTGCCTCATCAGTCGTGGCTTCAGGAACACCCCTCCACCGTCCCCAGGGTCAGATCCTGGCGAACCCCGCCGCGGACCCCAAGGTGCCTACTTTCTCTCCTTGCAAGAAGCTCGACATCGAGCTGGAACTTGCTTGCTTTATCAGCAAGCCCAATGATCTTGGCAAGCCCGTCCCGATTGATGAGGCCGAGGATCACATTTTCGGTCTAGTTCTCATGAACGACTGGTCTGCCCGTGACATTCAGGCCTGGGAATACGTCCCTCTCGGCCCCTTCAATGCGAAGAACTTCGGTACCACCATCACCCCCTGGGTGGTTCTGCTTGATGCGCTCGAGCCTTTCCGCGCTGCCGGTTTGGAGCCTGCAAACCGGGAGTCTCTGCTCCCCTACCTGCGCGAGAAGCGCGCCGAGAGTGCCTACGAGATTCCCCTCGATGTTGAGGTTACCAACCCCGGTGGTCAGCCCACTATTATCTCTAAGAGCAACGCTCGCAACCTGCTCTATTCTTTCCCTCAGATGGTTGCCCACCACACTATCACAGGCTGCAACTTGCGCACCGGTGACTTGTTGGGATCGGGTACTATCTCTGGTAAAGAGGCCAAGACTGAGGGTAGTTTCTTGGAACAGACTAACGGCAAGACTCCTCTTAAGCTGGCGGATGGCTCCGAGCGTATGTTCCTTGAGGATGGTGACACTGTTATTCTGCGCGGTATGGCTGGCACAGAAGGCAACTATGTCGGCTTTGGCGACTGTGTTGGCACTATCTTGCCTGCCATTTCCCTGCAGTAAATGACTTATATAAAAAATCGAATTGAAATTCGATGACCAATGTTTGATGTTTCATTTCTATTGTTTACTTCTACACTATAGACCTTGGAATGGATGGATGATCGCCCGCTATACTCTTATCAAATGTCATTAAACGTCAGTACCAGTACGACGATGGGATATTCTAGCCCGGACTAGCTAACCCACTATTTACAATGCTCTCAGCTATTCCTTAATACGAAACTCATCGGGGGTATCGCCCTGTGATCTCCAATGCCCCTTCTTAACCGCCTCTTCCATCTCCAAGTTCTTCACAATCTCATTCGTAACCGGGAATTGACCCAGGTCAACACCAAACCGCTGAGCTCCCCAGGCAGCAGGAATCAAGCACAAATCCGCAATGGTAATGGAATCTCCAACGCTAAACTTCCCCGCCGATTTCTTAACAACAGCTTCGTAAACCCTAAAGCCATCCTCCATCAAATCCTTTGCCCAATCAGCACGTTCAGCCCCCAGCTGTCCAACCCGCTTGAGAATCCTCAAGTTCGTAACAGGTTGTATATCGCAGGAGATAATGTCCGCCAACGTGCGCACTGCCGCGCGGGTCTCTGGATCCGAGGCTGGGGGGAGCAAGGCGGGCCCTTGCTCTGGGAAGGCTTCCTCGAGGTACTCAAGTGCAGCCAGAGATTGCGTGATTGTAATTGGCGCTTTTGAGTCGTGCTGGATTACTAGGGCTGGCACTGTTCCTGAGGGGTTGATGGCCAGATGGGCTGGGGAGGATTGCTCGCCCTTTAGGAGATTCACGTAGACGGGCGTGAAAGGAACTTGCTTCAAGTACAGGGCTATCCGGAGCCTGGCAGAGCAGGAGGAGCGGAAATAGGTGTGGAGAGTGACTGTGTCGGTCATTGTGGCTGAAGGGTTGGTGGTATTCGAACTATGAGATATTGGAGTAGCGATAAAGGTACGAAAAGAGCCTCGGGAGAAGGCCTTATGTGCTTATAAGCCAAGCTACTCAATTTTAACTACCTGGGTGTCAAGTCACTTTCCCCAAGACGCGGATCTTGTGTGCCGTTACCTTGTCCAGGTGGACTCCCTTGAACATGTAGGGTATTTGGTGCGGAACATATTCCGTCATTTTGAAGCCGAGCTCAAGCGCTGTATTTTATACATTTCGGCTATGCCTCCGGGAGATATCCAGGGTACATCATACTTATAATGCACATGGTACTTCTAAATCGTATTAGAACCCCGCGGGCTTGCAGCTTTGATATTCTGCATGGCATATATCTGCGATTTCTTCCCATTATTGGCTCTTGACCGTCCAGCACGGGGCAACATCACCAAGCAACTTCAGGATAAAGGACAATATGATTTTATCCATAAAGTCTGTCCAATAGACAACACACTATTTGTCTATGTTGTACGGAGTAGATTAATTATCACCTCTAGTTAGTGTGAAAGGTCCGATCCTAATATGGACAGCTATGTGCGGGCCGGCCGACGGATATCGCCGGCTAATAATCCTGGCCCAACCGCATCACTTTGTCTCCTTGCAGTTATCCATAGCATCACCAAATACCCACAGAATCCACTTCAGCACCGAGACCCTGGTTAATCCGCCCAGGAACGGTTGACGATGGATGGTGTCAGGTCAGCCCGCCCGGACAAGCCGTATCAACGCACCTACAAGGCGTGTATCCCTTGCCGGCAACGGAAGGCCAAATGCGACCTAGGAACTGACCCAGGTGGTCTTCCGATCGGCCCACCATGTGCGCGCTGCAGAAGGGAACTAAGGGAGTGTGTGTTCCCCGAGAAACGGGCGTGGGAAAGATCCCGCAAACGAGGTGCGCTAGAATTAAATGCTTACCATATATAAATTGGCTGGTTTCTGAATGGTCAATCTCTAGCGCGATCACCAGAGAGCTATGAAACTGATGTATCACCCCGACACGCCACGCAACTTACGAAGTCGCCCGATAGTTCTATCCCCGTACAAGGACGGACACAGAACCTGCACCATACAAGCGACGTAGCTAACTTAACGCCCGAGACAAACTTTCAGAAGCCGCCTGGCTTTCAGTCGGGATGGCCATATCATCGGGGTCAAGCGGGGTCTCATCATGGCTCTCTCGATCACCCTTCCGTAGGGCCTTCAAGGACTGACCAGTCCCCTTCTCATACATATGAAAATAACACGCACCGGGCGAATTCCACCCTCGCGAGCTCTATGATGCGCACTGTCGTTACAAGTGGAAATGATGCACTCAATATTCTCTTCGAGGCTGCAACTGCTCAAGAAGATCATAGTCCTGATACTGGGTCCGAATCACTAGCCGGGCCTCCATCGGCAGGTCCGAGTACCCAAGGTCGAACACCCGGAAACTACGATTCCGCGTTTGAGTCGGTGGCCCGAATAATACGTCCCGTCAAGCTATCAGACGCAACACAAGACACTCTCAATGTCTGGGAGGCTTGTCGGTTTGTCAAGATGGGCTGGTTCACTGCTAGAGAGGCTGTTACTTTTGTTGATCTGTTAGTTCTCTCGCAAGCTCCATGTCTCTGCGAAATAACAGCTAACCCGATATAGGTTCTATAAGAATATGTCATGTTTGTCTCCGATTCTAACTGATTTTTACGCCAACCATCGATATCATTACTGGCTGATTAGTCGGGAGCCAGTGCTATGCTCCACCATTCTCATGATCTCTTCTCGCTACCACGTCCTTCCTGGAGCAGGGGGAGAGTCAAGAAATTTCTTTATCCATCACCGCCTATGGTCACATTGCCAGAAATTGACGATGCGGCTAATATTCGGGCAAGAGAAGTCAACAAAATCCAAAGTGCGAAGTCTTGGTACTGTGGAGGCACTTCTGTTGATGTCAGAATGGCATCCTCGCGCCCTGCATTTTCCGCCCGAGACGGATGGCTGGGACGATGATTTGATCCCCGAAGCCCCCAGGACCCATGACAATAACGATTCAAATCCAGCACCTGGCAATCGCGGGGTGGAAGACATAATTGAGCCAGCACGCCGATCTGACCAAATGTCCTGGATGTTGCTTGGGTGTGCGCTCTCCCTCGGACACGAGCTGGGCATATTCGAGCCAGAAGGAAGCATCCCACCAGCCAACGAACCGGAATGGAAAGATCAGATGGCAATTCGTTGGCAGCGCGTGCAACGTCTGCTATACGTCTACATTAATCAATTGGCTTGGCGGATCGGATGCATGTCACCGATTCCTCAATCATTAACCCATGCTATACTGGGCGGGCGGAAGCCGCAAGGATTGAGTCCGCCGGGCAGCACATGGTTGACGTTCATGGATTCGTGGATTGAGCTTACCAAGCTAGCAAAGTCTGTCACTGATATGTTCTTCCCCTCTGCCGCTTTTGCACGCCAGCAACTGCACAGCGGCCGATACGTTGGTCTTCTTGAACATTTCCGACCTCTCCTCAACCAGTGGAAAGACAAGTACCTGCAGCCTCAGGTGCTTGATAAAGCATTCTACAACGATCTATTCATCGAATACCATTTCGTCCGCGTCTACACCCATTCAGTGGGAATGCAAGCAGTAGTTGAGCGTGCTGTCGCAGAGAACGACCCCAACAATTTTGACGGAGTGCGACCCATGACCATCGACTCAACAGACTACGAATACATCCAAGAGGTGATTGATGGATGTGGCCAGATCCTGCAAAAAGTCACCCATTTGGCCGAGGCAGGGGCGCTACGGTTCTCTCCAGTTCGAATTGTTCTTCGCATAACTAGTGCTTCGATATTCCTGATGAAAGCGCTCAGTCTGGGCACACGGCAGGCCAAGCTCCAGGAATCAATTGAAATATTAGAAAAGAGCATCAAAGCACTCAAGTCGAATGCTTTAGATGATGTGCATCTGAGCACGCGATATGCCGCGCTGCTAGACATGCACGTATCGCGCTTGCGACGGAATCTGCTCGCATCGTCGAAAGTCGCGAAAGGTCGAGACGCTCCGCGAAGTTCACCCATGGGGCCCCCTCCTTGGCCGGAAACTGGTGACCGGTCAAATCCCATAAACACCCCTGTATTGCAGGGCTCACCACCGGATATGGGATTTATCCCGTCCTTGAATGATATTGGTGCAGATAACTGGCTTTCGTTGCCATTCGACCCATCGATGGCGCCGTTTGATATGACCCATGGATGTCAATTTCCGATGTATGAAGGTGGAGCATTAGACTTTATCTGGAATTTGCCATCTTGATAGAGTCCGCTCTGTACACAGAGTATTCAATTAGATAGCTTTGTAAATAGCTCTGTATGGTCGCAATCACGCGATGTTGATAATGATACCCCAGTTCGGACAATGTTACTCCGCTTTATATTTCCCCGCACCAAACACAACCAACGTCAGAATTTCAACCAGCGTAATTACCCAGCAAGATGTCGAAACCAGCGTCATTTAAACCTACCCTTATCATCCACGGCGGCGCCGGAAATATCCAACGCTCCAAACTCCCCCCAGACCTCTACGCCGCCCACCACGCATCGCTCCAATCCTATCTCCGCTCTACACACACCCTCCTCAAAAATGGCAGCACAGCTCTGGATGCTGCCGTCCACGCCGTCTCGCTCCTCGAAGACGACCCTCTCTTCAACTGCGGCCGCGGCAGCGTCTTCACAACAGCCGGCACAATCGAAATGGAAGCCTCAGTAATGGTGACATCCGTGCACCAATACGACGTAACACAACCAGGCGCAATCAAGCGCGGCGCGGGCGTGATGGGTGTCCGTAATGTGCGTCATCCAATCCGCCTGGCGCGCGAATCGCTTCTCAGATCGGGTGTCGCCGCTGATGGGTCTCCTGTAAATGATGGAGGGAGTATGCATTCTCAGCTGGTTGGTCCCTATGTTGAGACTCTTGCTCGGGATTGGGGGCTGGACTTTTGTCCCGATGAGTGGTTCTTTACGCAGAAGCGATGGGATGAGCATATGAGGGGATTGAAGGGGGAGGAGGAGCCTGTTTCGCTGACTCAGGGGACTGTGGGTTGTGTCTGTCTTGATCAGTGGGGGAATCTGGCTGTTGCCACTAGTACCGGTGGTTTGACGAACAAGTTACCCGGGAGAATTGGCGATACGCCTACATTGGGGGCTGGGTTCTGGGCTGAGGCTTGGGATGAGCTCGTCTCAGGTGTTGGTGAGGCAGTATTGGAAGATTCTTCGGTGGGTGGCTTGCTACGTGAAGCGAGGAATTGGCTCGGTGATTGCATGCCACCGTTCTTACGAAATCAGACTTTACCTATTTATTCGTCTCTCTCGGGTGATGATGCCTCTCAGCTGGACTTGGGGCCTGAGAAGGCATGTCGTCCCTATCAATCATCTGCTCAGTCCTCTCGTCGACGGGCCATTGCGCTTTCTGGGACTGGAAATGGAGACTCGTTCCTTCGGGTTGCTGCTGCGCGTACGGCTGCTGCAATGCTACGGTTCTCTTCGCCCGGTAGCTTCCCTTCTGGCCTTGCAGATACTGTGACGGCTGTTTCTGGGCCTGGTGGTGAACTTCAACGTTCCGCTGGTTCCAGGTGGAAGAAGACTGGCGAGGGCGAAGGAGGTATTATAGGTATAGAGGCAGAGCTTGCCCCTGTAAATAGGGCATCGGATGCCAAACTACATCGGGGTAAGGTTGTATTTGACTTCAATTGTGGTGGTATGTGGCGTGCTTGGGTAGAGGAAGATGCTTCTGGCAACGACGTCGAGAGGATTATGGTCTTCCGAGAGCAATATCAATAGAAGAGCTTGAGTTCATTAGTACTTTATATGTCAAGAATATATCGTCTAGATTTGTTCCCTACTGTTCCTACGAGTATATTTTAAAAGGTACAAAAATGCTATGCAATACCAAAAGGTCTTTTGTCAGGACCACACCTATTTCCTATGCCAGGAAGTATTCCGGTGTGAAAGTATCGGCGGACATTTTTGGCTATACATGTCGAACCGGGCGAATAGGTACAGTGCTATGACATATAGCCTCAGTAAAAGTAAAAAGTACAGGAGGAAAAGAGACGCTCGAAGCAATGTACTTACACCCGCAGAATCTTGTTCGAGGACAACGGAGCCGGAGAACTTGGCTGCCATTTTGTACGCGCTAAATATGAGCAGTTAGACATTGACCTAGAATTATTCAGGGCGCATACTTCCTAAGTGGAGTAGCTGGATCCAAGGTATTTCCAATCCATAGAATAGGGTGGGCCGGGCTCCCGCTAATAGGTCCTAGAAATGGTCAGATAGATATCGGGAGAACAAATTGAAAATACCCAATACCCTCGTATCTCCATTTCGGTCGAGTTTTCCATCCCCAGCAAGGCACTGGAAAAGAGGCCCAGATGTCGGCCATCCATCTGCTCTGGCTCTTCAAGACTTGGTAATAGTTTTGTTGAGCGACGCGAGAGTCTTATCAAGAGTGTCCCTCGTTCTTTCGACGGTGTTGCCAGCTGCAAATGAGCATTTCTCGGGCCCAGCCTGATAGCAGATTTCAAAGAATTCCTCGATGATCTTATCGGTGTCCACAACATTCGCGGTCCAGTAACCAGAGTACATACTCTGCGAATCACATACGCTTAACACGATGAGGGTACATAGCTGCAAAGGTCGCCCCCAAGACCGTACCGTAGGAAAATCCCCAGTACTGCAGAAGCTCTGCGCCTTGTTTCCATCGGGTTGCCTTGTGAATTGCCTGCCTCTGGACCTCGGGAAGGGTCAACTTGCTGGCAATAATGGCATTGGCCATGTTTTCTCGCCATTCTCCAGGTCGCTCGATAATCGCAACGATATCTGTCACTGTTGGTGTAGTATTCATGAATCGCCCCATCTTTGGGCCGTCTTTGCGTGTACATGTGGCGCCTAACGCCATGGCTCTTCCCCAGGCTTGTTCTGTTGCCACGGTCGAGCTGCCTAACAGATCGAGAAATTCATTGTCTAGAGATCATCGCTGACGAGAATGTGGATCTGTAAAGCACTCGTATCGTGGAGTAGTACTGTTAATGCCACGGAGATCAAATCCGATAATGTCATAGTACTTGTCTTCTGCTGTCTAGGGAGCCTTGGAAACTTCCCGTAAGTTTATGTCTTTACATGGTAATTTACCTAGGAATTGGAACAGAATCGTACTCACTTTAACAGATAAAGACGTAGCTTGAGAGTCAACTATTTTCTGGAGGTGTTTCCCTTGTGTCAGGATCATATTGACGCCCGATTCACCCGGCCCTCCTAAAATTAATTAGCTTAATATTTGTAGGAATTTCTCTGTCTAACTTGCCTGGGTTGACCAGAATAGCTCCTCCATATCTGGGGTCTGTTACTGATACTACAGCAGGGAGTTTGATTATTGCAAGAGCAACCTTCTCTTCGCCATTATTTGTGCTGTTCCAATCCATCGGTACCTCGAGACGGGCGCATTGGTAGCTATCGAAGCACGGAGTATATGAGAGTTTTTCCGACGGAATGATCTAGTGATAATGTGATGAGCAATAATTTGTTAATATGAAGAGGAAGAAGTCATACCAATCTCCAAGAAGACACTCGGTATCCATCGTCCACGAGACCGTCTAAATGTGGAGCAACCGCCCGATAAAACATGCGAGTAACGAAAGTAAACCAAAAGAACAGCCCAGGAGAATCAATAGCCATTTTGTCTGACTTCGAGGATAAATGAGATGTTGTGGTCGGAAATCGTTGGATTTTTGTTTCCCCATATTTGCAGACTCCCGTATGTAATTGGGACTGGTTGAGGTCCGTGGAACCCCGTGGGGCGATGTTGCGGCTCCACATGTTTGGCATATACCACGTGACCAAGCACCTGACTGCTGCTTCAGGTATCAACTCGGGCTTCTAGTCGTGATTTAAGATGCATATTTGTACTCTCTTGATATGTATGTTAGATATAACAGTCCGCATAAATACAGATTCGGGCTAATTATATACAAAAGCACTCTGTTAGCTCGCCTTGAGCGATGTAAAGACGAAACCACTCAGAATACCAGCGATATATACTGCAAGAATCACAAAGCTAACAAGCACATCGGATTCAGATCTACCATCCCTCCAAAGGTGTAAGCAAAGCAAGCACCCCATCTTTAGGGGAAACAGTGGCGCTTTCTCGAATCTCCAATTTAGCATCAGGATACTTGAGCTCCATGTGGAACCGACCGACGACAGCAGCAATCAAGCAAGCCAGCTCGGACTTCGCAAAGCCCTGCCCAATGCAACTCCGTGGCCCATGCAGGAAAGTCAAAAAGGCATAATTACTGACCGCGCCGCCGGTATTAGCCTTACCGGGACCCATAAAGCGGTCTGGGTTGAATTCATTCGCATCTGGTCCCCACAGCTCTTCCATCCGGTTCAGGATTTGCGGAGCAATGATCAATACCGTATCCTTGGGAATGTGCGTGTCGGCAAGAGTTGTGTCACGGACTGCCTTGCGTATGGTTAACGGAACAGAGGGGTGGAAGCGGAGAACCTCGTTGCACACTGCGTTTAGGTAGGGCAGGTTATCAACCGCGGCTGCAGAGATTGGAGTTGGGTCGCCGAGGGAAGGAAGATTGGCGCGGATTTCATCTCGCAGACGTGTTTGGACGTTGGGGTTCTTGCAGAGTGCGTAGACGGCCCACTGTAGCGCTGTGGCAGTTGTCTCGTGGCCTGCACCTAAGAAGGTCATGGATTGGTGGACAAGGTTTTCTTCGTCAAAGGTGCCGCTACTTAGTGCGACGGAGATAATGTCAATGCCGGTTTCGGCTTTGGGGTCTTCCATCTTTGCCTTCTTCTGTCGGATCATCTGACGTGCGACGTTGCGGATGATCTCGCCACTCTGCTTGATATCCTTGTTGCGTTTCGTCGGTAATGAGTGGGCCCACGATGGATTACCGAATAGCACACATGTTACAAAAATGATTTTCATAATGAGCGGTGGCGAGGACATGATTTTGCGGTAGGATTGGTTGAGGGTGTTCTCAGGATCACGAAGAGAGTCGAAATCATGGTCCATACCGGCGACGCCGATGATGTCCAGGGTTGCTCTACTGGCCCAGTTACTGATTTGGACAGTTTTGTCGTTATTGCCATCGGCCTTTCTGCTCCGAAGGTCATCCTCAATCATCTTCACCATTTCTACACTCTTGGCCCAGAAGACTGGGTAGAGGTTCTTGATGTGGCGATAGGCAAAGGCTGGCATAAGATTCTTGCGTTGCGTCTAGTACATTGTAAGTTTGAGTCCATGGAAGTGGGATTTCGGGGGCCAGATTTACCTTGTGCTCTTCACCTTCAGCAAGTAGAATTCCATCACCTGTGATACGCCGCAAGCTCTGCCGAACCAACTCTGGTTTTTCAAAGTCGTAAACTTTCGTGACAAGAAGCTCGCCCAATGATTTTGGGCTTGTCAAAATCACTCTTTCGACATTTCCGACAATATAGTACCGCAAGAGATCTTGATTGGGTCTGCTTTTGGCCCACTCCCGTAGCTGCGGAAATGGGGTCTCAAGCAAGAAACTTGGAGAATTGCCGGTGAGCCAACTTCGACCCTAGATAGCATTAGACAAATTGACAATACCATATGAAAAAGGGCTGGCCTACCGCAGGTGAGTAAATGTGTTTCAATGGAGTGAAGTAGTCAGGATATAAGACAAGCCGATAAACAATCCTGAACATAGTAATAAGCCCGAAAATGACAGCGACCGTCACAACCCTGGAATTGAAGATAGCATACTCCGGTTTGAAGTAGATCCCGGCGGCGAGGCCAAGATAGAGAATGGGGAGGCTATCGCTGACGCGCTCCATTGCTAGATTTTTCGGAGGACCCGGGATAAACAAATATTGTAACTTGACGGCTCAAATCACATATATAGAGAGTAATAGATGATATCTTACTGGATATCCAACACTGCCTCGGTTTTGATTAGGTGTCCAGCAGCCAGTGAAGAGCCCCGTGTGGGGTGTAGACGAGATGACAAAATGCTTGGCTCTCGTTGGTTCCGGTCAGATCTGAATCCTACACGGAGTACAGTCTTATAGATAGCAACGAACGCGCGTAGATGACCTCTGCACAGCTGAAATGAGTTTGATTCGAGAAATTCCAGGAGAGATGACAGAGTATGGCTTTGAGATGGTTGCCTGGAGTGGGACATACGAGAAACACGGGAACAGATAGAACCTAAACGAAAACGACAGCAATTACTACTTGGGTATGTTATAGCTCAAAGATAGAAAGAGAAACCGATGATATACCGACTATACAAATATCATATGTACCGGATAATGCCTGGAACTTGAACCCTTTCCCTTTCCGATTTAGTGCTTACCTCTTACCGCTTTTTGATCACTGAGGAAAACGGAGCACATCTCTGAGTAACGTAATTCCCAGCCGAGCTGCGCACCCTAACCAACCCATTGAATTTTGACGGAAAAACGGTGGTAAGGCGAGTGTATTTGTGGCAGAAAAATCTCAATAAATTCTCTAACTCTCTAAAACTGACAATAGTCCTAAAACATGACAATCTGATGGACAACTTAGTAATCAAAACAAACAAAATAAAATGAAAGGATATTTTTCGGGCGAAAAACCTTCTGGTCAGTCACGTGACCCAACTGTATCAGGGATAAAAAATGATAGTATTTATCCTAGATTCTGACATACCCCCCAGCTTTTAAAGTGATTATAAATTAGGGCTTTAAGAGCTGTTATAAATAACAAAATTTTCCTTAATATCTGCTTTTATAACTGATTAGATAACTAATCTTAGATATTCTAAGTAATTCCCTAAACTGTTCTTGTTTCTAGTAGGGTAAAGCTTTTGTTAGGCTATTAGTAGGCATTTCTACAGTTAGAATCTAATCTATATTAACCTATCTAGCGTTAACTTCCTGTTTTAACTAGTATCTATTAATATCTATATAGCGGAGCTTTATATATATTAACACTCTTTCCTTTATTAATAGATTAACAGTCTAGAGTCAGGGGAGACCTAAGTCTGCCATTGCTAAAAAGACTCGCTGAGGCTGGGTGAAAAATCGGCCCTATTTCTTCTAGAAAGTTCACTGCTTTCGTCACACTACATTTTGAACTATAAGGAATGGCGGAAGTTCTATATCATCTATCCAGAAAGGAACAAGAGCGATTGGATTAGGATTAAAAGTAAGAGAAGTAAACGCCGTATCCACCGTTCAAAGAGGAAAAAGGGACTGTTTAGCCATAGCAATTTGCGCCTCCATGCGTAAATCATCAAGTGAGAATGAAAAAATATCAAGTGGTGGACGTCCCGGTAAAAGAGCGTTTCCGAACAACATTTTCCGTGTGACTTTAATGGGTGGTTGAGGAGAGGAAGGTACCGGGAAAATGGCTTCATCCTGTTCTTTGAGTGGATTACCGTTGTTGTCCAGTCGCCAAAGTTCAATCGTACCAGCAACACCGGCTCGTCTCTTGAACCACTTAATCAATATCACAGCAGTAATTTCACCCTGGCCTCCGATCAGTAATCTTCGCATGTCACTTTCAAGAAGGGGTTTTGATTCGCTATATCCGATTTCGAAGCAGAGCGTGGGAAGATTGAGACCATGGACGTTCACATGTACATCAGGTTCTTTCCGACAATTAGCGTAGACGCCCCGTGTGAGTGTGATCGTATCCGCGACTTGGGCTTTCATCATTCTCTTCTCGGCTGTCGTCAGAAGCCCGGCTTCTATCCACTTGTCTCGTGCGTCTTGGAACCAGATTAGGGCACAATTATGTAGCGGTGTAGGTATTTTGATCATAAAGGTTCCAGTATTAGGATCAAAGGACTTTCGGAGTGCCCGTGATTCGAGTTGTTCAAATTTCTGCCATAGTTGTGTACCGACATGTGGCTTTAGCTGGGTAATGACGAGTAGATCAGGGGTATTGATTCGTTCGCGTTGGATGAGGCTTTGGATGGTTGAATAGACACGCACAGCAGTTGGGATGTTCGCTGCAGAGACTTGGATGGGGCGTAAAGACTTGTTAATTTCATCGTGATCAGCTTCAGGGAGATGGGAAGTGGGGGAACCAGGTTGTTGAGGCGATGAAGTTGGACACGAAAAGCACGACATGGTGAAGACAGGTGGGAAGGAGGCAACGAAAATCGTGAAACGTCGAGGTTGTAGCTTCGGGCAGGATCGTTAAGAAGTTGTAGGTAGAAGGAAGGAGCGTTGGCAACATTGACGTCATGCTTATGTAAGGTACCCTAAGGCGGGAGGGAGCTTACAGAACTAAAACAAGAGACTACGATGAGGCAAAAAGAAGCGAAAGAACACTGAAAGTAAACGCTCTTGATGCTGCTGAAACTGAAGAGGAGAAAACAAGAATCCAAGAAAACTGGATTTTTGACGACTTTTGCGAGGAAGAATATACGTAAAAAAAGGCTTTGCCGCTGTTCATGTCGACAGTGGACAGAAATGAGGTCACAAGAATATCAGGGGTCATTGTGGTAATGAACACATGCACGTGCGATGCAAGAGCTTCTTGGATTACATCAGTACACCAATGGCATTCCTTATATCTAGTAGCACAATGCCTTCCCGTCATGACGAAGCATCGGTAGATTTAAGCGAAATAGGAAGATAGCCGTCTAGCCAATCTCAGAGATCATTATGGTTACGACCACAGTCAACACGTATAAAATAACAGAATTCCCGAGCTACATCAGCAAACCGATGGCATTTCCTTTTGGTCTTTCGCTAAAGATAGTCGTTGGTTCTTCAGTGTCGTGCTCCAGTATACCTGTATAGAGCCTTGAGTCCTCCCGGGAAACTTTTGAACAAAACGCTTGGTCACTTCTGACCAGGCTAGTTTCTGTTCTTCCCTGAGCTTCACCAGTAGACGATCCTCTTCCACAGACCATGAAAGGCCTTTTCTCGAGGGACGCGTATACTCAGAAGTATCCGTTTTGCCGCTCGTGCTTGAGTTATTAAATGTAGGCGCTACGTCTTTTTCATGTTTCGAAATGTAGCTTGACACAGACGTGTCCTTTCCGCTCGGCACGGGAGCGCAATGCGACAAGACAATCTTAAACAGTCAGGACAGGAACTGTAGTCTGTCATCGGCTGAGAGGGCAGAGAATTGAGCACGAACAGTGGAAAATGAAACGTTTTTACGGCCGAGCCCTTAAGCGAATCGACTAGTCTGATGCTTGGTATGACTTTCCACGACGACTGCAACTTTGTTGATTCTAGAAGGCTGCCTGCCAGGTTTCACCGTCCTCTTCGAGCTCTGTTGTCTATCATTAGAACAGGCTTCCTTATCCAATAATCGAGATTTACTAGCTGATGGCCTATCTGGACGGACTCTAACGCGAGGCACAGGCTCTACCGCTTAGGTCTCCTTTAATACCCGGGAAGTGATACTCATCTAGGATTGCCGGGTCGATTGATATATCGTCTGAAAGATCTCCAGGCTGGATAGGACTATTAGGAGACCCAACTTGATAGTACTAACCAGCAGAGAAAGCGAGGTCCAGCTCGCCTGATTCAAAGCTGGGGAGTTGGTACTTAGAATCATAATAAATATTATGGAAAATCGGTATGCGATTAACATTCCCAGAGCTTAGTAGATCTTGTATATATAGAATTTCTTCGAAGTCGAACGTCTGAATGTCTGGATTGGTGGATGACGGGGTTTTGTCATAAAAGCGGCGGCAGCTCAAATAGGAAAGCCCACCCGCCAGGGAAAATCCGGTACGTATAGAGACACATATATAACCCGGGAACCCATGTCGAGCTGTATATGACATTCACATGGTCTGGCATTGATTACGTCATCAGATCGGCTGGCACCCAATGTCCGTCAACATCATTCACACTCTTAAGGACTGTTAGGACTAGCTACTAGCATATCCTGAAATGGAGGTTTCGAACTAGAGTGGGGGTTCCCAAGATGGCTCATGCAATTCAGTAGACTAATCGCTAAGGTTCTAATCCTCTGTGCGCGGCGTGTGTGTACCCCTGGCGCTTACTTAGCGAGTACGTCGAGCCATACGGGCCAGTTGTGCAGGTGACCCTCGGGGTCGTAACAAGGACATAATGGACTCTTCGCCAGATAGCGGCCCTGTCGAGACAGAGATAATTGAATCTTTCACACCCGATTTTGATATTGTGGATCCATGGTTTTGACTCAGTCAACCTCACCAGAAGACTAGCCTTCCTCCATACGCACGATCAATAAAAATCATTGTCGCGACACAGCGTCTTAGTGATAAATATTACAAGAGTTGGCATCTACTCAAGGACATGGGGTCACCGGAAGAAAGTGCCAGGTTAAAGACATGGAAAGCTTTGAGGATTGGACCTTGATCCTATCGAAAATATTGGACAATGTCGATGTGATGTCAATACACAGATGCCCGTCACATATTCGAAGTTACAAGTCGCATACCCTGCCAACCTAACAAAGGCGATATTATTATAGGACGAAGAATGGGAATATATTATTAAATCGAAACTCAAAACATCACCAAAAAGCAAATTCTCACTCAGACGTCCTTCGACCCTATGATTCTATCAAATTCACCAACCGTATGCTGCCAAACCTTCTGCGCCATCCCCTCCGCGCGAAGTCCAGCCAACAACTTCACAACCTTAGGACCAGCGTGCTCTCCATTCCAGTGAATAGTGTAAACACCACTCCCAACCTTCCCATCCGTCCCACTGGCAACCTCAACCTCCTCCGACAAGGGCACACCAGCGGAATTCCCCGCGGCATCCAAGCAGACACGGGGAGGATATTTAGCACTCGTCGCAAAGAAAAGATGTCTCTCCCCGGACTCCCGAATCGGGATGTAAACCAAAGGCCCGATAACCATGAGCACGACATTCATAAGCCAGGTCAGAAAAGTATTGGACTCGCGCCCAATGCCCGTCTTGACTGCGCCAGGGTAATCGATAATAAATGACACTTCTGGCGCTTGCTCGGCCAGTGTTTCCAAAACCATATCAGTCATGGACACCACATGTCCACGTAGCTTCAGCATTGACATCGTCCTTCCTTGGAAGTCAGTCACGTCGATGGGACCTTCATGGCCGCCGGCGAGAACGCTGACCACGCGCCGTAGGCCCGTTGCTTGTTTGAGATTGGGGAGGAGGTTGATGATGAATCGTGTTCGAGCGTAGTATGCAGCTGCACCCAAGATGTGGAGGCCTTCGGATGTATCTGTTTGCATATTATGAGCAATAATGTCTTTTTTTATTTTTATTTTCTTGTAAGGGATGTGGGGATGTCCTGCCTACCTTCTCCGGAACGAATAGTTCCACAGCTGAGGAAGAGGATGTTGATACTCTTTTCTTTGTTTTGAAGCTCGCGACAGACCTTGTCGACGTTCCGAATCAAACTGACGTCCGCTTTGATGAAGGTAAATTCTCCCTCCGGGTTCAGCTGTCGGCATTCGGCTGTGATGCGGGCTGCGGCTTCTTGCGACCGGCCGATGAAGTATGCGCGGGGCGATCGTGCTGAGCGGGCGAACTCTTTTAAGGCTGCTTCGCCGATGCCGCTTGTTGCGCCTACGAAGACTGCCACGAGGCCTGCTGGGAGTGTGTCGGCGATGTGGGCATTTGAGGACTGGACGTCTGGTAGAGAGACCATTTTGGATGCTGTGAACTGACACAGGAAATTCTAGCTTCTATCGATTATGGAGGTTAAACGAGGGTATGATCCATGTATTTATACTCCGTATGTAGAGATATTTCTCGTATTGCGCTGTGTTCTATATTCGGTACATCTATAGGCCGTCTCGGTCGGAGGACGGACTTAGCCACACGAGGCGGAGGAATGAAATCCCCCGGGAATTTATCCTTATGAGAATAAAGTTTCGTTTACTTGTCGTATTCAATTAAAACGTGAAGATATAATTAAGAGATTTATTATCAGAATATACAGGAATAGTTGGTCGCTTATTTGGCCTAGACATGTATTTTTTTAGGTACATCACTCGCAACATATTGCGGAATAGGAGCGACTGAAAATCATTTCAAAAAAAACTCATAGATTATTTTGGATCTTACCATATTCAGGTAAAGCCCACATCACCATCCATTCTGACTCGAGAATTTACTTGGTGGTAGGACGATCCTCGGGTCTGAATAAGAGCATCTGTCGTAACATGTCGAAGAGAGCGTCTCTTTCCCTTGCATCAAACGATAGGATCCCCTTCTCTCGCCTAGGCTTTTCAACGCTATCCTCAAACCGATCGTCGCAAGATCGGAAATATATACGGTTTATTGGCTTACCATCCTCGGTAAATTTATGCTGTCGCGCCTCCCACCTTCTCCACCATTCAGGCGGCAAAACACCAAGAGTATCCACATGTTCACAGGTCATGTCGTCCTCTGTCGCGAGAAATTCTTCAAATAATGGCCGTTGAGCGATGATAGACCATATGGTACAGGCAAGAGTCCAAATGTCCGATGAAAAAGAAAGAGGCTTATTTGGTTCAAAACGAGCCTCGGGGGGCCGGATACCTCGGAGGGTGCGAGATTCGTATTTCAGTTCTTTTGAGGGCGAAAAGGCTTCACCAAAGTCTGTAAGTAGGACTCGAGCTTCTGCAAGCGTGGTTTCCTCACTTGCTTCACCTAGCCATATGGGCATAATGCCATGGGATGGGACACCAGGAGGCAGCGATTTGCTATCTAGATGGACAACCGGGTCCAGCTGCGGTACTCCGTATTTCTCATATAATTGTTCGAGTGAGAGTTGGTCGAAACTGGGCGCAACTTTTAGAAGAATGTTGCCGAGGTGAAGGTCTCCATGGACGATTCCTTGGCCATGCACATAATCTATAACGAGAACGAGTTGTGCAGCCAATGACCGGGCTACATCAGGCTGGAACACGCGGATCCACGAACCATCTTTCAGCCCGGAGAGGCTGGCCCTCGCCGTCGCTGTAACGTAGCAAACGTGATTGCCATTTGGGCCGCGAATGGTAAAACTATCTAGAATCGAAGGGACCATCGCCTTTCCTGGATTGTTGACTAGAGAACAATGAGGACGAGTGAGAGTGCATAAGATATCCACCTCCTTTGGGTTCGAGTCTGCTATGAAAACTTTTACCGCAACGTATTTATTGGATTGTTCATCACGGCCGAGCCACGTAGTCGAATAAGACCCATATCCTAGCTTATGAACCACTCGATATCGACTGTGAAAGTGTTCTCCGATTTTCATTGGGTGGTAGCCCCCTGGTCGATAATTCTCTATTCTTTCGACTCCCTCGAGAGGCTCGTAGAGGAAATAGGCGGTGGAATCATCATCAGTCTCTATTGACTTGAATGCGGTGAGAGTGAACGCGCAGCGTGGTTGATTTTGACGCAGCAGTGGCATGAGCACCTGCCGGCGGATAGGAGAATCTCGGTAACGTAAACCATTCGGGCGTAACAATAGAATGGACAATGACAACAGTTTACTCATGGTATATGTGTACAGGTTGAGCTGAAAGAACTTTAAAGAAGGAGATAGAATGCTGATTAAATGTAACGGAACAGCATTGATGGTTGGGAGAAAGGGGGAGCTTGGGCTGGGGTGACCGCCCGCGGGTTTTTCTCGATCTTCGGTATCAGACATGCCAGTGTCAAGTATATTCGATGGAATGCGAAAGCAGAAGCAACTGGAATAAATTAGGCAGACTGAATTGATTCAATGCCTTGGCACTGTTGTATAGGAAGTGCTTGTCCAGTCTTGGCGTTAACAAGCTCACAGGGTCAGGTGATGTTGCCTAAAATACAGTGAGAATGAGATTCGAGACAGCCCTGGAGTATATCAGAAGATCCTTCTCAACGGAAGCGCCCTGAGAAGTTAGGATTGCATCATCCAACTGTGTAGCGCCCGGAGACAGAGCTTATGCACATGGACCCTCCCCTGGCGCGTGCTGATGGCCAGTGAGCAGTCAGAATAGAGTGCTGAAGGATCCATCTTCCCGTCTGTCTCAGGGTGTTGAAGTGGGCCAGTGGCAGAATGTTGTTGTCCCTCCAAGAATAGACATATGCCAATTAAAACCTTGATGGATGAATGCAAAGACATTTCCCAATTTAGAACATCCAAAACAGACCGAACAAAGAGATGAATGGACGAGGAGAAAGCTCCCTCAGCCTTAAAAACACCCGCTCGTGCCTGTCCCGCGTCCCCACCCCTGCCGAACTCCTCTTCTCCCCTCAATGTGTTTCACTTCTTCTTCCCCTTTTTCAATTTCCATTCCAACGTCACTCATTTCCCAGCCAACTTCCGTGGAAAGTTACTACACTCATTCAACCCTATTTCTATCGGTAATCGCGCATTCTTTCTCCATATAATTGTGGCCCTTTTCTTGGTATATCGGCGGTCAATGAAAGCCTGTCTATTGTCGCTTTCAATACCCCAATGCGCGTTTGAAACACCAGCGCTTCATTGTGATCATATACACGTGGCTTGCAGCCCTCGATACCTGATATCGTGATCAACCTCTCTCCTTGCATTCCGCAGGTATGCGCCACTCGCGCGGTTAATATACTATCATTCCCCTCGTTGCGCCTGAATTTTGGCTCTCTCTACTCTTTACACCTGCTTCAAACTCAATTACGACTTTGCCCGGCTGGCCCGAGGAAGTCGACCTTTGATCGTCCGTGATCCGCCATTCTCTACAATCCTCAGTGATCACTTCGTGATCACTCCCTGGCAGGACCAGGTCAATTCACACAATGCTGTGCGGTGGAGACCGTGAGAAGGGGGATGTGGCGATGGAGGAGAAATGGGACTATGTGGTATGTCCGCCCCAATGACAGTGTTGTATAGATAACTCGGCATACTGATAATGACTCCCTTAGAACTTGGATGACTTCAAATCTGAGTCTTGCTGGACCCCCTTCTCCTATTTTTTCATATGGTTGTTCCTATTTATCTCGATTGCAGTCTACGGTGTTGATACATTCACTGCAGTCAACTTGCTGGCTTTCTCTCGATGGTCCGGCAGAGTTCAACCCGCCATTCCCTTCAATATCTCCCGGTGGATCTTCGCCGCCTGCATCATTGCTTCTTTCATTCTTTTGGCCTACAGATGGATACATGCAATCCGCTCCATCCGCTCGGGTAGTATTACTCGCAGCTTTCTGGACCCGTTGGCTGTGCGTATCCAAAGTATTCGCCTGGGCAAGCGCGGTCGTGGATACAGGAGATTCCTTGTCTTCGCTGAATTAACGAAAGACAGGAAAGCAGCAGAATATGTTGCTCTGTATGCGTACTTCTCTTTCCAGTGTAAGCATACTACCATTGACTAACTGATCCTCTAATATAACTAACGGGGCTTTTAGTCTGGATGAACACGATCTTCGCAGATGGCCCGCGTCAAGTTCTCAATGCCATCACTCTCTATTCGGTCATGCAAATGGACCTCATTCCCGGGGGCAAGAATGCAGCCCACGACGATGGAACTTCCTCAGTTGGTCAATTCTTCAACAACGTCAAGATTTTGGCCGAGGACAACAACCTTCAAGCCGTGGTCTTGTTTGGTATGCTTTTCACCCTGGTCGTTTGGGTCCTATCGGTTCTGAAGTTGATATCGGCCATCGTACTTTATTTAATCTTCCTCTTCCACCATATCCCAGCGGAAGATGGTTCTCTTTCGAAGTACTGCCGTCGGAAGGTCGGTCAACGTCTGAAGCGTATCGTGCACCGCAAGAACACAAAGGCCCTGGCGAAGGGACTCAAATTACAGAATCGAGCACCCACTCAGCCAATGCTGGCCATGGATTCGAACCCGACCCTGCCGTCTTTGGCCGAAGATAAGCACCCCACAGTGGCTTCTTCGTTGTCGCGAAGTACCACTCAGACCACCTTGCCGCCTTACTCGCGATCGGCTTCGATAGCGCCGACGGCCAACCCGACACTGCCGAATCTGGAATTAGATGCCAAACCGACACTAACTCGAACTGGAACTTCATCTTCAGCAATGTCCGAGTCCGCTTCACTGACAAGCAATGCGGCCGGAATGGGATACAGTCCTCTTGATGGCCGGAGGCCGACGCTTCCCCCAGTACCTCCCTTGCCCTCAAACGTTCCATCACGGATGGCCACTCCTCACTCCCGAGGAACTCCTGCGCCATATGAGAATGATGGTCGTAATAGCCCCGGTCCTGGATATCGCAACTTGACTGATAGCTCTGATTCTCGGTCATATCAGAGTCACACTCCAGCGCCTGATTATGCTTCGGCTGAAATGGACCCTTCCGATTACCACGATTATTTCAACCGTGACGATGCGCCGGCTCACTACGATCCCTACGGGCCTCCAAGGGGTACATCCAGGGAAGCCGACGGTTATGGAGGAAGATACGGGACTCCTAGTGACCAGAGAGGCGCGCCTCGCGCACAGCAGGATTACTACCCACAGGATCCATATTCGAACAGGTCCTACACACCGGCTAGCACTGGTGGGACGCCTGCTCCCTATCGGTCCTACACACCGGCAAGCACTGGTGGGACGCCTGCTCCCTATCGGTCCTACACACCGGCCAGCACTGGCGGGACCCCTGCTCCCTATCGGTCCAACACCCCGGCAAGCCATCGACCCACACCTCCCCCACAAGCCGCATTGGCACAGCCTCCACCAAGGACGTTCACTCCGGTGAGTTCGGCAACTCCCGCTCCTCAAAATGGTGGCTATGCAGCTTTCAACCCGTCAATGGTTCACCAAACATCTCAGCCTCGCTCTAATGGGCCTCCCGGTCCGGGCAGCTTTACTCGAGCAAACACCGCTTCGCCCTCGGCCATGCATCGTGCTCCCCCAGGGCACACATTCACTCGCTCAAATACCCATCAATATTGATGAGGTTCACCCTGTAGGCCTCATTTGAACGCCATGAGACTTTCCTATGATGAAAACCAGGAGCTGGCTCTCCTGTGGTTGATGACCGGATCACTCGCTAATACTGATCACGACCAGCGAGCCTCTCTAGATTCTGTACATACCCCTATTCTCCTGACTGTGATATCCTTAAATTCTTATTCCCCATGACATGAATTGATCTCTTTTTGTTTCCGAATTCACTACAGAGAATGTATAGATAAGAAGTAGCTTCGAAGTACCATTGGAATCTTGATATTTCCTTCTATTGCGCGATTCCATGACTCAATGTCAATCAGAAACAGGATGATTTATTATACACCTATACATAAATTACCTATACAATCAAGACCTCCCCACGATCCACAACAAACAGCACCCAATCACCAAATCTTCTTAGCGATCATCTCATACCGCTGTACATGATCAACACTAAACTCCCCATCCTTACTCTTATCCTTTTCCTCCTTCTCCTTCAACCGCCGCAATCCATCCGGATCATCCGCATAGATCAACTTCCGCTTCTCATCCCCAACCTCCACAACACCCCACCCACCAACGCGCTGACTACCCTCAACATGGAAATCGCGCGAACGAGGTGCCCCACTCTCAGTACCAGACTGGTTATTCGAGGACTGTTTGCGCTCGCTCTCCCGACCCTTCATCTTCCTATAACGGGAGCGCGCAAAGGCGAGCAGGACCATGCCCAGCAGCAATTTCAGGATGAGCAGGACGATAAACCCAGTCAATAACAAGATGCCAGTGAAGATATGGACGGACTGGGCTGGGGACGGGATGGCGTTTTCGAGGAGGGTACGGAAGAACGCGCTGACGTGGGCGGCGGAGGCGGGGATGAGGGTTGCTAAGGTCAAGGGCGGGGCCGACGGGATCGGAGAGGGAACGTAGTGGTTGTGGATTGATGCTAGGGAGGTTGCTCCCATTGCTGTTGAGGAGGGGTTTTGGGGGAGTAGGGCGGCTAGGAACATTTGGTAGGTTTGCACGGAGACCCGGAAGAAGAGGCAGGAGAGAGGGATGACTGGGAGGCCGATGCGGCGGGTTAGGTTCTGTTCGCCGAAGGCGTTGGTGTAATAGTCCTTGGCTAGCACGTCGAGGAAGCGGCCGTAGATGGCTGGGCGGTTGTTGTTGAATTTGTTGATATAGGCGTGCTTGAGCCAGTCTACTAGCATCTCGGAGCCTAGTACAACTAGAAATGGACCTAGGACTTGGGCTAAGGTCGGGATGAAAGAATTGACGCTGTGGAAGGATGATAGAATTGAGGATGGGAAGAGGGTAAATGCTTGGGGCAGGATGGATGATGCAGTGCGTGGAGGGGTGGATAGTGGTGTGCTGTTCGTGATTGTGGAGGACTGGCCCGGGAAGCTAGATCCTAGCCCGAGGTTGCCGATGAAATTGAATGCACCTGTCTCCACGATATTACGCGAAGCTATGATAGTAAGCATCAGCCATAGCTGGAACCGTTCCACAACGTCCGCACAGGTAAGTTGGAAGAGGTTCTCTTTCTCAAACTTGCGGAAGACGGTAGATTTAATCTCCACAAATTGGTTTGATAGAAGTAGCGTAATCAATGCGTTGGAGTATGAATTCACTGCCACATTCAAGGTCATGACCTGGTAGAACAGAGACAATGCATGAGATACTGTGTAAACCAGTGCCACTAGGAACAGCCAGAATGGACGAATGATCTTGCTTCGGCCGTCCGGACGACGCTCAAGAGCCTCCCTCGAGAAGAGACACTCGAGGACATCTTGACCTATGGCAGCTAATAGCCTGTCACTGACCTCCAGCACATTGTAGATAACATATAGCTTGATAGCAGCCTGTCCGCGAATCCAGTGATACATTCGACTCGCATCGAAGTACATCAAAACACAGCAGGTAGCTATCATCAGCAGGCCTGTCAGAATGTCCGCTTTGTCGTCTGGAAGGAGCGCCGAGGGCATCGACTTCTTCCGTCGATGGTGATACTTGCGGGATTCGGAGGTTCGGTGTTTCCTTCTTGGTGTTTCCGACTGTGACTGTCTGGAGTCTCTATCTGCTGGTACTGTGTCTGGTCCTGCAGACGAGCCCGAAGGAAGATGAGGGGTGGCGTCAGATTCGCTTTCGGGTCTTCCACGCTGATGGTCTTCCTTCGCATTATGATTTCTCCTGCGCCATACTCGACCAATCCCATTCAGCACAAATTTCCAAATGAACCGAATCTCAGCTCCCAAGTTCATCACCCATGATTCGCCCAATATATAGACAGCTTTGATAAACCGCAGTGGCATTATCGTGAAAGAGTAAAGCCATGCATCGAGGCAAGCAAGACTCCCGAAGCAAAGCACCTGCTCAAGCATAGGTGCAAGCATAATGAAATTCATAAGCCTCTCAATCTTCACTCGTGATGATTCATATGGGAAGTCATTGGCCGCATCACGGTGGATGTACAGCGGTGAAGGTCGACCAGAAGCAAGCTCAAGCTGAAGATAGGTTGGCAGAGAAACTGGCGGCAAAGGAATAGATGATGGCGAGGGTGAGGGCTTGGGCGATTCTACAATCTGAGGTGATGCAACAAGGTGACTCTTCAAATCGCGTTCTAACGCGGGTCGGTCCTGTTTCGGGCGCAACGCCCATGTCTGGGTTAGGCGGTCATTACTTGGGGTAAGGGGCAGTTGACGCCGCGTAGAGCCAGGGGTGGACAATGTTCGTGCTGGCTGCGGCCGATTGCGGAGGGATGAATTTTGAATATTCCGCGGGAAGGCAGGACTCGCCGGTGTAGAAGTATCTCCTGGCAACACTTCTTTAGTGGGCCGCAACTTTGTTAAAACATCAGCGGGTGAAGGCCTTTCGCTTAGTGACTGAAGCGCAACCTCTGGTATCTCCGGTCGTGCGAGAGGAGCATTTCCATGGACGTTGTCCGAGACAACTCGCCTTCCAGGGTTTCTTTCTAGTCCCATGGGGCGGTAAGGTATTGACTCTGGCGAGGACGTGAGCTCCTGGATCTTCTCAGGAGATAATTTCATGACCTTGTCTTTATCCTCTGATAGTCGGTGAGACAGATCATTAGACAATTCAGCCAATGACTCGGCTAATGTCGCCTTGACCTTGGGGCCATCGTACACATCAACTACCGACAACTGGCCAATATTATCCCTGGTGTTCGGTGAATGTTCGACCAGGATGCCGAGTCCATGCGCGGATTCTAAATCGGCTATTTTATATGCTCCGTTTGTAAGGTCCCGTTCCGAGGTTGTATCGTGTGTCTGTTGCTCATTTGAGCCATCGTCTCCATTGATTGGGCGTTCGTCGGCCTCGCCGTTGGACTGCACCACAGTATCTACTCGACTGCATTTCTCCTCAACAGTATAGGGCACCAATTGCTGTTGAGACTTCGAGTTCCCACTGGCTCCGTTTTGAACAGTATTTTCAGCCATCTTCCGCTTGTGACGAAACCTCACTGGTATCTGCAACAGGACTAATTTTGACGACCCAGCAACCCGCGAGAAGCCAACGTGTTCCTTAAAATACCCACAAGCTTGCAGTATCACCTCTTATACCATCAGAAAGTGCAGGGGTCTCCGACTCGCATCGTCTAAATTGGCTCGTGACGAGTGATCAAGCTATGTTCGAAGGCGAAGAGGCGTAAAAAGAGATAGAATCGCAACAATGGCGTAGTTTGTTGCATTAACAATTTTGTTCAACCAGCTGGCACATCCTGAAATTAAAAAAAAAAAAAACGACGCACTGTCTGAGCTGTTTGCTTGTTGATGTCGGCGTTGTCTGGGGGAAGATAAGGATGGCAGGTTATCTGGCAGGTCGGTGAGTCGGAGGTTAGCGCCATCGGTGCTCGGACATAAAAAAGTAAAGTAAAGTCACGTGCGCCTGGAATAGGGAGTTTTTTACCCCTGGAAGGGACTACAACACAACTCAAAAATGTCTCTATTCTCACTGCCAACGGAGCTTTTGCTCCTTCTAACGCATAATCTGCAATATGCATCCGAGCTCAGCGCGATGTCGCAAACCTGTCGCCGGTTTCATACCATATTCGATCCTGAGCTTTACTCACGATTTGCGAATAGCTGTGAATTCAACATTCTGCGCCTTGTGGAAACTGGCAATTCAGACGCTATACAAAAGCTAGGTCTGCTGGTTACAAATTGTTTGATTTTCTAGAAACACCGGTGGATTGGTGGCAGCCATGTGACACGTTCGACCTTGACCGTAACTTGGAATCTAAGTCTTCCATGACCATCGCAGCACGGAATGGTCATCTGAAGATTCTTCAGCTTTTTGTTGAAAATCTGCCTTCAATCATTACAAATTCTGCTCGATCTTGGTATCTTCTGATGCACGCGGCCCTACGTGGTCAGTTACATGTAGTCAAGTTCCTAATTGGTCAGGGTGTCCCAGTGATCCATGTTGACAAGTCAGCGCGTACTAGCTCGATTGTTGATGCTGCAGTTTTAAAGGGCCATTTGCCGGTGGTTAAATATATAATCGAGGAGATTAAATTCGCGGATCGATCACACAATTCGGCAGATCCTCTTCTTTGCCTTGCCACACACGCTGGTCATTTGGATATGGTCAAATATCTGGTCAAATGCGGTGCTTCCTTTACTTGCCAACACTTCTACCCTTTTCGTGGCTCGGCCTTCGACATTGCCATGGACGAGGGCTGGGCAGACATAGCATCATTCTTCCTAGGCAATGCAACTCTAGAAGATCTAGATATCATAACTACAAGCGGCTGGAAATGGATGTCGAAACCTTGTAGCCAGGATAAATTCGGACATATATTCTACCCATCTCCATGGAAAAAGCCATCCATTGCCCATATGATATTGGACCGAGTCGATCTGGAGAAACAACTGACAACAATTACTCCACTCGAGCAGGCCTATCTGCTTGCAGTGGCGGCAGAGACTGGAAACATGCCTCTTATTCAACGACTACTTGACAAGGGGTGTAGCCCTGTCTTGTCCGAATTGAAATATTCACCAATGACCCGTGCATTGAATGATGGGCACGTCGAAATTGTGGAGACTCTTTTACGCTGCCCAGAGTATCCCATTTCCGAGCTGGACGTTCAGTCTGCGGCGAAGAAGGGAAAAACAGCCATTGTGCTCGGGCTTCTGCACAAAGTGGAAAAACCGGATTTCAAAAAATTTGCCAAAATTGCATTGGATGCAGCTCTCTACCCCGACAAATTCATGCCTGTGATGTCCAGTGTTCTTGATATTCTCAGCGACCAAGATGTGGATACTTTGATTTCAATGGTAACAAGCTCCAGTGGTCATCAAGCTTCGCGTAAAGGTCACTTGGAAGCTACCAGCTTTTTGCTTGAGAAAACGGCCAAGCAACCATTCGACACGATACCAAAATGCCTTGACATTCTCAGACAAGGTTCAGAAGAGCCTACTTCATTGCTGGAGCACGCGGCAGCCGTTTGCCCAGTTGCTCAATTCCAAGTAGCACTTGCGCATTGGAGACTCGAGCTGGATCCAGACAACGATGATTGCAAAGCCGCTCTTGTTGCCGCAGTCCTATGCAAGAATAAAGAAACTATTCAATTGTTTATTGAGAAAGGGTTTTATGTCACTTCTAATTACATACACCGTGGGGAGCTCTTGCCGTTGTTACATCTAGCCGTGGAAACATTGAAAGATGGCGAGGGCACGGTCATTGATTGGGATGACTGGGATAACGAACAAGAAGTGCGAGGACGACAGTTTCATTATCCCAATGGACGTCCACGGTTGGACCACATACATCCACGCTCATCAATTCAATTGCTCGTCGAGCATGGCGCAGAAATCAATCAAGTGGACGCAAATGGCCGAACCGCTCTGTTTTTAACTATAGAAAGAAACAACCTCGTCTTGACAAAGGAACTTCTCAGACTGGGAGCCAACCCCCTGCTCAAAACGTCGGCAAATGTCAGCGCTCTCGAGCTGGCCATTTCAAAGTGCCAAACAAAGCACGTGAAGGCATTTTTGAAGGCTATTGAGATTCATTCTTTCACATGTGACAACTTTAGTAGCCTCAATCCTGACGTTCTGCCACCGGAGAAGCTGCCGAACAGAGCTCCTACATGTGCAAGCGCTCAATTTCATATTTTTGCGACCGATTTTCTTTCGGTAGAAGGAATCATTGCAAGAAATGGATGGATGGATCAACCTCGGGGATCACGAGTTCCAGTATGGTGTCGGAAATCGCCGCAGAACTGGGAGGAGATTTTGGAGGAGAGCTCTGAGGAAAGTTCAGAGGAGGACTCGGATGAAAGCTCGGGTGAAGGCTCGGATGAAGAATGGGATAATTATTCGGTGAGTTTGCAGAAGGAGGGTACCGAGGAAGATAACTTTGTACCAATTTGGTCTGCAACCAAGGATGATGACAGTATTAGCGATCCTCGCTGGGCGCGATTCTTCATCGCAAAGGCCATGACCTAACATTACTGGCGAATGATGTACCTAGTACTAGTTTAGATTGGAACTGAAAGGCCACGGAAGACATTTATAAATAAGAGATCTGATTTGTTAACTAGATACGAATGAGTATGCTCAGGTGCTAGACTACCACCTAAGAAGCCGTCCTTTCTGTTCCATTTGACTGTGCAAACCAGGACTAGGGCCTTCACAAATTGCGACACAAAAGGATTGGCCAGTTCTAAAACAAGTGGAAGCAACTAATCGTGAAGGCCTATCATTCCAGATTCGCATCTCAATCATGTCTTTCATGTGGTATTCCATAACTCAATGCATATATGCTAACTATCATCGGATGTACGTCAAGTGACAGGGCAAAACAATGTATGGCTCAATCCCAAAGCCTCTAGATCTACCAGTAGCCAGGGAAAAGCCAGTCCAGCTTCTCCTTAGCCTCGGGAGTCCAGTTAGTCTGAGGGGTGCTAACACCGAACTTAATACCACCAGCCAGGTGCTTAGCCTGGACTAGCTCGGCGTGCTCGTCGCTGGCCAGGGCATCAAGGACAGCAGTCACGAAGCGACGAGCGTTTTCGGCGTTAGACTTCATGTTGCCCATTACCATCTCGACAGTCACGTCAGCGGTAGCCTCGTGCCAGCAGTCATAATCCGTGGACATGCAAATCATCTGGTAGGCAATCTCGGCCTCGCGGGCCAGCTTGGCCTCAGGTAGAGCGGACATGTTGATGACACTGCCACCCCATGAGCGGTACATCTTGCTCTCGGCACGGGTGGAGAACTGGGGTCCCTCTGTACGATGGAAAAGACATGGTTAGTAATGTTTTGTCGTAAGGATAAGTCACAGCTTCACATACCCATACAAATCAGAGTACCGCGATCGTGCAGGACGACACCGTCACCCTCAAGGCTGTGTCCGCACTCGCGCACCACCTTGGCAACACCCTCATCAAATGGGTCACCGAAGGGGACGTGGGCAACAATGCCCCCCTCGAAGAAAGTCCACGGGCGCACGCCCTTGGTGCGATCAATGACCTGGTCGGGGATGACAAAGTCGCGGGGCTTGATTTCCTCCTGCAGACTGCCAACGGCGGAGAAAGCGATCACGCTGCGGACACCGATGGAGCGCAGGGCTGCGATATTAGCGCGAGCGGGAACCTCATGAGGAGCAATCTGATGGTGCAAGCCGTGGCGGCTCAAGAAGGCGACAGCGACAACCTTGTTGTTGTGCTTACACTCGTGGTGCAGAATAGTGATCGGCGAGGAAGGGACGCCCCAGGGGGTTGTGACGTTCAGCGAGGCCACTTGAGTGAAGCCAGGCAATTCGCGCAGACCGGTGCCGCCAATGACAGCGATGGGGACGGGCCCTGTCAGATTCAATATCGTCAGCTTTCTATCGTAGTGGGGGTATGAGGGGTAGAAGTGAGGGAGGCAGAAGCACACGTACCGTCATATGTAGTAGGGAGAGAAGCCATTCTTCGAGCGAGTTGTTTCGCGGACTCAATTCGACGGAATGGTTTCGATATAGAAGAGAATGAACGTGAGCCTAAGATCCAGCGCATCTTGCGCCATCTTCAAATTTCTGAGGCTGCGGCCAACCTGCGTTTCTCCGATTGGTTGTTTGCTGACCCACGTGCTGTGGGTTCCTGAGGCCGCCACCTACCTTTTCGGGACATCTATAAAACTTTAATATACATTTACATCGACAGTCCCTACGCAAGTCTCCGTACACGGAGATATATATTTGATGGCGTATGGGTTGTATGAAAACTTTTGCGGTAAAATTGTACACTCTACATGTCTATCAGGGTCACAGTTGACCATTGATCGAGAACATCTTCAAAATTATATTCTATGCAGTCAAATACATGTTCAATTTGGGATAATAAATACAACCTAGATGACAAGAGTCTGGGGTAATGCACTTGAATTAATTTAAGCCGGCAGCCACTCGTAGTGGTGAGGGCCCTTGTGAACCGGTCCAGGATCCTCACCGGGAATACCAGGCTTGTTGTAGCTGTGTGCACCGAAGTAGTCCATCTGCGCCTCCATGAACTGGGTCGGCAGTCCCAATCCACCCTCATACTTGAGATATTCCAGAGTAGCTGAGAGAGCCGGAATATATTGATCAAACATGGTTCCCTCCATGACAACTTGCTTGAGACTATGGAAGTTCTGGTGCAACTCATGTGCAACAGTATCCACAAACTTGGCGTTTGTCAGCTCATTTTGGGCTGCAAGCGGCGGCTGCAGTAGATCCGCAATGTAATCAGACTTGATGATACATCCCGCTCGCCAGATCTGCAGACAGTCGCCCAAATTGACCTTCCAGCCTTCGTCTATCGAGGCCCGGGAAATCAGCTCCAGCCCCTGACAGAAAGATGCCAGGAACGAGCAGTACACAGCTTGTCGTAGGTTCTCGATAATCACATTGTGGTCCCGGGTTCCCTCTATCGGTTTCGGCATGGGCATCTCCAGCTTCTTCGCAACACGCGCTCGCTCCACGCGATTTCCACTTGAGATTCGCAGGTACTGGGCAGCCGCTAACGTCGGACAAGAGACATGCCGGGCGGCAGACTCCATAACACACCAGTGTGGAGTACCTTCAGTACCATCGTCGTCCTGAACCACCTTGTCGAGGACATCATCGAGCACATATCCATCATCCCGACTGGCTCCCTCGCCTTTGTAGTCTCCTTTGGGGGTTCTCCGTGTGTGTAAAATCTTGGCGCCGATGTTAATCAGGAAGTTGCCCCGCAGCTCGCCAGTCTCATTCCATTTATCGAAGACATCTCCGATTGTGCCATGCTCCATGCCGAGTCCCTCGTGCATGTATTGCCATGTTTCAGCAAGTACAGAAAGCATTCCACCCTCGATGCCATTATGAACCATCTTGATGTAGTGTCCTGATCCACCGGGACCCATGCGCTTCACGCAGGCAGTCCCAGTTTTGGGATCATGGGCCGCATACGACTCCAAGAACGGCATAACACGCTCGATGGCTTTGGCATCTCCACCTGGCGAGAGACTGGGTCCTCGTCGTGCAGATTGATATCCACCCGAGACGCCCATTCCAATCCAGGCGACACCGATGTCAGCACACTCTTTCTGGCGCCGCTCGGTATTCCGGTAGTTCTCATTTCCACCGTCCAGGATGATATCACCCTCTTTCAGGTCTGGTTTCAACAAGCGAAGTACTTCATCCGCGGGGTCACCGTGCGTGATAGAAAACATGAATAGTTTGTGGTCGGACTTGCCCTCTAGGCTCTTGGAGAATTGGTTGATGTCATAGAAGCCTTGAACTCGGCCTGTTATAGCTTTGTCCTCTTTGGCGTAGCGCACCACTTCGTCGACGTTCTTCTTTATTACATCCCAGACAGAGACTTGGAGCCCGAGCTCAGCGAAGCGAAGGGTCATCATAGAGCCCATGTTTCCAGCTCCGACGACGCCGATGCTTTTGATGGTGGACATTGTGAATTGGTCTTGATTCTGTCAGGCTAGCTAAGTGATGCAAAGTTCAAGTGGGAAGTATGCGGGAAATATTTACAAGAAAATGTCTGGGACGATCATCGCTCTTAAACAAGAAGATTGTGGCGGTCGGATCTGTGATCCGAGCATAGTCAATATGGAATCAGACACGCCACGAACAAGATTTGTGTAGAAGAGGCAAGTGAGGCGAAATTAATTGTTGTAGTGTCTATCAAAGACTCACATTATGGCCAAGCTCGATCTGGGCTGGTATGATACACCGATGACGACATAAGCTCTAAACAAGAACAGCCCAGTTCAACATTACATCACGATGGACACAGAATGAAAAAGGAATAGGCGAAAAAGAAAAGGATGAGGCAAATATATACCCAATGATACCAAGCATGGCAATCTCCCATTCAAGCTCTTCCCTCATACGTCCAGTGAACTATACGTCTTCGCAGATATCAACAAGCCTCAACAAAATCACGATCCACTATACAATCTTGTTTGACAGATTTTAGAGGGAAAAGAAACGAAAAATGTCAATTCCCTACTCAAGTCTCCAAAAAATCCCCCTCTCATACGCTTCCTGCTCAATCGGCTGCGGCCCGAAGGACACCCTTCCGCGCCGCCTCGAAGCAATCAGTGAAGCAGGCTTCAGCGCAATCGAGCTATCCTTCCCAGACATCTTAGACTTCGGCGCGCTAACCACTGGCCATCACATCGGGCCAGAAAATTACACTGCAATTTTGCCTGTGGCCGTGGAAATCCGTAAACTATGTGAAGAACGTGGGTTGAAAATTATGATGCTGCAGCCATTCTCAAACTTCGAAGGTTGGGTCAAGGGCTCTACGGATCGTGAGGATGCATTTGCTAGAGCCACAGGTTGGATGGATATTATGGATGCCGTGGGTACAGATTTGTTGCAGGTATGATATGGATATATATATGTTGAGCACGAGCAATAAGCTAATGACATATCCAGGTCGGAGCAACAGACACACCAGAACCCTTAATCACAACAGAACGCGATGTCATCGTCGCTGACTTGCGTTCTTTATGTGATATTCTCGCAAAACGCAAGTTCCGCCTCGCCTACGAGAACTGGTGCTGGTCGACCCACGCGCCCGGGTGGAAGGAAGTCTGGGAGATAGTGAAAGCGATAGATCGCCCAAATTGCGGGTTATGTTTGGACACATTCCAGACTGCGGGCAGTGAATGGGGCGATCCGACTACAGAGTCTGGTCTGATTGAATCGGTCCCGCAGTCCGAGCTACGGAAGCGGTTCGATGCGAGTATGGATGAGCTCGCAAGGTCTGTGCCTAGCGAGAAAATCTATCTGCTTCAGATCTCGGATGCGTATAAGTTGTCACCGCCGTTGGAGGGAAAGATTGTTGGTGGCCTGAGGGCTAGGGGTCGGTGGAGTCATGATTATAGGCCTATGCCATATGACGGCGGGTATTTGCCTATTGAGGATGTTGCGAGGGCGGTGCTCAAAACGGGCTTCCGGGGTTGGTTCTCGGTGGAGATATTTGATAGTGGGCCAAAGGGAACTGGGAAGGTGTATGATATGGGGTCCTTTGCAGCGAAGGCAATGGGTAGCGTGCAGAAGTTTTTGAAGAATTGTGCGACGGATTGAGAAAAGCAAATTTCCCACAAAATGGTCATAATGATATGGGGTTTTAAGAAGTCTGGTTGGTACATTTGGCATATTGACTATTTAGACTTGAAATAAATACACATTTTGAGGACTCCTTGGAAGGTCGTGGACACGATTGAAAGAAAACGCCGGGGTAGAATGCAAGATTGACGCCAATGAGATCATAAAGCATGCAATATAACTTGGAGGTCATGGATAGGATACCATTATCCATTAGTTGGCATTGCTGGGGTACGCAACGGTATATGTTGGAACGTACTCCTCCTTAATGGAACGCAAGCTGACGAAACGGGACATTAGATTAGCACTTCCGGCCTTATCATTGGTACCGCTAGCACGTGCACCACCGAAGGGCTGCTGGCCGACAACGGCACCGGTGCTCTTGCAGTTGATATAGAAGTTGCCAGCAGCGTTGCGGAGAGCCTCATCGGCGACCTGGATAGCCGCACGATCCTGGGCAAAGATAGAGCCGGTCAGAGCGTAGGTGCTAGTACTATCAATCTTGTCACAAATCTTGGTGAAGTCGGCTTCGGTGGCGTCGTTGTAGGAGTGAATGACAAGGATGGGACCGAAAAGCTCGCGCGAAAGCAGAGGGTGGTCTGGGTTGGAGGTGCGGTAGACTGTAGGCTGGATGTACCATCCCTTGGAAGAGTCGTAGGTTCCACCAACGAGCAGCTCAAGTTCGGGGTCATTCTTGGCCTCCTCAATAACACCGGACAGCTTGTTGAATGAGGCCTCATGGATGACGGGACCGCAGAAGTTGGTGAACTCAGATGGCTCGCCAACGTGAATCTTCTGCACCTCAGCGACAACCTGCTGGGCAAAGTCCTCAGCAATCGACGAGGCGATGTAGACACGGGATGTGGCGCTGCACTTCTGGCCCTGGAACTCGAAAGCACCGCGCACAGTCTGGACCGCGGCGTTGCGGACATCTGCAGACTTGTGTACCAAGTGGAAGTTCTTACCACCGGTCTCACCCACAATGCGAGGGTAGCTGCGGTATTTACCATCCGCCACGCCCTGTGAGATCTTACCGTACAGCATGCGGAAGACATCAGTGCTCCCGGTAAAGTGAAGAGCGGCGAAATCGCGGCTTTCAAGGACAGTGCTAGTCACTTCTGCGGCATCACCAGGAACGAACTGGATGACGTCCTTGGGTAGACCGGCCTCAAGTAGAATCTGGTGTACGAGCCAGTTGGAGGCAATTGCGGAGGGCGAGGGCTTCCAGATCACGACGTTACCCATCAGAGCGGGTGCACCAGCCAAGTTACCGCCGATTGCTGTGAAGTTGAAGGGACTGATCGCGTACACGAAACCCTCGAGAGGACGGTACTCAAGACGGTTCCACACACCAGCGGAGTTGTGACTAGGCTGTTGCGCGTAAAGCTCTTCGGCATACTTCACACCGAATCGGAAGAAGTCGCAGAGCTCAGCGGCGGAATCAATCTCTGCTTGCCATGCATTCTTGCCCTGTCCGTGCATAGTCAAGGCCATAATATCGTAGCGGTACTTGGTCGCAATAAGATCAGCGGCCTTGAGGAAAATGCTAGCTCGCTCGGCGAAAGGAGTTTCAGCCCAGGACTTGCGAGCGGCGAGAGCAGAATCAATGGCGGACTGAACATCGGCCTTCGACGCGTTGGAATAAGTTGCCACAGGAGCATGGGTTGCGGGGTTAGACTGAGTGAAGGTTTCATATCCCTTGAGCTGTGTGATTGAATGTTAGAGATCGATAGTTCGGTAGATTTAATATGTCTTGCGAGTTCTTACCTCCTTGCCCGCAACTACCAGAGGCACGTTCAAAGGGGCTTTCTGCTTATAGTTTGCCAAAGCCTCCTCGAGACCCTTGCGATCTGGAGTACCAGGAATATAGTGTTTCTTAAGGTTCAGAATTAGCGCAAATGATCAAACAATCTCAATTCCAGTTCCGAGCTCACATTAGGTTCGTTGTTAATTTGGGGCACCTTGAAAGTGGCGTACGTGCCCATGGAGCGTGTGCTAGAGCTCGGAACGCGGCATGCGAGGCGCGAAATGGGCGCGCGGGTGCGCAAAATGGAGGACATCGTGATAGTTTGAAATGAGACAATGAGTTAACTTCTTTCCAAGCACTATTGAAAAGGGAAGATTTGGAGAAGAAGTAGACGCGGGGAAGAACTATGATGAAAAGGGCCGGCTACTACCGGTCAGAAGCTCATAGCTACCACGGTGGGCCTCCGGAGGTGTCCAGGTGGGACTGGCTAAAGACCATAGCCAATCATCGGTGGCCGGCTGCTGTCCCGGGTGGATACTACCGGGCCGGCGTCTATCAGCGCGGTCCACCGGTTTTGTGAAATCAATTTGTTGACCGGCCCTGTCCCCCACATTTCAAGTTCTTATTAGTCAAGAGATAATAACCTTGGGAAGATTGAGTCCTCGGGATTCCCCGCAAACCTAGATAAGCTTGATAGCGGCAAGATAAATATCGGATAATCAAACCCACTCAGGATCGGCGCTAAATGTATACTTCATGGGTACAGTATACAAAGTTCACAGGAAGGTAACGTCCGATCATTCCCTTGACTGATATACTTTAAAATCTATATCTCTACCACATGGTATTATGCACGGTAAAAGCATCATCTTTATTGTAATTGTAGATAGAAGCATCCTAAAAATAACAGCAGACTAAGCAAATTCTATGCAATCCACCACCACACTCGCTCTAGCCAGTTGCGTGGCTGCGGCTCTACCTCCTCCTCTTCAAGTCGGTCGATCTCATCCTTGCCAGTGAAAATGTCAAGTTCTGATACCTTGGTCATCCATGGCGTCTTGTAGTATATTTTGTGGCCAAAGTACAGCACGAAGAAAATCGCGAAGACAATGTAGGAAACAAGGAAGTCCGACGCAGTGAAAGAGCCTGGGAAGAATACCGTATAGCCATTGGTAATAGCCAGGAGTGAAATAAAGCCAATAACATAGTAAGCGCCGTATGGCTGGATGGGGGTAATGAAGGGCCTGGACGGGAGCAGCCCGTGGAAGTCCAATGCGCTGCGCCAACGCTAAAATAATTTGTTAGCAAGTTATTCCATGAAAAAGACAGGAAAAAAGGCTATTTAACTTACCAAGTACGCCACTGCCACGATGACCCAAGAGATGAAACCTCCAATTGTCGTGATGTTGGTAAACCAATAAAAGACGGTTGAACCCGAAGTAGATAGGTTCAAGAAAGACAGCAGACCGATCATCCAAGTGACTATCACAGCATTGTACGGGACACCATTCTTGTTGCAGCGAAGGAAGATTTTGGGAGCCTGGCCCTCACCCGCGAGCGAGTAAAGTGTGCGAGACCCAGCAAAGACCCAAGAATTACCCGAGGAAAAGGCAGAGATAAGAACAACAGCATTGATAACGTGGTTCAATCCAGTGATACCAGCATTCTGGATGCCAATAACGAATGGACTGGCGCCAGCACCAGAACTGCCGCTCGCAACACCCTGCAGGAGGTTCTTGTCATTGTATGCGACTATCACACCAATGACCAATGCGCCCAAGATATAAAATGCAAATAAACGGTAGATAAACCGCTTTGCCGCCTTGGGGATGTTGCGGCGTGGCGAGGCAGCCTCGCCGGCAGCAGTGGTGATCAGTTCCGGGGAGAAAATGAAAGAGAATCCGCACTTGATCATAGCGGTCCAGAATGCTAGAAAGCGGCCTGTGTTGATGTTTGGGACTAAGTAAGGTTCCACAAATGCGCCTGGTCGTTGCCAGTACCGGAAACCGAGACGATCATGGTTTGGACCACCGCCGAAGAAAAGTACAATACCCAGGATGATCAGACCGACGATCGCGATGATCTTGAGTGATGCGAACCAGAATTCGGCTTCGCCATACCAGGCCACCGCGACAATGTTTAGAAGTAGAATGACTAGAGTTCATGCGTTAGAGGATATCAGGTATACCGCACTGTTGGGCATGTACCCACCAACGAGAATGATCGCAATCCATACACCAACGCTGACTGGGGACTGCCAATATTCAATGACCATCCCTGACGCAGTGACCTCTGATGCTATCAACATTGAAAATGAATACCTACACAGGGCATTTATTAGTATGACAAACTCGGACCTTGACCGAAGGGTTATTACCAGTAGTTGTATCCTAGTAGTATTTGAATCAGCATTGGGCTTGTTAAAAATTTTCAAAGTGTCTTCACATACCAACAGCAAATCCAAGACTAGGTTCCGTAAACCGAGTAATCAAATATGGCACAGAAACACCTTGAACGGGAAGATAGGTGGTCATTTCTCCAAGCATGTTCATGATAAAGTATACAATACTTGACATGACAATATAACCCATGAGCAACGGAGCTATCACATATTAGCCCCATATCAAGTTTATGTTTCACACGCTGATTCTTACCAGGACCAACTGTCGCCAGCGCTGAGCCACTGCCAACAAAAAGACCCGTGCCTATACAACCACCTAGAGCCAAGAATTGAATATGGCGCGAGCTCAAGCCTCGCTTAGTATCTGAGTTGTGAATGATCTCCCCCTGCATGTCTTTTGGGTCGTCATATGGGGACTCAGGACGGACCGCCGCCTCGAGACTCTTAGGTGAGTCTTTCATGATGTGCGAAGGCGGAGAAATAGAAAGATTGGCCAATATACAACACTCTCGGGTGAGAGAAGAAGAACAGTAACACGACAGAAAATTCTAGAGAGTGCAAAAGCCTATAAAACAACTTATATATCCGAGGACAGGCACAAATCTTATTATATAGCCCCGGAGAACAAAGCTAGGATAGAAAACCTTGTCTAAAAGAAAAAAAAAACAATAAAACACCCAGGGGTGAAAATAAGTTTCCACCGCCAATCGGTGATTCAAAGTCCAACTAGTTGTCAACAACGTGAGATCGTATGTCCAATGTCCAAAAGAGACATAAACATCCGCGCCCTCGTGGAGTCTGCGATTGAGTTTTTAGAAATGATTGGCGCCCACATTGCCTTTTAGTTCTAGCCTTATCTTTGCAGGATTCTCACTCATATCACGTTACTCTTATCTTGCCCTTGACACATTGCGTTTCAAAATATCCTTCTAAGTTTCTAACGGTCTTCTAGTATTGCCGAGCCAAAACCTTCTGCTAACCAAGTAGTCTGCGATTGGCTGAATGTTTATTAAACATTTGCCTCCCGTTTGCCCCTGGATCACGTGGTGTGCGTCTGGGGAAGAATCCGGGGTAAAAATAGGCGGACCTGTGCCCATGTGACTCTAGATACAATTAGAAATAGACCATGGAGCCCTGGAATGCATCTACATGATAGGTAATTATGGGTTGAAGCAGCATACTAAAACATTCTTGGAAACACTAAACCAAAAGTAACCGGAAGCAAGATCACGCGCACAGAAACACCGGCCCGGTCACCTTTTGCTTATCGCTTATCAGTGGGATACGCAATATCAAACCGGGCCGAGTACTATTCGGCATGTTCAGTTATGCGAACCGACTCTTGGCTGCAGATTGCTAGGGAGAAGAGGCGAATATCAAAGCGTCATTCAATATCCCTCGTATACAATGATTTTTCTACCCTTGACCTACTCTAGTAGTTCTCCGTAGCGTTGAAATTTCCTAGAAGCCTGAAATCTGGTATAGTTCAAAGGAAACATGAATGATCGCAATGCCATCCATGGATCGTACTACATGAAAAATGTCAGGGCGTCCCGGCCGGTTAAGATGGGCCTACTGACCGTACCGGCCTGGCGGTTGCCACCGGCTCTTACCTCTTACCCAATGAGTTCCACCAACATAATCTCCATATCTAAAAGGTCGCCTTCAACCGTAGCTGTTCTACTTCTTTAGTCTTTCGTTCTAAGCACTTCAGAGCTACTTTCCTCTAATAGCTCACAATACTACGTCCTCACTGCTAGCTATGAAGGCTGTACCTTCCGTGCGTGTGCCTCTCAAGGCTGCCGCCCAAACAACCAGACTAGTGAGCGGCACCAGCAACTCTCGATCCTCGGTCGCCTCAGTTTCAGCCACCAACGTATGGCAACCACAAACAAAAGCTCCGTCTCCGCTACCACGCAAGGCACTGACAGCGCCCCTGGCTAAGCTGCCATTGTCATCTGTCCTACGCTCGTTGCTGATTTTGTCTGTTTCCTCATCACCTCTCCTTCTCAAGCCATGCATCTATACTCTATCTTTGCTGGCCCATCCACGCACTGCATTTTGGGATGTCTCCAAAAACCCACTGCTGAACATGCTTGTCAAGCAAACCATCTATAAACAATTTAATGCTGGCGAGAACAAAATCGAAGTGCAAGATTCGATCAATCAAATCAAAGCTCTCGGGTGCCGTGGTGTACTACTGGGATATGCCCGAGAGGTCCTTGTCGGAGAAAACTCGGATGCCGCGTACGACGTGAAGGCTGCTCTGGCTGAGATTCAGACGTGGATGGATGGCACATTGCAGACGGTTGATATGGCCCAGGCCGGCGACTTTGTCGCTTTGAAGTATGTGTGATAGGATTCCTGTTCAATTTACAACAGCCGCTAACTGAAATTCCCAGATTCACTGGAATGGGTAATGACGCGCTTCGCCTGCTGCAGTCGCAGACTATGCCCACAGAGGTTATGGACTCCTCCATCCTCAAGGTCTGCGATCTCGCAATCTCTCGAGGCGTTCGCCTGCTGGTCGACGCTGAAGAGCAGGCCGTGCAGCCTGGCATTGAGGCCTGGATCATGAAGTATCAAAAATACTGCAACTCCCAGACCCCCGGCCGTGCCATCTTCTATGGAACTTACCAAGCCTACCTGCGCTCTACACCTGCCACTCTGGCCCGTCACCTCGAGACTGCTCGTGCTGAAGGATACACACTCGGCGTCAAGCTGGTTCGCGGTGCCTACATGAAGACTGAACCCCGCCATCTCATCTGGGCTGAGAAGGAGGAGACCGACCAGTGCTATGACCAAGTCGTCGAGTCCCTTCTCACTCGCAAGTACAATTCCATGCTCAAGGCTCCCTCGAAGGATACCCCAACCGAACTCCCCCCCTTGAATCTCATCATTGCTACCCACAACCGTGAGTCTGTTCGCAAGGCTCATGCTCTGCGCATGCAACAGGCTACCCGCGGCGAGGACTACGGTGTTGATCTTAGCTATGCTCAGCTCCAAGGCATGGCTGACGAGGTTAGCTGTGAATTGCTCGAAGGATTTGAGAGTGCCGAGAACAGTGTCGGGGCTACCCCCATGGATGCCCCCAACGTCTTCAAGTTGTTGACCTGGGGCTCGGTTCAAGAATGCATGGGTTTCTTGCTTCGTCGCGCCGTGGAGAACACCGAGGCCGTTGGCCGTACTAAGGACTCCCAGATCGCAATGATCGCCGAGTTGAAGCGTCGCATTGGCAATGTTTTCAGCACCAGCAAGTGATATTCGAGTCTTTCCTGATGTCCACTTTCGAAGGATATCCAGATCGTTCTGTCTTTACTTCGCAGCCTACGGGTTGTTTCGCTCCATTTTTGCTTTTGCATTTTTATTCGCGAATAGCTGGGTGCATTCTGAATGGCGTTGCTACTGTTTTATAAGGACCTTAGAAGTTCACTCTGATGATGATCAATGAAATCAATGTTTCACAATTTAAATGACTGTATTCTTGGATTAATGTTAGTCAAGATAGGAATCAAATTAAGAAATCAGACCAGAGAGATAATCTAGAGATAATCTAATAGTTCGACCGGCATGATTGAGGTCGAATCATTTGGAGTGTAGTCTCCACCGGACCGGCCCCTCCTGAGGTCACCACCCGATGGGCTGTCCCATCTATTATTCTACCTCTACTACTCACCCCAACGCCTCTGCTTCTTTCAAGTAAAACAAACCCGAGAAATTTGGGTTTTGCGCATTTCACAAATATACAATCAACCTTGGAAACACTCAACCAAAATGCATATCCTCTCGGAGCCAGACGTTTCCAAAATCTTCCGCGGTCTAACACAAGACCAATGCAACGGCTTCATCTCAGCACTCGGCAATGCTCTAATCAGCATAACCAAAGAATCAAAGCCCTCAACTCCAGAATCCGCTAAAAAAATCCATCAACCCCTCCGTACAGTCTTCACCACAAGCGATGGCAACACCTGCATCTTCATGCCGGTATCGGACACCGCATCCACCGGCATCAAAGTGGTAACCGCCAGTCCCAAGGGAATCCAAGGCGTAATCAACATCTTCAGCCCAGAAGGCCGCCTCCAGGGCCTCCTAGCCGCAGCAGAAGTAACAGCCTTCCGCACCGCGCTGGCAACAATGACCCTGTTCGTGCGCTGCACGACCATCCGCAAGGACAACGTTCTTGTTCTCGGAAGCGGTCGGCAGGCGGAGTGGCACGCGCGTCTTGCGCTGCTGCTGTACCCGGACCAGGTGCGGCGAGTGACGTTTGTAAATCGCGGTGCGACGAGGCTGGCGGAGATGGAGAGGGATGTTGTCTCTGAGCTGCGCCGGACTAATCCCGCTGTTGTCTTTATCACGCTTGCTAAGGAGGGTGTCTCCGACTACGAGCAACGGCTGGGGGAGGAACTCGCTGCTGCCGATGTTATTTTCAGCTGTACCCCTGCTACAGTCCCGAATTTCGGGTATAAGGCGCTGCAGGCCAACCCCAAGCCGCGATTTATCTCTCTTATTGGCTCGTACAAGCCTGATATGCATGAGATTGATACCGAGACGCTGCTTTCTGGGGGTGGCAAGGTTTATGTTGATTCTAAGACGGCTTGTCTTGAAGAGGCTGGGGAGTTAATCACTGCGGGTCTTGGGGAAGAGCAGTTGATTGAGATGGGGGATCTTTTGGGGGCGGGCGGGATCGTGGAGGATGTGATTAATATTCCTGCTGGTTGTAACGTTGTCTACAAATGTGTTGGTATGGGACTGATGGATCTTGTTGTTGGAAAGAAGGTGCTTGATGTTGGGGCTGAGATGGGGCTTGGGACTCATGTTGATGGGTTCTAATATCTTTTGGTATCTCTATATTTAAGCAAGAGAAACACTATCATTGATCAGAATTATGATTGAAAAGCTTTGGCCTCACATTGCATTCACTCCTGGACGCTATTGCATACTGCAAGGACAATTCACCAAGCTACTGGTAAGGGTTTGTGGTCTTAAAACTTGGTGTATTAAGGTCATCATACAACTAGTTACACCAGGCGAACATCCTGGACACTCAAATCAACGCCCATTTCCTTGCAGGCATCGGACAGCCGTTTGTGAGCCTCATAAATCGCAGGACGGGGAATATCCCCACTTGGGATTTCTCGAAGTCGTTCTTCCTCTCCACCTATGGCGAACAAGTGTTGAATGAAAGTGCCGTAGATTTCAATAGTGACGAGGCTGGGAAACATATGCTTGAGCCTCACTAAGTTCACCAGCTGGTTGATGATGTTGCCATTGGGAGCTTCGACGCACCATTGCGTCACAGAGAGCCGCTCCAGAGATGGTGGTAAGTGCTTAGCCAGTATCAAGTGAGAGACTGGACATGGTCAATTATGTTGTGGTCCAATTTGGGATATACTCTATACCGTTAATTTCTGAGAATGTGTGCATTGGGAGCTGCAAATGCTTCAATACATGAAACTTATTGAAGCGAATGCATCCATCAGCACTCATGTTGTAGTCGGGGGGCAAGGGTGTGTAGTCGAGGCAAAGGGTGTTGAGCGAGTGTGCCTTGGAGGAAATCAAATTCATAAATGACTCGAGACAGTAACCGGTAGCCACGGGGTGTGAACCGCTGTCCTCAGAGCAGAAGTACTTGAAGGACTTCAAGTTTAGGCAACTGACAATAAATTCGCGAATTCCACAAACCGAGTGACTCTGGTGCAGCTCAACATGCGTGATAGTTGATGGTTCCAGTGGTAACAGGTGTACACATACTCCACTCAGCCCATATCCCTTGATCGTGTGCATCGATGAGGTTTGGAAAAAAGGATTGAGACGAGAGATATCCCATGATTTGCTCCAGGTTTCAATTCTCGGGGTTTCGCGTACGATATCCGATGGGAATTTGAAAACGACCTCTCGCAGGGACTGAAACGCCGGTGTCGGCGTTGGATTGAATGGGACTAGGTGTTGGTAGGCTTTGCGTAGCATACAATCAGTGAAACTGGTGCTGCGGTCAGGCCAGACGCATTCAAGGTAGGTGATATTTGGTAAGAGGCAGATGACGAGAGCCTGCCAAGCGATGGGTTTGTCGTCCGTTGGGATATTATACAACCATTGTTTCAGACTGGAGGTTGATGATTGACCAAACTTTTTGACTGACTGCTTGAAGATTCCATCGAAGCTCCAGGTTGTGACTAGGGCTGTATGGTGTTGACCACATGTCCACATTTTGCCCAGCTTGAGACTTTTGACTTCCCCAGCCATGGAGGGGTTGTGAAGAAGAAAGTCAACGAGTTTTTCCACCCGCTGAGCGCAGCAGCAAGGATCAAGTTCCATATGAATAAATGCCTGGGGGTAAAGTTCTGTGTACATGCGTACATTGCACCTGGCGAGGTTCAGTCGATCTTGCTGCGCTGATAGATGATCCATGATCACAAGCAGCACCTCAGTCGGGAGGGTAACCAGCGAAGACATCTTGAATTGCGATGAAAGGAGAGCAAGCGAGAGAGAAATAGAGAAAGAGATGGAGAGACGAAGAAAGGTGAAGCAGGTCAGATAAGCCCGAGCATCCTAGAGAGAGAATGAAATGAGGGAAGAAGTAGGAGGATGACTGAAAGGGAAACACGTCCAGCAGGAGTCGGGAGCTGTATGGTCAGTCGCGACATACGCCCATTATACCTAGTTCTTACCATAACATTGTTCCGAGCCTAGATGGGCCATACTTACGTCCGACAGATAGGTCAGCCTATAAATTCTTAAAGCTGGTAATTGATTCGTATGACATTTACATGAAATAAGCCATAGATATAAAAATAAGGCAAAGGCATAAAAATTCCCAAAACATCGTCCAAAGCCATAAATAAGAGACCGATGAGCGGAGGCAAAATGAATTCGGGGCGGGGATGTGCCTTTATCGATTAGCTTCCCTTTCTCTCCTCCCATGGCCGTTTTTCCAAATCCTGTATATTCCTGGACTGAATCTATTACACTTCTCTCTGCATTCCAATCTATCCACCCTCTTCTCTTTTCCCTAGACGATGCCCTGATCCGCTGTCACGGTAATGGACGACTCGACCCCGACGCCCACCCAGCAAAAACGTCCTCGCGTCGCCGAAGAGAACCGCAAACGAGCTGTCCGAGCGTATGCTATGGCCCTATTGTACCAACTCAATCGCGTCGTCTAACACAATCGGTTTTGCGCAGGTGTGATGGTTGTCGCCGGGTGAAAGAGAAATGTGAAGGAGGTGTGCCGTGCCGGAGATGTCTGCGATATCGCCGCCAGTGCAATTTTACTCACATTGACCCCAATGAAAAAACCCGGTCAACGTCTAGTTCGTAGGTTGGCCGCATAATCATATCCTTATTGCCATCTAGACCGCTAACGGCGCAATATCTGATACCAGACTTTTGGACCGTGCAGCCGCCCAAAGTCGAAATGACATCGCCGAGGCAGAACGGGTGCGCCTGATGGAACGTCTCCTATCGCATTATGTACCCAATATCACTTTCGATATTCAGTCTTTGCGACAGGCTGCAGAGGATCTGAAGGAGAAACACCGCCATTCTGAGTCCGATGCGATTTCTACCCGGGAAGATCCCAATGAGCTGGAGGATCTTGCCATTGATGAGGAGGATTTTACCATCAAGGCTATGCCAGATAATACAACCCGTATGTTGGGATCTGGGACCATATACAAGGATTTGTTGATTGACACTATTTCTCAGAATATTCCGGGGAATTTTCGTACTTGAATTTCACAATGAAGATCCGGAAGAAGATCGATGAATGGATGAAGACTGCAGCACCCGAGGTAGGTTTACGTGAATTGTCGGTGAGCAAATACTCATGCTAAACTCAAGCCCGTAGGCAACTTCCGAAGTTGAGCCTTTTGAAGAACGATGGAGAAGTACACAACTCCAGTCCGCGTCACCTCAGGTGTCTGCCTCAATTACATGTCTACCGCCGCGCTATGTCGCCGATTTTCTTGTCCAGATCTTCTTCAAATACGCACAAACCAATAATTTCTATATTGAAGAAGACTGGTTAGTCGAGAAATTGGGTATCTGCTACAATGACCCCGAAAGTTTATCATTTGACGATGCAGGCGCCGTGTGCTGTATTCTTATGGTCCTGGCTGTGGGCACCCAATTCGCACATATGGAGTCACCTACACCCGTGAATTGCTTGCCTCCAGGCTCTACGGCAAATCAAGACCATCACTTCTCGGAAGACGAAGTCGGACTCACATTCTACCAATTTGCTTCGAGGCTTCTACCAGACATCATCGCCACCGCTTCGGTTCGAAGTGTACAGGCCTGTCTTCTTATTGGGACGTACTTGCTTCCGTTGGATACTTCAGGCTTATGCTATACATACTTTGGGCTGGCACTGAAACTGGCTATACAAAACGGAATGCATCGGAGGTATCACGGCGAAGGCCTTTCTCCACGAATGATCGAAGTGCGCAATCGCGTTTTCTGGACAGCTTTTACTATTGAAAAGCGTATAAGCATTCTCCACGGCAGACCATCATCGTTGTCGGACCCCGACGTTGATGGTCCCCTGCCGGTTGATTTTCCTGGATTGATGCCAGTCAATCAGGTCTCAAACCATACAAACATGGTAACACTTATTACATTGACTCTGAAACTTGGGGAGGTTTCAAATGAAATTACCTCATTGCGAAAATACCGCAAAGGGCAACAGCAGGACTGTCTTGAACGATTACTGAGTCTCCGGAAACATCTCGTTGATTGGTGGTCAACTCTACCAGAGGAGGTTACCTGTCGTGATCTGAATCCTGCAGGGCCGCTTTTCAGGTCTAATGTCCATCTCAAGCTAGACTACTGTCTAACTCGAGTCTTTATTGGGCGCCCTTTCCTGTTCAGCAATATCAAAGGCATCTCCCAGAACCCCTCGCAAGGCCCGTCGTACAAGGGGTCTTCTAGTCTGTCCGGTCTGTCAAAGTATCGTGCGACTCTTGTTACAGACTGCGTGGAAGCGGCTTTGGAAATCATCGATCTGTGCCGCTTGCTCCGTGATGAGACCGGTCTCGCGCGAGCCTCGTTTACCGAATTTAGTTCATGCCGTGCAGCTTTGCTAGTCATCTTAGCTCAGGGCCTGACCAAACGAACTGAAAGACTTGGGGCTGCTCTCGAACAGGGAATTTCCCTGATCAAGATCATGTCTATGGGTGTTGGCTCAGCCCGTTCGGCTGTCAGTGTCATAGAGGCGCTCGAACGTGCCATTCGTCGTCTCGAAGCATGGAGCGAGACCCAGCCGGATATGAGCAGCGGAGGTACCGTCGAGTCTGCCTATGACCGGTTCAAAAACTGGGAGATGCTTTGGAAAGCAGGGCCTATCTCGCCGTCCACGGTCGCATGGCAACAGCAGGAAGCTTTTGCTCCAAGTGAGCAAAACATCCCACAAAACATTCGCTCCCAAGCCTCTACAATGGCGGGTCCTGCTACTCTTCTTCATGGCATGTCCCTGACACCTTCGTCTGCGGCCATGATTGGCATGGGTAGTGCTGCCCCAACACCCGTTGCACATGATCAGAGCATTCCAGAAGGAGAAGACTCACTCACCGACACTTTCTCCCTCTCTCATATGCCACACTTTGGCTTCGATCACTTCGTTTCCAATTTTCCACAAGAGCTGGGCGAGTTCACAGCTATCCCATGCTTCGAACCAGATTCGCAGGCTCAATCTAATGGGTTGCCTCGTGCTGAAATGAAGGCGCTAGGTAACAGGTCTGACCCCCCTCACTGGCTGAATTTCATGAGGGATTCATGATCACTTTTTTTCCTATCATGCTTTGTTCACAAGCAGCGACTCATCTATACAACATGTTTAGGTTGGGTCTTATGACTTTGATTTTATACCATCTTGCGACTGTTTTCACGGCTATATATTGTGCCTGGGTGATGCAATTCCGGGAAATTGTGCACTGCTTATTCTCAATGCAACTATTCATACATTGCAATCAATCTTTTACTTTGTCTAGGTCGGATGACTTTAGGCTTTTGTGCACACAGAGATATCTTAATATCTGCTCATTGGCTTGTGATGATGCTTCGAGCATTGATTGATGAATATACATAATGCGCATAACCCTAATCGAATGTAACCTTCTTTCCTGCGAAAACAGCTGGTGCCTGCTCCTTGGCCTTCCGCTTTGCCTCCCAAGAGGGATGCAATGGGCCCTCATCCTTAGGCGGACCTTTAGGCTTACCACTAGAATGCTGCCCAGAGTGAGGACCATCAGGGCCATCTCTGTTCTGAGGCCGTCCAGAACCACCACCGAAACCACCACGTCTGGCCCCTCTCCCTCCTCTCCCACCTCTCCCACCGTCAGTTGCACCGCGCTTCGTATCCCATCCATTATCTCTGCCACCATACTTCGCAGCCAGCTGCTCCTGCTTGACATGGTTTGCACTGACACCGTACTTCTTCTCCCACAAAGCCCGACGCGCCTGCTGACCCATCCGGTTCTTACGGACAGGCTTCGCACCGGAATTTTCCTCATCGGTGGCTTCTTCCGAACCAGACCAGTAACCGCCGTTCATTAAAGATGGTAGGAATGTCGTGGTTTTCACTGCTGCAGCAGAGCCCTTCGTTGCCTTTGCTTTCTTAGGTGGCGGGGAGTCTCCGGCGGAGAATGAGGGTGAGGGAGAACGGGAGATAGAACCGGAGATATCGTCTGCGGCGGGGTCTTCCTCGTCGCCAGATTCCGAGTCAGCTTCGGAGTCTGAGCCAGGTCCAAGTCGTGAGTTGAACTGTGAGAGGTCCTCGTCTCCGGATTCGTCTGAGCCGGAGATGTCCATGTCGTGAGCCGGGCGGGAGACCTGCTCGCCGCGCCTAGGTTTTGTCGTCACTGCCTCTGATTCAGACTCGGATCCGCTTTGTTCCTTTCGCGGCTTCTTTGCCAGCACATCCTCTTTGTTGTCCTCTTTTTTCGCCTTGCTAGTCGGCAGCTCGTCGACTCTCAGTAGTTTCCGAATGCCGGCCATGATTCCAGGCATTTCCTTCTGCACCGGAGTGGATTTGAACAGTCGCGCCAGGATATTCGCTTCGGCGGTACTCTTTGGTCCCTCCTGGGAGACCTTCTTGACTGCCTGGAACTCCCCGAATGTCCGCGTCTCTGCAATCCGTTTCGTCCTGATAAGTTGTTTGAACAGGTATCGCTCCGATGTGACATGGTAATCGAGACCCTATGAGAACAGATATTAGCAATCAAGTTCCTAAGCGAGACCCTCCGGAGAGCCGTCTGTCCAGTGGAAAAAAAAGCCACTGTAACTAGGTACCTTCAAAGTCTCGATCTCTTCCTTTAGTCGCGCCAACGCCTTATCGTCCTTTTGCGCCTTGGCTGTCTTCTCTCGCCGACTGAGCTTTTGTCGCTCAAAGCCGCGCGATGTCTTGAGACCACGCATTATCATCAATACACCATTTTCGAACATTTGCGTCAACCGGGTTCCGTGAATGGACATTTTGCGGGTGTCGCTCGACCGCGCGGGGCCGCTGACTTCATCGAGCTTGCGTTTGGGCATTTCTCTCTGTGCTATGATTGTATGAGTATTCGGGGTAGTGAAATGAGTGATTCAAAAAATTAATGGCTCGTTGAACAAAAAAGGAAGGCAGTTTCGAGGATGGTGGTGATCGTCGGATGTTGGTGTAGCTTAATTTTTTTTTCTTGGGCGGATCCCGGCGCCAAGACAGACGCTTGCAATGACCAAATTGATATCTCGTTCGGGGTACTTCGTACTGTAAATTGGACAATAAAAAAAAATAAAAAAACCGAATATTTATTACCAACTACCGGGGGCTAATTAGCTTATAAATGAGCTGGGGCAACTTGACCGCTACAATACGTTGCTTGATATATTGCTTGGGAAGACCATCGATTAACACTGACGGATATGTACATACAAACATGGCAAAGAAAATAATACGCGAACAGAACCTTTCTATTTCTTTTCTTCCTCCTTCTCTTCCGGCTTGGGGGTCGGAAGCTTGAACTATAGTTGAATAGGTTAGGACCTTGTCTTTCAGCAAGGAAGATAATGTGACTTACGGATTCGGGAGTGCGGTTTTCACCCGCACCCACGGGCTCCCAGCTAGTAGAGCCGCTTTCAAAGTTACGGAAGGCCTGGGTGAGCTCAAGGGGCTCAATAACGATGCGCTTCTTCTCTTCGTCATAGCGCAGCTCAGTATAACCGGTCAAGGGGAAGTCCTTGCGCAGTGGGTGGCCGTCGAAGCCGTAATCGGTCATGATACGGCGCAGGTCAGGATGGCCGGTGAAGAACACACCGAACAGGTCGTATACTTCACGCTCGTACCACAAAGCACCCTCGAAGAGACCAGTCACACTGGGCACGGGAGTTGCCTCATCCGCGTAGGTCTTGACACGGATACGGGAGTTGTGACGAACGCTAAGCATGTTGTAGACGACCTCAAATCGCTGATCGCGGGTCGGGAAGTCGACAGCCGTGATATCGGAGATCTGGGTGAACTCGGCGGCAGTGTGGTTCTTGAGGAAGCTAATCACGGGAAGGATACCAGCGGGAGCGGTATACACTGTGAGCTCATCCTTCCACACTGTGAACTGCTGGACATATTTGGGCAGACAAGACATGACGTACTGCCCATAGGCGTGAAGGCTGTCGGCCATGGGCTGGTACTTGTCGGTAGGGTTGACCACGGGGGCGCGCAGAGGTCCCGGGGCTGGCAAAACACAGTTCGGTTAGCTCAATTTGTCCTATCTATCGGCTCGTCCATTGCACATACGCGGGCGCTGCGCCTGGCGCATGTTCTCAGGTTCCGGGCCCGGTGCTGTCGAGGCCTTGGGGGCCCACTGAAGGGAGGCGGAGGAAAAGGTGCGGGCGGCCATGGACCTCGTGGCGGATGCCACAGAGCGTCCAGAACCCAGGCGCATCAAAGAGCGTGCGGAGGCCATTGTGTAGAGGGAGCAATGGCAGATGCAACGTGAGGAGGGGACGAAGGCACGTAAGTCGGATTGTGAAGGTTTAGAGTGGTCGAGCACTTTAGTCACGTGTTGGGCACCCGCTAAACTGGATCGGGCAATGCCAGCAAAATGAAGCCGCGCTTCAATTTCCTTCCTTCTTCTCCATCAATCATCTCCACCATTTCTTTTCCCCTCTCTTCTTCTCGCTCCTCCTCAAACATCTAATTACCGTTCGCCTTTCTACACTTTACAGGGCAGCGTATTTCTTTTATCTTCTCAGTTTCTCATCCAATTTGATCAGGTGTCGGCGTTTGAGATCTCGTGTCCCTCTCCGGTTATCACCGTATTCCCCGCGATCATGTCCAGTCTTTCATTGATCGATTCCGTCATCGACGACGACGATGAGTTTTGGTACGTCTCGAAGCTCACTCAACCCGCGCGATCTGTGTACTGATCACCCCACAGCCCCCTGTGCATTGAAGAGTTCGATCTCTCCGATAAGAATTTCAAACCGTGTCCTTGTGGATATCAGGTATGTCCGTCTGATCAAGGATTTTCACGCGTCTCAGCAGTACTTGCTTTGTTATGGCAGGGACAGATGGCTCGTCTTTGTTTCTCTCTAGCAGACCTGACTGACATGTGATTTTTTTTTTTTTAGATTTGCCAATTCTGCTACAACAACATTAAGACGCAGAATGAAGAAGGCCGATGCCCCAACTGTCGGCGCGGATACGACGAAAGTACCATCCAGTACAAGATTCCCGACGTTGAGGAGTGAGTTATCCGATGCTCTGTGATATCTGAGCCACATCCCAACTAACCTGCTGTGTTTAGGTTCAAGGCAGATCTCGCACTGAAACATCGCAAAGCAGCTGCTGCGAAAAAGAAGGAAGCCGAAAAGCGTGAAATCGAAGCCTCCAGCCGGAAGAACTTGGCCGGTGTCCGTGTTGTCCAAAAGAACTTGGTCTACGTTATCGGCCTCAACCCTACGATCCGAGACGAAAATCAACTCCTTCAAACGCTTCGTGGACGGGAATATTTCGGTCAATATGGCGAGATTGAAAAGATCGTGGTCAGCAAGGCTAAGCCCGGTGGTAACCCCAACCAGGGAATTGGTGTTTATGTGACTTTCTCGCGCAAAATTGATGCTGCGATGTGCATCAACGCCGTGGACGGTTCTGGGAACGGCGATCGGGTGCTCAGGGCGCAATACGGAACAACCAAATATTGCTCATCCTTCCTTCGCAATGAGCAATGCAATAATCGGAACTGCACTTTCTTGCACGAGACTGGGGAGGACAGCGACAGCTACAGCCGCCAGGACCTCTCATCTATGAACTCCATATCCACTCAACGCCCAAATCTCCCACCTACCCCCTCTCACGTGAGGTCCGCTCAACCCATCGCCCATCCTATGCGCCGGCAACCTAGCAAGGATGAGTCGATCAGTAGTCGCACCGGCATACCAGATGGCCCGGCTCTCCCGTCAACTGCAAGTTGGGCTAACAAAGATGCTGCTATTCACCGAACCAGAAGGACTAGTCTCACGGGTAGCCAAGCCTCCAACAATAGCCCACGGCCCGCAAGTGCCAATGTTGCGACACTAGTCGAAGAACCGAAACGACCAGAGAAGCCATCGCCGATTTCTCAAGAAGCCCCACAATCAATTTCTCAAGTCGATCCCCGATCTCCCGCCGCGCCACCACGTCCCCGTCGGGGGACTCAACCTCCCAAGCTGCCATCACCGTTTGACGGCTTGCTCAAGGATATGAACTCGGCGGATTTCAAGTTTTCCTTCAGCACGGCTGAACTGAGTGCCGAAGAGGTCAAGTTGATTAAGGATTACCCATCTTTCATCGATCCATATGGCGGGGTCAAGCGCAGAGCAATGCGAGAGAAAGTCGAACAAGAGCGTCTTAGCCGCGAGCACGAGTTGCTTCAATCCGTTGCAGCTGAAGAGGATAACCGTGAAGCTGGTAGCCTCCAGCTAGGTGGTGAGCCAGAAGAAATCAATCCCCCGCGCAGTCGCCAGACGCGCGAGTCTCATGGGGCTATCCAGCCGCCCTCGCAGCAGGACACGGCGGATAACTCAACTGTTGGATCCCCAGTTTCTGCGACTAGCCATCAATTCCAAGGCCTGAACCTCGCTGGACGAAGCTTAACTCCCTTGCAGCAACAGCAGTTGATGTTACTCAAGTCCGCCGGTAATCAACAAGCTGGCCTGGCTGACCCTCTCGGCTCTGCCGCTCTGGACCAAGCCGCCCATGTCCGCCAAGGCCTTGTCCACAATCAGATGGCACAGTTCAATGCGCTGCAGGCAGCACAGAACCGACAGTCTTCCCGATTTTCCTTCGCCAATGAGGCCGGTTCTAAGAATATTCCTAACGCGCGCATGTTGGGCCAGATGCAATCTTCTTCTCCCAACCCTCTTTCTGCTCCTAGCCCTCAACATAGTCTTGCAGCAAGTGGCTTCTATGCTAGCGGAGTGCAGGGTCCCCCACCGGGACTGAAGACGGCTGGTACCCCTCCGATTAGTGGTGGTGGAATGTTCGCCCAAGGACATGGCTTCACCTCTGGGCTTGGTGGTAATGGAGGAAAGCAAGATCCAACTCCGGAGTTAATGCGAGAGCTACTGCGTGGACGAAATGGTACGAATGTTAGTGGTTTACAGGGCCAGGAGGCGGCTAAGCGTGAGTTCATGTTCCCTTTTCTTCAACAGCACAATACCCCACCCCCTATGACTCCTGTCAATGGCCTTCTCAGCTCCTTCTATGGGCACCAAGCGGGCGTGATGCCTGATTCCGGTGGCCCACAGAAGCAGAAGAAGAAGGGGAAGAAGCACAGACACGCTAACACTTCCTCCGGTGGAGGTGGTGTAGTAGATCTTGCGGACCCGAGCATTTTGCAGGCGAGGATGCATCAAGTCGGCGCGAATGCTACTGCTGGGCAAGCGTTGTACGGGAGTCAGGGCCAAGGTGGGTACAACCCCTCCATGGTGTACGGTGGTGGCATCAGTCGGTGGTGAATCCCCGCGGTTTCACTTGTTCCCGTGACTGGCTTCCTGCATTTTCCTGTTCGCTTTTTCGCTATGACATTCTGCCCTTGATGGGCCTGCTTTATCCTGATGACATGATATCAATTCCCTTTCTTTCCTCCCCGTGGAGGAGGTCTTGCATTTGTTGTTTCTGTTTTATTCGCGGTCAGGCTGGCAGCTCTGATTTATGCGATGGGCTGGACGGTCACCTGGCGTACTAGGGCTTTCCCTTGTCTCCTTCAATTGCTATCTATTTCTTGCATGCTTTCTCTGGCTCTTTCCAGGTGTCTTTGCATTTCATGGACATACTGGCGTGTGTTCCGAGCTCCTGTATTCGGCGGCTGTGTATTCCCTTTCTACTTTTTTGCATCCGGACTTCCATTATACGATCTGCTGCCCTGCTGCGTCTTGAAGACCGCAGGTGGTGTTTATTATGGATTAGTGTACGTTAAGATCTCCCTACCCTGATACCACAAGCCGAAAAGGGTCTTATTCGAAATCAGTCTCCTCACAGCCGCCGTTTACATAGACGCTATGTCCTGCAATGTTCCTGGTCCAGGAGATGCCCATCATGTAATTACCTCGTGATCGTTTTTGTATCTTCGCTTAAATCCGCTGCTGCTGCTTAGTCGCCCTTACTAAAGGGATTTATTTCTATCCCTCTCATCTGCCCAGTCACATTGCCACATTTTACTTTCTTGGACATTCGCTAACCCAATGCTCTAGTGAATGAGGACTTCCCTCCTCTTGGAGATCAATCCAAGGATCGACGACCTGTTGACAGCTTTGGGTTTTTGAAGTCTCAGTTACCTGGCGAGTCGGCCGCTCGTGTTGGGACTCCTACACTCCCACCTGGACTGCCTTTACCTCACGCTCATCCCTCGTCTTCTGTATTCCAGGACCACAGTTCCTCTAAACCTTCGTCTCCTGCCCCAATGCTCCCACCTGGCTTGACGCCCAACATTTCGCGACTCAACAGCCCATCGCAGAGTCGTATGGACAGTCCCTCTCGTCTTTTGAGTCCTGAACTCACAGTGGGTGGACCTTTGACATCAAGCCGCGTGAAGGACGCTTCTCAAATATCTTTCGGATCACCTGTACAAAAGTCCGCCACTAAGGCTCGTAACCAACGCAAAAGCCAGTTCAATATTGGATCTGATTTCAAAGATTCGCCTGCAAAGATTGCATACCAGTTGCAGGCGAGTTCTGCCACTACGAAAGGCACCCCGCTCGACTTTGGCGCCCCACTACCCACGTCCATCAAGACTGAGCAGGCACGACCTCCTAGCTCTGTTTCCGTCATCGGGTCGCGGCCCGACACGCCGCAAACCATCGCATCTCGCCTATCTGACTCCCCTGCCCCTCGTCAGCCTCGTATTCTGCGTGTGGTAGAAACCCCGAAGACAGAAACTCCTCCTATTCTCACCGCACCATCTGTGTCCGCTTCTGTTGTTGGTGGAACCAGGTCCCGCTCTAGGAGACAGAGCATCTCGTCAACCAGCATCCCCGGAACTCCTGCTGATATGGGTTGGGACGCTGATTACTATCCTTCCACTTCTGCTTCTCGTGCGAATTCTCCTCCTGCCTCTTCTCGTATCGGCTCCGCTCCCGTTCGCGCCATGACCAAGAGCCAGGTTAAGAAGGAACGGAAACAAAAGGCAAAAGAGGCTGAGGCTAAGAAGGTAGAAACCGCGCTTGTGAATGAGGAGCCTGTTCAAGCACCTATCATGGGGCGAAAGCGCAAGACCAAGAAAGCCCCCACGGCCGCCACTGTCAGCACAGCTGATGCACCCGCTGCCAGTGGCCCGGAAAAGTCGAGCCCTCTAAAACCAGTGAACGTTCCTTCAGTCAAGGCTGAACCCAAGGTGGATACAGCAAAGAAAGTGAAAGCCAAAGAGACCAAGCCCGTCAGAGAGCCTACCCCACCCCCTGTCGAAGAGCTTCCTGTTCAGAAGGAAGCCCCCGTAGAGCCATGGCGTTCAAACAATACAGTTGGACGGTTGGTCAAGGACTCCGAGGCCCTTGGAAGGGCAATCAAGGATCTTTTCATGGAACGAACGAAGCCTCTTCACGAGTTGCTCGCTGAGATGCATAAGTCCGGCGAACTTGATCTCAATAAGAGCTCCCTCTTCAACCCTAGCAACCTCAGCCAGCGCACCGACATGAAGTGCACTGCGGAGGACTACGATTATCTCCAGTGTCCCAACGAATTGACTGAGGAGGATCGGAAAACTCTACTTCGTGGAGAGCCCGTTCGAATTGGCGATGATTTCCTCAAAACTCGATGCCTTATCACACCCCGCGGCTGCGTCCTACGCCACCTCGAACCAGAAGAGGAGGAACGATACCTAGAGCTTGAGAAGAACATGACTGGTGTCTCAGATGCTTTCATGATTGGGGACGACGCAAGCAATCCCAGCGGGGGCCTGGAAGCACTCTTCGCGAACCCGGAGAAGTTCAACATCTGCTGGGTCGACGACATGCCCACTCGCCTAGGTGCCACGTCCCCGTCATCTTCTCTTGAGGCGGCGGAATCCGTGATTCCGCCTAATGTCCTCTCGGCCATGGAAGCAGACAGCACCCGCAACCATGACTGGGCTGTCGCCAACTCGGCAGAATTTCTCAACACCACCCCTGCTGCCGTGCGCTCCTTCGCCGCAGTCACCGCGCAGCACATGCTGGGCAATCCGGGCATGGTTGGCACCAACCCCACTCTCGACGACGTTGCTGGTTTGACCAACGAGGAACTGAAGGAGCTCTCTGGTCGTTCTCAAAAGGACCTCGAGCTCACCCGGAAAGAAATGGATTCGCTCGACAAGAAGTTCGCAGCTCTGCTTCGACGCAACAAGAAGCTTCAGCAGCAGGCATTGAATCTTGCTGCTGGGCCGGAAGTGTAATCATCCGCACTATCCTGGACCGGAGCTCTCAGTTCCCTTTGCAATCGCAGCTTCCTGGGTGGACTTAAATCTCCTTGCATGTACATCTATCTAAGCCTGAATGAATCATTGTAGAATACTTGTTACATCTGTCGACGTGCGTTCTAGTAATCTAATTTCCAACCCTTCAATGAAATATGCACCTTCTAGGCCTATCCTCACCTGGCTCGCAATGAGACAACTTGATTCTTTAACGCCAAGTGAATATCGGCACATATCCGAAATTGACTCTTACCAGTTTTGTGTCTGATATATATACCCTACCTGCCTGCCATCATGATTTCAACCAACAAATTAAAGACGGAACCTACCCCGTCCACTAAGTTATAGTAGTTAAAGTGAGAAAACATATCGAATTCCAATTATCATCGGCTAACATGGCTCAGAACATCAATGTCTACAGGTCAATAGGGGAATGCGTCAAGGGATCAATCACCGACTCCGCCAGGGCTGGATCTGTCAACCTCCACATTCCTCTACTCCGTACATTTTAATCAAGACTAGACATTTAATGAAGGCTCATTCCTCCGAAGGGATCCAACATTAGCTGATTCTTGGCATCACACGCTCCTTGACGATTCAGGTTCAAGGTGGTTGTCTAGTCCTGAAACATGTGGCTGATTTCCGTTATTCCTAAATATGTCAAGTCTCTCACTTCTTTCGGTCTGGTACAATAGGGATTGAGGCTGATACTTGACGCTTCTGTCGCTATCCGATCCCTTTCTTCCCCATGGGAGATTATTTTCTCGACTTTCTCGGCTGGCATGTATAATGCGTAACTCATCGAGTATACTATTTCCCGCCTTGTTAGTCTTTATTTCTTCACTGCGCTCATTTCTACATCATTGGCCCTCTCTGGTGCTATATTCATCCGTTTGTTTGTTCACGTTCAAACACTACGATGTTTCAATTACTTTCTGTGATAGCTACTCTGTTTACACTAGCCTCAACTGCCATATCGACCGGCCTACTAGTACCACTATACGCCTGGCCCGGAACAGACAAATGGAATACACTCTACGACTCAATTGCAGCCCATCCATCAATCCCATTCTACTTGATCATCAACCCGTCCACGGGTCCTGGTGACACAGAATACCCAGAAGACGTCTTCATAACCGCCATCGCCAAGCTAAACAGCTATCCCAACACGAAAATACTAGGATACACCTACACAAACCAAGGAACGCGAGACAGCTCCGAAGTCGAAAAGGACATCGCTATCTACGCTAAATGGGCCAGCTATGCAGGGCAGAATATCACTCTCTCCGGGACCTTCTTCGACGAGGCAGCGAACGGCGAAGATCCGAGCAAGCTCGCCTATTTCGAGAACCTCTCTCGGAAATCTAAGAGCGGTAACTTGACCACCGTTATCTTCAACCCTGGTGTCAAGCTCGTGGCAGATGTTGCCAAGTGGTTCGCGGCAGCGGACTTCATTGTGGAGTATGAGAATACTTATGCTAGTTGGGTGGCTTCGGCTCCTGATGATCGCTTCTCGACGCCTGATAACTATGGAAGGGATGCTGTTATCTTGAATCAGACGCCCGAAGATGCCAATATTGATAATGTTGTTCGGTTGGCGAAGGATATGGGCCTCGGTGCTATATATCTGGCTTCGGATGATAATTATATGAATCTCACCACTGTGACTAAGGTTGCAGGTGCTGTCGCACAAAATCAGATTGTTAGGCGCAGGGGGTACCGTCGGTTTCAGAGCTGAGTATATAAGATCATTTTTATGTCAGAGTGCATGTGGTCGAGTGCTATTTTGGGTTGTTTATATAGAAACCACGGAAGATTCCATAAACCAATGCAACCGGGATACATCACTTTCTGGGAATCTTCGAAATCTATATGGATATGGCTCTCGTGTTAGAACGCTCTAACGCGCTGAGGTTCGCATGTATATTTTGTAGAAGCAAGTCATCTCAATCCAGACCGTTAATCCCATCTTTATACGGCCGCAGGTCATACTCATCAGGATATGTTTCCAAGATGCGCTTGAGCTCCGTCATCTGCTCCCTCTGCTCTTCCGTAATCTCCTCATAAACATCAGCAAATGCCTCCCTAAGCGAGGGCTTCTTCTCCTGCTCCGCCGCGCCAAACTCCCTAAGTACCGCCTTGCGCATCTGATCTCGCGCCTCCTTCTCCTGCTCCTCACTCCAAAGCCCCTGATTCTCAAGCCACTTCCGTAGCCGAATGATAGGATTATCACGACGTTTCCAATCCTCAACCTCGACGCGGGCGCGGTACGCAAAGCTGTCATCGCTGGTACTATGGTGCGAGACACGGTAGCTCATGGCTTCAATTAGCACAGGCCGTCCGCCCTCGCTTAGGGCAAGTCGGCGCGCTTCTTTCATCGCTTCGTTTACTGCGAAGACGTCGTTTCCGTCTACGCGAATCGTGTCGATGCCGTACCCCACGCCGCGGCTGGCGATTCCATCGCCCCGGTATTGCTCTAGCGTTGGCGTTGAGATTGCGTAACCGTTGTTTCGGCATATAAAGACAACCGGGCAAGACCGTGTAGCGGCGATGTTTAGCGCGGCGTGGAAGTCTCCTTCGCTGGCGGCTCCTTCGCCGAAATAGCAGGCCACGATGCGTGGGTCCCGGTTTGGGTTCTGGAGGTCTTGGAGTTTCAGCGCATAGGCTGCACCGGCAGCTTGGGGAATTTGTGTGGCTAATGGGGATGAGATTGTGTGCTGTTGGGTATAATGTTAAGAAAAGTAGATTGATGTAAAGAGGTGGTGGTACTCACAATGCGGGGATAGTTTTGTCCATAGTGAACTGGCATATTCCGACCACGGCCTGTATCATTGCTATTGGCAAAGAGCTGGCTCATGAAGTTCTTTAGGGTGAATCCACGTTGTTGGAATACACCGGCTTCGCGATATTGTGCAAAGACCACATCGTCTGGTGTCAACGCCGCGGCGGATCCAACTGTGATCCCTTCTTCGCCGGCGGAAACCTGCAGGTAGACGGTCAGATGAGTTATTTTCTTCATTTAAATCTTAAGTAATTGAACGTACCATGTAGAAACTTAAGCGGCCCTGCCGTTGTGCCTCGAACATGACCACATCCATAATGCTTACTGCACGCTAAAAGTTAGGTACTTGATAGCGCATCAAGCGTGGGGTAACCAACCAGATAGCATATTTTTGTACCATATCAAGACCTCCTCATTCGTAACATCAGGTGCCGGTCTCTTCTTATCAACCTGGCGACCGTCTGAGTCCATCACTCGGTAGGTAGGGATAGCGGGCAGATCCGAGGCTTTGAGGAAGGCCATCTCCGAGGTGAACTTGCTGTTCACGGCCCCAGGGAATCGAACACTAAACAAATCAACATCTCGTCAGCGTTTCTCCAAAAAAAGAAAAACATTGTCCTCGGAGTGATCACCTGTCTGACCCCGGCGGCTGCGAGATGGAGCTACTCCACCTCCGTGCGGGGACGATGCGCGCTGTAGTTATGGGCTGGCTGCGGAGGCCACCCCGGGTCAGGAGCTTTAGAGACATTTTGCTCTCTGATGCTATTAACATTTTAGATTCAATTTGTTTCAATGGTAAAAAGTGAGAGATCCCAAGGTCTTTGAATGTTAAATCTGGGGGATGCGGAGAGCGGTTGGCGTCGGCATCTTAGCGTCACTCCGCGGCCAACCGAGTATCCGGTTGATGCGGGGAAGATAATTCTACAACCACATTGAGAGTGAACAAAACATCATTGGAAGATCTCAATTGATTGTGTCCTTTGTATTCTTATTTCTTCCCTAGCATAAGGCCTCAAATCTCACATCTCACATGGCTCCCCAGCGGTGGGGCTCAAATCCCTCGCGTATCATATCCTACATTGCGACAGGGATGAGAGAGAGTCAATTCGTTCCTCCTCTACCTATTGATGGTCGAATAATTCAGAGCGGTGGATTGCGACGATGTTGGCAGATGTATCATAGATCACAAAGTTGAGTTACGTGACTACCTGTTCTTCAGATCCCTACGTCAATTATTCTACTTCCCGGATGTCGTAGTAGCCCTGGAGTCCAAGACCCATCTTGTCGAGGACTATGCGCTTCAGGGTATCGGTGATAGTCGTATCCCTGTCTAGAACTGGGCCTGTTGGAAGATTCCACTATCCATATGTGGCCGTGCCGGTGGCACGCTTCAGATGTAGGACGGTAAATTGCCCGTTCTCTTGTACCGGAAGTCTGCTACACCGACGCGCCATTGTTTATTCTATCCAGGGGTAAGTCTGAGATTCTGGCGCCGATGCTTGTATTCCATGGTTAGATGGACAAGTTGGTATGAGAGGATAGAGACGGCGCTGATTGGAGGAAAGTTGAAGTTACACCAAGGGCAATAAATACTGTTTGCTATTTCGTTTGCTATTTTGTTCTCTGTTTACCACAAAAGTTGTCTCCTTCATTGTCTAAGACTTAGATGAGTATAAAGCCAAGCATAGCCGAGTGTATAAAATGAGTCAAAACTACCAAGAAGGGGGTAAATTGAACATATCTAAAGACATTCAAAAAGATATCTAACTTTTTTTGGAAAAAGCCCATTGAAAATATTTCATGTAACTATTCTCTATAAAGTCCACGGGTGTTCCTAATGAGGTCGGATATGATGACATCGGTGCCTGTGTACCAGCCTTTGAGGCTTCGGCTCCACTATCGGATGGAGACGATGACATAGTTGGAATCGCTTTCCTAAGAATCTTCAACTTTGCTTTCTGTCTTCAATTCTTTGTACAATCATGTCCAAAACCGATCAATTCCGCGAGGTATTGAATACCGACATCAGGACTCCTATTCCCGAGGAGCTCGTAACCAGGATCTCATCCCTGCCGCCATTTATCCCTATACCGGGTGTCTCCAACTTTCGCGATCTGAGCCATGATAACAACAAAGTACGTCCGGGATTCGTGTATCGTTCGGGAAACCTGTCAAACATCTTCGGTTCTGGGAAATCCATCATCGCAACCGAATTGGGAATCACCACAATTTTCGACCTCCGGAATGAAGGCGAGCGGCAAAGAGCCCCTTCACCCTCTATCCCAGGAGTCGAGACGATATGGCTACCATACGGAGATCGACCGGCCACTTTGAATCTCCGCGATTTTGCGGGCGAAGACAAGGGCGCCCAAGGGTTCGTGAAGATGTACTTCGGGATCCTCGAAGCGGCTGTCCCATGTCTCACCGAGATATTCAAGCATATCAGAGATAACCCAGACGACCCGTTCATCGTCCATTGCTCAGGTACGTGCCACGTGTATCACCTTGCTCTCATGGCTATTTTCGTATAGTTGCGTGCAAAATCCCATTCATAATCGACAAATGCTAACCATAGGTTTCCGTCTATAGCCGGTAAGGACCGAACGGGTGTTTTCGCCTCTCTTGTACTCCTCCTAATCAATCGACCCCATGAGGATATTATCAACGATTATATCCTCACTCGAGTTGTAATGGAAGGCGCCAGGGATAACCTCATGGAGGCATTCGCGGTAAACACAGAAACCGGTGAAGCCGACTTCAGCCAGTTGAGCCCCGAGGCACTGGGTATGCTTGAAATGTGTGGTGCTCGAGCCAGCTCTATGGAGGCTTTCCTGGTATCATTTGAGAATTCCTATAAAAATGGTGTCGAGGACTATCTCATGGATAAACTTGAGTTCTCACAGAGTGATCTATCGACAATGCGTAAGAACCTGACCTAGCGGATCAACCGCGAGCATCTGTAAATATATAAACAAGCATGTACAGAGTATGTATATATTACTGCATTGGCTATATTTGAAATTAGACCAACTCCAAGGTGCTAGCTCTGATTTCATATTCTTCGTGTCAATATTTCAGCGCCGAGAGCTAATCGATCTTCTCCTAGATGGGAAGTTATCGAGGGCTGTATCGACGGCGCCAACTTGCAAATACGGAATTGGTACATGCGCGGCGGATAGGAGGCTGCGCGAAGGTCCCGTCTCAGGAGACTCATTCCGCGTCTTCCGAATACTAGTTATATTGTAGACAGGGCAATATGGGATACAAAGCATGAATTAAATTGAGTTGTTGACTGAGAGAGGGTAGAAAAGATCGTATCCGCCTTAGGCAGGAAGGTGGCTCAGGATGATACGTTAGGATGGTACTTTTGTGTAGGTCACCTGCTCAGTTCCAGTCCGATATCCTGCCATAATCAGTGTTCTTCTGTCAGCTTCTTCCCTCCTACTTGTAGTGTTAACTATGGTTGACTTTCCTTAATCATACGACACTGACTAATTCATATCAATATTTGCGTGCATTATGTCTGTCTCTCTAACTTATACTACCAAGTTTATCGGCATCTACTAGCATTGTAGATAGCCGTGGCATCAGTGAGGAACTTGTCAAACGCCCCGTCACCGGTAGTCGGGACGATCGACTTAGGAAGGTCCTCACCGTCGGCATTACGGTCATCGACAGTCTTAGCCTTCGTCTTCTCAACCCACTTCTTGGCAGACTTGAACTCGGCATCTGCTGTACAATGATCTTTGTCATCGATCGCCTCGAGCATAGCAATCAAGTGCTTGCAAGCAGTTGCCCACTGCTTAGCGACAGTCGTCCAGGGTGCCACGTCCGTGGCAAAGGCCTTCGTGGCCATTTTGGGGAGAACATCGGGGATGCTGATGATGAGTGCGAGGCGATCTTTCAACGCCTCGGTTCCGTCACTGGAACCGGTTCTGCGACCGGCCCAGAAAGCTGTAATGTCCTTGGTAAGCTTGGGCGCATTGACCTCAGGACTTTGATATGGCCAGTTCTGGTTGAGGTCTGTGAATGTGATAAGTGAGTTGTGAACGGTTGTGTCACTCCCTGAAAGCTCCCATAGGCTTGCATTCATAGACTTGGTGGCGTTGTACGATGGCGCGTTCCACGTATAGTCTCCATAGTTGGCGAGTGCGATCATAGAGGCGTATGGTTGGTTCATCGGGTTCGAGGTGAAGCCAACCAGACGCTTGTATAATTCGGCGGCACGCTTTGTGAGCGGGTTGAGGAATAGGCGGTCACGGTTGTTGTCGTTGACTGGGAAGTTGTCCCATAGGAAAAGGTTGTCGGTGACGTAGCTCGAGTGGGCTCTCACGATACTTTCGACTGTGATATTGTCGCTGAATATTCCTTCGCCAGTCCACTGAACGCGGATCTTCTTGTTCAGCTTGGTGCCGAATTCTTTCTTGTAAGGGGTAGGTGCACTGCCGGCGTAGTCGGTCGGGACGGTCTCGAGGTCTTCAAGATCGTTTGGCTCAATGTATTGCGTCTGTACACGGTTCAGATAGAATGCCTGGGCGTCGGCAACCCATTCATCATTCTCGGTTTCCGGCCACTTCTTCTTGTCCGCATCGCAATGGAACTCAAGGGCGATATCATCGAGAGGGATGTAGAAGCTGCTGATACCAAAGTCACGCAGCTGGTTAAACTTGGTGACAGTAGCGTTGAAGTCCTCGTCAGATGAGTAACATACGTCTAGGCCGGGCGATAGAGCATAGGTGAAGTCGACATGATTGATATTTGCAGTCTGGACAAGTTCCTTGAGCTGGGTAAGCTCGTCGCCGCTGTAAAGAGTACGCCATTTGGCGCGGAGAAGTGGATCATACTTGGGCGTGTAGACATAGGTGTTCATTTTATGCTTTCCGTGGAATTCAAACTGGTCGAGACGCGCCTCATGGGACCAGGGGACACCGTAGAAACCCTCGATCGAGCCACGGATAGACATGAGCGGCCAGTCGCGCACCTTGACACCGGGAATATGGTCATCGGCGAGAAGTTGACGAAGAGTCTGTGCCGCATAGAATGTGCCGCGGGTGTCTACACCATTTATTACAATGCTTGGCTGTTGCTCATACTTGCCAGATGCAAGAACATAGCCGTCAGCGTCGAGGCCATTCGCGGAATCTCCAGCAAGAGCCTTGGCAGCAGCGACAGCGACTCCGGCTTCCGCCTCTGTGCCAACAAAAATCTGTGTACCCTTACTGCTGGGCTTGGAGGCAAGAACAGCATCACCACCGGCAGCAGCCACAACTCCCTTGACCGTAGAGATCGTAGCGGAGTCCTTGAAATTGTCCGTCACGATTGTGACATTACCCGTGAGCGATACCTTTCCGCCCGTGAACGTGATTTCTTGCGGAGTGGGCCAAACCGCGGGGCCTCCATCATCATGTATAACAAGGTCGCTGTGGTCAATTGATGCAGCATTGACAGGCCCAAGCGCAAAAGCCAGAAGAAAAGCCCGAAGGCAGGTAATGCGATGTGAACTGAACATTGTGTGGAGAAGTATCATGCTCAAGGGCGTGGTTTATACCAAGAAAGGTGATCACGACGTGTTTATTGATGACTTGCAAGATTGGAAGTTACGATGCCACGATCGATTACATCATGGCGAGGAGAGTGCAGTATCGGGGTTTGATTTGATTTGATTATTTATCAGGTCGTATGCAGCCCCGATGCATACTAAGCAGCAATTTAGCAGAGGGTATTTCGGGTATGCCAGAAGATAAAATATAGGGAATAGTGTTTCAGGTGATAATGTTCGCAAGGGGCAGTGCTCTACGATATAAGACAGAGAGCGAACCTGCGACGATTCACAATTCACCTCCTCCCGCTCGTAACCTCGGAACGTAGCGCGTCTATCGTAATATTATAGCGAGATAACCTGGCGTCGCCGATCGTTGATTGGGTGGACACAAGTACAACCTTGTAGATCGTCAGATATCGATACCCCAAGCCACAATTGTTAAAGAATAATTTAGATATCTCGCCGAAATACGCTTAAGCCCTTAAAAGCCTAAAGTCTCCATGGGCTATAACCTTAAAATTGCGTGGTAAACGAGATAAAGTATGTGAATTGAATATATTCCGGTAGAGCTGCTAGAATTAGGACTTGGTATGACAGATGGGGATTTCTTGATGAGAATAATGGGCATTAACGACGTGAGACTTCAATGATCTGATCTATTCAGCTCAAGGCAATAGCTGTTTGGATATTATTCCGCTATACCACTGTTTCGATTCAGTGATATATAGTACGTTTTCCTGGTCGAGGTTGATATAGTTAGTTATGCAAAACGCTGTTATTAATGAAGGTTACTGCCTCTTCCAACGAACTAGTTATACTTCGGAAGCATAATTTTCTTCCGAGACCATCTGGACCTATCCACCTGCATCAAGACTAACCTGCTCTGAGCCAAAGGGAAACCTTCCCTTTCAGCCTAGATCCGAATAGGTAAATGATATACTATCCCCACATCACTACGGGGTAAGAACAATGAACTAGTACCGGTGAAAACCCACTGGAGCCATAGACTATGTTATAGACCCGGTCGAAGCTCGGACCGAATGACTGCCGATGTAAATAGACAGCTCTGGATTTCTCGGCACGTGCCATTCGTACTGCTAAAATGGCTGAATGGATATTTACTGCGTTAAATTCAACCCTAAAAATGAAAGCTGGGTCGTCAAGCTAGTGATGCTAGTGTAGTGGATCGCTTTCATACTAGGGACGAACCAAAACATACATCAACATCAATCCTGTCGTTTGGATCTATGTTTGTTCTGAGATATTCACTGACGTGAAAAAATAACAAGGGACATCATTGCATTCGTCAATATATGAGTATGTTATCATTGTAAGATTGCGCCAAAAACCCCTAACTGGCATGTAAATGCATCCCAAAACCGTTATGCAGAGAGCTTGATTGAGAATAAAGTTTGTGCCCCTTCTTTACCACTTGTTGTCAAAAGCTTTGCCGTCAATGTAGTTAATCAGCTCCTTTACTGGGGGCAGATGATCGCGACCAGCGCCAAACAACATGCCCTGACGCAAAACTTTGCGGTAGTTCTTGCCCGGAGACACCTTACCGAGAACATATTCTTGGCGAGTCTCGACTCGAGTGGGGACAGGGATAGAACGGCCGACGACAGCCTCCATTCCCTGCCAAGCAAACGTAATGGCCTCCTTCGCGCCACCAGGGATACCAGCCTCGTCAAGCATCATAATGCGTGTGTTGGGGTAATTCTCCTGGATAAAGGCGGCGATGTTGGGGTTATAGGCTCCACCACCGCACATGAATATTTCGGCGATCTCAAGGCCCTTGGGAGCATAGCGACGGTAATGGTCCACGATGGCCTGGGCGGTAACACGGGTTATGGTGGCGACGACATCGTCAGGCTTGAGCCCTTTGGCCTCAGCCTTAGCGATGAATTCATAGGCGAGAGTGTCACGGAAGACTTCTCGACCGGTTGTCTTGGGGGGTTCCAACGCAAAGTAGGGATGTGTCAGGAAGTCATCCACAAGTCCCTGGTCGACGGCACCGCGGGCTCCCATCTCACCGTCCTGATCGTATTCGCGCTCGGCGTTAGTATAGTGGCGAACTACGGCATCGATGAACACGTTTCCTGGACCGGTGTCGAAGTCGTAGCAGGCATCGACACCGCCGTGGCTGTCCGGGAGCACAAAGCAGACATTTGCGATGCCGCCGATATTCTGGCATGCACGCAGCTTTGTCGGGTGGTGTAGCACCAGCGCGTCGAAAAAGGCAATGAGGGGTGCTCCCTGACGTCCAGCTGCCTGATCACTCACTCGGAAATCGGTGACCGAGGTGATGCCCGTGCGCGAGGCTAGGAATGTGCCTTCAGCCATAGTCAAAGCGCTGCGGGTCTCACCGGCTTCTGGCATGGAGAGTAGCCAGATGGTTTGGCCATGAGATCCGAGGACGTCAATTGATTTGATGTCCACATTGTAATCCTTACAGAACTGGTGCACGGCCGAGGCAAAGGTCTCGCCCAGAATCACATTGACCTCTGACAGCTCGGAAGGGGATGTCTTATTATGCAGGATCATGTTCATCACCCGCTTCTTGATCACCGGCTCAAGTGGAATTTCACCATACTGCGTCATTGGTCAGCATGTCGTACCCTGTGCAGCATTCACGTAGGCAGTGGTACTTGCCTTGAGTAGTTCGAAGTGCATAGGCGATTCCGGGGTCTCCTGGCAGAATCGGCAAAGGGCGCAATCAATGCCATCCTAGAGCTGATGAGCGTGGTGTTTCTCGAGTGAACAGACGGCCACCCACCATCGAGGTTCCGCTATTCAGCCCCAAAACTGTGATGTCTAAACTATGGCTGGAAGTGCCATTGACAGAGTTGATCACCATGTTGGATTCCAATTTGCGAATTCAAACGATCGGAATTTTTTTTTAAAAGAAACATCGTGAGGATCAAGACACTATTTAAGACCCGGTCCCTAACCGGAACCCATAATGAACCAACCGGTAGATGGTGGAGACAGAATATTCGCGTCGGCATTCTCAATCTCTCTGATAGATCTAATATTGGTTAGCAACAAGGGCAGAAGGGATGACCGGCAAAACGCCTATTAGGAAAGAAAATGATAAATGGCTACACGCTTGTGGGCTTGGCCCCCGCATGAACAGCTCCATCGCGCCCCCCGGTCTTACCAAGCTTGGCCTTCAGATTCTTCACCAAATGCCGGGGGCGGGTCCAATTGCAAGGATTACTCGAGATCGCGTATTTTTTGCTTTTGGCGATCTGGGGAAGTGGCTTACCATATAACATGGGGTATACCACACTCTGGAGGCGACTTTCGCCACGTCAGCTGAATGTCGCCATCCAGATATTCTCCCTGATCTCAATCTTCTTCGAGGGTTATGACCAGGGTGTGATGGGTGGTGTTAACAGCTCCCCGAGATATGTAACAGAAGTTGGCATCGGTAGACCTGATGGGACTGTGACCAACACCACTCACCAGGGGGGCATTGTCAGCGTCTATTACCTGGGTGCGATCTTCGGTTGCTTCGCTGGCGGGTGGCTTGCAGATCGTGTTGGTCGGATCAACGGCCTACTCGCTGGGTCATTATTTGCGCTGATCGGTGGCGCGCTGCAGGCGGGCGCTCAGAATTCCAACTTCATGCTGTGTGCTAGGGTGGTTACAGGGATTGGGACCGGGGGTGAGAATGGATCCCTGCTAGTCTTGCCTCGGGGCTGGAAGGAGCTACGATTTTAATTTGTCATTTCACAGCCTTGACTGGGATTACCCCGGTGTTGGTGTCTGAGACCTCTTCTGCGAACCACCGCGGCGGCTTTCTGGGCTATGTGTTCATTGCCAATTGTGAGTCGTTGATTCGCGATATCCACTGTGGGGGCCATTGCTGACATGCATGAACTTCAAGATCTAGGTATATCCATGGCATATTGGATCTCCTTCGGCCTCGCTTTCGTCGATAACGGTTACTCGGACGTACGATGGCGCTTCCTCCTCGCCTTTCAGTGTTTCCCGGCACTCATACTAGTTTCCTTTATCAAAATGTTACCGGATAGCCCTCGCTATCTGGCCTCGGTGGGGCGGAATGATGAGGCTCGAGACCTCTTGAATCGTATTCGCAAAGATCGGGCATCGCAGGAAGATATCGACCGAGAATACCTTGAGATTATAGTGACCGCACAGGGAAGCAAGCGCAGCTCGCCCACTGAATTTGGAATGATCCTAATTGGAAAAAGTGAAAAACCAGGGCTAAATCTTGGTCGACGAGCTTGGTTGTGTGTTTGGCTTCAGATTATGGCGTCCTGGACGGGTATTACGGTGAGCTACGGCGCTTACAATCGGTCTCCTGGACAATTATTGGGGTACTAATAGTAATTGTAGGCTGTGACTGCCTATTCCCCGACACTGCTTGCTCAAGCAGGCTATAGTGATATAAAGCAAAACGGTCTTGCTGGAGGAATCAACACAATTGGAATTATAGGTACCATTATCAGTGCTCAAATAATCGATCGATTAGGCCGACGGGTGTGTCTGATGGGCGGAGCAGCTATTTTATCTGCAGTCAACTTAATTGTGATTATTTCTTCTGTCGCTCGAAGGGCTTTCTCCTGACAATTTTATAGGCTGGAGCTGTTTATGAAGGTTCCCTGCATAATCCTGAAAAAGCATCTCAATTTGCGCCTGGTGCTGTGACCATGCTCTTTTTGTTCAATTTGGGGTAAGTCTGAAATGCGACACTTCTTGTCATATGTACTAAAGTGTAACCAGTTATGCTGCCACCTGGGGTACGGTCGCTTTCTTGGTTCCCACTGAGATATTCCCCAGTGATCTACGCGCCCAAGGCAATGGCTTTGGTATTACAGGGTGGGCAATTGGGGTTGGTATGACCACTTTAGTCAACCCGATCATGTTTAATGTCATGACTGTAAGCTTCCCCGACTTCGCACTTGAATTGAGATACTGACGACCGCTTAGAGCCGTACGTACTTTTTGTTTGCTGGCCTTAACCTCATCTGGATCCCGATCGTCTACCTATGTATGTTTTTGGTCTCGTATTCATCCACTTTTAGTTCTGAGATCTAACATGATTTTCTTCGCAGTCTACCCTGAAACTCGCGACCGCTCTCTCGAGTCCATCGACGCTCTTTTTTCGACGTCCAGTCCGTTCTACTGGAAGATGGAACAAGCCTATAAACTCCATGGCGATGTCCTCGCCGAACACGGAGTAAATATGAGTGAGGTCTCTCAGTGGCGGCAAGACACAAACTGAACTTGCGACTGTCAATTTACGTTATACCATATAGAGCCTTGATCGTGTCACCTACGCTTGCACATGTATAACATCATGTACCCGATGTTGTTACCCCGCACTTAATGTATTATATTGAGGTTGTATTTACACCTTTTTATTTGTTTTTCATTTCTTTCTCACTTATTACTGGTAGGTCATGACTTTTATATAAAACCACATCTGTAGTCGAAATCTACATATACATGCCGTCTTGGTAAACAGTATATACATGATATTCTCCTCTAAATTTCTATGATCTACAGCATTATAAATTAGTATAATTACATCTTCTCGCGATGATTGCCGAAACATCCATCGCATTCGATCCCGGCATCAACCTGAAATGACACGCTGCTGAGTCAGCTTTTGTGGCTTGTAACTCCAATGCCGACTTTGATCCTCTTCATTTCTAGGATTCAATTGCGCATCTATGTCATCGGAGAAATTTACTGCTTCAGCTTGATCGCAATTTTTTTTTGCCTTTTTCCCATTCTGCACAGGCCTACCCCACGATTTAGTACACGCGACCCGTGTCTCTGTGCAGACCCCGAAACCCGTTTCTCGACCGAAGCTCCCGAGGTCGGGGCCCACGAATTGTCACCCGCTTCCTTGCGCCTGAGCCCAATTCCCGAGGTTGGAATGAACTAATGAATTGAATGTCGCAAAAACCCCGAAAGCTTCAACGCGTCTCCAAAGCCTGTAAGATCCCCACGTTGAATTGTATACTTTCCTCGCGCTTGGCGGCAATATCCCCCCCGAACTGTACTAGAAAGCTTGGAGCTCATGTTGCATCCATAGGCGACTTCTGCAACAGACGCAGCATTAAATGCGGCAGGAGTGCAGACCCGCTAGGCAGATGTCAGAATTGTGCGGATTTTGACGTCCCGTGCACCTTTGATCGCCCCGCGAAGCGCCGGGGCGTCAAGGCTGGCACCAGGGCTTCTATGCGAGAGACTCCGTTGGTAGAAACGCCTGCCCCCGAGAATGTCCTCCCTGTACCGCCTACAGGGCGGATATCAAACTCCTCTGTGTCTAGGAGCTACAGCGAGTCCGCCCACCGCCCGTCATTGACTGGGGACCCATGGTCTACCTTCAATGTTGGTGGCGTGGCAACGGAAGTGTATGATGATGATAGCGCATTGCGAAACTCATGGAATGCATTTGCCATTGCCAGTGATCATCAAATCCGAAATCTCGTGCAGGTATACTTCGAGATTGTGTATCCAATGTACGAATCGACCTTACTGCCCTTTCCCTTTTCTATGGCTGATAAATTCGCAGATTCCCGCTTTTCCACAAGCAATCTTTTATTGAAAGAGTTAATAACCAAGAGCACCTCCGAAATCCGGGGTTGTTTGCCTCTACAATGGCTGTCTGTGCGTTAGTTTCGGGACGCGCCCGAGACGGCGCATTGTTCACTAATAGATGGCATCGCGAAGAACTTGCCGAACCTCCATCTGAGGCATTTTATGCTGCAGCGAAAGATTCTATTCCCCGAGACCTTGCAGCGGCAAGAGGCATTAACTATATGCGTGCATGCGCCATTCTCGCAATTGCCAGCATTCAAAATGGCCAGATCAAGAATATGCAAAAGTTTTCCGGCATGTACCATACACTTACCAGTATGGAGGGCCTTCATGATGAGAAGCTTTGGCCGAAAAACTTGAGTCCTATCGAAATCGAGGAGCGGCGAAGACTAGTATGCATTCCTTTATCTTATGGTTACGGTTCCCGCTAACTTAATGCTATGAAGTTCTGGTCTATCTACACGTTGGATATTTATTCTACCATCGTATGGGGAGGCGTGATTCGATATCGCGAAGCGCATTCTCTGGTAAGATATCCGAGTGAGGTTGACGATGAGCTTATCACACTACACGGCTACGGGATGCCTCCCGTGTCTCCGGACTCGGGCGATGTGACCGTTGTATCACGGCAGCCTGTAGCATGGCTTCGGGGCTGGAACTTTACGACAGACCTATATCGAATTCTAGAATACGTCGTCGACGGCAATCGGCGTCGTTTCTCGGCAGCCAACGGAACCTCGCAGGTGTGGTCTCTGTTCACTCCGGCATCCATGTCAGAACCAGCAGTCATGGAGAGGGTACTATCCATGTACGCCGCACTACCGTCGCAATTTAAAGAAACACCACCCACTACAGGCGACATGGCCAAGGACCTGTTCGGGTTCCAATCTGCCAACATCCAGGCAACACTGCAGCTCCTCCGGATGGTGCTTTTGTCAGCGGAAGAGCTTGGCGTAGACCGCAAATGTGACGTGGCCGGGGAACTTCTCAGTGTCTTCAGCAACGTTCCCGTGGAGTATTTGAAAGCCATCAGCTCCCCTTTAGTATGTTCATCATTGCTTTTCCAGCCCCCATTTGACTAACCGCTCCCAGCTCCATCATCTTGGCGGAATCGGCTATATCCTCGGTTCTGTAATGGAAGGAAGTTTATCAGAAGCATCCTATCAACGCGTCCGCACGTTGTTGTAAGTTTTTTTACACATCCCAGGCCAATTGCCCAAATTAATAAGCTCTTACAGACTCGAAATGGCTGACCTCCTCGGTCGCCTCGAGACAGGTCTCCAGCGTGCCGCCGGCGCCAGCCAACGCCTTCGGTCGCAAGTAGACAGAATCGACGGCTACATGCGCACCTCCCGGCTAGTCAATCTCACATTGCAACACCCACACCCTCAACATAACGCAATCCCGATCGATAATAAACGCGAGATGCCTTTCCCACCCACAACATACATTCCTCCCAGTGGCCCAGTCCCGGCAGTCGGCCCACCGACGGGAATGGGTGGGCAGATGATGCAGTTCCAGCTACCGCCGGAGTTGTTGTCGGATTGGCCGTGGCCAATGGATGGGGCTCATTCGGATGGGTTCCTTCCGCTGGCGTTTGAATAATTTATTCGGTTGTTGCTGGGTGCATTTGTGGGAGTTGGAGGCCACATGTTTGATGATTGCATAGAATAGAAGGAGTGTAATTAATCGTCTGTTTTATATTTATACTAGCGGTAATCGAGCAGAACTCACGAATTGTGGTGTTCGTTACCCTTTCGTCCTATACTTGCTTTAATCGTCCATTTTGTCTCTTTCATATGTTCGTTCTCAGGTTCAATTATCGATCTAAGGTGCTTCTGCGCCCTTTGAGGTATTAACTACACAGGTCCGACTTTCGGACGATTACATGACTCTTGGCCTCTCAAGACACATATAGTAGTACTAAGCAATCTTTTAACAGATAAACCTCATTATCAAAAGTCTATTTAGATTGAGTGGAGGGCGTCCATTTTGTGGAGAATGCTAATTGAGAAAGTTTGATGTACACAGTTTCTCTTACATACCACAGCAATCTTGACTCGAAGTATATACGGAGTACGTAATTCCATTATGAGAAATATATAAAAAAGTACTGCCGATCACTGGCCTTGACCTGTAGGAACACCAGCATCATGTACAACATAGTGGTCAAGCCCCCGCTAGCTCAAAATGCGGGGGTATACTTATGGCTTCGGCCCTCCCAAGGTAAGCGGGAATATCATAATTCGTACTTGGCCAAAGGTCAGTGGAACCGACAGAGAGTTTGTTGATCTTGGCCATGGCCCGATCGGACATTTTGAACTCTTTCAGCCTAGTCTCCAGTAGTCCACCCCACAAAGGCGTGTTGAGGCATTCATATTAACTTCTCTTATCAAAAAGTCTTAGTTGGTCATTGAGCTATGGCCTCTGGACAATTCCCATCGAATAACCTGATAAGCTTATCACTTGGCAGATCTTCAAGGTTTAGCATCGCCTTCTCCTCCCCCTTTTGGGATAACCCCGAAGACATTCGCTGATTTGAAGTTGATATCTTGATACATCTCTTATCAGCGGTGTCTGGAGTCGGCCCACGGTCTTGGCCCACGTTCTTGGCGGTGTTAGAGATGATCAACATCGATGCCGTCTATCTATCAACGTCGTTGGTGCCAATCCTGACCCCAAGGTCAGTGCGCATATAAAGAGTCATGTCCCGCGCCTCTGGACTTGGAGTACATTCCAGGCTCAAGTAGCATTCCGCCATGGAGAAGAAAGTCTTTACAAATGTTTCCGCCGAGGATGCTAGCACAGGCGCTGTTTTACCCTACCGGGAGACAAAGCGCGGTCTATCATCCCGACATGTGCAACTAATGGCCATTGGAGGCTCAATCGGTACTGGGCTGTTCGTCGGTATCGGGTCCTACCTGCGGGATGCCGGCCCGCTGTCACTGTTTCTGGGGTATCTTGTTTGGGGGTGCCTCTTCATCTTGCCTGTCAATCTGTGTGTTGGGGAAATGGCCGCATACCTTCCCATTCGTGGGTCGATCTTTGAGCTCGCTGCCCGGTTTATCGACCCGGCATTTGGATTTGCTATGTAAGTCTTTTCGCGCCTGAACCTTGCTGGGCTCTACGCTACAGACGCTAACCCTTCTAGGGGCTGGGTATATTTCTACGGTGGTGTAATGCTCGTCTGTACGGAGTATTCTGCAGTCTCAACAATCATGCAATACTGGAACACAAGCGTCAACCCTGCCGTCTGGGTAGCCATGGCAATGGTTGTTTGCACGATGCTCAATCTTGTCTCGGTCAAATGGTACGGCGAGAGCGAGTTCATCCTAGCGTCGACCAAGATCCTTCTCCTCATCGGACTCGTCCTCCTCACCTTCATCACAATGGTTGGCGGAAACCCCAGGCACGATGTCTATGGCTTCCGGAATTGGACCGATGGCGTCATGTTCGAGTACTATACCGATGGCACCACGGGCCGATTTTTAGGCTTCTTCTCCGTCATGGTCTATGCAGCCTTCTCCATCGCTGGTCCTGATCTCCCAGCCCTAGCCGCAGGAGAGATCCAGAACCCACGAGTGACCATCCCCCGAGTCGTGAAGATGACTTTCTATCGTATCGTGGGATTCTATGTCATCGGAGTCCTAGCTGTCACCATCATCTGCAGCCCCAACGACCCACGTCTCATTTCCGCAATTAGTGACGGTGCTGCTGGCTCCGCTGCTTCGCCTTGGGTCATCGGAATCCAAAACCTTGGCATCAAGGGCCTGCCCGATCTGATCAACTTCTTGATTCTGCTATCGGGCTGGTCATGTGGCAATGCCTACCTTTACAGCTCCAGCCGAACACTCTATTCCCTCGCTCGCGATGGCCAAGCACCGAAGTTCCTTTTGAAATGTACTGCATCCGGCATCCCCATAAACTGTGTCCTCACGGTCTCGGTTTTGTCTTGCATCACCTTCCTCGTGGCCAGTACCTCTTCCGTCGAGGTCTTCTTCTGGTTCGTTGATTTGACCACCATCGCCTTCGTTCTCACCTACACGGGCATGGTCTGTGTCTTCATCGCCTGGTACCGCGCCCTGAAAGCACAAGGAATCGACCGCAAGACGTTCGTTCCTTGGGCTGCACCATGGCAGCCATACGGCGCCATTCTCGCTGTCATTATCGGCTCCACGACCGCCATATGCAATGGCTTCTCTGTCTTCAAGCCTTTCAGTGTGCAAGGCTTCATCACCTCGTACTTCGGTCTAGCGTTCTGGGTCGTCATGTTTGTCTTCTGGAAGGTGTATCACCGGAGTTCGTTTGTGAAAGTTGCAGAGGCAGATTTGTACTCTGGAAAGGCGGAGATCGATGAAGAGTGCAAGATCTGGGAAGAAGGTGGATGGGCCGAACGGCGGAAGGCGGAGCTGGCTCAGATGCATTGGGTCCGGCGAATTTGGGAGAAAATGTGGTGATTCACTGTATACTTGGTGCTTTTTTGTACATATACCATCTATCTTATTCATTGAATTATGTTTTCATTTGATGTTTGCTATTTCCAGAGCCTATAAAGACTAAATGGTCACCGAGATAGAATAGCAGATTATCACAGTCGGCGAGCGTAGGTAGTTGTAGGATAAACTCCGATTTCAACCCTTAGAGTCCCAATGTCTCTTTTCCATGTCTAAATAGAGGCATATAAGAGTTGAAGTATGTTTCAAGGTTGTACCTCTCATAAACTAGACGCTCTGATTGGCCAGTGCAGATGATGCTTAAGGGCACGCACCGGTGGGGACCGGGACTGGAAAAGAAAAGTTGCCCGGTTCACCTGGGCAAGCTTCTCCAGACCTGCGAACAACATCAATTCCATTATGTCCACCATGTCAACTCGCTCCGCCTGGCGAGCTTTGCACTATAGTGCAAAGCGTCGCGCTTTCCAACCCTCTACTCCGTACCGTTGTTTCTCCTGTGCCAACCGTGTCCAGGAGCAGAAGCCAGAGAATGACCGCATGACACACTTCGGCTTCACGAATGTGCCCGAGGCAGAGAAGGAGATTCGAGGTAAGAATCATAATCACCATCTTACCCAATTGACCATCTCAATGCAACCAAACCCGAACCCATACCTGACCAACATCCCCCTACAGTCGGCGCCGTCTTCAGCTCCGTGGCAGCCTCCTACGACCGCATGAACGACCTAATGTCCCTCGGCATCCACCGCCTGTGGAAAGACCACTTCGTGCGATCCCTGAACCCAGGCTCATGCCTGCCCGCCCTGACCGCCGACCAGCGCGGCTGGAACATCTTGGACATCGCCGGCGGGACCGGCGACATCGCCTTCCGCATGCTGGACCACGCCACGAACGTCAACCACGACATGGAGACCCGCGTGACGATCAGCGACATCAACGCCGACATGCTGGCCGAGGGCCGCAAGCGCTCCCTCGACACGCCCTACTACAACACGTCGCGACTGGACTTCGTCGAGGCCAACGCTGAGCACATGCCGCATATCCCCGACGCCTCGGTGGATCTCTACACTGTTGTTTTCGGAATCCGGAACTTTACGGATAAACAGGCTGCGCTCAATGAGGCGTATCGTGTCCTCAAGCCCGGTGGTGTCTTTGCTTGCATGGAGTTCAGTAAGGTCGATAACCCGATTCTGGATGGCATTTATAAGCGTTGGAACTTTGGTGCCATCCCCCTTATTGGTCAGGTTGTGGCGGGTGATCGTGATAGCTATCAGTATCTCGTGGAGAGTATTGAGCGCTTCCCTAGCCAGGAGGAGTTCAGGGGTATGATTCAGAAGGCTGGGTTTATGATTCCTGGTCAGGGCTTCGAGAACCTTACGGGTGGTATTGCTGCTATCCATAAGGGTATTAAGCCGATTGTTAAGGCTTGATTGCGGACGATTGATGTGTGTTCTGTACTATATAGACCCGGGACTTTGCATACTGATTGTATTACTATGAGAAATATCATTGGCGTTGATTTGCATGGTGTATGAACAGCCTTGGCTGTGAGGCTCAGGCTTCGGTTGTAAATGTGCATCTAAAAATGTATGTATAAACAAAGTGGGCGTAACATCGTCAACCGAATGCATGATAATGCGAACGATATGTAAAAATCAGGTGTGTATATCCAAGAAAGAAAAAGAAAAGAGGACGCTTTTCAGTCATGTCATCCATCCAATAGATCCTCTGCCTCCATCACTCCCAAGAAACTGTCGGGAGAGGCCATATCCTTCACGACAGCAACGACAGAGACTGGGTCTGGTCCATTTTGAGATTCACAAATAGTACGCCGAATCTCAGCCAGAGGTGTCGAGTCTGGCACCAAGAGCCATCTGCTTTGGGGTACAACGAATGAAGTACCGGGGTTCTTGGCTATAACCTCGGACACACGCACATCCATATCTCCACTAGGAGAAAGAAGAGCCCGAATGCGCCGCGGGGGGATTATTTCGGACGGAGATAACAACACCCACGATTTGGCATCTGGGTGCTGGATGGCTGTGAGAAGGATATCGAGAAGTCTGACATCGTCAGGCGACTGCGACGACGCAGAAGCAGTGGGGATTTGATCGAGCGAAACCAGCATATCTCGACAAATGACGCGCTGTTCCGGTGGCGCCTGTAAATTGAAAGGAGGGATCGATGGGGTGATTTCCTCCCACGGAAGCGACACAGACGAGGTTGGAGAGTCAAACATCCTCGTTGACATGCCGCTCGACGGCGTGGTTAGCGGTGTCTCTGCCGCCGCCGCTCCAATAGCACCACCAGGATGGAACCCCCGGAATACCTCTGCAGGACTCTTCCCTGTTGCACTGTGCAGCTTCCGGGCCGTAGCAATAGCCAGCGCATCGCCGAGCGCCAAGGCCACCGTCGTGGACGATGTGGGCGCGCACACACCGAAAGAAGACTCTTCGTCCTCGTGGATCGGGGCCGGTAAAAGAATACCCATTCCCGCAGGGCCATGCAACGAGAGAAGCGGACATGTCGCCGGATGTGTATGCGACGTAAGAGCGATCACCGGGACAGTAGCGGGGAGATGCGGGAGCAGCGATAAAAGTTCCCCCGAGCGACCAGAGAAGGATATGAGAAGAATTGTATCATTCTGGATAAACCAGGTCAGTATGAAAGTTTCCAATGTCTTATCACAAGCCAAGCGATCGCGATTGTGATGCGATTATGATTCAAAAGCACATCTGTAGGCGCAGGCGCAGGTGGGCTTACCGGCCGAACCAATCCCAGGTCGCCATGCAAGGCTTCAGTCGGATGCAGGAACGCGCTATATACGCCCAAACTATTCATCGTCGCCTCGATTTTGCGTCCGACCTTCCCACTTTTCCCAACCCCGCAAACCACCAGTTTCCCACCCTCGCGCACGCTCCGCGCAATCTGATCCACAGCGCGGGCGAGATCGTGCTGCGCCCGCGCATCGGTCTGGTAGATGTGCTCGAGGTGGGCGAGAGCTGCTCGCTCGGTTGAGATCACATGGATTGCTGTCACCACCGACGAGACATCTTTTGGCGCTGAAGGATCGGAGGAATTAGGAGGGGTGAGAGGCCACGAGGGTTCGTGGGCGGGTTCGAATATTGACATGGCGGGTGCTTCTTGATATCTATAGCATAATGGCTAGAAGTAAAAGGAATTTATGAGTGAAGTGGTCTCTTCGCACCCCTGGGCGCCGGTTAACTTGCGGGGGCCGATCCAAGATCAGTCGATAACGGAAGGTAACAGTGGGCGATCGGAGATCGGTGTTTTCTCGTGTGAGACCGGGGATTACATACATCTTTTGCGTGGCGATTTGACAGATTACTATGCTGCAACGTACCCCTTTCTAATCTTGATTTCGTGCCAATGTCCATAGCTCCGTCTAAACCCGTCTGGCAAAATGGTGTCATTTTATGCTATAATGGTGAATGTGGAGGCCATACTTGCCTATTGGAGTATTTCCGAGGCCGAGGCATAAGAGAACCTAAAATATTAGTTTGAACGGATTTTGAGCAATGGAGGTCTATTCAATCCTCGTATGTATAGAGGGTATAACCAAAAAAAGGAGAGAAAGCAAGCCCCGAAAATAGTATTTACATGTCGTTGGCCGCGGGGATAATTGCAAGACTCTCCCGCTGATAGTAGCTTCTAGCAAGCGCAGAGACCATATTTAGAACTCGGAAATACTCCCCAAACTCCAACAAAAAAAAACATCATCTGTCGCACACGAGAAGACAGAAGGCAGGGGTATCGCATCAGGATGTCGCGTCGCTAGGGGTCATTATGAGTATGCCTCAATAGGCAGTAGTAAATCATCGTATCATCCTTGTCGACCCTCCTGTTTGTCTTTACCCTTCTCTGCCGTGCCATCATCCTCATATAGATGATGCTGCTCAATGTAATGAATGACTGGAACTGGGATGAGATAACGCACACTCATCTCACGTCGCAAGAAGAGTCGAATCTTTGTGCTGCTAACATCATTCTGAATGAGCTGCTGGATGACATGGATATTGTCTTTCCAGGGCTGCAAGCTGGCCAGGGCTTCATCGATATCGGTGCCACTGCGCTCCACAATGAAAGACTGAAAGGTGTATTAGCGACCCATTTCTCGAGCGCAGGATGAACCGTTCTGGATGTCGGAATAAACTTACGCCATATTTTCCTAAAATATGATCCAGATCCTTCTCACTCCACACACCAGGTGTGGACATGGTATGGATCAGATCCGCACCGGCTAACAGAGCAATGCGAACGGGCTTCCGGGTTCCGTTTCCGGCGTCCACACCCTTACGGACCTCATTGATTTCATGATCAAAATGGTCCAGCACCACAGCTGTTGGCTGATAGGCCTTCTGAATCGGTTCCCATGTGTCCACCATCAACCAGTCGGAGGTTTGATCGACTGCAAGTTGGCACATCGCAACCCTATAGATGAATCTCCGTTAGCTCCGAATAGATTGAATAGGATGGAGGTAGAATCGCCTACCGATCCTCCGCACTGGCCAAGCCGGCTTTACGATAGGCATCCGACACCGGCGATAGGTATCCCCCAATGATTTCAAAGTCCGTGCTGAATCTGACGTGATCGGCAGCCATTTCGAACATTCGGAGGTGTAAATAGGTAATTGGGGAGAAGGAACCACAAGCAACCAGCAGGAGAGGGGTCTTTTCTGGGTCTTTCATCGTCCGCCTGAGGCGATACTCTGGGAAGGTGTAGTGGTCCATGGAGGCGGGGGTAGTGTCGGCGGGTATCTGGTGGACATCATCGCTCTGCCCGCCGACCATATCGGCTGCCATGGAGAGATAAAGAATAGAGGAATATACTAGAAGATCTTGAATTCCGGGGAAGGCAAAACGGTATCGGAGAAAGGCGGGGGAGATGAGAAGTGAGGATGAGTTTCTGTGAATTGCGAATGGGGGGCGAACCGAAGGCGGCAAGAGAATGCGCCGGAGAAGGCGAACGGAGGTGAAAGGTGAAAGACGAAAGATGGAAGAAGTGAAATGTCGTTCTTTTTTCCTCGTTTCTTCGCCCTTTTCTTTTTGAATATCACGTTCTAGCCCTAGAGTTTCCCCGTGATTAATAAGATGGCTCGGTGAGTCAATCCAGTTCTACTCGGTGCGTCTCCGCGATCCGGATCGATCGCCGTTATATTCCACTTTGGGGGTTCATAATAATAATGAAGAGCGAGGTATAAATTCAGTTTGATAAGGTTATTTGAGCTCTCAAGGTCCTTCATTCTTACCTATAACATAGGTACGGAGTGGTTCGGTTTTATCGAGCACTATATATACATCAAGGTACTCCGATGGAGTATATTAATAAACGTCTTTGTCTGTATTCAAATAACTGGATCATACTAAATACAATAGATGTACCATATAAAAAAAGATATACAATGGACCCTTGAGATATTATTCCTTGTGATATTCCTTGCCATTTGTACTGTCAGGTCTCAGACCCCCTCTATGCCCGATATCCAGGCAAGATGCAAATAAGGAAACCAAGAGAGCCATTTAGAAGTAATCGTGCAATAAAGTATTATAATAAGTAGCACGTATAATAGGTAATGTATACAGTATGTCCAAGTAACTATACAAGGACCTGGTTAGATCATCGAAATGTTGCACTTCCGCCGCCTGACGCTCGCCGAATCCCATCAACCACCACGTCAAACCCTCCTTTTCTTTTTCCCCTTTCTTTTTAACCCCCCCACCATCTGAAAAATTATCTTCTGTGTGACCGGAATTGGTAAATCGTTCTTTTCTTGAGATCTCCTAGCCCCAACGGCAACAGTAACAGCTACCCGAAACATCGTTCTCGCCAGCCCTCTCGGCTAGCCTTCGATAGGTGGATGGCGGGTTAACAACGGTGACGACTACTCAATCGAGATTCCTATACCCGATAACTTATGGCCAGGCAAAGGCCTTCCGCCAACCGCCAGGACCCTCTCGAGGATTATCCCGTCTCCCCCGCAGGCACTTCGGCCTCTTCTTCCCTGAGGTAGTTTCCCATTTTCTTCGCCTTCACAAGTACACTGGTTGAGGTTCAGACTCATATTCCGTGGACCCTCACTGGGAATCTGTTGATCCCTGAGTGCTCGTACCCCCCAATCTGTCCCCTGGATTGTTAAGTGGATGCTCCGCAGTTTCATCGGGATCCATCACTTCTGCATTTCTAGATTCGTCATCTGTCTACCCAACTATCTGCCTATCGCTTTGACCCATCCCGGACTTCTTTTTCTGTCTTTTTCTTTCTTCAGACCCTAATATCATCACGCATAATCTAAAACAAAAGACCACTTTCTCATGTCATCCAGAATAACTCGCTCCTCCGCGAGACTCGCCACAGACCCTCCACCTGCTGAGTCCGGTACACCGCTTCAAACACCTGGCTCTACCTCATCCCGGAAACGCAAGGCATCCTCCCGCCACGACCGACAAGCAGACGCCCCGATACAGCCAGCACCGGCATCGCCCCAAAGGAAAACCAAGCGACCGCGGACTGCAGCATCTCAAACAGCTCCATCTACTGGTCCTGTTCCTGCTGCACCCCGTCGAGGAGCCCGCAGCCGTACAGCCATGTCACAACCGGGGTAGGTGATGATGCACATTGATGGATAAGAACTAGGGCTAACCTCATCTCAGACCTTCATCTCGACCGTCGGAGGAATCATCGAAATCGACGACCTCCCCACAACCATCGAGGCGAAAGTCAAGTCGGAACGGTGAGTTTTATGGATGACAATCGGCCGTGTCACACAAATTTGTATCTGATGTGCTAGTTACTGATCCCTTCTCTTTATTTATAGACCGACCCGCGACGACACAGTCCCCGCCGCCCCGACGCCCGAAGAAGCGTTCGGGCAAGTCAAATCCCGATGTTTTGATGAGAGATGCAGAGGAGGAAATCGAGGAGGAAGAGCATCAGGAAGAACAACAAGGATCTCAAACGGGAGAGAGCAACGATGGCACCAATCCCTCGGCGTTCGGTGATGATGATATGGATCCGTTCCACAGCAGCCTATTCGGTGGCAGAGGCCCCATGGGACTCCAGAGCACTTTACGTGCCCTCACTGGCATGATGAGTGGCATGTCATCACGTCTTCGAGATATTCTCACCAACTTGAGAGCGAAGGATGATCCATCTCTCCAATTGATCGCCTTGCAAGAGCTGTCAGATCTCTTGCTTGTATCGAACGAGGATAACCTGTCTGGTCAATTTTCGCCGGACCCGTATGTGAAGGAGCTCGTGACTTTGATGCAGCCAAATCAGTTTGGCGAAGAAAATCCCGAGATTATGCTTCTTGCATGTCGCTCTCTTGCGAATCTAATGGAGGCCCTACGGGGCTCCGTAGCTAATGTTGTATATGGTGGTGCTGTACCCATCCTCTGCCAAAAGCTGCTCGATATACAGTTCATCGATCTAGCTGAGCAGGCTTTGAGTACATTGGCCAAGATTTCAGTCGACTTCCCAGCCTCAATCGTGCGAGAAGGTGGATTGACCGCATGCCTCACGTATCTGGATTTCTTCCCAACCAGTACTCAACGAACAGCAGTTAGTACGGCCGCTAACTGCTGTCGTAACCTCCCTCATGACTCGTTCCCTGTGGTGCGGGATGTAATGCCCACCCTACTCAACGTCCTCTCTAGCAATGATCCTAAGGTCGTGGAGCAAGGGTGCCTATGCGTATCACGGATTGTCGAGAGCTTCAAGCACCGACCGGAGAACCTGGAGGAGCTGATTGAGCCTGCAATGCTCAAAGCTATCCTTCGGCTTCTACTGCCAGGAACAACAAACCTGATCGGGCCTCATATCCACACGCAATTCCTTAGGGTATTGGCAATCGTATCGAGAACAAGCCCACGATTGTCAAATGAGCTTCTCAAGATGGATGTAGTGGATACGCTTTACCAAATTTTGACCGGCGTGTCACCACCGCAGGATGTGGATAACACGGCCGTTAAGATGGACAGCGTGCTAGTCATGCAAGCATTGATTCATCGGCCCCGTGAACAAGTATATGAAACTCTCAATGTCGTCTGCGAGCTATTGCCAGGCGTTCCAAGCCGCGATGCCTCAAAAACCGACAACCTCCTAAGCTCATACTTTGATAGCCACATGTCCATTGGACTGAGATCTCCCAAATCTAAAGAGACAGTGGAGGAAAGGCGGTCCTTGCTCGTTAATTGCAAGACTGAGCTTAAGCGTTTTGCGATGATTCTGTTCCCAACTTTGACCGATGCCTACTCGAGCACGGTCAATCTGCATGTCCGCCAGAAGGTCCTGATTGCACAGCTGAAGATGCTGCATATCCTTGAGCCTTCTTTGATCGAAGACGCCCTGCGCACAGTCCCTTACGCTTCGTTTTTGGCTGCCATTCTGTCCCAAAAAGACCACCCTTCTCTCGTATCTTTAGCTCTACGCTGCGCTGAGCTACTGTTCCAGCGGCTTGAACATGTTTATCAGCATCAATTCCACCGTGAAGGAGTGATCTCGGCGATCATCAAACTATCCGAAGGCTCTTTGTCAGGAGACCAGGAGAACATCGATTCATCCGATCCCTCACGTATAAACACGAGCACAGATTCATCGCGTGGTGCTAATCAAATTGTTGGAGAGACTGGATCTGGCGGAGATGATGAGGATGAAGACGATGAACCCGATGACTTTGACGACGATGATGGCGAGGATGATGACCAAGATGACATGTCTGATTCCGAAGACGACTTCATGGCCGGCCCACGCAGTCGACAAAAGATGGACAATGCGCTCAACGACGTAGTTATCCAAGATGCCCAAGCTTTCCTCGAGGTATATGAAGCAAGCCACGGTGAAACCGTTCGAGCGGAGGCTTTGAGGATCTTGACAGCACTGAAATCCCTCGCCTCCGAAATAAAATCACGCTATTCCCGTGGCGGTGAGGGTGGTCTTCCCTTATTTAAACAGCTCGCGTCCTACTTTGACGGAGACGCCTTGGAGGGCATTACCAGCTCAGAATTGCTCAACTCCGGCATTATAGACGTTCTTCTGTGTGTCCTTGGTAACTTTCAATCGCCCTCTATCCGCGATGCTAGAGCCGACTTCCTGCGGGCGTTTATGGGTGTTTCAATCTCGGACAAGGCCCAAAGCCAGAGCACCGCCACGACACCTTTCAGCGTACTTATCCGCAAGTTGCAAGACCTGCTTAGTAGGACGGAACATTTCGAAGTCCTTACCATTAGTCACAATTCGCTAGAGAATACCCGCAGCAACGCCGCCTACATGCTGAGCAAACAGCTCCGACTCAAGCTGGTTGCCGACGAAGGGTCCGAAGTTCCTCGTCCTTATCGCAACATCATGGTGTCAATCCATGCCATTGCTACATTTAAGGCCTTGGATGATTTCCTTCATCCCCGAATCGCCGTGGCGGAAAAACCTCGCCCCTCACGAACAAGGGACTCAATTCTCTCACAAATTGCCAATGCATCCCGACTTCGTGAACAGCTGGCTTCTGGGTCTGGGATGAGCCTCCCAAATCCCACAGGGGGTCTCCAGGGCACTATGACCGATCCCACGGATGGTGTCTATGATTCTTCCACCGATCACCCGCATCATCATCAGTCCAATCGGATTCAAGAAGATGAAGATGAAGAGGATGAGGAGCCCCTTGAATGCGCCGATGAAAGGCAACTGACCGACGAAGAAGAAGGCGGCGAAGAAGATGAGGGCGACCAACTCAATGCCATTGTTGATGATCTCGATGAGGATATGGAAAATGATGATATCTCTGACCCCTCGGCAGTCAACATGGAGGTGGCATCCTCGGGCAAGGTCACGGCTCGCAAGGAAGATGGTACCCGAATTGGGACACCCTCCCAGACCGCTGCATCCAAGCCTTCATCGTCAGCTCCTGCCGCTCTCCCCAGTCACACGCGCAACAGTTCTCTCGCCACTGCCGGGCGCCCGTTCTCATCGTATGCCGCTGCAATGGCCTCGGTGCCCCAGGACTGGCACCTTGAGTTTTTCGTAGATGGCAAGCCCGTTACTAATGAGACAACTATCTACCGTGGTGTTCATCACGACCGTGAGGACTTGGACGAGAGTAGTGCCAAGAACGTCTGGTCGGCAGTCCACACTATCACATTTAAGCGCGTTCCTGGTCCTCCGCCGCCAGAGCCCTCAACCCTTACACCGACCGTCCAGGCTTCTTCTGAGGGTGATGCCCTTGAGATCCCGGCCTCTCTCGACAAAGACCCAACAACTTCATCTATCATTCGCCTGCTTCGTGTTTTGCACGAAATGAACGCAACGATTGATGATATCTTGACCGATACCAAAGACTCCGCCACCATCACCTCGGAGCCCTTGGCTCAATTCATTAACACGAAGCTCACCGCCAAGATCAACCGCCAACTCGAGGAGCCGTTGATTGTGGCAAGCGATTGCCTTCCAAGTTGGAGCGAAGACTTAGCAAGGCTTTTTTCCTTCTTGTTCCCATTCGAGACAAGGCATCTATTCCTGCAGTCAACTGCATTTGGCTACTCACGGGCGATGATGAGATGGCAAAATTCTCAAAGTGGTGAAGACAGCCGACGGGACTTGCGCCGCGATGATCGCCCATTCCTTGGCCGGCTGCAGCGACAAAAAGTGCGCATCTCTCGTTCTCGCATCCTTGATTCTGCATTAAAGGTCATGGAACTCTATGGATCTTCCCCCAGCATTCTCGAGGTTGAATATTTCGAGGAAGTTGGTACTGGATTAGGACCGACCCTTGAATTCTACTCTACTGTTTCTAGGGAGTTCTCAAAGAAGAAGCTTAAGATCTGGAGAGACACGGACGGAAGCTCTACCACAGAATATGCATTTGGCAAGTCTGGTCTGTTCCCAGCGCCGATGAGTGACGAACAAGCATCCCAAGATATCGGGAAGAGGCAATTAAACATCTTCAAGGTCCTAGGGAAGTTTGTGGCTCGCTCGATGCTTGACTCCAGGATCATCGACATTTCGTTCAATCCAGCATTCTTCCGTATCGCGGATACTCTGTCATCAGTGGCACCATCCCTAGGCACCGTCAAGCTGGTTGACCACGACCTGGCGAAGTCCTTGGTCATGCTCAAAGAATTTGTCAATGCCAAAAACGTCATTGAGGCAAACCAGTCGCTTTCGCCAGCCCTTAAATCCGAGGCCGTGCAAAACATCACGGTCCACGGTGCCAGTGTTGACGATCTGGGCTTGGACTTCACTCTACCTGGATATCCTGCGATTGAGTTGATCTCTGATGGCGCCAATGTGCCGTTGACAATCGAAAATATTGACACTTACATCGAACGGGTCATCGACATGACCTTGGGTAGCGGTGTCCGGCGTCAGGTGGATGCCTTCCGGGCTGGGTTCTCACAAGTCTTCCCCTTCTCCTCCCTTTGTGCTTTCACTCCAAGTGAGCTCGTTATGCTTTTCGGACAAGCGGACGAGGATTGGTCTATCGAGACCTTAATGGACTCCATCAAAGCCGATCACGGGTTCAACATGGACAGTCGGAGTGTGCGCAACCTGCTGCAAACTATGAGCGAACTGGACAACCAGCAACGCCGAGATTTCCTTCAGTTTGTCACTGGTAGCCCCAAGCTCCCCATTGGAGGTATGTTTATTTCATTTTTCTCCACATAAAATCCCACTAACACAAACTCAAATATAGGTTTCAAGAGTCTCACGCCGATCTTCACTGTCGTGTGCCGCCCAAGCGAACATCCATATACACCAGACGACTACCTCCCCAGTGTGATGACATGCGTCAACTACCTGAAGTTGCCGGACTATAGCGACCTGGACGTACTCAAGAAGCGCCTCTCAGTTGCCATCAAAGAAGGCCAAGGAGCTTTCCATCTTTCTTAGACCTGTGGACAGCTGTTCCCACTCAAAACTTCCACCATCTCCTCTTCTCTCTCTTCTCTTTGCTGGCTTCCGCTTTTTTTGACCAGAAATTATTCACGATGCGACGACGTGCGACTTGTTTCTACTTCGTTCCTCTCCAATTCCCAAGTTTTCGGACGGGCTGTTTCGCTGTTCTTGTCCTTTCCTTCTTCATATGCCATCTGGGTCGAAAGGCGTCATGGCGGGGGCTCCTTACGATAGTGATATTAGATAGCAATGATCACTTTCTACCAAAAGTATAGTTTTTCCGGTGTAGATAGTCTTATATCGAGGTAACATTTGGTACAAATGTACTGTAGTACAAAGACTAGTCCAATGAAACATGGTGAGGACGTAGGGATCAATTGCCCCATTAAATATAATGGCTATCTCACATTCCTCCGAGATCACCGATGGATCACCCGTGGATATATTCATCAGACTGCCGTGTTGAATGAAATAAAACCATCCATCCCTATGCCATGGCTGCCCCTCGGGAGATTACCATCGAATGTCTCAACGGCCGTTGGGTTCTGGTAATGATACTATTCCCCTTGAAGATGCTATATTCTAATCGATTACTGTATACAGAATAAGGACCTGACCAGCGAGGCAGACCCTATTCTAAAATTGGTTCGAAATAATCTGTTTCTACAACTTTAAATCCTAAGCTGATCACGTACCGTCCACAGCAAAAAGTACCTTGGTTGCTCCGCAAGGCATTCGGATTCGCAACAATATACATCCAAATCTCCCAATACCAAACACCAGCATCCGAAACAAGCCAACCATCTACGAGTATCGACTTTACCCAGACAGCCACAGCAGGGCTGGCCGCAACCAAAGAAGAACGCGTCTTGGATTGGAAAGTATTAGACCACGAGGACTACTTCTTCGGCGAGGTCAAAGCACAGAGTGAATTCGTCCACGGTGTTATTGACGCAGGTGGAATCATAAGGCCTGAATTTGAGCTTCAGACGGCCATGTCTAATGACCAGATTAAGCAATACTTACGAGGTGAGATCCAGGAGGATGGGAGTAAATCTACCGGTTTTCTAGTTGAGGACTGGAGTGGGATGTCTGAGGAGGGGCCTGGTCTTTGGGTACATACCTTTGAGCGGAATGTTAAGTCTGGCTGGACAGCTGAGCAGGTCAGTATTTATAGTTATTGTTGGATGATTTAAATGAAACTAGAGGCTAACTGACTTGGGCTGCAGATTTGGGGATTTGAGATGTTTGGGGACTCGCGATACTTCTCTCGTCGAGGGGTGATCATGACGACGAGGGGAGAATATATGTGTGGGAGAATTGTGTTTGATTTCGTGAGTACTTAATGAGCAGTCTTCGAGAATCAAGGGGGAAATTAGGAATCAATCATTCTACTTATCTATCTATCACTGACTTTATGAATCTAAAACTCTATAACTATGTATAACGCAGGGACATGATATCAACTTTCCACACAAAGACACTCTAGCTCGAATAAACCGACACCATAGACTGTGAAAACTGTTAGCTAAATCTACCACATACGGGTAGAATAAAGGGGAACTCACGTCTGCAAACTTGGGCTCAATAAACAAAGCCTTAGCCTCAGCAACCATTACCGCGCCTTCACTGTCCTCATGCAGCAGACTAGCATCAGGAACAATGGTATGCCCGTCCGCAGACAGGGGCACGGTCAAAGGAAGATAAGTCATGCGGCCCTCAACCCAGGCCTTCCTGCCCTCGACCTTAACCGTCTTTGTGCGCATCACATACATTCGGTCGGGAAGAGCTGGCTTTCGGAAATCCACATTAAGATTCGCCGTCATGCCCAGCCCGCTGGGGAAAGCCGCAGAGACACAGCGCGCAAACACCTCATCAAAAAGAACAGTGAGAAGACCACCATGGACAAAGCCAGGGTGACCACAGACGTCCTGGCCGATATGGAATACTGATACAACGCTGCTGGCTCGGTCGGCACTGTCGGTCCCTGTCCCAGACTTGCCGGTCGAGAGCCACATATATGGTGCGAATGCAAGCTTGCCTACACCAGTCAAGCTGCCGCCCACGAAGTGATGCTGTCTAAGGTGTGGCGGGATTGCAAGATGGGGACGTGTTTCCTTGTAGGTGCTCTGGGTTCCGCGCAATTTCTGGACGAGAGGGACATGGGAAACAAGTTTGTCGAGGCCTGTCCGTTCGTTGTGCAATGACTGGGTCTGAGACAGTAATGGGGATCCGTCGGTTTGGCTAGGGAGTGCTTGGTCATGAACGACCGCCGACCGGTTTGGGTGTTGTTCATGGAGACGGGCAATAGGCGCCGCAGGCGAGTATGTTCTGAATGCTGAAAGGGGTTGCGACCGGAACAGCCGACGCGCTGTTTGTGAAATGTGCGACATTCTGGGAAGTATGTATGAAGTTGATGTTGACTGTAGTGATGCATGTTAGAAGGGGATTTCGAGGGACTTGTTAGAATGCCGAACCGAGGCACGGCACGGAGTACGTACATACTGCAGAGCAGGCTCGGGTTATTCGGCTCGTGAGTTTGTCGATATTCCTAGTGTTGATATGTAGTTTGGATCAAGGCTAGGTGATATATGAAGTATACCACACTTGGACTTTTGCAGTGACGATGATGGCAAGAAGAATGTTTCGTAATCTTAAGAATAGACCCGCCACTCTCTGGATTAGTCCCGTTTCTGTTTCCAGGGTTTTTCTTATCTTTTTTTAAGGCCGATTTTCCCCTGCTGGAACCAACAGTGGGGCTCAAAGCCTTGGAACAGCCGATGATCGGACCGTAATGCCAAGAGATTTAGTTCGGTATGCCGAGAACTATAAGAAGCCGTAGATCCATGTCAGTATATTATTCAACGTAATTCAACGGAGACCGAAGACTGAAGATCAAAGGGTGTAGTATTGTTATATTAGCATAGTATGGTGGTTTTCAATGGGGGTCCTTCCTCGTTGGGGGGTCAACATGCAGCACAGAAAAACTGTTGTCTCATGGCAGCAATCATTCTCGTCATCTCCCCTTCTCTTTTTCAATCAAAGATCATCGTCATCCAGCTTGGATGCAGCCTCTTCTCTTGTATTAGCCTTCATCTCAATATTGACTCTCAATCTTATCATCTCAAGATCTCAAGATGGTAGACGAAACTAACCTCTCTTCTTCTGACGAGGATTCTGGCCCCGAGACTGTCAGCAACCCGTTCGGCTCTGGCGTGGGTAGTATCCCCCAGACCATCAATAATCCTTTCGTTTCTGGTGTGGGTAATACCCCCCAGACTGTCAACAACCCTTTCGGCTCTGGCGGGGACAATCCCTCCCAGATAAATAATCCTCTTGCTTCTGCAGTGGGCAACATCCCCCAGGGCAACAACTCTTCTGTTTCTGGGGTGAGCAATGGCCCCCAGATCAACAGACCTTTCCGTACTCGCTGGGGTCCCCCTCTGATCCGCCCCATCGCCATCGAAGACGGCCCCGTTTCCCCCAATGGAGGATTGACCAATGGTCACTCCCACGTAAATGAATGGCGCGCTCCCCACCCAACGGACTTCAATCCGTTGTACGCCCCGCCCGACGACGAGACCGACGATGAGGCAGAAGCCAACCCTCCACCCCCAAACCACGAGGTGGTGGATGAATTCCTCGATGAGGACGAGGACCTCGACGATGCCTCAGATGAGGATGAAGGGGTCTCTGCCCCGTATGGCAACAGCCAGGGCCTGGAGGCCAGCCTGGATGCCATCATGGCGGAGGGAAATGAGGAGGATGAGGCTGACGAGGACGCCTACCTGGACGAGGTGTAGGCAAGTAAATGCTTACTTGAATGCAAGGTATACATCACATTTCCTTTTCTCCTAAGCCCCAATCAGCTTCACTTCAGTCTTACTATCACTTCAAACTCATATTCGTTTCAACTCACATTCGCTTCATTGCTAACTCATTTCCTTGTCATCTAGGTGCTGGTGAGGGAAGCGGCGACTTCCTCATCGGCTTCCTCAGCCTTGCGGTCCCACCACGGCTGACCTCAAGCGTGGTGGGACACGAATACAATGATGAAGTGGTAGGGAGGAATTGGGGGGGAGGAGGAGATTCTTGTTTGAGTTGGCCCGCGGAGGCTGACGATGTACGATTTGGACGGCGACATGGGGCGTTTGCTGTGTCACTCCGGTCTGCAGGATGACACTGCACTAGGTTCGCTCGGCGTAGCTGTCATGCGGGCCAGGGGCTACTCATTGAGTAGTCCCGCTGTATTGAGTATCCTTCCTTTTGTGTTGAGCGTGTTTGTTTTTGAGCTGCGATGATCACTTGATCAATATCATTTTCATTTCAACTGCCCCTTGCGACACTCTTATTGCACCGGAGAGGCACATCAAGACTGGAATGGGCTGACAACAGCGCTGCTGTGGTTCGGAAGCAGGGAGAGCAGAGTCGAGCCCTCGTGGGCCCATTCCGAATGTTATGCGCCCACAATACGACAATACAATACGATACCATACGATGCGATGCGAGAACGAATTCACGTCGCCTTTGAGTTGACATTTTGGAGCCTGCATGCATTGTCCTAAACTGACTTATAAAGCGCAGCAATCAACCAAAGGCTGGCTGGTATTCGCGAATGTAAAGCGGCTGTGGCGGCTGTGGCGGCTCCGGCTCTCATGAACTCACTGCAAGCAGATAAAGATAGTTACTTCTACTCTGCCGGAAGTAAATGATTAACATCTCGCATCTCTAGGAGCATAGAAGAACTAATACAAAGCGGACTTTGATGCTGACCTACAGTATAGACCGAAAAGTTGGATCCCTAGTTTACCGACTCCACAATCTGTATTCCGGGAAGGCCGAATACATGGAATATAGTCCAATAAAGCTATTGGTGCATTTGATACTGACCAAACAGCTTCTAGAACAAGGTACCGTCGCCAAAGTTCAAGATGGGACTACACTTTGTCTCCGGACGCTTAGCCGCTGCAAGCTCACGACCCGCTTTCCAAGAGCCCGCCTCCAACACCTGAGGTAGAGACAATTGGACACCATCCAAGCGAGCAAGAATCTTCGTATGCAGCACATCGAGGAGAGCAACAGTCATTGCTCGCCATTCCACAATCTCATCATCGCCCGCACCGAACGAAGGCAAACTACCACCCGAAAGGCTCAACCCTCGCTGCAGTGCCTCGGGCTTCAATTCTAGCACTCCCATGTCGACGAGCATTCCTCCATTGCGGTACTCCGGCAGACCAGTTCCCAGCTCAGTATTGGACCATGAGACTGAGAGCAGGCGAGAGAACGGTACCATCAACGAGTACCCTAGCCATTGAGTCAGCTTATGGAATGGTTGGATGTTGGAGTAGGGGTTCGACTCCGATCCAGCCTGCTGTGCAAGTGCTCGCAGGGGCCATGCATCGCCAATGGGCTGCCCATTAACGTGAGTACGATCAGACGGCCAGATGGGAATCAGGAGGCGCTGTAGCACGTTCCAAAGATCCCGGTAATCGAGCTTTCCGCTCTCATTGGACTTTGCAATGAGGTAATCTAGATTTTTTGGGAACTGTTTAGTGATTTTCTTGATCTTATCGGTGGTATGAACTTACCAACAAGATTGCCAGGACGGCCAGAGGGTCCAAAAATATCTTTCAAGTTCATCAAAGACTCGCCGAGTTTACGGAGAATATCTGCACGCGCAGATACTCCGATCATGGGATTGGCATCGTCGACCTGGAGTCCACGGGATAAGATGTCTACATTGATATTTCGCAATGCATCGCCTAGCACGAGTCAGCCAATATCGCATTGAATATAAGAGCAAACGCTTACCATTGACGGTGTGTTTCACCGATGAGTTCTGGCCCGCAAAGTCGCCGTTGAGGAACATGTGCAGGGCCGCCACCGCAATACCTTCGCTTCGATTCAGCGTCAGACCACTTTGTGCCTCCTTGAATTTCCAAAAGTCTCCAGCACCGGCATCCAAAAGGACAGAGACGAAGAAAAGATCTATCAGCCTGCGTGTCTTTTCCGTGGTGTCACATTTCTCCTCATCCCATTCAGCTAGAAGAGTGGCTATGCGGGGAACCCCGCCAACTTCGAAATGCTGCCAGCGTCCATGAGGCGGAATCAGGTGATATCTGTCAGGGCCGAAGTCGCGCTATGATAGAGAGTGAGCTTTTTTATGCTTGGAATTGGAAGTGTGCGTCCTGGGTATGTGCCAGACCTACCTGAATCAGTTTAAGTACGTAGTCGGTGGCATCTTCCATGCGTTCGGGGTGGTAATTGAAATGATTCAACCGATCCTCTTCGGCTAGTTTGAGGACAATATGGGCTCTTGTACGGACGGCTTCTAGGCCTAATAGTTCTTCAATTTGGGGATCCATGTTGGGAGAATGGAAGAGGTGACTCTGCAGGTTAAGAAACGTGTTTTATTTACTCCAAGCCAAAGCGGGGGAACTTATGCACTTATCTATACGTATCGCATTTATCTTGGCGTGTGGGGCTTTCCTATTTGATCTGCCGCCGCTTTTACGAATACTCAGGCTCAGGGTCACTGAGTAGATGTCAGCACGGAGATCAGTGATCATGCTCAGTCACGTGTAGAATGACTGATGCTCAGTGAATGCTCGAGGTTGCATTGGATGCTGTCAGTGATGCTCAGTGTCCAATCAGTGAGGTAACACTATTCCCAGAAGGGATTAGCCCCTATAGGGTCGTTTAGTACTGATCACCTCCTACATGGTCAATATTCGAATAAGCAAGTGTAGGGGGTTACTTCATGACCATTCGCTTTCGAGGCTACTACATATGTTGTACTTGATTTCCACCGTTGTTTACTTCAAACCCCACTGCGGGATCGGCGATCGTGCACGGGCACCACCGAGGTAGAAACACCGTCGGAGAGTCGGAGAAAAGTCGGAGTCCCACTGGTCCTCGTATCACTTGGCCATGTCTCTCGAGCTGTATCACACTGCATACAACGCCGGCCAGACCACTGCTGTACTAACCCATGGCGCCTTGGTATCTGGTCTCTACTGGGATCTGGTGATCCCCACCTCACGTCTTACTAGCTCCTGGTCCCAGATCTTCCGGGCCATGGCAAGTCCGCCGGTACGCCATTCTCAGTGGATCTCGCAGCGCGACAGATTGTCCAGCTGATCTATACATACGCGAATGGTTCAGCGCACATTATCGGCTACAGTTTGGTACTTAGGTTGCTATCCGCCTGGCCTATACCGAACCAGATGTGGTGAACTCTGTCTTTATCTCGGGGTTTAGAACGTTCTCTTAAACGTCACTTACGCCGTATATTCTATATATAGCGTGGGCGATGATACGTATAGAGAACTACCTCGGCCGGTCTCTTATCAGCTAGGCAATAGATGGTACCGATATCCCACGTATTGATACTAATGTCTGTACCCTTGACCTGTGTTGCCAGATTGTATTACCAGAGCATCCTACACAGTAGTTATCACCATGGCCTGCGCGTACTCTGATTGTTGTAGCGGGGGTTAGTGCCTACAAAGGATAGCCCCGGTGATGCTGTGAAGTTGGTGGCGATCGGGAGAGCCGAATGAAGAGACTATCGCGTATACGCACTTGAAAATGCGACATCCGTGGAATCGTCTGGAACCGCGGCTCTTTGCAGAGACTGCCACGGCGTGGTTTAAACATAAGGAGCTTCCCGAGGGCTTTGTTAAGCTTTAGCGTCGGGTAGACGGGGTTTGAAGATACATAGGAGTTTATCCCAGGGCTTGGATCCATAAACTCCATATCAGGAACTGTAATAATGACAGATCCAACAGATCCAAGATAAAATAGAACTGTGGATGGCAATTGTCGGGGGTGCTCAGTTTTACCCAGTGATCAAAAAGCGGCAAGAGGTGAGCACTAATACGGAAGGGAAAGGTCTTAAAGTGCCAGGCATTATCCGCATGCCCAGCAAACTAGTTATCTTTAGGCAAAGTGTCTTGAATGCCATCGACTATCCTCGGCCATTGGGGGATCCCTTTGTCACCGATAGGTTATCTGACACATATCGGACTTCCCCGATAACGTTGGGCTGTGCACTTAGGAAGCATTTAGGAGTCAAGTATATATCAGTAATTTTGGTATAGACTAATAATCAACATTGTCATTTTTACAACCCCATTGCTTCAGTAATTTCCGAATTAGAATGTCAGAGGGTCAAGGTGGCCCAGGAACGCATCGTTGCCCTCACCACGGAGAAGAGCATCGATGTCAATGCGACCGGCCGTAAGATACTTCTCGCTAACACCGATGTTCACTCGCTGGGAAAGTTGTTGTTTAAGCTCCGCACGAAGCCCGGCCATTTCGGTCTTGCTCACTTCGCTAGCCTCCTTGTCACGTCTTTCGCGGCCACCACCACGACCACGGCCTCTGCCCTTAGACGGATCGAATTCGTCACTGTCATACTCAACGCCGAGATCATCGGCCGCAGCGCGGAGCCAGTTGTCCTCGGTGTTGACCTTCTCTTTAGCAATTGTGGAGTCTGTAATTCGCTTGGCGAGAGCCATGCGGGGGCGGAGGCGGGCAACCACTCGGCGATCAATGTCGAGAGACTCGAGAGCGATCTTCTTGCTAGGTCCGTCGGGGTCGCCAGCCTTCCTCGCTTTCTTAGTATGGACCTTGCCGGCGAGACGGGCAACACCGACAACCTCCTCGGGAGCACAGATGAGGATACTCTTCCCGGACTCACCGGCACGAGCAGTACGACCGGATCGGTGAACGTAGGCGTCTGCTGTGCGGGGAACGTGGTAGTGGATGACGCAATTGATGCCCTTGATATCCAGACCACGGGCAGCGACGTCGGTGGCGACAAGAATTGAGCTTGGGTTGGCAGTAGGAGATGAGAAACGTTCGATGGAACGGAGTCGGGCTTTCTGGGCCATATTTGAGTGAAGTGCGAACACAGGAAGTTGAAGAGCCTGCAAAAGCTGAGTGATGCGGCGGACAGCGGAGATGGAGTTTGTAAACACAATTGTGCGGTTCTTGGGATAGTAGAGAAGAACGGAGTAGAGATAGAGATCCTGATCATTTGAATTAGTATCAGGATACGAGTGGTCTAAAAAGAAAGTGGCTTACCTTTTCCATAGCAGGGCATTCGACAATTCCTTCCTTGAGTCCAATGGCCATCTGTGACTCCGGGTTCACATCGACGAACTTAGGCTTCTCTTCGCGGAAATTCAGCTTCTTGAGAAGGTACTCCATGGACGCTTTGTTGTCCAACATATCACTACTTGCCCAGCGGCTTTTGCCTGCTAGCTTTTGTTGAAGATCCTTGTGGAATGTGGCCGAGAAGACAAGAGTCTGCCTTTGGGATGGCTCCTCGTCCTCTTCTTCATGATCCATGTCTGCAATATCTCCGGCTTGATGTTTGTCTAGTGCATTAAGGATATCTTCCATCTCCTTGAAATGACCTTCACTCAGCAGTCTGTCCGCCTCGTCAACGACTAGGAACTGGATTTTCTGCATTTTGCGGATCAATCCCGTTCCTGTACTTAGGATCTCCCACACTCGGCCGGGAGTTCCAATGACAATATCTGCAGTGGCAAGTTGTCTCTGTTGCTTCTGAATAGACATACCACCGGTGATAAGAGCGATCCGCGCATTAGTGTCCGGGGAATTGGCAATGAGCTCTCCGATATGCTTTCCAAGCTGATGCGCCAGCTCTCGAGTGGGAGATAGAATCAATGCAATCGGGGATTTGTTCTTTTCAGACTGTTCGGACTGTTCCTCTTGTTTTCCTCTCTTGTCCAAATAATGTTCGATAATCGGAATACCGAATGCCAATGTTTTACCGGAACCTGTAGAGGCCTTTCCAACAACATCGTGCCCATCGAGAATGAGAGGAATACTGGCTTTTTGAATGGCTGACGGGGAGCTGAACTTCATTTTCGAAAGAGCTGTAAATGTCTCTGGCGAAAGATTAAGGCCATCCCAAGCCGACACGTCGACACCTTCGTCCTCTTCGACATCATCCAGAGCAGTGAATGAGAGCCCGGCCTTGATGTTCTGGTTCTGACCAGGTTTGGACTCTTTAGACTTTTGCTCCTTAGGCTTTTGTTCTTTGGACTCCTTCATGGCTTTGTTTTGCTCCTTCTTCTTGTCCTTCTTCGACTTCTTATCTTCCTTCACTTGAGTTGTAGTGGGAGCCTTCTCGATGGTAGGTGACTTTTTGGACGAGTCCTCATCGCTAAAACCACCCCATTCGTCTCCGTCATCTTCGGACGGGGGTTTGATAATCGATTTTGTTGGCTTGCCAGACTTGGCCTACCACCCAACCACAGATATTAGCATTTAGTTCAACATGATCAAGCAAAACATGCAATTTCATACCTTGAAATGAACACCTCCGTCGCTCTGTTTTATGATATCCACACCCTCAATCTCTTCTAGTCCAAAGAAACCTTCTGCATCATCCATTCGATCTGGCATAGCAACTTCTTTCCAGTTGAGGTCCTCAACACCGAGAGAGCCATGATCGTCGCTCGAAGCCTTGTCAGACTTGACTGCCTTCTTGCGTTTGTTTGCCTCAGACACCTGGGCTTTGGGGTCGCGTGCTCGCTTTTGACCCATTATGAACTGAGTAATTCTTGAGTATTACAGTGTGTTCCGGTAGACAAGTGATCTAATTACGCCGTCGGGGAGAATTCGCAAAGAAAAAAAGCGGCAGAAATTTTAGTCCGCCTTTAGAATCTTATCTTTTCAGTCCCCACGTTCGCCGCAAAATTAACCCACTTTGACAGACAATTGCGACTAAGCAGACATTTTTTAATATGGGTAAATCATCCAAGGATAAGCGCGATGCTTATTATCGTCTCGCCAAGGAGCAAAATTGGCGCGCCCGTTCTGCGTTCAAACTTATCCAGATTGACGAGCGATTCGACCTATTCGAGCACGAGAACCCGGACAATGTGACGAGAGTAGTGGATTTGTGCGCTGCACCTGGAAGTTGGAGCCAAGTACTCAGCCGTGTTTTGATAAAGGGCGAAAGCTTCGGGCGGCGGGCATGGCTCGAGAAAAAGCGGAAAGAACAACAGGGATTGGAGGGCGCAGAGACAACGACGGGCGATGACGATGACGATAAAATGGAATGCGATGAGCCTTCTTCGAGCTCTGAATTAAAGCCCCGAAAAAATGTCAAGATCGTATCCATCGATCTCCAACCAATGGCACCGCTCGAAGGTATCACAACGCTCAAAGCTGATATCACGCACCCCTCTACGATCCCTCTTCTCTTGCGCGCTCTTGACCCAGAAGCATACGAACAACCATCCACATCCTCCGATTCCCCACAATCTGTCACAGAGGCTATCAGACAACCTCACCCCGTTGACCTGGTCATCTCCGACGGCGCCCCGGATGTAACAGGTCTACACGACCTGGACATTTATATTCAATCACAACTCCTCTACGCAGCACTCAACCTTGCTATGGGGGTTCTCCGACCAGGCGGCAAGTTCGTCGCCAAGATCTTCCGTGGCCGCGATGTAGACCTTCTCTACGCGCAACTGCGGACCGTCTTTGAGCGCGTCAGCGTCGCGAAGCCGCGCAGTAGTCGCGCTAGTAGCTTGGAGGCATTCGTGGTCTGCGAAGGCTTCATTCCACCCGTTACTGACAGCGGGGTGGTCGGTATGGCCGCACTGAAAAATCCACTCTTCGGCGGAGCCGCAGCTCCAGTAGCCGTGTCAGAAGACGGCAATGTGGGCGTGGAAGTTCGCGATGAAATCGACCAGGACACACAACCCCGGAATACTGCGGCGCAACCCGCGGGAATTAGCACTCCTGCGCCCAACCACTCTATTGAAGTCCGTCACCTTCAAATCACAAAACCACAAGACCAGGCCCAACCCCAGAAACTGTCCAACAAGTTCGCGGTTGAGAATCGGTGGATTCCGTCGTTCATTGCTTGTGGTGATCTTTCCGCTTGGGATTCTGATGCATCATACACCCTACCTCCGGACTATGTTAATCTGGATCCTGTTCAGCCACCCACTGCACCACCATATCGTCGAGCATTGGAATTGAGGAAAGAAAAGGGTGGTGCGTATGGCAAGACCAAGTATGGACCCATTCGTCATGTTTGATTGTTACGTTAAATGAGTTGCAAGCAAAAGTTGTATGTATAGACGACATAGACACGACATAGCATTTTCGAAGGTCATGCTAGGAAGGCTGTCTTCGAAGCAGATACCCAAATACATTCCATTGAATTATATATACTTTTAATCAATTGAGGAGAGATTGATTCAAGATGTTGATATTCTAAATGCATTTTTGAAGTCTTCCAAGGCTGGTGCGCTAGCCCAAATCAGGATCTACATACAATGAGGGGGGAATAAAAGCAAAGATATGCCAATCGTGCAACCATGCCATGCGAAAAAGAAAACAACAGAGTCTAATAGACCTCCAGGACATAGCGCTCGTCGTCCTTCAGCTTCTCAATCTCCTTGCGAGTCTCAACCTTCTTACCGTTCCTCCTGGCTTCGGTGGCAATAGCCTCCTCCAGAACAGCGGTGACATCGGGCACGGGCCAAGTGGGACCACACAGGTAGAAAGCACCCTCCTCACGAATGTAGGCCTGGATGATCTCGGGTAGGGTCTGGCGCATACGGTCCTGGATATAAATTTTCTCAGGTTGATCACGAGAGAAAGCAGCGCCGAGCAGAGTGATGACACCAGCCTCCTGGTAAGCCTCCCACTCCTCGCCGTAGCAGTACTCCTCCCGCTGGTGACGAGAGCCCATGTACAGCAAGACAGCGCCAATCTCCTTGCCCTGAGCCTTCTCAAGGGCACGGTGCTGGACGAAGGCACGGAACGGTGCGAGACCGGTACCAAGACCGGCCATGATAATAGGCTGGGTGGATTTGGGAGGCAGCTTCATGACGCTGGACTTGACACTGACGGTGATCTGGGAGCCGACTTCGAGGCGGCTCAGGTAGCGGGTGGCCAGACCGAAGCGGTCGCGGCCGTTGGGGTCGACCCAGTTCACGGCGACAATCATCAGGGCCACCGAGGTCGGGGTCACTTTCTGGCACGAGGCGATCGAGTACTCACGGCGCTTGAGGGGACCGATGATGCGGACGATCTCGTGGAAGTCGGGGTGGGCGGAGGGGTACTCAAGCAGGATGTCGGCGAAGGTGATGGTGTCAACTTCCGCGCGACGCTTGAACTCAGTGGCACCGTCAGGACCACACAGGGTGAGCAAGTCGGTCTTTTCCTTCTCGTCAGAAGCAAATTCAGCAAGGGCCTCGTAAAAGCGCTTGGGTGGGCGACCAAAGATGTCGACGTTCTGGACCAGAGCCTGGTAGACTGTGCGGTTCTCCAGAACGGCAGGGTCCTCACGGCTGGGAACCTCGACAATCGCGTCCGGGTCCAAGCCGTAGAACGCAATGAAATTCTTAACGTCCTCTGGATCGTTCTCGGCATGAATACCGAGGGCCTCGCCAATATCGTACTTCAGACCAGTCTCACCGAGATCGAACTCGATGTGGAAGATATTACGATCATAGGTAGTAGGGGTGAGACGGCGGTTCTCCTTGACGCGGACAGTGAAAGTCTTGTGAGCAAGATCGGGGCGGAGGGCATCCCTCGTGCCATAAGCCTCCTTGAACGCAAGGCCGCGTACCGCGGTCTGCCAGTCCTTGAGAAGAGTGGGGGGCTCAGACTCGTCCTTGTCGAAGGAAACAAAGCTGTTGGCGATGATGTCTTTGGGGAGCTGAACGGCATCGCTTACGCCATCAGGCTCCTTCCAAGACTCGGGAACCTCGATCTGGCGGAGCAGCTTCTCGAGATCTTTGATTACATCGAACAGGGCCTCGGCATGACCGGTGATCGGGAACAGCTTCTTTATTGCCAGTGCTTCCTGGGTAGGGAAAGCGACGCGAATGAACGAAGCCTGGAGAACAAAAGCGTCCAGAGACGAGTCCTCGATAGCAGATGGGTCGACGACGAAGACGGAGATGCCACGCTGGGCGACGGCTTGCTTGAAGATAGCAGGAAGCTTTTTCTCCAAATCCTCATCCTTGATGCCCGGGGCATTCACAATCACCTTGGCGTTATCCTTGACAGAAGCCAGAACATCAACATCGTTGAGCAGCGAGATGTTGCCAACGTAAGTGACGTCGGCACTAGTTACCGCGTAAGGTGCATCAACAATCTTAGCACTCTTGCGGATGTCAACGCGGATGGCACCACCCTGGACGAGATTGTCGTGAGTCTTGCTGAGGGTGACGTTGCTGGCCGAGTCGACGCCAAGAGCCTGGCTCAAAGTCTGAGCGGCTGTCTCGGTAACGGAGGTGTCAACATCCCAGAAAGTGTATTCCTGCACAGACGCAGGGTCCAACAACTGCAGCGAAGCGTTGGTTTCACCGCTGACGGTGAGAATAGGCTGATCATACACGCGCTGGAATACAGCGGCGGTGGAAATAAGATCCCAGCGCTGGGAGCGGGGGTACTTGATCTCAACACAAGTCGGGTTGTGATCACGGCCAGTGGCGAAAGTCAAAGAAGCAAGCACATCTTCATAGAGAGCGGAGTGGATGCCCTCTTCCTGAACAGCTTGCTCAGAGGCGACCTGGCCGAGAACTGCGACAGTCTTGGTGGACTGGGGAAGAACGCGCAGGAACTCCTCCTCGATGAAGGGACGGTAGACCCGGACATTCACAACACCGACACGGACACCATCCTTCGCGAGAGAGCGTGCGATTTGGGCGGTCAGAGTAGCCTCAACAGTGCCAAAGGCGATCAGTACAGAGGTGGGCTCGGAGTGACCGTGGTACTCAAAGGCACTGTAGTCGGTTCCGAGTTCACCGTTCAGGGTCTTCAGCAGATCCAAAACCTTGCCTTGGGCGTCGAGGTGACGGTTGCGGGACTCATCGAGTGTCTTGCGGACGGTCTCATAGGTGTGAGTCAGTCCATCCTTGTCGAGGACATCAATGACTCGAGTGGTATCACGGCCAACACGAACGCCATCATAGATGTGGATCGAGGGGAGGACTGAGGCGAGCAACGTCGTAAAGAGAGCCATGTGCTGCGACTCATGAGCAGAACCGCTAGAGACTAGACCCAGACCGAGATCCTCAGCCAGGGAGAGAGCAGAGGCATAGTCAGAGACTAGGCCATCCTCGCCGGCGTAGTCTACGGCGGCGACATGTGCAGCGACTGGGCTAGCGACGGAATAGAGCAAAGAGAGTTGCTCCAATGCGGAGCGCATGTAAGGGAGGGTTGCTGAAGAAGCAACGATACCCTGGGGGATGTGGCGCTTCTTCAGATCAAAGTCCTGAGAGAAAAGGTAGCCAAGAGCCATGTTGCCGGCACCCTGGCGGGTTTCCAGAGTCTTGACTGAGGGAGACTCGCCATTGGCATTAGTCTCGCCCTTCAAAGTCCATTCCTTGAGAGCAGCATCAAGATCGAAAGTTTCCGGCGAGTAGGAGAAGATCTTGTCACTCAGCAAGTATGCGACTTGCTGAATGAGTGTCTGGGCTGTAACATATGTCGGGCCACTCAAGGCCGACAGACCTGGAACTGATGAACCCATGACTTCTTCTTAACACCGGATATAGGACCGATATTTGTTAAGACAAAAAACAAAGAAGAAGGTGGGGAGAAAGAGAATGTCCCCTCTTCATGGCTTGGTTATAGAGAAAAAACCCCAGGTAACTTGCCCAAAGCGGTTAGTGTAAATTGCGTGCTTGTTATCGGGCGATAAGATTTTTCAAGGCGGTCAAAAGTGGCGCCCGCTTTCGGAGCATCGGCCGTGCCTGAAGCCCGAGATTATGTCATGAAGTAATGCACCAGCCACGTGATGTGTATTCCTGTGCATACTTGTGCACGGGGCCGATCTACCGCACCGAGCCTCGGGTCACCTTACCCCAGAATGCGGAGAACCCCTCATAAAATATTGATCTTGATATGTAAACGGCAGAGTACGCATATATACATAGTTCAATGCTTATTTTCAGCTACTTTTTCTGATAACTTATCTCTTTATCGAGTCTTCCATCATGGCATATAACTCACCAAATCCCATCCCGTTCTCAGAGCCGCCTTACATTCGTGGCCTCCCTTCTCCCTACATTACGCCTGCCCACTGCCGCTTTCAACAAGCATGTCGTAAATTTGCAACAGAAAACTTGATTCAGTATGCGTTGGAGTGGGAGCGTGAAGGAACAGTCCCCGAGCATGTCTTCCACACATTCTGCAAGCATAATATGCTGTTGCCCAACATGCCAGCCCCATTACCCGTGGACTGGCTGAAGCGACTGGGAATCCACGATATCATGGGTGTCAAGGTTGAAGACTGGGACTATATCTACACTGGAATTTACTGTGATGAGGTACGCCATGAGCATCAGCTATCTAACTACGCTTTATAATTGCTAGGTAATTGACCGATGGTTTGCCAATAGATGGCCCGTTCCGGTCTCAGTGGCCCCTCCGGCTCTCTGAATGCTGGCTTCGCTTTTGGAATTGCACCAATCTATAAATTTGGCAGTACTGAGCTGCAAGAGCGGTTCTTGCCTGCGCTCCTCACAGGTAAGAAGCGAGGCTGCATTGCTATCACAGAGCCCGAGGCTGGTAGTGATGTCGCAAATATCACCACAACAGCTGTCAAGAGTTCCGATGGACAGCACTACATCCTGAACGGATCAAAGAAATGGCAAGAGACAACTCTACAGTAATAATAGAGCTATGAGCTGACACCAATAACCAGGATCACGAATGGTATCTGGTCGGATTATGCGACCATGGCCGTGCGAACCGGTGGACCAGGAGCCGCGGGCCTTTCGGTTTTGGTTGTACCTCTAAAGGGCCACCCCGGTGTCTCAATGCGCCGACTCAAAGTCTCAGGTCAGATCACAGGCGGGACCACATACATTGAGCTCGACGACGTCAAGGTTCCTGTATCAAACATTATTGGTCAAGAAGGAGACGGCATGCGTATCATAATGACCAACTTCAACCATGAGCGACTTGTTATTGCCGTTGGAGTTACTCGGCAGGCTCGTGTGGCCCTTTCTGCGGCTTTTTCATACTGCCTCAAGCGTGAGGCTTTTGGAAAGACACTCATGGACCAACCCGTGGTCCGCCACCGTCTAGCTAAGGCAGGCGCCGAGCTGGAATCCATGTGGGCGTGGATTGAGCAGATCTTGTACCAATTGGTCCATCTCAGCAAAGAGGAAGGTGACCGCCAACTTGGTGGTTTGACGGCCCTGGCTAAAGCAAAGTCTGCTATGGTTTTGAATGAGTGTGCCCAAACAGCCGTGTTGTTGTTTGGGGGGAGTGGATTTACCAAATCTGGTCAGGGTGAATTGGTCGAAGGTATGTTCGCCGGAGTATTGGTATGTACTTGGAACAAGCTAACTATGCCTCTAGCCATTCTTCGCGATGTTCCTGGTGCCCGTATTCCGGGTGGATCAGAAGATGTGCTGCTTGATTTGTCTGTGCGTCAATTGGTCAAGCTCTATCAGGCTGAAGAGAAGAAGTTGTCACCAGACGCCAAGATTTGATCTAATCATACATCAACAATTTTGGAGTGTCAACTACTCGGACTTTTTCGCATAATATACTCGAACTTGAATTTATGTCATTACACAGTACTGAGCAAGAAAGCTAGATTGTCATTTGCACTGACATCTAGAGCAACTATGCAATAAGAATAGCAACCATCAACCAATACTTTCCTTAACAGCAAGATCGGGATTAATCTTTAACTCGTCGTTTCAATTTGGACTTTGATACCCGTAAACAACTGCTCGGTGGCAATTCCCACTTGCGGGCGACAGGTTTCTTCTTGCTCATTAAATCTTTCAGCAGGGGGTACTTCTTCGCCACTGACGCCACTGACAAATTTCGTGGACATTCTCCGTCAATAGTTTGGTCTTCATAAGCCCCTTGCTCCAAGAGTAGCGCTATCAAGGCCTCATTGATCACATATTGCTTCACAGCTTTCATTTGATTTCGGGTTCTCAAAAGCTTCCAAATAATTTTGTTTCCGGGTTTACCACGGCAACGAGTACTCGCTCCTGGTTTGAAAACAAGTTTAAAGATGTCCGGATTCTCAAATTTGGCACCTAGTGGTCTCACTCCCTTATGGTTTCGTAGATTAACATCGGCGCCAGACGCCAGGAGCAATCGTACGGACTCCTTTGGGACTTTTGGGACTTTCTCAATCCTAGGGTCTGCTTGATGGCCTAGAGCAATGTGAAGGGGAGTGTTTCCTTGCGAATCTTGTGTGTTTGGATCAGCACCAGACGCCAAGAGCAATCTTACGAACTCTGTTTGGGCTTCCAAATCTCCATAGAATGCGTAACAGCCTAAGGCAACGTGAAGTGGAGTGTCTCCGTCCAAATCTTGTGCGTCTAAATCAGCGCCAGAATCGAGGCATAGACTGAACAACTCCTTCGTCGATTTCCATTGGCCTCTAGGAATATTGTGTAGGCCAGTCGATAAGTTGAAACTGAATTGGAAATTTGGATTTGCCCCGTGAGCTAGTAGTAACTTGACCACAGCAATAGCCTCATCATCTTCCTTGTATTCCCAGGATTGCTGCCAGGATTGCCGCCCAGATTTGTTATAATTTGGGTACCCACGTGCCAGAGCACATTGTAGAGGAGAAATACCCCTCATCGTGTCCGCAATTTCTACCTGGGCGCCATGCTGGAGGAGAAGTCTGCTCATGTTGTAGTCTCCTAGAGCCGCAGCATATCCCAAGGCGGAGATATCTGTTCCGATGTTGACTTGGGCCCCATTGCGCAGAAGAAGCTCCACAATGTTCGTACGACCGAAACCGATAGCAAGGAGCAAAGGTGTGTTGGTCAGGGTATACCGGGGCTTTATTGGGATGTTCAAGTCTAGGCTGTTGCGCGATATAATGTGCTGGATATTCGATTCATATCCCCTTTGTAACAGCCATCGCAGTACATCATTTCTAGTACGTGTGTCTTGCTTGTAAATGGCATGAATCACAGCATCATGGATCATGCGATTGCATCGTAGAAGTGAAAATATGTATCTGTACCATGGCAGATATGAAGCAACAAGACAGATTACTTCGGAGGGTAAGGAGCCAAGAGACATCTTGAATGAAACTGGAACTCAGTCCACACACAACAAGTAGGACAATTGACGGAACATAAGTAGTTGAGGAGTTACATATCGTGATCATCAATTCAGTTAACCCATGTTTAGCCCTAAAGTTTCTGGAGATGATGAGCCTACTATGACTCAATGAGATACTTGTATAGGTATACTTAACCACTTATTAATCGTCTGTTGATATCTGCTTAACACTTAGTGCATAGTGGTTCTTGAACAGCATTTCCTGCTCGTTTAGTAGGCGTCCTAAGTGGTTACCTTCTGCACGCATTGACGTGGCCATCAATCATACATACAAGTCTAACTTCCAAATCTACCTTGGAATGAAGATTCAGAAAAAGTGTATCTTATCCCATTTCGATTATTGCTCTTTGGAGAGAGTATGCACTATTATAACATCAAGGCCTCTGTTATCACTTTACCTCTCTCACTTCGGTAGCACAAGACCCCGGATACTGGGCATTTGGGTGAATCTGGCTGTTAAGAAATTGGTCTAATTAAACTGGTCGTCTGGGTTAATAAGTAATATTAAACATTCCATCAATAGATACAAACTTCTCAATGTTCCAACCAGCTTAATTAGAAAATGTAGCTGACGACGCAAAACTGCATCATGCTTTACCCCTTTTAGATAGCCACGGCTTTAGAGCAGAAAATAGTCCAGCACCAGGAAGGTCAAGAGGACACTGGCCAGAGTCATCCGTGTAGTCTGGACAGACACCGTATTCAAGAACCAATTTGATCATAGCATCCATCTCACTGAAGTCAGGAAACGGTTCCCACTCACTCAAATCCTCCAAATCTTCCGTATCCTCCAAATCTTCCGTATCCTCCAAATCCTCCAAATACTTCAGGAAGCGCTGAAGCTCGTCGGTTCTTGGGTCAAACCAGGTGGTTAGCCCATTCCGTATGAGGAAATTCAGGAGCTGAGCTCCTTCTTCGCCGTGGCATTGGACTTTGGCGCCCGCATCGAGGAGAGGCTTTGCTAGGTTTATGTTCCATGGGAACGACACTGCATGAATCAATGGCGTACTCGATTCGTGGTCTTTCAAGTGGACGTCGGCTCCTCGGCTCAGGAGCAACCTGAGGAATCCTTCTTGTGTCATATCATCACGGAATACATGTTTGATAACGAGGTGAAGGCAACCCCCTTCCTCACACCACAAGGAGTTCACGTCTACTCCGTACTTAAGGACCAAGTGAAGATCCTCAAGTTTTTCTCGAAGTATAGCGTTTTCAAGCAAAACTGTGAGCTCGTCGGGGAAAAATTTAGCTCCGTGAGCTATAAGCAATTTCGCAAAGGCTTCAGATCCTCGGGCGTCGCGGTATTGGGTCCTGAAAACACGAGATATGACCGACGCCCCCACATCATCCATTGCGTGTACATCAGCGCCAAGGTGTAGCAGATACTCTATGACACCATCATCAAGAGACCCGTAATACAGTACTGCATCATGAAGGAGAGGGGCCTCGTTCACATTGGCGCCATATAAATGCAGCACCTCCACCACTGACCTGAAATCGTAGTTGAAGGCTACTTCAGGTACGTCGGGTGACTGGAGCTCACGCTTGTTGTAGCGACCAGCCTCTACCCAAGCCAGTAGGCCCCCGTGTCGGATAGCACGAGACAGAGTGATTTGATCTCTTATCTTCGCGCCTTTTTGAAGGAGGAAAAGGGTCATAACCGCATTCCCCCGCCCCACCGCCACTTCCAAGGGGGTGTAGGGCATGGTGTCCCAGGGAGGGTAGTCGTTGCTGAGGTAATTCACATCGGCTCCATGTTTCAAAAGGAGATCTACCATACCCAGGTTATCATCCTCGATAGCCAAGACTAGAGCTGATTTTGCTTCCAATCCTATGATTAGGCTCCATCTTCCCTCGTATGTCAAGCCTCGGTTCAGATCTACTTTCCAGGACAATAGATGACGCATCCCTTGCATAGCACCATTCATTGCACACCAATATAAGGCAAGTTCCCCTGGATCTGTATCAAGGTTTCGCTTGTAAAGATCACGAATTAGGAGATCGTGAAGATCTCTGTTGGTGCACATCAAGCCAAGCACATCTTTACACGGTAGCTCTGACACTATCATGTTTATGATTTCGAGTGGTAACGAAAGGAGGGGCATTTTGAAGGTCAGTGGCCGGGAGCAAACTGGGCGATTGAGGATATGAGGTTGAGAGGATGATAAATAAACAAAACACGCGTTGGGACTTTATTTCATGCACATATCCGTGACCTATGTGATTTTTCTAACTCTCATACTGGATAACTAATATATTGAGTGAGATCTGAATACCTGAACTTGGCCTGGCAGCAAATTAAGCATAATTACCTGAATTAGTTAATTACCATTACAGAGAGAGTGTAAACCTGGAAAAATTCATGAATTTGTATGCCCAAAGTGTATATAGGGTCGTCGGGCCGGGTTATTCCGTGCTGTAAATAGATGCCGGAAAGCGATCTACATTCAGGCACTCAGGCATTCAGGCATTCAGGCATTCAGGCCCTAGTTATGAGTATCCAATGAGAGATATGCCTGGCATACTCTTGCTTATCTCCACCGTCCACACATGTATTTACTATGCAAGACATCTCTGTATATGTACTCCATATATAGCTATATATATGACCTTCTTCTAGTAACATTTGGAGTTTAAATGATCGATTTAGCTTATGTTTCCTCTGGTTGTGTTAAGCCAAAGTTGAGCTTACCGAATATAGCCTAGCTCGATATCGGGATGACGAAAGACACTGGCGCCTGGCTGGATTCGAGGGTGCGCCTCTTTTGCTGTACAAACAACGGACATCTACTCTAATTACAACTTCAGATACACAAAAATGGTGAACGTCGCATTGATCGGTGGTACTGGTATGGTGGTAAGTGTAAATCCTGCAAGCAAAGCTCCTCGATTTACTGGTCTCGAAATTCCCCAAGCCGAGCATACCCAGGCTAGAACTTCAGCTAAATTGCATAACCGATAGGGCTCTCAAATCCTCACCAGCCTTATTGCCAATCCTGTTGTAACTCGTGTGGACACCATCTCTCGCCGTACCCCGTCAGCCACTAGCGGCGCGCCCCCAGCCAAACTCACCAACTTTGTCTCTAGCGATACCGCCACCTGGTCAAGCCAGCTCTCCTCCCTAAGCCCGACCCCCAGCATCTTCTTTTCCGCGTTTGGAACCACAAAAGCAGCCGCAGGCGGGTTCGATAACCAATACAAAATCGAGCATGGGTTGAACGTCGAGCTGGCCAAGGCCGCCCACGACGCTGGCACCAAGGTCTACGTACTGATCTCCGCTACCGGCGCCAACAAGGATTCGAACTTTGCCTACCCCCGCATGAAGGGCGAAATCGAGGAGGATATCAAGAAGCTTGGCTTTGAGCGCATGGTCATTCTGCGTCCTGGGCTGATTGCTGGTACTCGTGAGGAAAGCCGGCCGTTTGAGGCTGGAGTTCGGTTCATTGCGAATTGGGCTGGCAAGCTGAATTCCGGCCTCAAAGATGGATGGGCCCAGGACGCGGATGTTATTGGCAAAGCTGCTGTCAATGCTGGTCTTAAGGCACTAGAAGGTGATGTTCCCGAGGGCAGTGAGAAGGTTTGGACCTTGTTTGGCAATGATATCATCAAATATGGCAAGGAAGGCTCGTCTTAAACGCATTGATGCGTTCGAATAAGCTATGTATATGCAATTATTATCCGTATGGTTTGAGATTTATCACGTTATGCGGCTATGAACAAATTGTCTGGAACCAATTACTTGATGGCATTGATCGAAACTCAATATGACTTTATTTTAGAAATGCTGACCTCCCTGCATAACATGATCATTTATCGCCTGCGGTACTATAAACAAAGAAAGCATTCAATCTCGGTATGAAACATGAGTCCCATCCTCCTTCACATGAATACTACGAGCCTTATTTGGCGTCCCGCGGGAGCTGGAAACCCCACGATCCTGATTCCGAACAGGTCCGTCCTCCTCCTTGGTCCTCCAAGCGCTGGCATCCCTATTGGCTGGGCTCATATCCAGCGGACTCTTCTTGCCTTCTTGCCTGCTTTCCTTTTCATTGGCCGCGAGTTCGCTCTCCGGTGCTGTGTTCGTCGGGTCGAATGAAGAAGGATGTTTGGCCACTTCGCCGTCCGTACCAGATTTGGCAGTCTCTGAGCGCTCCGGGTTCAAGGTTTCTCGGTCGAGCGGGCCCTGACCCTTTTCGATCTGGGAAATCGGGGTTGTGCTAAAGGGCGTTCTTGTTGCTGTCGGGGTGGCGAGGGATTGAATAGTAGGTTTGGGGACCTGGCTCCGGGTGGCTTGCTGGCCGGCTGAGATAATGGTTTTCCACATTCTGTGAGATAGGAATATATCTGGAGATGTTTTCAGGTGCAGATTGTAGTGGTTCGTACAGATATCTCGTTGTGGTTGAGCTTGGGTATCGAAATTGCAAGATGTATGTTGTAGTGAAGTGAATGAGAGGGAAGGAACTTGTTAGATAAAATTTCTTGTTAACTATTAGGGGAAGTCCATTACAAGTAGTCTGTCACTCTTCTCTGTGTTCCAAGTTCTCTAGACCCTAGGATCATATTGACGTCACTTGGTCAGAAACAGTCAGGCTAACCCAATATGGTAATGAGCTTGCCCTTGCCCTAAGTGACCGGCTTGATAATGGTATCACAAGGCCTTTGGGGGTTTTAGCACTGAGTTGCGCGAGATTTATATATTAATTCACTCAAATCTATGTCCGGATTTGCATAATATATGCCACAGTCAGAAATGTTCTATCATATGAGCAGACTGGATTATGGCTGAAGCAGTAGTGACCAAGACTGCACACAATATTGAACCCGCCATGAGAACTGTCTTCGGCCACTAATAACTAATATACTACCGGTCGAACTTCACACCATGTAGCTCCAGGTCATATTTTGACGACTGGCGGTCCACGAGCCGGTCAGAAATCGCCAAATGATGTATGGCGAGGTGACGCTGCTAGTTTATAACGTTCTAGTAATAGGCAGAGGCGCCGTAGAGGGGCGTCAAGTACTCGAGGCGGACGAACTGGCTCGGGATTGAAGCGTGCCCAGACTCGTCAGGATATTAGGACAAGCTCCATCGGTCTTGTGTCCATCCACCAATACCATCGAGGTGTCAGGGTGGCCTAGCGCAAATATAATCTAGGGTAACTCATATCGAACCTGAATGGAAAATCCGAAATTCCATTAGCCAATTAGCAATGATTACGAGGTAGAAGGGTCTTTGGATATTACATCCAACGTAGGTTCTAGTAAGTGATGGTAGAGAAAAAGGAAAAAAGGAAAGAGACCCTAGAATCTGATTTAGTGCTGTCTTCTTGATGTGTACCACAGGTCGAGCATTTACACATGGGAGGAATTTCACGACAACTGGGAACACGTCAATGTGAGGGCCCACTCAGAGAAGTACGATCTACCAATGATGGCTAGTCGTAGGCCTCACTCAAGGCGAGTGCTGATGAGATGCACATGCCTCTTTGGTGCAGGACGGGTGGGGGAAAGTCTCACTAGTTGCATACAACTGACATCCCGGCTGACGGTTGCCATTGGATGATTGGGCCGGCTGCAGGTGAGGATAAGTCGATCGGTCGACCAATCCCCGTACGCTCAAGGAAATGTAGACAGTGGGCTTTTTACTGTCCAGCACCAGAGGTATAATTACCATCAACGATTTGTCGCCAGTTAAAGGCAGGCGTGTGTAGGGTGCGGGAACCTCCGTTCACTATCAGATCACGGGATCAGAAAAACCCGACGCTGTGGGAGCCTATATGCGGGTCCTAGAATTCAATTCTAACGTTGAGGCACGGGCTTCCTAGTTGATAGCACTCAAAATTGTCTGTGGTGGCTCTGACTAGATAAAAACACGATCTAGTATTTCACTGGGCAACTTCGCCTGTTGGGCAGAAACGACAACCATGCTTTGCCCACACCCACGGCCTGATCCTTGCGAGGAGATTTCGGTGGTAAGACGGAGCGAGAGGGAAAAGAGCAGGGGGGCAATAGAAGGTGATTCGAGGGCTTCTTGGGGCTGGATGCAATGAGCTTGCCGCAGCAAAGTATTGATCCACCGGGTGTGACGGCCATTTTGAGGCTGTGAGCCATCATCTAGGATGCCAGTTGCCAACTCAACATCTTGTCATGGATCATCTTCCTAGGTCCGATTCTGGGCGTAATTGAGCGGCATTTGCCGACGATCACTTGTCGTACTGGTGTATTGTCCAGAACAATCGGCCAAAACAGCAAGCACAGAATTCTGCAGGATTTTCCATTTCATATTGGCAATCTGTCATATTTCGTCATTGCAAATAACGTGAATGGCATCTGGGTCCTCGGTGGAGCTTGCAGAGAATCCTAAACGGCGATCCACGGCCTTCGACCCAGCCTTCGCTACTAGGAATTGGTGCAGAAAGCCAGAAACAACGTGCCACGTCAGAGTCTCTGGGCTTTGGTGCAGCTGCATATGGTTCAGTAATATGTGGAATGTGTCACGGTTCGTCTGCGGCGAGCGCCGTACATCAATCCGATCCTATCATTTCCGCCATAAGAGCAAGTGGGTGATGATGAACACACATATGAGCGGGGGCAAATGCATGATCCCTCTTTGCAGGAGTGAGAGATCAGCTGAACGAAAATAGATCTATCTGGCCTGCATCCCTGATTTCGGAGGTGTGGCACAAGAACTTTCAATTGCGTGTTCCGTGTCCTTAAACCCGAGTGCCAATGATAGAGCCTCAGAGACTCTAGCACTGCCAATTAAGTGAGTGCTATTGGCTGACAGACACGGACCGGAAAGGCGCAGCAGGGGTCGAAAGACGGCCGAGTCTGAATTTTGATAGACTGGCGATTAAGGCTCGGCAGGAATAACACAAGGTGACAGGGGTTAATGGTTGCAACCACATGCTGAGACCCAACATGGATTACCATCATTGCCCAAATGCAGGAAACGTAAGAGCCACGAGGAGGAATGAAGGCAATAATTCGGGATGTGCATGCATCTGCAATCACACAGACAGCAATATCGGATAGATACTTCTGTGGATAAACATGGCGTTCGGTCAGAATCCCGTGTCGGTGCTCATGATAGATGAGGTAATGAGCCAATCAATAATGGCAGCTATCAAAAAATCGCTTCAGGATAGAACAACCCATTGGGGTGGAGTCACAAGTGGCGTGCAGAGTCCCGTCATATTCGCGAAGGCAGTAGCTTTTCTGTTGCATAGAGACAGGGTTATCCCTGGGCATGAAAGCCTGATTATTGCATCAATACGACATCTGGCAAATGCCGGGACCGACTCGGCCATGCAGGAGTAGCCATGCAAAACGCAAGAGAATCACAAGCGTCGAGTCCATGCGAACAGCATCCACATGAAAGCGGGGAGAGGCAGATGGCGACAGCATAATTGCAGTAGTCGAATCTGGAAACTAGAGTATTGCAGCCATGAATTGAGGGATTTTCGGCCCATCGTACATCATCGCCATGAGGCGGGAATCGCCACGGCTGATGGTTGCATGCATCCATGAAGCAACCGATTGTTCACGGTGGCTCCATTCGAGATGCAATGGCCATCATACCGTCTCCACTGCTTGGAGAACTGCTCACAGCCAACCGGATCAACCGTCAGGCAGGTGCGATGTGAAATCCACGGACTGGAACCACGGATGATAAGCCATCGGGCACTGAGAAACGTCGATCAACAGTGGGACGAGGCAAACATGGGAGAATAGAGTCGTGGCATACAAACTTCGAAACATAAATAAGCCTGTCAACGCCCCTATGATGCTGTGAAGTTCACAATCATCCCTCCGGTTTCACAATTCGAGTCTGAAATCTTCAAGCCAGTCCAATAGATCTTCCTCATAAAAAGAATTCATTCGAAATTTGTTTCAACTTTGTTGAGCTTCTCGGGTCCTTTCAAAACACAGACAAAGGTCGGCCTATCAAATCCGACAAGCTCGGGTGCTGTCAGGTGCAACCAATAGCAGCCCGCATTCAAGCTGAAACAAAGACGGAGAGCCGTGAGCAAGTGAGTTATGTTGTACTTGCAGTTTGAGCAGCACTGACAGATCTAATAGGCATGTGCTTTTACAACCAAAAGAGATTTGCGTGTGGAGACTGGAGCTGGACCAGCTTTGCCCACCGATGCAACTATGAATATCGCACCGGCGAGACATGCGGTATGAGACTCGTCAACATCACTGAGAATGAGAAGACCAATTGTCGTCTCTGCGAAAAAATCGAGACCAAAAATCGCCGGCGTAGTGCCGAAGTCGACCGTTTGGACCGGTGGAAGCGAGAGGGTGCCACACTTGTGGCTTCCATTGATCGGTCTCACAAACTCATTATGGACTTGGATAAAGAGATCCGCGCCCTGCAGCGGGAGCGGGACGAACGAAGGAGCACTCTCCTAAGATAGGGTTGGCTTGGATTTGTAAAACCGGTATTCCTTTGGTTAATTTTTCTTTTTTCCTCTTTCCCTTTTGGACAGGTGAATAACAATGTCTTGACTTTTGTGTCGGGTCCTTCGTGGGCCAATTGTCCTATCGTTTTCTTGTTGCCTGTCACTGTTTCTTTAGGGGGATGCAGCGAATTTCATGTTTCACCATTTGTCCGCGACATTAAGTCCAAATCGAGTTTCTGCAAGGTGATGGGAAAGCCGTATCGCCTTTGAAAAGATTGAGGAGAAATTTAATTGGTTCAAACTCCGTATTGGTTTTTGTTGATAGGCTGTTAAGCTCCCAAAAAAGAATGTCAATAGGGACTAGCCCAGTCATAAGCGCCCTTTCTCCTGGGTGAGCGGTTCGCTGAGACAGATCGAGTCTCACAGGACAAGGAGTGGAACCTGCTGCAGCTAGACAAAAAAGACATCGAGGCCTGACAAATATCAAATGGCCATTCATAATCGACCAGTCCTTGAAGGAAGAGCAATGGTACCTGGTGTCAGAGCGAGTGCACATAGTGGGACAAAATGCCCCTCACAACACATGCCCGCACGTGATGACCACCTGCTTAGATAACCTAATAGAATGAACCTGTCAAGAAGATATCTTAGTGGCACCATAGAAAAGAGGCGAATGAAAGTGGAAGTGGTTCTGCTGGTTAGGAGTGTTGTGAGAAGAATCCAGGGCTAGCTGGGCTAAATAGGTTCCACTTCCCTTGCTCTATGCCGTGGATAACTCCGACATTGCGAAATCAATCCAGCTCTAAAACGATAGCTTTGGGCGATCTAAGTAAAATAATGACAAGTTTAGTAGGTATAACTGAAATTGAAATCGATAAAAGTAAAAAGTGAATGCGGTAGTGAACTGAAGGCTACAAACCAGCAAGTTGGGGAACTATATATCACGGCACTATAATCGGAGAATTTACTTCTACATGCCACTAAGCAACACCCGTGCTTCTTCAGCCTACGTGTACCTATCTGCTTCAATATCTTCAAAGCACAAAGCGTCAAATTGGAATGCAGAACTGAAGGAGAGCGCTGAGACTAGGCCGATGTGCATGCCACGTCACAAGAGAACAGCACCAAATGCAGCCATAAACAAAAGCCCACACGACAGATAAAAGATCAATGTTTTGTTTGGACATGAGGTGATGCTATGATATTGCAACCGAATGATTATGGTCAAACTATTGGATTCGAGTACCTGAAACGGAAAAAGAACAAGAGAAGATTTAATCTATTTTATGTCACCAGCCTCGGGCTCATCATCGACCTTGGCCAGCCCTTGTTCCCGGAGAAGGGAATCAATCTCATCTGCAGTCCATAGGTGGTGGTAGATCTTGCCATCCTTGGTCTTGCCCACTGTTGCAAACTCGACTGCGTAAGGTAGAAATGTTAGGACGAAAACACAATACAGAAATGACCGTAGAACTCACTCTTCTCGCTGCTCAGCTTTGTGGAGTCCATAGTCTTGCTCAGCACCTTGACAGCCATAGCACACGCCTCCTTCAGATTGCAGTCCTCCTTGTAATCTTGCTTGAGGAGACTCTGCGCACTTGCGTTGTTTGCGCCAACGCTCGTCGCTTTCCAGCCTCCGTAATTTCCACTGGGGTTACTCTGGTACAACTGGAATTGACGGAGATGGTCATACCCAGCGTAGATGAAGGAGACACCAAACGGACGGAGACCTCCGTGTTGGGTATATCCTTGCTTCAGATCACACAATCGACGGACAAGTTGTTCGCATGGAATGTCTTCGTTGTACGTGAGGAGGTAGCGTTGGGCGTTCTGGCGAGCATAGTTGATCAGAATGTTGGCATCGGCGTTCATACCCGCAACAGCGCAGATCATGTTACTGGAAATCATCAGCTACTTATCTCAATACTAAACACAGCAAATCTGGCTATTTTATTTGAGACAAAGGTAGTGTTGGCGTACTCGTTGATTGTGTAGAGCTTCTCAGCGGAGGTATCCTGCTCCAGCAGCTTGCTGGTCACCTTCCTCTCAGCAGCGAGGACAATACCATCCTTGGCTAAGACACCAAGGGCTGTGCCAGCGTGAGAAATAGCCTCAAGCGCATATTCAACCTGGTAGAGTCGACCCTCTGGGGAGAAGATGGTGGTCTTTCCAAAATCGTCATAGGTTAGCTGGAGCTGCACAAGAGGAATGACGGTGTGCACAAACCCTCGAATCGTATCTCCGAGACATCGTGTATGAATAAAAGAAAGCGAAAAAAACTCAAAATGGGCTAAAGGTGAGGGTTGATTGTGCGAGACAGGTGGTTCGGGATGGTGAAGGTCGATGGTGAAGACGTAGAAGCTCCAGGCAACTCGCCCTGGCGCGTCCTCTGTCATCCGCCAAGCTCGGACCACTTCACCACACCAAAGCTTCGTTGCGACGATTTCACCACCTTGACCCGCAAGTACGGATTACAAGACCGATTTGCCCATTACTTTGCATTTTAAATTGATTCATATCGATTGCTATGCTCAGATCAACATACACCGCTCCACCTCCTTTGCCATCGGGGTGGACACAACATCGAGCCCCCACAGGTTGGTCTTGCGCTGGGTTCGAGTGAAAGGTCTTGGTTCTGACTATTAAGCCAGGTCATTTGTACTATTACAATTCTTCCACAAAACAATCGACATATACCCGGCCTCAAGAAACAGCTCCTCAGACCATTCAGGCTGCTCCAGACACCCCAGAAGCAACATACAATCCAGAGACGCTACCTCCGTTTTCTTCAACACCATATGGACCAATAGGGTTTGCCTCGGGGCCGGCGCAATTTAGTCCACCCCAGAACTCCCGCGGCCGCGGAGGATTCCGCGGTGGGAGAGGTTATCATGATCATGGACGGAGAGAAACCGAAGATCGACCAAGAGCGAAGCATCCTATTCCCGACTGCGCCCCGTGGCTACTAGTAAAGACCAAGCTTGGGAGGAGATTTGTGCACAATCCGGAAACAAACGAAAGTTTTTGGAAATTTCCAGAGCAAGTTTTGAAGGGTGTGGTTGAATTTGATCGCCTCGAGCGTGAGAAAAAGGAAAGGAAAGAACGGGGTGAGCCCGAGGTACCAGCCAAAAAGGAACCGCCTTCACCACAGCATGGTCGTATAGAGCCTGAGCCGATACCGCAAGAGGCGGAACGTGCAGATTATGACTCCGACTATGAAGAGGTCGAGGTTACAGACAGCGAGGGAGAAGAGGGCCAACCGTCGAAGCGTGCACGAGCTGAAAGTGAGGGTGTCAAGGATCAGCCGCTAGAGTTCAACGAAGAAGACATGGCATATCAACTAGCAGCCATGGGTGAAGATTACGGACTAGACCCCGGGGAATATGGCGAGGTCGGAGAAGAAGATTGGGAAGAGGGTGCAGAGGGCCTGCCGCTGACCGAAGCCGATGCCGAGGCCCTCTTCCGCGACTTGCTGGATGACTTCCGAATCAATCCATTCACGACATGGGAGAATGTCATCGAAGAAGGCCGCATCATTGAAGATACCCGGTATACCGCACCCTCGAACATGAAGACACGACGAGAGATATTTTCCAATTGGACCCGGGACAGAATCCAAGATGTGAGAGAGCAGAAAGCGAAGCAGGAAAAGACCGACCCGCGCATTAGATATCTCGCATTTTTGCAAGAACACGCCACTCCAAAGCTTTACTGGCCAGAGTTCAAGCGCAAGTACAGGAAAGAGCCTGAAATGAAGGACTCTCAGCTTGGAGACAAAGAGCGCGAGAAGTTCTACCGGGACCACATCTCGCGTCTCAAGCAGCCCGAAAGCACTCGCAAGTCAGACTTATCAGCCCTGCTCAAATCTGTTCCCTTGGACTTGTTGCATCGGTCATCGAACTTGGAAGCCCTGCCAACCATTATCATCACCGATATTCGTTATATCGGACTCGCGCCCGAGGTTCGAAATCCGTTGATTGAGGCATACATATCTACTCTGCCTCCAGCGCCGGAGGTACAGATGACGGCAGAAGAGTTAGAAGAAGTCGACCGAAAACGAATTGAACGGGAGAAACGCGAGAGGGCTCTTGCAGATCGGGAGAAGCGGGTGGAGGAAGAGAAACGGAGGCAGCGAGGAGATCTTCTCCGTAGCAAGCATCTTCTCCGAGAAGGCGAAGCCGAGATTGAACAGGCAATGCATGTCAACAAGGACGGACTAATGAGCTACATGGACATTGATCAGGCAGTAGACGAGGAACAGAAGCCGAGTCAATAATAGTTGGTCACTGAATATTACATATCACTTTTGTCGAGATAAGGACAGTCGTGTTCATATTGTACATCAAGAGGCAATTTGATTATACCAATGCCATCCGGTTCCTGAGGGTATCACTGTAGATGAGGGAAATCATTTCCCTTCACGTAAACGATTCATCATTCCACCATCGATCCGATCATTTAAATCTCCAATCATCCCAATCCTCGTCGTCATCGTCTTCACTCTCGCTCTCAACCTGCTCCACTGCGCCAGATCCTATCGGCTCATCTTGTGTCTTGTCTTCGGCGCGGGATTTCCGCAGCTCCTCGCGTTTGTGTTTGAGCCTTCGCACCCGCTCTTCCAGCTGATCCATCTCATCAAACTCTTCCTCTAAAAGCCGTGCGGCATCCTCTCGCTCCCCTTCCATCTCTGCCTCACGAGTGCGGGCTGTCGACGTCTTCGATCTCTCTTGTTGTGCAGCGAGTTCTGCAGCCGTCACTGGCGCTGCGGATATTGTGGCCTCAGCTGTAAGAGCGGCTGGTACATGGGGCTCATCGGACTGGGCGGCGACCTCGCGTTCAAATGCTGCCCATGCCTCTTCGTCAATAGGCGTGGATGGATCTTCGCGGGGGCGCGTAGTTGGTTCTTCTGCAAGGTCTGCAGCTGACTCAACAACCTCTTGTTCGTTGTCGAGTGGAGGTTCTGGGCCAGCGACATCATCCTCAACTTGCTCCGAACCTTCATCCTCTGTAGTGTGCTCAATGCTTGCTGCGCCAGAGGCAGACTGGAATGTATCTTGTTCCGCAGCGCGAAGCTTCTTTCGCATTACTCCATCTCCACTATCAACCTTGCGCTTTTTGGTGACCCGGTTTCCTGTCGTATTTGGCTGAGATGTGCCCTTGCGGGAAGCTAATTCACTGCGGAGTAGGGATCGGACGTCGGCCATATTCTTCAATTTGTAAGGATAAGAGATATGTTATGGTAGGTGAAATAAGTTCAGAAACAAACTGGCGGAAACAGAAGAGCCTGTGATGAAGAGTGGGGAATCTGGAGAAGCTCAATCTTAAGATTCACCGAAGGGCATTTCGCCGCGAACCTGTGGCTGGTGACAAATAGCACGTGATGACGCATCCAGTGAATGACAAAGACGGGAGCCAAGCCACTTATTCATCTCTCTTCTTCTCCTCACATCGCATCGGATCTCTTTTCTATCTAACATCTTTCAACCATCCTTTGGCGTTATTGCTTTCGCCACTTGATCTTCGAGCATTTCTGCTCCAATCTCAACTCAAACCGTCTAGCCCTATTTTTGACTGCAAAGTGCGTGATTTGGGCTCAAATCACTCCACGCGACCCCGCTTAGCGCCAAGTGTCGATTTGACGCGCAGCAAGGGATTGCACAGTCCACCATAACACCTGCTTGAGCGCGTTCTTTGTCACCGCGCGTCAATCCAAGAAATATTGCGCAGAGACTAGATCGGTTCTTTTATTCGATCGAGCAAAAGTGTGGGCTAGACAGTGACGCTGTTGTGCTGTCTTCTTGTGTATTACATTAGCGCCTTGAGCTCGTAGAGACTTTTGTCAGCCTGGGGTAACACCTGAATTTCGAGCAAGTGAAGAGACCTATTTCCTGCCACGCGCTGTAGTACGCGCGTCAAATCACCATTATCATGGCCGGTAAGCTTTCGTACACCACCACTACACACATTGCTATCCGATCACTTTTGAGTGGCAGGGCAACCCCAGGTCTGGGTTGCGACTATTTACCAGAAGACAAGCTAACAGTGAGATTAGATGAACCCCGACGCTCCGGCCGAGCCACCAAAGGCCAACACAAGAACCTTGAACTGCCAGATGATCACGCAAAAAAAGGCAAAAGCAAAAGCCCGAAAGAAAAGAGCGCCAAGTTGTCCGCCGAACCCACACCCGGTCCTAGCGAAGCTGGGGGAGACGAAGAAGAGATTATCCGATGTATCTGTGGTGAATATGAAGAGGAAGAGGATGTGGAGCGTGATATGATTTGCTGTGATCAATGCTCAGCATGGCAACACAATGACTGCATGGGTCTCACATTCGTGAAAGGTCAAGAACCAGATCAATACTACTGCGAACAATGTCGACCAGAGAATCACACAACCCTCTTGGCCAAGATCAACGCGGGCGAGAAACCCTGGGAAGAGCTTGCCGAGAAACGTCGCCAAGAGGCCGAGGAGAAGAAGTCCAAACGGAAAAAGGGCAAGAAAGGAGGCCGCAAAGGAAGACCCAGTGAGAGCCGGACGGATGCCAGCACACCAGCTCGCACTGCGCCATCCACTACACCAGGCCCTAGCGGTTCTCCTGCACCCGCTGTGTCCGCCGTGCCTGCCTCAGCCGAACCGGAGAAAAATGGCCATGCTGTTGATTCTCGGCGATCCAGCACTAACAAGCGCAAACTTGATGAGGCAATGGAGGCAGAAAACGTAAATACCCCCATCCCACCCAATCATCACATTCAAAATGTTAACTTGCTTATTTATCAGGGACCACAGGTGAAACAGCAACGGGTATCCCCACAGTCTACACCGGCAGCTATCCCAGAGGCAACGGCAACCCGAATCAAGACAGACACTATCCCCGAGGCGCGTGCCATTGGAGCCCTGGAGGAGTTGATGCCTGCCCGCAAGAGTGTGGCCGCACACCTCATCAAGTTGTTTGTAGACCAGATTACTGCGGCACTGAAAGCTGGTTCTTTTACCTTGCATGCGAACCAGTCAGTGGAGGACATGGCACAGCAACTGGCTCTATCCATTGAGGATGCCACGTATGAGAGTATCTGCGGACGGTCAGGCGAGCCGAATGAATCATATAAGGCGCAATTACGGTCGATCATATTCAATGTAAAGAAGAATACTTCTCTGCGAGATCGTCTGCTCATAGGTAGTCTGTCCCCTAAGTTGCTGTCTCAGATGACATCGGCGGAGATGGCTAGCGAAGAACTGCAGCAGAAGGACGCTGAGATCAAGCGAGAAGCGGACAGACATCACACCATTATTCAGGAACAAGGCCCTCGGATTCGACGCACTCATAAAGGAGAAGAGTTGATCGAGGATGAACACCATGGCGCGAACGAGTCTATTTTCTCCCGCGGACCCCGTCGCGCTGTGGGGGATGACGGCAGTCCAACCCACAAAAGCCCTACCAGCCCCATGGGGCCACATCGATCAAAGACAGAGATAGATGGATACGTTCGTGGTCTATCACCCGAGGGTGCTCACCATGACCACGTCTTCCCTGAAGTGGCTCCCGCCATCTACGAGCCAGTGCCTAGTGGCAGGGTCCAAGCAGATGCTGAGATCGATCAGCTCTTGCGCGACGATGAACCCTATTCACCTCCTTATTCGCCTAAAGACTTCGACGACGACGGCACCATCTGGCGCGGTAAAGTAACGATGCCTCCAATCGGGGAGTTCTCCTCGTCCGCGAAGCATGTGGGAGGCGCGGACTTGAGTGGCCGAATCCCATGGAGTCAACTGGCGCCCGCCACCTTGGTTGTTGATGGTCGTATCGATATCAGACGAGCAACTGACTATCTATGTGGCCTTCAGTTCAGCAAGTCTACCGATGTGTCTGTGATAGCAATTAGCAGTCCTGATCAGCCCACGGATCGAGCAGGCTTCGACAAAATGTTTGACTACTTCCATAGTCGTGGCCGTTATGGCGTCATTGGAAAGCATCCGCTGTCCGCTGTTAAAGACACCTACATTGTCCCAATGGAGATCGGCACCACAACGATGCCCGAGTTCATTGAGCTGCTGGAAAACATCTCACTGGAAGTCCCCATTACTCAACGCATACTTCTTACCATTTTCGTTGTCAAGACCGGCGAATCCAACCCTTCATCTGTCCAGCCGCCATCCCACCAGGCTAGCCAAGAGCCACCTGTCTCTGGGAGCCCCTCAGTCGCGGCGACTCCTCAGCAGCCTCAGTTCAGCGCTGGAACTGCACCAACTCCTCCCTCCCACTTCGGTGGCTTCAACTCGAATCCCGCAACGTACGTCCAGCAGGCCCCTGCACAGCAAGGCCAGCTCACCCCTCAACACCAGCCTGCTCTAACCGGCCTCCCCGCCGCGGTGCAAGTCCTCGGCTCACAAGTTGATGCCCCCGCCATCCAACAACTTCTCAAGACTGCGCCTAACGTGGACATGGCGCAGCTTAGTGTCGTTCGCGACATTCTGGCTCGCCAACCTGCTGCCGCTGCTCATTACGATACTTTGATGCAGGCTCTATTTGAGACCCAAGCAAACGGCCATGTGCCTCAGCAGGGTGTGTAATAGAGCTATTCATTTCCATGATAGCCATTTTTTTCCTGTACAGTTTATCCCATTTTGTATTTCCTTTTACAAGGCTGCGCAATGCTAGTCAGGTGTTCAGGTGAAATCTCCAGGGCTGGGAAACGGGTTTGTTTTAGGAAAGTGGAATACCCACCGCCAAATGTTTTCGAATTTTATGCTGGTTCTCTACTCGCAAAAATGGAACCGATTCTAGTTAGTATCTTATACGGCTTGTTTAGCCCTGGGTTTATTGTAGGCAGATTGTAATCATGCACTGGTAAAGTTCTGCATTTGTAGTCACTAGGTTCCATTCTATCACTAGTGATATGTATTATTTCTCTATTATGACACAGATTGAGATATTCCATCCTATCAGGTGGAAAGATAATATATTATACACGATTTCTTGTACATCTTTCAGTGTTGTGAGATATCGACAAGAAGCAGAAGAATGAAAAATGAAATGGATATTGAGCACTTATCCTATGACCTCCCTAACCGTCGTTTGAGCATCATACACGAGATAATAAGTAAAAACGCCTGCGCTATGCAACGGGTCCCCAAGCTTTCAAGAACGACGTGAAGTCAACGAAAATCACCATCCTTCACCATCTTTCACCATCTTCCACCTCCGCGGCGCCGATATCCACCGCCGCCGCCACCACCACCACCGCCATATCGAGGACCCCGACCAGCACCGGGACGACCGCCAGAGGTGTAAGGGTTATCATCTTCTTCATGATGACGAATTGGTGGAGCCCGGCCTTTCAGCTCGATGCTCAGCTTCTTGCAGTTCTTGCGCATGTCTGAGTACCCCATGTGCATTTTTCCGAAAAAGTGATCCGCCAGCCGGCGGTCGTTGTCAAGACGAGACAAGTAAGCTCCGCAAACGTCACATACTTGTAGCTTCTGGTGGCCGGATGGCCCAGAGGTATCTTGAAGGTTCTTGAGATCGCGCTCCAGACTCTCCTTCTGGTGCTTGGAGGTGCGGACTTTGTGCATTTCACTGAGTGCTAGTGCGACAGAGCCTGTTTCGCCGAGAATCGAGACTTCTTGGAGACCGGAGTTGATGGTGTTGGAAAGGTCGGCAATTTGTTTAAGCTATATAAGAAGTTAGTGAACTCCAACGGAGTCCATCTGATTGGAGATTGAAGATTGAAGTAAATTTATACATACCAGGTCGTTCGTCTGCCGAATCTCATCCGGCGTCTTTTCCAGTCGGCGCTGCGCAGTGTCGATTCGGCGGTCACAGTCGTCAATGTACTTCTGCATGTCGCGCAAGTAATCGAATTCGAACCCCCATTTCGCCTTCTCTGACGCAGACGCAGTGTCATATTCTGTCTTCAAGCCTTCACTATGGACCTTGGGGCAAATTCCGAGATCTTGCTTGGTGTTTGTGAACAGGTCGTGCGGGCAGGTGCCAACAATGTAAGAACGGCAAACTTTGCTGTCTGTGATTGCGAGCTGGGAATTGCGACCCTGTGTGCCAGTTCCAGTGAGCTGATCAGCTATAGACAGAAGCAATGTTAGCTCAACTTAAAGAGACTTGTTGGGGGTGGCCAGAGCTCGGAAATTTTGAGAGTCACAAAAGGAGCAACATACCTCCCATGAGCTGCTCAAGCAGCTTTCTCTGTTCTGCTGCCATGCTGACGGTGTCTGCACTAAGCTGGAAAGGAAATGAAAGACGAAATTGTGTCAACGGGCTGATTGGCGGCAAACGACGAAGTCTTTTGCTTTGGATGCTTTTGGCGCCAAGGAAGGCGGTGAGGCTCCGCTGTCAACAGCATCTCGGGGATTTTGGAGTTTGGCTTCGATCTTTCTTTCGATGTGGAGCTTTTATATTGACTTGGCGATTACTGAGGTCTGATTTTCTGGGGCCATAGTCAATTAGGCTCATCGCTTCACCGAGACTCCCTGCCAATTGACCAGTGACAACCGCATGGACGAAGACCGAGCTCCGGCAAGCATGAAGTCATGACGGTCCTTTCACTATTCTCACTTCCTTTTGTCGCGCTTATTCTCTCATTATGGAGCTCCTCTGCCTTTGCGTCATCGGACTATCATGAGCACCTCCTCCTTCAACCTCTCCCGCAGTCCTCCTTGCTAGCTTCTTTTAACTTCCGAAGTAATACGTCGCAACAATCATTCGACCAACAGCATTTTAGATATTTGCCTCGCGCGCTTGGTCAGATTCTCCAACACGCCCACACAAAAGAATTACACCTCCGCTTCACCACCGGCAGATGGGACGCTGAAAGCTGGGGCACACGACCATGGAACGGCAGTAAAGAAGGAGGCACTGGCGTCGAGCTTTGGGCGTGGATTGATGCGCCGGATGATGAAGAGTATGCTCCTCACTCGAAATATGTTATAAAAGACACACAATGCTGATTGACTAGGGCTTTTGCCAAATGGATCACTCTGACACAGTCCCTCTCTGGTCTATTCTGCGCCTCACTGAACTTCGTGGACTCGACCCGGACCACTCGACCTGTTGTTTCTTTTGAACCGGCTGGGGATCACTCAGCTGCTGATCAGCTGCACCTTTTGCATGGAACGCTTCCTGGAGAGGTAGTTTGCACAGAGAATTTGACTCCTTTCTTGAAGCTGCTTCCTTGCAAAGGCAAGGCTGGAATCTCTTCACTATTTGATGGGCACAAACTGTTCGATGCCGCGTGGCAGAGTATGTCCGTCGATATCCAGCCAGTCTGTTCTGCAGATGGAGAATGTGTGGTTCAGATCGAGCAAACCGTGGACATGGTCTTGGATATTGATCGCTCCAAGCGCTCTCGTTGTGCGTACTTTTCACCGGCATACTCTGCCTCAAGATTGCTAACATGGATCTAGCGAACCCAATTCCTCGGCCTGTGCCTAATGAGCAGCTGGTTTGCGACACTTCCAAGCCCTATAATTCGGATGATACCTGCTATCCGGTGGAGAAGACAAGCGAGAAGGCATGGAGTCTTGCGGAAATTTTTGGGCGAAGCCTAAATGGTGTTTGTCCTCTCACAGATTTCGATGGGTCTAGCGACCAGAGTGTCTGCCTTCGAGTGCCCCACGAACGGGGTGTCTTCATATCCGAGGAGGCCAATGAAATCAAGAAAGATGATGGCTTTACACGCTGTTTCAAATTGGCGCCCTCGGTTCCCTTTGATCTTTCGATCCCGCAGCAGCCAGCCAACACTGAAGTTCCATTGGACGAGCCTGTTTTGCATGCGGAGCGAACTATCGTTGGCCACGGCCAGGAGCGCGGTGGAATGCGCATTATCTTTGGCAATCCATCCAACACCAGCGCAGTTGACTTTATCTACTTCGAATCTCTTCCGTGGTTCCTGCGACCATATATACACACTTTGCATGCAACAATCACAGGACACGATGGAGTCTTGCGTGAGGTCCCAGCCTCTGAAATCGTCAAAGAAACGTACTACCGGCCTGCTATTGATCGCGAGCGCGGAACACAATTAGAACTGGCGCTGTCAGTCCCCGCAGCATCAACTGTCACGCTGACTTACGATTTCGAGAAGGCCATTCTTCGGTACACCGAGTACCCGCCTGATGCTAATCGAGGGTTCAACGTTGCACCTGCGGTAATTCGGATCTTGGATACGGCCCATAATGTGCCGATCTACATTCGTTCAACAAGTCTGCTGCTTCAACTTCCAACCCCGGATTTCAGCATGCCGTACAATGTGATCATTCTTACTAGTACTGTTATTGCACTTGCTTTTGGAACTATCTTCAACATCCTGGTTCGACGAGTTGTCTCTCTAGATGAGGCTGCCGCTCTCGGAGCCCAGACCCTCAAAGGCCGGATACTGGGGAAATTGGTGGCCATTCGTGATCGACTCCGCGGCAAGGATACCAAAATGGATTAGTTCTTATTTGAATAAGTAATCACAATTACAATAATTAGCGGGTTTAAGGCCCCTTAAAAGACCTGTAAAACGCCTAGCATTAGTTATATATTGCTTTTCTTCACAGAACCTGAAGACCTGTGGTATTGAGGCCGGAAATTCCCGCTGTCACTAACTTTACAATCGATGCACCTAGGAGGTTGTTCATACAAAACTGCCTCTGACCTCATTATTCGAAATCTGATAGTACATATTAACGCAACACATGGCCACTTGGTCACTTGGTTGGACCGGCTCGACCAATGCTTGAGCCAGACGCGAATGCTTGTTGGACATGCTCTTCCAAATGCAACACACTATCAACTCCTTTCCAAAATATGGAGTCAATCCGCAGAAGGCCAAGATGGAGGCAAGGCAAAACGTCAGCCTTCAGGCGCATATCCCGGCGCACTTTGTTCAGACAAGTGACCCATTTGTCTGCCTCGTTCCTATCAATGGAGGTGGCAGCCATATTCAGAATTTGGAAACAGATGGACGAGAATGCAGTCGCACTCCAGGCCGGCCATAAAACCTCGAAGTCTTCCGGACGCAGCTCGTGAATGAACTCCGCTGCTGCCAAAATGCAGGTTTCTGCCCGGATCCGAGCCTGCTCACGCGCCATTATATATTCGGCCTCATTCAAATTTTCAACGGTTGGCTGCAGAAACGGCCTCAAAATAGCCCTGGAAATACTCAGATGAATATAATGGTAGTTCATCTCGAGTGTTCTTTCTAGTCCGATTGGTCTGCCTTGATTCAATGATCTGACATCGGTCGATGGTACAGATACTGGTCTATGCCAAGAGAAGAGACTTTCAAGCAGTGGACCGGTTAATGCGACGGTCTTGTGGTTATCAGTACACATGGTATTAATGGCACGAGGAGAACTAATATTAGTGAGTTGCGGAAAACGGCGAGACAGTGGACAACGGACACGGGGATTGTCTTACTATAATTGCGCTAGAACACGATCAAGTATTGCGTCGAGTTCCGCTCGCTTCATGATATTCATCCAGGCTAGAGGGTCAAGTCCACTGTCAGGTTGATCCTCTTGACTAAGACTTGTCACGAGCCAGTTATCATGATGCAGTAAAGGTGGCCGACCAAGGCTCAACGCAAGCCATTTGTCTGTCGAATAAATGAAATACGACAAACGACGTCGCTGCGCAATTTGCCATGGAGGTATTCGCCATGACTTTGGATCTAAATGTAGTCCAAGGGTATGAGCGCAAGCAACAAGGGTGGCGAGCTGGGACCATCTGAAGCCACTATCCAATACAATTGGGTTTGGATAAGGTCGAATGGCCAAAAGAAGCATTGTCTGCACAACACAAAGCTTCGGTGCGTGGATCTCATATGGAAGCGCTTTGTTGATAATCTCGTATAGTGCCACACCTGATGGCTTATCATACGCGAGATCAATGCATAGTCTTTCGTCAAATTTAGTGAAGGGCTCGACTATTAGGTATACACTCGCAAGGAGGTATGGCGGGCTGGTGTTGGGGTTTAATTGGCCTGGTAAACCAAGTATCGGGTAATCCGGTGCGATGATTCTCTCAAATAAGTTAATAAGTCTGAGACCGATATCTGCTGGGACCAAAGACTCGAGTTCCTGCCTCAATTCAAGGGTCGAAACGTTCTCGCATCCGTTTTCTTCTCTGCTGGCAGCAAATATTGAGGGATTTGACAGTAAAAATTGAGTTGGCTCGGGTCCTGAAGACACAGAGTGAATACTGAGATTTTTGAAATGAGAAGCCCCAGATGTGTCGTATCGATAACGACCAATCAGAAAAGGGTCCATATCACCACTACTGCCGAGCAATTGTGGTGTGATTATACCCTGCGTATCAAGGCAAATAGATGAGCCATTCTCCTGCATAAGCAATGGAAGGCAGTTTGCATTCGATGAAGCTCCAACTTCCGAATGGCCAGTCCCTGGAAGCCCAGGTGATGGATAAATAAAGCTCCCTGGACTAAATCCAGTCGGCCATGTGCCATCTCCAAAGTCACCCGATAACGATACTCCAGCTCCATTAAAGAAATCATGAAACCCTTCAGGTGCAGCAGCAACCGAATGATTTACCCCATGATCATCAATCGGCATCAAGATATCGTAGTGGACTGAGTCACCAACTGGTGAAACTGCACGCAGATCTGAGTGTGGGCTTATCTCAGTTTGCTGGGTCATCTGTGAGCTAATCGCTTCGGAGAAAGGCTGGCGTGGCCTTGAGGTCGGTTGTAGAAACGTGCATTCTTTCCCATGAAGTGTACAAAGATAACAGGGAGGTGCTCGATCAATGCGACAAGCTGCCTTCCTAGAGCGACAGGAATCACAAGCGCGGTTCCGCTTACTCATGTACCTACGAGCTCTGCCTGACATCCTTTCATTGAGAAAGTTGTCATGAGCACATAGTAGATTAGTGGCTAAACGAGGGTTTAAGAGATACGATGTCCACACAGTCAAATCTTAGCCCCACATTCCACGTGACTATATCTGGGTTCCAAGGTTCTTGTATTAATGTGATTTATTATCACTAAAGGTCTATTCGAGTTTCCATATAAATATGATTATGCTGAATAAAAATCTTGCACTAATACTTTCAAATCTCCACACTTTGCTTGTGCTCTTTTTAACTATCGGTACAACTATTCTCGGAGTCAGCTTCCCGGGTCTAGTCCCCTGCGAAATATTGAGTTGGGTGGACAACCTTCAGCCGATGTCTGTTAGACCCATCATTGGGTTTTCTTCCACTTTCTAAGCTCAGGCTTTTGTTCTTGCCCCGTAAGCGCATGCTTCACAGTGCCAACTCCCCAAGGCAGGATCTCGGCCGAGAAACCGCAGGAATAAACCCTATGCCTCCGACAACCAAGATTATGACCACCCAGTCCCTTAGTACGACTACAGGAATGGATTCATGATACGTAGGCAGAAATATAGTAGGGCTGAGCAAGTTTGAAGTTTCAGTTTTCGTGTGGTATGTATGAGTCAGTCGCTGGGCACAATTCGGCGTCCTATTCTTGATGCTTGACTTGTGGTCCAAGCTAACAGCTGAGCAATTTAAGTTGTATTATTGCTAATTTGAGCTCTCATTATAACTAAATCAATACCCAGCTCATGCCTAATTAAATAGTTAGGCTGCGGTTGTGATTACTAGTAGTTACGTAACTAACACGAAATGAAATTTTAAGTTATCGTGCCGATAACCTTGTCCCCGCATTGCCCGGGCCGACCTCGGGAAGTAAAAGTTAAGGTTGTGATAACATTCTTTTATTGATATCAGTTTGCATGGAGCTTAGAATTTAGGGGAGGAAAGAATCGGGACTTTCTAGAAAAAGTCGGTATATCCTATAGGCAAAATCATGCAAAAAAAAAAAAAAAGAGAAAAAGAAAGATTTATTAGACCAATATATCAGGGCATCATGCTCAGTTTAAGGGAACTTAGAGCTTGAGCAAAATAATTTTTTATGTCTAGTTTTGGCACATACTCCCCAGTACTATTCACTCTTGCCGTAGTGCACTTGCCGAAGCATCTGACTAGTGTCTTCGATATACACAAAGCTTTGTGAGAGCCCCCTTTCGGGGTGATTGAAGTGCCCGAATGCATGTGGCACGCCGGGGTATCTCTTCATTGTGACATCATTTCCAGCCTCTTGCATAAGCTGACCATAGTACTCTCCTTCATCACGCTCAAGATCAAATTCTGCTGTGATGATGTGTGCTTTTGCAAGGCCTTTGAATGAAGGAGCAAGGACAGGCGTGCATATCCACTCTTTTGTCAAGATTTTTTCTTGGGTAGCTAGAAACGAATGAGTAAATGTAGGAAGAGGGTTACAAGCGTGGAATAGAGAAAGAAGACTTACCGTCATCGTCGCCAAGCCAATACTTCAGGAACCATTGCTCTCTGCCTAATGGTCCCCAAGGAGAATCATGGAATAGCAAGACACTTTTGTAGGGACAAGTAGACTCATTCAGCTCGCGTGTTCTTAGACAGTAGCGCATATCTGTCGCCGGAACTATCATTAACTGAAGTTTTAGCTCAATGCCCTCGTCACGGGCGAAATGCGCCATCACTGCAGTCATTTGACCTCCAGCCGAGAGACCTCCGATAGAAACACTCGAGGGATCAACATTGAGCTTAGAGGCATTGGTTATTGTCTGTCCATATATCGTGTTAGCAAAGCAAACATCAAATGATATTGTTTTTGTATTTACCCATTTCACAGCATCCCATGAGTCGTAGATGCTGGTAGGATATGGAAATTCCGGAGCCAGTCGGTAGTCTACATCAATCACTTTAATTTGCGCTTTGTTGCACATGTGCCGGCACCAAGCAGCTTCAGACTTGAGATTGCCAAGGACCCATCCCCCTGGAGCCAATGAACAACGGTTAGCAAATCCACGTTAGAGAGCGTAAGGGTGGTATCGTAAATTGCGTACCTCCATGGAAGTTCAAATGAACGGGGAATGGACCAGATCCTTTTGGCGTATATACCCTGATCATGATCTTTCCAGCTGGTTGAGAGACTGGGATCTCTATGTCCTCAACACGGAAAACGGACGGACCTTGATCATAGTAAGTGCTTGTTTAGACGATTTAATCAAGACTCTGTCTTACCAGGGCATGTTGGGTAGGTGAAGCTATACGTGGCGGGACTTTTGCGATATTCCTCAAGAGATAGCTCGTCGGCTCTCACCATGGAGCTGCCGTGCTTTTCCCATAGTTCTACCCATTCAGGATCCAATCCACCCAAGAGCTTGTCTGGTATAGACAAGCGCCCCTTCGTCCCTTCTACCACGACCGATGTCTGTGTACCTACCACGACTGAGGTTTGTGTACTAGCCATTGCGATAGGGAGGTTGGCAATAAAGAGAAATTATGAAGGCCAAAAGATGGTAAATGGTCAATTTTAAGTGAACGACTAAAATGAATTAAGAGATATTTGACGGTGTTGATAAATTTAGTCACTTACCCTTCGATATGCCTTGGATATAATGCCGGGCTCTGGTTGGCGGCATCGGCCGTATTGTCAGCTCCGATCTAAGCGATAGGCATCGGGGTGGGGGCATTCCTATCTGCGGGTCCAATGTGGGCCGTACACCCCGGATTCGTTCCCGATATCGATCCTTCCACTGACCGAGTTGATTAAATTGAAACGCCGTTCCTCTGATTTGGCATAGGGTAGAGAAGAGTTAATATTTTGTCTCTTACACATTGCTTCACATACTGTTCTAAATATTTACATTGTTCAGCCGATATGGACTCTGTCTCAGTCGATAACCGAAGAGACTATTCAGAGGAACTGGACAAAGTTGACCAGTCACCTACTAGTCTCCATGCTGGACTCCGCCGTGTTCCTGACAAATTCCCACGTGTCGCACTATTAATCCTTGTCGTCGAGGTAAGTTGCTCCACCGCCCACGTGTTGATTGCCCTAGCTCGCCCGCTAACATGGACATACTAGCTTGGCGAACGGTTCACTTATTTTGGCCTCAGCGGTCCTATGCAAAATTATATCAAGTATGCTGTCTTTTACAAATGAGTTGATCTTTTGAAAACAATATCTAACTCCGTTTTTATCTAGTAACCCCTATGATCCTGGTTCAGATCTCCCTGGCGCACTAGGCAAAGGACAAGCAACCGCATCGGCTCTTGGAAACTTCTTTAAATTTTGGGCTTATGCCTCCACCATTATTGGCGCGATTGTTGCAGGTAATACATCTCCCCTTGAGAGATTGCATCATTGTTATTAATAGTCCACCAGACCAATACGTCGGCAAATTCAAAGCCATCACAATCTCTTTGGGAATCTACATAGTCGGGTTGATCATCTTGGTTGCAACCGCGACACCAGCTGGCTTTAAGAGCGATGCTGGTTTTGGAGGCTTGGTTGCTGCGATGGTCATCATTGGCCTAGGAACAGGTGGAATCAAGGCCAATGTGACTCCCATGTGCGCGGAGCAATACCAAAATGTAGAGCCGGTGTTAAGGATACTCAAATCAGGCGAACGTGTGGTTGTTGATCCCGAAATGACCGTGCAGCGACTTTTCATGTGGTTCTACTGGGTTGTCAATGTTGGCGCCCTCTCCCCCTTGATTACAGTCAATGTTGAGGCGAAGAGCTCTTTCTGGCTTGCATATTTGATCCCACTGATGTAAGTTGGGATAAGACATATTTGTATTACACACCTGCTAATTTCCTCCAGTGCAATTGTTCTCTCGGCTATCGTCTTCTTGTCCGGCCAGAAACGATATGTTAAGATTCCTCCTCAGGGGTCTGCTATTATTGATGCATGCAAGGTCTTGAACATTGCTCGACAGGAGAAGAATTTTGAAAACGCGAAGCCATCAGCACTAGAGGCCTCAGGACATTTGAGCAAGTATCCATTTGCATCTTCACCGCACTACACGGATCAGTACGTCTCAGACGTCCGTCGAGGCTTTAGAAGCTGCAGAGTAAGTTGGGATCTGATACCTCAATACTGAGTTATGCTTACACATAGTATAGATGTTTATATTCTTCCCATTCTATTTTGTTTGCTGGGTCCAGATTTGGAACAATCTTATCTCGCAAGCTGGACAAATGGCGTTGCATGGAACGCCGAACGATCTCCTGCAAAACCTTGACCCGATCGCCTTGTGTATCTTCATCCCACTTCTTGACTGTGAGTATTGAATGATGATACCGAAATAACATCCGCTAACCAATATATCTCTAGTGGGCGTCTATCCAGTCTTTCGCAAGTTTAAGATCAACTTCAGCCCAGTCCGTCGAATCTTCGCCGGTTTCCTTCTTGTCTCAATCTCCATGGTCTACGCCAGTGTGCTACAGCATTACATTTATAAGTCCCCAGCAAACAGCATACACGTGTGGATTCAAGCCCCAGCATATATCTTGGTCGCATTCTCCGAGGCCTTTGTTATTGTTACTGGATTGGAGCTTGCCTTCACCCATGCTCCGAAAACGTGAGTCAACTGCCCACATAGTACTATCCTACTCAAACTAACCACAACTTATTTCAGCCTTCGATCTTTTATCTCTGCACTTTTCTGGCTCATGATCGGCATTGCGGCGGCGATCTGCATCGGTCTAAGCCCAGTGTCGCAAGATCCGTATCTTCCTTGGATGTATGGATCTCTTGCAATTGTGGGCTTCGTGGCGGGATGTGCGTTTTATCTTTGCTTCAGGAAGAGTGACTCTCTTGATCCAGTAGACCCAGGATTCGTCGAAGGAGTTCCAGTTGAAGGAAACGGGCAGCATGTTATACAGATTGCTGACTATGGCAAACACAGTGAAGCATAGAAGTTGTCTGTTCAATTAAATAGCCTATATAATCAATCTACTTCCGACTATTATTCTAACAGCCGTTTTCCTTACATCACACGTTCAAGTAGATGTTTGATTCCTCCAGATTTTAGCATCTATAAGCCTCCGTTCATTCCTTCGTCCACTACTTATGTCTTCCTTTTTATACACTCATCTCGACAAGTTGCAAATAATACCAACAGACTGAAATATATACTATACGTACAGCCTAGCATTTGGATCAACATTGAACTTTTCTTTATTCAAGTTCAATTTAATCAATTCGATAATCTAGAGATTGCCCTAAATACAATCGTGGCACTTGTGGCAAGCCCAGAATTTGCGAGATAGGTATATACTACTCTTGGTATCCACCTTCCCCAGTGCCATGCCTCTATCATTTCAATTCAGCCGAACTTAGAATCACGGGCGCCAATCACAAGCTATGCCGCCTATCCCCACAGTTTAATGCCGCCAATCGGAGCAGCCCCCAATCTTTCGCCTCCGAGATAGGCGCTTGTTTACTCGTTAACCTCATCTAAATTGAAATCGGGATTCTAGACACGAGATAACCAATATGAAATCCAATGAGTCAAAGTGAAGGGCTCATCAGAAATTAAGAAGTTCTTGTTGGTGTTCAGAGTTACCAGGCACGATCGAGGTGGTTGTTCTAATATCACAAGAATTATTTATATATTACATCTTTACACTCTTGAGACGGTTTGCCAGAGTGAGCTACTAATAGCATAGAAATTTAGAGGTGACAGTATACTTAGTAGATATATACATTCCTTCATATCCCTGGGAGAGATAATCCATTGGACCATCTTATCCCCTGTGAAACAGATTGATTTGGCCAGGAATTATCATGTAAATCTGTCAAGAAACAAGGAAACTCACTTGCCAAAAATGTTCTTAACTGTACTCCATCCAGGATAAGTATCAGGGGCACCGGCCTTATGGTTCATGAAACTATGGTCTTCGGTAACACAAGTTGGCTCTCCTTCGGTATTCATAGGTAGGGCATTGGACTCAAGCATGTTCTCACGCTCGATAAACTTATTTTGCGCTTGCGTCTTCTGATCACTCAAAGAAAGGAAGTCACCCATTGTTGATTTGGGATTGATAGCCTGTGGTATGAGAGTTAGGGTTAGTTAGCATATTCTGTGAAGCTGTCCCGACAACACTCGACCACGTACATCTGAATGGCCCAATCCCTCATTCTTGCCACCTAACCAGAGCCTGTCGCCCCATCCTTGTCCACCTCCGACATTGTTGGCGGGAGTGGGCTCGGCACTGCTGCCACCGGCGACCGCAGTCGTTTGGCGGTTGGGGGTACTATCGCTGCCCATTTTGATATTGTGAATATTCTGACCTGCATATGAGGTCATTAGCGTAATAGATCTTAGCGAGAAGCGATTCAAACGAAGTGATAAAATAATGAGAGAAGTGGATGGTATAAGTCGGCGTTGTATCTGGAAGTTTGTAAACTCACGATGTATATGTTAAGGAAATTCGGTTCAATTGTGGCTTCAATCCTTGTGATTGAAATTGTTTAGCTGGTGGATTTGAGATGAAGTTGAATTTGTTTACTTGGATTTATATACGTTCCATAGCCTTGACCTAATCCTCGCCACAACCCCGCATGAAGTCATGATGAGTACATATCACTCTCTGTGATTGGTTTACCATTGAAGTAACTACGTATATCGAATACTTACATATTGTCAAACTTGCTTTCCCAAATGCTTTAGTTTGCCAGGTATTCTTCGCCCCTTTGTTTCTTAGTACCTTAGAAGCTGTATATATAGATGACTTATGGCAGTATTAGTGCCCGAACCTCGATATTCTCATCAATTACTTTCTAGTTCCTTTCCATGTGTATATGGTACATGCATGGCATATAAATAAGTGGGTTCTAGCATGTATTCACTGACATTTAACGAAGAAGTTATAAACATTGTTGGCGCTTGAGGAAACCAGCCGTGGAAGAAGCTCTCCGGATGTCCACGTTATAGGTTTCGGAACTATATATGAACAACCTGCTTCATGTTTGTCTTCTCTTTCTCTTTCCTATTCTCATGATTCTTACTGATGACATTATCCTTTAGGGAGATTTGATATAATCATCTCACTACGCATGTTCAAACGATTAAACTATTGAACTATTGAACTATTGACGATGCGATACCTCGGTTGACAGGAGATAGCCTACTCGTGTTGCTTTTTGTCAAAGTATACTTGGAAGGAGAACGGGCCAATCTTCATGGCGAGAGCCAATACCCGCCTCATGGAAAGAAGATTGTCTCCAATCTGCTATTCCAATCCGAGAACACCTATATCCTATCTTGTCTTGATATGAATACCCGGGACAATCTTTTTTGGAATACCGCCGCGGTCGGCAACAGAAGAGTGGAAATCGTGGACATTCTACTCAGAAATCAAGGGAGAAGGATCTCAGGGCGTTCCATTCCTAGTACACACGAGCCAATCGTGCAGTTGCTTCTGTGGAATAGCGAGACCTAAATGAAGCACACCTGGAAGCCGACACAGGCCTTTGGGGGACTACCGGCGACTAAGTATCCCACTGGGGCATAACCCTCTCATTAGTGAGAGGTGACAATTCTTTTTGGGAATTGTCCCCCTCGACCCTGCCTGAAATGTCAGTACCGCCTTCCTAATCGGGTACCTCTTAGAATTTTGCTACAGATGTTTAACCAAATTAGGAAGGCGGTACTGAAAATGGAGTAGAGGGGTAAAGAATTAGCCGCAGAATATACTACTGATGTGGCTAGCGGATCTATTAATCTATTATTTTGGACTTGAATCATTTTATTTAACTTATATGAATTTAGAAAGCCAATGTTGCCCTCCAGTTTTCAGTGGGTTGCTCATTTTTTGCGAGGATGCTCCAGATCATACCGAACCACCCTGAAAGTTGGCCAAACCTGCAACAAGACAGCGCCAACCATCATACAACCCGCAAAGACCTGAGCATGCAGGAACTCCGAGGTATCGAGATTGACCAAAGCACCTGCAATTGGAGTTCCAGCAAGCGCCCCGAAAGACGATATCCCCCACATCATGCCCAAACGAGTCCCCAAGAAGCTTGAATCCGGACAGAAAATCGGATGTGCCACAATGGAAGTCGGCGCCGTGACCAAAACACCACTGAGAGCTCCCCAGTAGCATGCCCAGACAATAAACCCAGCCATACTGGTAGCCGCAATCCAAGTGAACATAGCAATCGCCGACGCGATCACGGAGAATATCAGTATCCCAATAGGTTTTATATATGCGACAAGCAGATATGGAACGACGCGACCGATGACGGACGTGCCATTGACAATAGCAACCATATAAAAGCTAAAATCGGTAGTGGTATGCACCACCGTGCGGGCATAGGAGGCGATGTAGAAAATTGGCACGTAGTATGCGAGCATGACACACGTGAGCGAGAGCGAGAACATCATAAATGAGGGCTCACGGAAGGCACTCCAGTCGATAAGACTTCTTGCATGTGCTCTCTGGCCTGGTTGCCGACACAAAATCAGACATGCTACAACAGCAAGAAATAGGCTGATGAAGCCAATGCTGCGAACTGCCCATGCGAATCCGACTCTGGGCTGCAGTTGGCGGAACATGACTGGGAAAATGACGGCCCCCACGCTAGACCCAATTGATGCGCAGCCGATGGCGATTGGGCGTTTTGTGGTGAAACTCGTTGATATTACGACGAGGGCTGGGATGTAGGAGATACCGCCTCCCATTCCGACGCAGAATCCTTGCGCGAGTAGTACCTATTCTTGTCAGAAATGGTTCTTCCAATGTCAGATTTCGGATGTACCTGATAGTACGAAGTGGCGAGACTGGTCATCATCATTCCGAATACAGTCAAGAAACTTCCGGATATAATTAGAGGACGCAAGTATCCGATATCAACTAATGGCCCCGTAGCAAGACCAACCATTGGGATTAGCGTGGCCTGGATACTGCCTACCCATGAGATCGTGGATGGTGTCTCATTTGGCAGAAGTTCTGTTTGGTAATACTCTTGGAAAGAGCCATAGGTCGTCAGTAGGCCCCTGGAGACAATATTAGCTTGATACAAGCACAGTAAGTGTGACAACAGTGTAAACCAACCAAGAGTTCACAAAGACACAGAAGCCCGCAAGAACATTTAACCATGCATCAAGGCCCCCATTGACTCTTTTTTTCGGTTGTTCGTTTTCACGTTCATTGTCAAGTGCCAAGTTGTCCGATGGTAAATGTGGTTGGGCGCCATGTGTCTTCTTTGTTGAACGCATTTCGATATATGTGTGCCATTATGTATCAAAGGAAAACAGCTATGACCTTACAGTTATAAGGAAGAAGAACCCTTTTCCCTCCAGCACTCCACTGTGGGGAAACCGGGGTTTCCATTAGTCAACTTCTTCGAGCGGCACTGGGTAGCCGAGCTCTACCGATTTGGTTGGCTGTTATGGGTTTTTTTATGTGCTCGTCGGGGACCTCCGAATTTCTGATCTTCCCGACATCTACGGAGTATGTTGTACTTAACCGCACTGAATATTACTTCCGCTTCCGGAATATATATCGCCTTTCTCTAGGGCTCCATGATCTAACTTTGTGCCTCTATTATTCTCTCGCAGGACTTTCTTCTCGGACAATTTCTTGGCTGCATGCTCCTATAGTGTCAGTTGACGCGAGACTAGACCAATCACATCCACATCCGGGGTAAAAGCCTCCTACACATTGGCAATCTTCGTTCTATATGAGCAATCGAGATCAACTATGATTCAATCGAACCCTTTTTGTCGTCTTTGACCTTATGAATTATGTCACTAATTTTACATCGCATTTGCCGAATGATTCAACGCACAATCACGTCGCTCAATGCGCTATGTGACTTTATGCTAACCCTTAAGGATTTCCGTTGATGTACTCCGTGACCGTTATATCACCCCGATCTGGAGAGACATTGGCTATTCATGGTTGTGATCCATTGCTCAATCACGTCAGAGCACGCCGCCCCTATAGCCATCTGCTAACCCCCAAAGAGCCACCTCTTGTCGCAAGACGGCGGTCTCCCTGTCCCTCTCCAGATTGTGCATTGCTGGAGATCCCCGTTTGTTTGAGGAAGTGTTATTCTGCTCGGTCTTACTACAGTCCCGAGGTGATCCCTATATCGGGCCTCCTTCACACCGAATTGTGCCTTCTGTACCCGCCTATTAACACCAATATGTATTATCCGCCTAAGCCTAATACACTACACATCATAGAGCTTGGGAAATGGCTAGCCCGCTGAAGAATGGATGTGGCGAGTTGGATCTTACTAGAAAAGGCAATCAATGGTGCGTGAAGTATGGGCAGGCCTTTCTGATGATCTGGAGGGAGAAATTCCAATTATTTAGACTTATTCCGCGTTATTTCGACCAGTCTCAGAGTCTTGCCCTAGCAAGCACTCCATTTTATTGAAATACCTCAAGGATAGAGGCAACATAAGCGGCCAATGATACTTGTTGTAAAATTAGAAGAAAGCAATGATTCAACAATGTCATATTCCAGAAAGCAGCGTTCGCTATGAGCGTCGATATAAGTATATGTAATGCTGGACTTTTGCATCTGACCCATCTGAGCCACCAATCAAGGCTTCAGGACAGGCGGGATATCAAATTGCAAGTGATGGAAAAAGGAGTCTTTTCATGTCGTGAATACAGAAAGAAAATCGTAATAGCCAATGAGAACCAAAACAAAACAAAGTCATCTTCTAATGAGGTTACTCATCCTCAAACTGGTCTGCCCATGTTCCAGTGATGGGTGAAAACGAAGATTCCAATTTTTCCATTGCTGACTGTGACTTGGATGGTGCAGGAGCAGTTTCGAGCTGGACTTTAGTCTCAGCCTTAAGCTTGTTCTCCGGCGCAGGCGCAGCTTTGGTCTCAGTCTTCTTGGGTCCTTCAGGCAGAGCCGGGAATGCACTCTCATCCAACCTCGGTGCAGCAGGGCTCTCTGTTGCATATATACTGTCAGCTAAGCCCTTGCGTGGCCGGTCTCCCTGTAGGGCACGGGAAGATCCACGGTCACGGCCACCTCGACCACCTCGTCCACCTCGTCCACGACCCCGGTTGTCACTAGAATGATCTGCAACATCTTCTGAACGGCCGTCTTCAAAGTCTCGTCGCACGGCGCCAGACACACCGCCATGCATACCGCGTCGGAATTGGCTGCCTCCACCGCGGGGGTCATAATCTTCCTCGCGTTTCTGCGAGTCCCACTCACGCCCTGTCTGGGCCTTGAGTTTACGCTGTCTGTTTTTCTCACGTTCACTATCCATAACGCGGCGGTGCGCGAGTTCCTCACGACGTTTCTTCGCCGCCTCCTGCTCGCGCTCCATGAACGACGCCTGATCAGCTTCGGCGCGAGCATGGGCTGCAGCCTTCTTCACAGCGTTCTCCTTGGCTGCAGCAATGCGTTTAGATAGTTCCTCCTCTGTGAGTTTAGGCTGGAAGTAAACAGTCAGCAAGGTACTCTTGGTAAGAGCGGGAAGGACTGCATACTTTTCTCAGACCACCAGTGGCACTCCGATCACCACGGACAGCTGGCACACGCTGGGCCTCTTCACCACCCTCTTCGACCGGACCGGTCTGCTCTTTAGGCTCAGCGGGCTTCTCATGCCTGGAAGCACTAGCCTCACGCACATCGGCAGCAGGCGCATTGGCAGGAGCCTTTTTGCGCGGTGTGCTTTCTGACCGTTTTTGCTCTGACTCCCTTCCACCGCGTCCTCCTTTGCCCCGACTCCGTCGTCCCCGGCCTCGTTCACCGCCACGGCCCCGCTGCGGAGTTTCCCCACGTGGAATTGGTTGCTCGGGAGCTTGCTTCTCGGGTACATGTGCCTCCTGTGACTCTGGCTCTGCCTCGGCGGTAATGGCCTCTGTGTGCGCCTGCTGCTCTTCTGTGGAGATTGGGATAATCTCGTCGTCGAATAGGTCGTCAGCGCCGCGAGTTTGTGCGAACTCGTCCATCTCGGGGTCTGCCATTGCGATTGGGTCTGGATAAGTGCACTGGAAGGTTGGAAAAGTCGCGGGTGGGCTGTGAACTCGAAACTCGCGGAATTGTTGCCGCTATATACGCGATTCGAGGGGTAGCTGCGATGGAGGGGCTCAGATGATGGTCTGTGTGCAGGCTAGTGGAGGGTGTAATATATTGTCGTCTTTCAAAATTTGCAATAATTCATATAAAAAGCATATGTAACGGAGAAACGAATAGCAGGGATTACAGTGGTCACACAGCTCAACTGATCTGCAATCCAGCTGGGGCAGTCTGCTAGGCGGTCTGCTATTGCTGCGGAGCACATTGTTTTGCCGATGAACTCCGTCTGCTTTCTGCCGATATAAGTCGTGCCTGCGCTTGTTTGTACTCGACCTGATTTGACATGCTGCAACTAGGCCGATTTACCTGTCAAGGGTAAGTTGGTCACTTCCCGGCCCCAAACTCGACAAGTCGAATTAGACATTTGGAATGTCCATCTCCTCAAGTCAGAGGGGGAAGAAATCCGGGGTTCTCCACAAATGCGGAGAAACCCCCTGCTTCACTCCAAGGCTGTTGGAATCGGCACTTCTGATTGCTTGTATTTCGTGATGTACGTAGTTGCTCATTCAAGGCGCTATCTCAGCTCCTATTCCTTGAGATATCCGCGTAGAGACTTCATCATAGTTTGTAGATTTCTCACATTGGCGTGAGTGAGAGATCCTTGGTCAACGGTGACCTGGCTCATTCAAGGGTATAGACACTGTTTTGCTTTTTCTTCTTGAAAATCCACGGGTATTTACTGCACAAAGCTGTCTGTCTTCGGTGGGGGGAGCTCCATAAACAAGGCCAAATTTACAGCGGAGTTCTATATTGCTACTAGGTACATGCACAGTTGCTGGGGAATCCCGTTGAGTAATCGAGTCTCAAGGGTTATTGGAACTATCTTAAGTCCCCATCATTGTGACGCAAAGGCTGTTGGCAAAACATAGAAGAAACTGGGTACATGTAGGTTGTAGCATGAGCACAGAATTTAATCTCGGTCAACTATCAACCAATCAGACAGGATAGTCAATCGCTAGTTAAGGACTATGATCATCAGTATCAAGCAGGGTACCTGGACTACTAGGTATACACACACTTACTGCCATTGCTTGAGCGTCTTCTCAAGGTCTCCCAGCCTATCAATCTGCTTTATATGAATCACACTGAGAGAATCTCGGTCCTTCGATAAAACAGTGGACTTCTGTCGTATCCCACGTATCTTATCTAGCAACCTTTCTGTCTCGTCATGCGCAGCCTTGGCTTGTTCTGAGGTTGGCGTGTCTCGTAGAATCTTGTACAGCCGATTTTGCCACGCCGGTAATTCTGCCTCTTCCGCACCCATCTGCTCTTCGAGTCCAGATGATTACTTTATTCTGATATGTCTCGATATCCTTTCTCAGGGCATTGGTGGTTCGGACGATCATCCATGCATGGAACTTGGTAACGAAGTGTTGAATCAATCCACGCTGCTGCTAACGAGATAAGAGAGATTCCTGCCATCGGAAACACAACAAATAAAATGAGCCCGTTCATGATGTAGAGTTTGGAGCATTGTAAATGAGTCAGTCAAAAAGTGAGAACATTTGGAAGTTGGAGAGTGGTAATAACTATAAAACTTTGAATCTAATTGGCTACTTCCTCTTATACTTCTTAGACATCTCGAGCCAAGATCTCAATATCTGGATCATCGCTGAAGTATCGTCAATGCCATAAAGAAGTATAACAGTGGTATTTTGATGTTAATCTAGTGGGTATATGATTTCCTTTATATCGAAAGAAATATGCAGCCAGTCAACCGCTAGGGACTAGAGGGGTCATGTTCCTTTTGATTAGGGTTAGAAAACTTATTACTATCACTTTCTTTACTTCTTCAATAGCAGCCGAGTCTTAAATTAGCGGAGCGCTACACTGTGTGAAGCAACCAATAAGACACCCGCGATAGCCGCTATAGAAGGCCCCACATCTCCGCAGTCCCTTCGGATATTGCGCCGAGTCTCCGATCACATCATTGGCAATCTCTCTGTTCGAAAAACTTCAGTTCGCTCTGGAAATCACATCATGTCTGCGGGTGACACTGCCAGAGAGCCTGCGTCTGAGCAAACACCGCTCCTTCGTGATTCACCCAATAGCGATGCCAATGAGAATACCCCACTACACCAGGAACCCAGTACCAAGGAGCTGATTTGGATCCTCGGAAGCATTTGGCTCGGTGTCTTCCTAGCTGCTCTCGGTATGGACTTCAACTTTTTCAGGAGTATCATAATGACTGACTTTGGCTCATTGCAGATACAACAATCGTTGCCACGCTTTCCGCGCCTATCTCTTCGTCCTTCAACTCATTCTCGTTGCTCTCGTGGCTAGCCACTTCTTATTTGATCTCCAATGCCGCCTGCCAGCCTCTCAGTGGCCGATTGACTGATATTTACTCTCGTCGGTGGGGGCTTGTGTTCTCTAACGTCTTCTTCGCCCTTGGCAACTTGATCTGCGGCCTGGCAAGAGCACAATGGGTTATCATTTTCGGTCGCGTCGTAGCAGGTGTCGGAGGAGGCGGTCTTACTGCGATCTCGACCTTCGTCACTTCTGACCTAGTCCCTCTCCGTAAGCGAGGCATATGGCAGGGCATTGGAAACATCTGCTACGGTGCTGGTATGGGACTTGGAGGTGTGTTTGGCGGGTGGATCAACGATACTCTGGGATGGAGATGGGCGTTTTTGCTTCAGGTTCCCTTCCTGATCATCTCATGCATCTTAGTGGCGGTTAAAGTCAAGATTCCCGTGAAGGAGTCGGATACCGCGCGCATCAAACGCGTTGACTTCCTCGGCGCTATCACTCTAGTTCTGACATTGGTCACATTATTGCTTGGCCTCAACACGGGCGGAAACCAAGTACCGTGGACCCACCCACTGGTACTGACATCGCTGGTTGCCTCCGCTGTCTTCCTGGGTCTGTTCATCTATGTGGAAGCTGTGGTTGCTTCTGAGCCTGTCATTCCCGTGCGCCTTTTGCTGAACCGCACCGTGGCAGCTGCTTGTCTGACCAACTGGTTCGGTACCATGGCCATCTTCGGCCTCCTCTTTTATCTACCGGTGTACTTCCAGGTGCAGGGACTTTCCCCGACTGCTGCGGGTGCGCGATTAATTCCGCAGGCGGTCGGCACCTCGATCGGCTCTTTGGGGTCGGGTATCATCATGCGCGCCAGCGGTCGATATGCATCTCTTAATTATGTTGCCATGGCTGTCCAGGTTCTCTCCGCTGGGCTCATCTGCACTTTGAATCTCCACACGCCTGTGGGATTGCCGTTCCTCTATTTCTTCCTAGGCGGAGCATCCTATGGTAGCATGCTAACCATCACCCTGGTGGCGCTCATCTCTGCTGTAGACCACCAACACCATGCGGTGGTGACATCTGCTTCGTATGCCTTCCGTAGCACGGGAAGTACGATTGGTATCACGGTCGCTTCGGCTGTCTTCCAGAACACCCTAAGGCTCGGGCTGTGGTCTCGATTGGGTGAGCGCAAGGACGCCAAGGAGCTGATTGAACGGCTTCGTGACAGCTTGGACGAAATTTGGAAGCTGCCCGCAGATTTGACATCCGGGGTTCTTGACGCATACATGGACTCCTTGCGCGCGGTGTTCGTGACATTGTTGGGCCTGGCCGTCCTGGGAGCATTGACCAGTCTGGCTATGAGGGAGCACAAACTGCACAACAACCTAGCCCGACGATAGAGTAGGTATTCATTCGGGCATTTAAAGAAAAAATGTTCGAGTATTATATTAGATCAGCTGCCATCAGCATATATAGGGTTGCGGTGTCGGGGTTCGCAACAACCCAGCAGTCAACGTACAGGAATAGATCAATAGAGAGACACATGAAACAAGTATTGGAAGTTGTACTCCGTCCTGAAGTTGTATGTAAAGCACATGTTGGATGATCTCAGGCATTGACCGCTTCGGCCCAACAACTCGCCAATCAATCTCAGCTTCTCCTGTACGGCCCCATTTTTAACCGCCATTGACCCCGAAGCAGCATTTTGGCTCTTTGCGATTGGCCGATCGTTTCCCTCGAACGAATCTCGGCATTTTTTCGCCGTGCAATAACACGGTTCACTCGGTAGCTCATCGCATCGGGTGTGTGGCAAAGACGTGGCGAGACCATCCAGACAACGCAACGACCTCACCGCTCGAGGACACCAGTTGATCGTCGTTGCACAGAATAAAGCGCCAGTCTCGATTTCAATCCTGGGTTGCATGATTGGACTTGATCAGACCACCAGTCCGATACCTTATCTCTTTGTACAGTCTGAGAGTCCCCAATCGATCTCGTTTTATCGCCTCTCGGCTTCGATTCTTCTCTACTATTTGCGCCTACCTATACCTTTCCTGCGAAAAAGAAGTCTGTTTCTTCCCTCCGGCTTACCTCCTTATCCCTAAACACTTCAGTCCGCCTTATTGGTCACATTGGCATGGCAGTTGGATTTCGAGTGAATAATTCACCAATTACGAAAGGCAAGGGCATTACAAAGGGGTCGTGGTCAAGTGATATGGAGGTGGATGGACGCTATAAGGGAACCGTGATTGGAAACAAAGCGGTGGAAAATGCGACATCATCCCATCCTCGGCGCCGCCGATTGCTTTTGTCGACGGATAGCGCTTTCGCCGACATCGTCCTCCCGTCCCTCGTTCAGAACCCATACATCGAGCTGCGACTGATCACAGACGAACCATCGGCTTTGCTCACGGGCACCAACAAGATCCCGCACTACATGGATATGGTCGACAGTCAAACATTCGATAAGAAAACCGGCGCGCGGAAATGGCTCAAGGCGAAGACGGCGGAGCTATGCGAATGGGCGGATATGCTCTTGGTTGCGCCCATCGATGCTGGAGCTCTGGGCGCGATGCTGGCTGGCTTGACTAATACCCTGACGTTGGCGCTCCTTCGTGGCTGGGTCTTGAAGAAACCCGTGATCCTCATCCCAGGAATGACGGTGTCAGAATGGGACCACCCGCTCAGCAGTCGCCAACTCGACGAAATCAGTCGTTTTTGGCCTTGGATTCGCACTATCAAGCCTGTGCTGTGGAAGTCAAACGGGCCCGAAGACCTGACAATACTGCCATGGGACGGCCTAAAGGAGTTACAACAAACACTAGAGACAACACTAAAACTACCGCCGTGGGAAGCTACCCTTTTGACCAGAGCAATCCCGCATGGTGCAGCGGTCCCGGCTAAGGCTGCAAAATCTATATCTGGAGGTGCTACCGGCTCCACGCCACAAACGGAACATTCGGGGAAGGCCGATTTCTTACCACTGGAAATCTGGCTAAATGTCTTTGAGGATCAACTGCAGGACTGGGAAACAGCGAAAGCTGTGGGCATTCCAACTCATCTTCCTGTTCCCCAAGAATGGCAGAGCCATCTACCCAAAATGTCCACTACGGCCACACTCGAATACACTATCTTGCGAGGATCTTTCGCTGCGATCAAAAAGCGCATTGATGCGCTGCCTCGCTGGAAACCGCTCTCCGACCTCGCTTGCCACCTCATCGTCAAATTCTCCCGCACCGACATACTTTCCTATCTCACAGAAAACCACCTGGACCTTCTCTGGACAACCTCCCGACTCACAAATATTCCTTACCGGGCATCCGCAATCTACGGCAACCCGAAAGTACTGACATGGTGGCGCGATGCGCCAGCTCTCCCCAACAAAGAGTACATGGCCGACGCCATGGACGGCGCCTCACGAGCAGGATTTATCGACGTCCTGGATTGGTGGCTACACTCAGGGCTTCCGCTAAGATACAGCGAACGTGCTCTCGAAGCTGCCAGCGCCGAAGGTCGAGTCCCCGTACTTGACTGGTGGAAAGCCGCCTCCGCCAACGCCCCACTGTCCAACCCCTTACCTCTCAAAGTCGGCAAATCCGTCCTACTCGCAGCGCAGTCGGGCCGCATCGCATCTATTGCTTGGTGGGACGCGTCGGGGATTCCTTACAGCCACACCGAGAACATTGCGCGCATCGCGAGCACGCACGGCCATGTTCATGTCCTCGAGTTCTGGTATAAACTCAAGGGCCCAAAGATGATCTTTGATAACCAGGTGCTTGTGGGCCCCACGAAGAATGGCCATGACAACGTTCTACAGTGGTGGAAAGACTGCGGTATGCGGGTTGAATTCAAAACTTGTGACATTGAAGAAGCGCTTGAAGATGCGGATCCGAGCTCTGGCGCTGAGGATCGTGTTCGGCGTTGGTGGGAGCGGAACGGACTGAACCTTGGAGTTGGCACGAGTGAGTGGATGAGATCGAAGGTTCTGTGAGACTTCATTTTGCATCACTGCATGGCTTGCGCTTTCGGTCTTTTGGCGTCTTGGGAAGGGATTCATATCTCCTCTTCTGTTCCTGCGGTTGCGTTTTGTTCTTTTTCATATCATGACTCCAGATGATGACGACGTATAATACCCATTTGAATGTTCACAATTTTCACAATTTTCATCGCGCGGTAGAGCTTCGAGTTTGTTCAGAAGCTCTACAAGTAATATATATTGTCTGTGTTTAAATTGAATCTACCTCTTACATATCTTTTCCATGGGGCGATAGAACTCATTCTCATTTTTCAATCTAGAATCAATTATAATCTACAATAATTCATGTGAATTGACTGCAAAGACCTGCTTCATATTTACTTTATATTCAGCTTCAACTTCTTGAGACCCGGGAATGCTCCCGGGCCATAGTTGCTGAGTCAAGGCCCAGCTCGCCGCCGCGGCTCCACCAGTAAATCGCAAACATCCAGCAACCTCCAACCTAACCAATAAATTGACAATCAATTTTGCTGATGTTGGCAAGCTGCGTCCTGCGACGCGTGCTGCGTGCTTCATGCCCAAGGGCAATATTAACCCGCACGCGAAAAGCATCATCAAGTCCTTATAACAACATCCCGTCAAATGGCATCAACGGCCTCCACAACATTACAAGAAAGAGACAGAGCGCCGCTCAAGATATCCGACCAAATAAACCGCGCAGTCTAATCACGGCCGCTATTCCAAGCTTTGCTGTACCACCTCTCATGTTCATCGGGCTCCTACTCGGTCTGTGGACTTGGAAATGCTTCTGGATTATTGTCATGCAAAACAAGCTCCTCTACCTCTCCTGGTTACCTCCATTCACAAGATCAGAGTCTATTTCAGATTACAAAGCTGAGTGCAGACCGGTACTGTGGGAGGAAAAGCAGATTCGCAGTTTGGATGGGACCAAATTGGCTGTTTGTGAGGGTCACATTCCGGTTCCTCCCAGGGACCGTGAGTCTGTTTTGAATACTGTTGCTTCACAAAATACACACCAGGGGAAACTGATCCCGAAACGGAAAAATTCCGTTGTGATCTGTTACTTCCAAGGCAATGGCGGATCGACCCCTATGCGGTTGCCTCTTCTCTCTCATGTCTTGCGCGCAATTGCGGAAACGTCTAGATCGGATCCATCTCCTATGTCTAACTCCAAAATCTCCCCATATACTATTGCTGCCCTGTCATACCGCGGGTACTGGACATCATCCGGCCGCGCCACACAGTCCGGTATTGAGATGGATGCCCAGGCACTCTTGAATTGGGTTTCAGAAACATATGCGTCCCCAGAAACTGATCTTGAAATTGTAATTTGGGGACACAGTCTGGGTGCTGCTGTTGCAACCTCAGCAGTATCTACGTATATTGCCCGCCAATGTGAGGGCAAAGCCTCAAATACAGGCAGCAACAGGCCCCTGGCGCCTATTTCTGGGCTCATTTTGGAGGCGCCGACATCCAGCGTGAAAGATATGCTCATCAGCCTCTATCCTCAGAGATGGCTTCCGTACAGATATCTTTGGCCGTTCTCTTGGAATACCTGGGATATCAAGGCGAAGATGCAGCAAATGGCTACTTGGAGAGACCAACCGGGGTCTCAAGTCTTGAATGAAGCTACGACATCAATACCCCGCTCGCTTCCGCCAATTTTTCTTCTGGCTGCCGAGAAAGATGAAGTCATTCCATCATACGTACCAGGCCAGTTAGAACAACATGCCAAATCTCTCGGCTTGGAGATTGAGAGGAAAGATGTTATGGGTGCTATGCATATAGAGGCACCACTCAAACTGGATGGTAGGAAAGCAATGGTGAAATTCATCCTAAACGTCACATCCGTGCCTAGAACATAACATAACAACCTCACGAGAGATACAATATAGACGATTGAAAGTATATAGTACCTTACTCCCACTTCTCAACACGTACGTGCTTAATATCCGCATCCTTCATAAGCGCCTTAATCTTCTCAAACTCCTTAGAAGCCTCAGACTCCCCGAAAGCAAAATGATCCTGGACCTGGTTCCACCCGCTAAAAAGAACAAACTCCTCATCTTCGCCCTCTTTGTCAATGCGCCACGCACCGCAGGAAGAAAACGGAGCCGTGTAGGCATTCAAATGGGACACGCCATTCCTGAAAACAGCGTCAAACTCGCCTTTCTTGCTTGGCTCGACAAAGTATCGAGTTATAGCGAGAACGGGTGCATCTAACGGGATTTTGGATGTAGGTGGCTGGATCCGTTAGCCTATATTTCTTGGTAACACCCTTGACCTACGAAATTAGTTCATCGTCAGGATCGAAGAGCTCACATCGAGGTCCAAGTGAAACATCCAGCTAACATCAAGACTGTCCTTCAACTGCGCGAGCAGGGCCTGGTTGATTTCAAATGAAAGCCACTGGCCTTCGCCTGTATGTTTCTCTACAGACTCCCACCCACCCATCAGGTAGACGGATGATGGGTCTTCGATCTGGCGGAGGTATGTGACATGATAGCCGGAGTGTGTTGATTGTTTCTCTTGGGCTTCTATGAAAGTACTCTTGGCGGAAGACGAGGGGTCTTGCGCTTTTAGGCGGAGGAGGGCGAGTTCGGTCACCGGCATTTTTATCTTCTCTTTGAATATATGGCCTGTGTTTTGGAGGGATTGTTTAGTTTGACCTCGATTACTGGGGATTGGACGTTGTTTTATATGTCTGTCTACTGAGCTAGGGTGGGGGGCGCTTTGTAGGCAGCTGTTAGAGGCGTCATCTAGCTAATTCTCGGACCCATTTGACTAATCGGGGATTATTCAATGTGGTTCGCTGGTTTTATCACTAGTGGATGTCTCTGGATGTGTGACTTTATGGCTACAAGCTAAGGGTTTCTTTTAAAAAGTCAGTATATATCTTTGCCACAGAATTTGGAAAAAGGGTAAACGAAATTGCAATGCGATCATTCAAGGATATACACGTCCGAGACACCAGCGATCAAAATAAATGTTAACCCTTCAGCACACGATAACCAATGACTTTGGGTATACCGATCAAGCAAAAGACTAGACAATGTACGAAAGAAACGAAAATCGCAAACTGCAAAGTAAAGATCATCCGAACTTGCGCATTGGAACCATATGGATCAGACCTCTTTCCTGTAGGGGCATTAATAACATGAGGTGTAATAGAGAGAAAAAATGACGTACCAAGTGAGTCCAGCTTTCTCGATGCCCGGGGTCTTAATAGCATTCCTGTCCCCAAAGGGATTGTCTTCATCGTCTTCTTCTTCTGGCTCACTCTCGCTCTCAAAGATTGGACGTGTGTGTTTTGACGAATATGCAAGAGGCAGGCTATCAGGGCGATTCGGCCGAGGTGGCTTTCGGGGGTTGATATTAAGCCCGGCAAGGCCGTCATTCATGTCCGTGTCTTGCAGACCAAGTCCATGTCTTTGCTTCCAATTGCCTTCCAAAATGTCATCCTCACTATCACTGTCATAATCCACGCTCTTGTCGAGCACCTCGAATGCCATCAATGCATCCACCAGCTCCTCATTTGCATGGATCAGGCCGCCTAGGAACTCTTCGGTTTCTATATACTGGATATATCGAAGGATGCTATGACGAAGCTGCTTGCAAGTATCGAATCGGTTAATGCACTCCGCATCCTCACCCACTCGGTGGGTCTCGCGATTGACGTGTTTAAGGGCATTCAACAGGTTGGTGCTAGCGACGGAAGAGGCAGCAAGGGTTTGCAAGATCTCCGGGCGCTCCTTTTCCATATCAAATCTCCTGTGGCTAATTGATAATTTCTTATCTTTCTTGACTTTCCTGGACTTGGATTTCTCTTTGGGACTGGTCAGCACAGTGGATGGCCCACTGCCCGCTGACACGGATACAACATGACCCATCGGGGGCTCGTTTGAATTCGAACTCGACCCCTCGCGGAGAACCTTGGCTTTCGCCTGTGTGGCAGGCTGCTTTTTGGGAACTTGCTTGTATAGCGCCGTGACCCTTGCCATGCCAGGGGTGTCCTTATAAGTTGTCGCCCATTGTCCAAAAATCTGTTTACATTTCTGCTTCACGAGTGGATCCGAAACGGAATCAGTAGCTGCGATCCGCAGACGTTCGAGCAATGCCTCATCGGCGAAATCACGCAAGAAGCGTTCTCCTGCATTTTGGACGAGGAAGTCGAGAATAGTAAGCGCGCGCAGTTGTCGATGGATATTGCCATATTTTCTGAACTGGTCAGACTGATTCTCAGCACTTTCAATACTCATGGACTTACAGTTTCTTGCGAAGAGCCCGACTTGCTTCCATCGGGCCGCTGGCCTGGATGCGAACTACTTCCACTAAATCGACAATACCGCTGGAGTCTTCGACTTCATATTGCTCGCTCGTAAGGACCTCAATCTGTACGGTCACTGCCGAGTACGGTTTCTAACAGCTATATCAGTCGGTGCTGGAAGGATGTATGGTCTTCACCCGATGACTCACGGAGGATTGAAACATTCTGCCCTAGCCAAGGTGATGGTTTCGAAAACTGTATACTTGTTTTGAGTAGGAGCAGGTCTGGGAATGGAAAATGGTCCCTGGTATCAAAAGCCAATAGTCAACCCCACGCTGCGATGTCGGTATATAAATGACCCCGCACGGCGCTGTTTACACCAACGCTTCACAGGAAGCGGGTATGTATGGGGCTTTCGACGGTGATAGGAAGCAACTTGATTCGCTAGAAAAATACCGGAAAGGGATCAACGGTGTGAAACACAAAATAAGGGTTCAAGAAGCTTTCGCGATACCTTCACGTGGTGTACGTGGTGTACGTGTTGTAGGTGACGTCGGAGGCCCCAGGGGGGTCTCGGCGCCCGTTAATATGATAAGCGCAATGGAACTACCGCAAAAATGTAAAGAATGTTTTGGTGTTTCTCAGTTTGTCCAACAGGGCATCCAAATTGCAAAATGGCCTTGTTACAGGGGAAGAGGGGAGATCAAACAATGCTGAGACAGTTTAAGCTTATCGGCTGGCCAAAAGGGGATTAGGGCGGGGTCTCATGCCTGAGGCCAAATTTATGAGAAAGAAGTCATTGACGACTTTAAAAGACCAGCAATAACCAATAAGACCTCGAGAAAGAAAGAATAGTCAATCCTGACTACATTTCTTGTCAATTAATCTTGAATGAAGCTCTCATCTGCACACCGGACGGACCCATCCCAACGCTCATATTTCTTACGCGTACTGTCCCGCTTCGTGGTCTGCTCCACCCTTATTCTGGCCGTCAGCGTGGCTCTGAAATCCCGCTCTCGTCTCTCCCTCCTCCTCCCCCACCTCTCCTACAACCAACCTACAATCATGTCTTACCAACAGGAACGTTACATTGCCGAATTGGCCGTCCAGAGGGCGTGTCTCCTGACACAGAAGGTATTCTTCGAGAAGGCCAAGGGCACAATTTCCAAGGACGACAAGTCTCCCGTCACCATTGGCGACTTCGGCGCTCAGGCCCTGATCATCTCGGCTCTCCGGAAGAATTTCCCTAATGACGAGATCGTTGCCGAGGAGGAGGCGAGCACTCTGCGTGCGGACAAAGAGCTCAGCGCTGAGATCTGGCGCTTGGTCAAGGACACCCATCTGGAGGATGCGGAGAGCGAGAATATTCTGGGTGGACCTCTCACCAGTGAGCAGAGCATGCTGGACATCATCGATAGCGGCAACAGTGCCGGTGGTCCTAAGGGTCGCATCTGGGCTCTCGATCCCATCGACGGCACCAAGGGTTTCCTCCGTGGCGGCCAGTACGCTGTGTGTCTTGGTCTGATAGTTGATGGTGACGTCAAGGTCGGTGCCATTGGTACTCCGAACCTCCCCGTCGATGGTTCTGCCCCCATTGCTGCCAGCACCGGTGATCAGCATTCCAAGGCTGCCGGAAACGGTGTCCTGTTCTCTGCTATCCTGGGCGCGGGTGCCATCAGCCGTCCCCTGGCCAGTGGTCCTCTTGCTGCCAGCAAGCCCATCTCCATGCGCTCCGTCGCGAACATATCCGACGCTGTTTTCTGTGAAGGTGTTGAGGCTGCGCACTCCGCCCAGGGTGACAACGCTGCCGTTGCTCAGCTTCTTGGAATCACCGCCCCGAGTGTGCGACTGGACTCGCAGGCCAAGTACTGCTCTATTGCCCGTGGTGCCGGTGACGTCTACCTGCGTCTCCCCGCGAAGAAGGACTACCAGGAGAAGATCTGGGATCACGCCGCTGGTGATCTAATTGTGCGTGAGGCTGGTGGCCAGGTGACTGACATGCACGGCAACCGGTTGGATTTCAGCAAGGGCCGGACCTTGGCTGTCAACAAGGGTGTCGTTGCCGCCCCCAAGGCCCACCAGGAACAGGTCATTAATGCCGTCAAGACCGTTCTGAAGCTGTGATTGGTTTATATATTTTTTAATTTGTTGCCTCTTCCGCTACACTTGAGCTCCTGGGGAGCGGGATCAGTTTGAAGTAGATTTGTGATACCATCGCTTGAATAAAAAAATACATATGTGACGATAAGAGTACAAAACACGGAACCAAACACAATGTCCCGCGTAGCTGAAAAGAAAGGCGCCTCCCGTCTATTTGATCTTCTTCGCCTTGAGCTTGATAGTCTCTCCGTTGACGAAGATACCCTTGCCCTTGTACGGCTCGGGCCGTCTCCATTCTCTGATTTCAGCCGCGAATTGGGTCACAACCCGCTTGTCGACACCCTCCAATAGGATTCTGGTGGGCTGTGGTGTGCTAGCCACAACGCCCTTGGGAATACCCAGTTCAATGGGGTGGGAGAAGCCCACCTTGAGGGAAACGAATTTTTGGCCGGGGTAGGCGGCTTGGACGGTGGATGCCTTATCCTCGATGGTCGCCCTGTAACCGACACCAACCATACTCAAGACACAGACGTGGCCTTCGGAGACGCCGAGGATGTGATTCTGGAGGAGTGCCCGAATAGTTCCTAGACAGAAAAGCAAAGTGTTAGACATTGATAAGTTGCCGTGCGGACTGGACCGCCGCGGAGAAAAGACAGGAAAACATACCCCACATAGCACGCTGGTGAGGGACAGTCTGATCCAAGACTGACAAACTAGCCTTCTGACCTGTCTCGTCGGGGGTGATAGTGAGAAATGAGGGAATGCTCAGGCTCATCTCGCCTGTGAATCGGGCGAGTTAGCATCCATCGGCGGGACCATTAAGCAATAACACATTACCCTTAGGACCCTTGATCTCAGCAATGAACTTGGGGATATCCTTTCCTCGCGTCCGGGTGAGAGTCGCGGGGATATCGATGAGCTTGAATGACACCTCCGGGGGGATGGAGAGCGCGGCACCTCCGATTCGGGACTGCGCCGGGGATGTGGTCGAGAAGCATTGTGTGCGGGGGGAGAATGCGGGCGCGAGGAAGATGGGTAGGGAGCCGCGCTGGAAAGGCTCTCGAAGAAGCTGGCGGGCGCAGCGTTGGGGTATGGAGCACGACATGGTGACTTGCGCGTGTTTGGTCGGATGCTGCGTTGCGGACTTTGGATTTTGTTCGAAGATGGGTTACCTCAATGGGTTTAGCGTGCACGTGATTATCTATATGATTTCTTCTTTTTATCAGGTTAGAATATCATGATCTAAAGGTAATTATGCTCTCGACTACAGGAATCAAATATTGGGCTTGATTGCTTCGGGAAATACGCTTGATATTTGGTATTTCTCATTTGATGCAGAGGTTGTTGAAACCTAGTGCCTAACAACATCCGAGAAGCGACACAATTTGTCCCAATTGAAATTGATTCCTTCACATACCGACATTCTTCGAGATGCAACATCTCTGTCGAGGCCTAACACAGCCGAGACTCTACATCCCGTAGTAGCTGTGTACAAAAGGCATAGTGAGATTGCCACCGACTAGATCTCCAACGCTACACATGCATAGAACTGTCATATGTACGGGCTTTTCATCGCTATTCATATCTAACACAGACTAAAAGTACGGAGGCATAAGCAGCCAATTTTCTTGTCACATCATCGTTATACACCAGCCGGGCTAGTGTTAGTCTCGGGAATATTCTCGGTTTATACGACAGTTCGCTAAACTGCCCTCTGACTCCTGACCGTATATTAACGATCGCATTAGTATTCGGATGGAAATTTCTTCTTTATGGACAAGTAACTAAATGGTGGGAGGAAACTATTCAGGAAAAAGTAAAGCGAGAGTTGGGCTTGAGCTAAAACAACTTGAATGTCAAGTCTCACTTTCGAAATCATCCTTCATCCTCATCCATTTCTTCCCATCCTACACCACTCTTCTCCCTACCTTTATACCCATTCATCTCAGACAATATACACGAGTGATCAAGGACCAGGGCCCGTCCAAAGCTACACACACTCGTAGAAGCAGCCATACCATTCACTATGAGGGCAACCGATCGCTTCCAAGTGATTGCATATATCTTCCTGGCACTTACACACCTCGGTCGAGCAAGTGTCTCCCAACACAGTAAGCCACTCAGATACGTCTCAAATCATTTTACTGACATAAGAAGATGTCCCAATTCTTGCAACCAGACCACCGGACATCGACACGGTCTCTTTCCTCAGTTCCCGGGCGCAAGACCAAGACAGCATCTTCAACGAAGCCGTCAAAATCCTGGACTCGATGCAATCTTCACCCTCGTGCAACCGGCTTGCAGCGACAAAACTAGTGAACTCGTGCCAAACATTCAGCGATGGCAAGGACGGCACGCAGACGGATAACCCAGAGACTCTCGACGTTCTACGATCCGTCTATGCAGTACGCCTGGCATTGTGTGAGATCGACGGTGCTGGTACCCAAATGCCTCCCTCGTGCCTCCCTGTTACTGTCTCGCCACCTCCACAGAAGAATCGATTTGGCTTTGTGAGTCGACACAGAGGCCCCGACCCCATGTCGGATGAAGTTCCAAAAGAATTATTGGAGCAATGTCTGAGGACACTTGAGTCACGACCCCAGTGGTGGACCTCTTACAGCAACAGCCGACAGAATGCTCTTGTGATCTGCCATGCCTCGCGAATCGAGACGGAGAAAGAGGAGCTTATTGAGCTTCAACGATCCATTGCCAAGAGCAGTCTCAAGCTCAACAATGGGCTTCAAGAGGCGTTGCGAAATGCAATTGCACAGTCTGCGCAGCAGCAATCATTCATACATGCTCTTCAGTCTCTGCAAGGGAAGATCGTGACCGATATGGAAGCGACAGACTCTGTGTTCAAACGAACATTCGGCAAATTCCTTCGAGAAATCGAAGCTGGAATCTGGTCGCTGCAAGATTCTATATCTGAGGCTTTGTCGAATGTGCGGGCTGGAACTGGGGTCCTCGAAGGGGTACAATTCGAGCAGCTGAATGAGTTGAAACATGTACTAAAATTTCAACCAGGATATCCGGAACGTATCTACTCAAGTTGGAGCACTTCAACAGGCTCTACGGAGTGCACATCAAGATGCAATGACTAGAAGCCGAGAGACGTTGCTAGCTCAAGAAACCAATGTTGTCGCCCAGAAGAATCTCGCATCATCTTTACACCTGTCGCTCGAGTCACTTCTGGACTCAGACATGGACAAACTGTACCAAGGCATGCAGAGATTCGATGCTGCTATGGTGTGTGAAATATACATTTACCATGTAGTGACACTATGAGACTAATCTCTTGCCCCTTTTTGTAGGAATGGTTGGCCAGCCGGATGAACATGATTCTTGAGCAAGAAACCAGGATGACAGAGGTACGAGTACATTCCTACATACCGGCTTTCTCACTGACTTTGAAAGCGACTTCAAAACATGGAAACCTTTATACAAAGATCCGAATCGAAGGCAAGCGAGCTACAAAAGGCGCAGGACCAACAAACAGAAGCACTATCTGCCCAATCGCGGGCCCAGGAGGCCATTCAATTCGATGCGCAAGTGTCGCAAGCTTTGCTGGCCAAAACTAGTGTTGCTGCTGCCAATTTACAATCCGTCATCGACGATGCAGCGTTAAAGTTCAAGCATGTCCCGGGTTTCGGCATTGGGGGATCCTCGGCATGGTCTATCTGCGCCGTCCTACTCATCGTCCTTGCCGCCCAGAACCTTAAGATTGCAATTGCTTTAATTTTTCTCATTTTGGGTAGGTGTGTTCTTCATGATCAAGAGTGATTGGTGCTAATATAAGGAGGATTAGGCCATTCTGTTGCCCTTATTATCTTCAAATTTCTCTAGTTATACACACGCTGCGCAATGATTTGCGGACCAGATACCATTGATACCCCAGCTTTATTTCTTTTTTTCTTCTATTTTCGCTCCTATCTCTACCATCTTTGCTTGCAGCACATCCCCTATGGTCGTTCATTGCCTCTAGATCTATAGCAATGGAATAATTCAGTCTTCTTCATTTGATAGACGGAGTACGGAGACTCGGAGGAGCTATGTATCCCCCCTTTTCGCTAATTATATGAAACTAAATAGACGGATTGTTTCAGAAAAAAATAAAATGAAAGTGCAAATTAGCGCTGGCACAGCCACAATCACTAGAGCTGCCAGAGGATAAGCAGCGGGATATGACCCATTTACATCGCAGTCAGCCAATGAAAGCGCGTTCTCGACACAGTGGAAACAACGCACGAGAAAGGCAATTCCCCAAAATAACAAAAACGGCAAGTCAATAGGCATAGATGGGGGCAGTCACGTGGGAGTAAACAGATCGACTGCGCGCTTCTCCTCCTTTTCGATTCGCAACACGTTCCTCATCGGGTCTTGATTCACATTTATCAAATATCTGTCTCATCCAATCTCAAACGCGTTGATCAAAATGCCTGGTGTTCGTGAGTGACCATAACTACCTCCTATACTTCCCGACCCAACATTTGGCGCCCGTCGGAACCGCAAGTAAACAGCGCTAACGTTCTCCAGCACCCGACGCTCTTCAGCAGGTCAAGAAGGGCTTCAAGCGGTTCTTCAGCCTCCGCAAGAAGTCCGCTAAGAAGCAGAAGGCCGAGCCTGTCCAGGCTGCCCCTGCTGAGACTGCTGCGACTGCTGCCCCTGTCGCCGCCGTTCCGACCACTGAGACAGCTGCCGAGAAACCCACCGCCCCCGCTGCCGCCCCGGAATCTGCCCCAGGTATGACATTCTATCAGTTTGATATCACCTTCGTCTCGCTTTTGGCTCCCAACTAACTTATTGACCTACTCTAGATGCTGCCAAGGTGCCCGAGGTAAAGGATGCAAGCACCGCGGAGCCTGTCGCCTCCCCTGAGATGACCGCTACTGCCGGCCCCATCGAGACTCAGTACGAGCCTGAGACTGCTGCTGCTGCCCCCGGCCCTGCTGTGCAGTCCGATGCCCCTGCTGCTAAGCCTGAGGAGTCTGTCGCTAAGCCTGAGGAGTCTGTCGCTAAGCCTGAGGAGCCTGTCGCTAAGCCTGAGGAGCCTGTCGCTAAGCCTGAGGAGCCTGTCGCTAACCCCGAGGCCACTGCTGCTAAGGTCGAAGAGTCCGCTGCTAAACCCGAGGCCACTACTGCTGCGCCTGTGGAGCCTGCCGCCAAGACCGGTTAGTCAAATTGTCTTCACGATGCAGAGAATAATGCTAATACCGATGTTAGATGCGCCCGCTAACTAGAAGTGTGTATATCCACTTCATTGGCCAGAATGGACCTTTCTTCGCGAATCTGATCTAACTTGCGAGTGCTTTTTTCCTGCTCCCTGTTTCGTTTCATACCCTCAGCGTTGTGTATTAATCACTTTCAGAAAGCGATGCGTTGCATGCTGTTTTTCTTTTCTTCCATATCGGCCTCGATCAGACCGCTTAATATCATGCAAAGCTCTACTCATTCATTCCAGAATCATTACGCGACAGTAAAACCCCCGCCTTAATCTGGTATATTATGCTACTAATGCTGACAGCAGAGAAGAAAAAACCAACTCGCCCACGGGTATCACATTAAGAATCTATGCTAATGCTGAACAGTTTCATTCATTCCCGTCTGAGGAATGATCATCACCATCAGCCATAGCGACATCTTCAACACTGACACCCGCCGCTGCAGCCTTCAGCTCTCTCGCTTTTTGTCTGCGCTTGAGTTTCCTATCGCGGTTCTTCCGAGTCCGCTTCTCTGCTTCATTTTCCTTGGCAGCCTGTGCGGCCGCAACGCGCTTACGTAGCTGCACTCGTCGCTTCTTGCCTGGCTTCTTGCGTGTAAGTGGACTCTTAGAGACGGGTGCGCCCTCTACCACGTAGACTGGAAGACTGTTGGCTGGCCGTGGCATTTTCGTCTGATGTCGTTTGAGATGGATAACTCGCCAGGGGAGATGGCAGCCGGGCTAGAAATTAAGTTAGCAGCTAGACAATTTGCCAGACGGGTATGGATTTCCTTACCCAGACTAAGGAATTGGCCCATGTCAGCATGTGCTGCCCGCTAACGGCCACGTCCTCAAATTGTTTCTTCTTTTCCGCTATCCGGCTTTCGTCTTCGGTGGTAGGTTCCCCGTTCCTCGTGCCTTGAAGAGAAGGTGTCGAGAAGTAATAATCCCACCCACGGAAGGCTTTCACAAATCGTCCCTCAGTGCTAGCGCCAGATCCGGGTGTAGGTGAATGCAACCGAATCCTCAATTTTTGGATTGTGGGGGCCTCTGCGGCCTCTGCGGTTTTCTCATCTGTATCCTTTTCTGACTGCTCGGTGGTATCTTTCGTTGATTTGGCAGGGGCGCTGAATAGCCGGAACTCGAATTCTTGTTCCTCGTCTTCATTATCCGCCGCTTGCGAGGGATCATTCTCTTGGCTAGCTGTCTGCTGTGCAGTATCCAGTTGATTTAAATTGAGTAGCTTTCCAAGGCGGGCGTATGCATCCTGGGCGGCGTCGTCGTCTGGTGCTGGTGATTGTGAGCGGGATGACGCTGGAGAGCGCATCTCATCGCGGCGGACGCTATATAAGCCGGATTAGCCGCTAATTATATCGAAAAAAACCAGGGTGGATTGTTTGCTCACGTACCGCTTAGCATTTGGTAGATCGAACATTGTGTGGTGTGTGTGGAGAGGAATAAGACTAAAATCCCGAATCGAGAAAAGCGATGTTTCACGCCGCTCTACGGCCACGGCCTGATGACATGGCACGGACCGCCCAGCCTCACGGCCCTCACCTTCCGACTTTGAAGGCCTTTTGTCTACATTGTGACTCTCTACTGCGCCATTTGTTTCGTTTCATATTCTCTGTTTTCTGCATATTCCACACTCCTTACCTTCCGATCATTCCCTCGCTGGCTCCGACAAAGGGTACCTGCACCTTATCTATTGGGTTGGTTGACGCCTCGTGCCCATCGCATAGCGCAAACGTGCAGCCAAGAACATCCCCCGATTCTAGTACTCGATCTCAATCCTCATAAATGGGTATCTGTGCCTCCTGCCTCGGCGGGAATCGCCACGACTCTCCTGAGGTGAGTCTAAATCCGAAGCTAGTCTCTTTCCCGTTACCATGTTCATCGCGCATTACCTCGGTCTGATGCGCGATGCGTGGGGGTTCTAGTCGCAGAGTGCAATTGTCTAACATTTCTTTCTTCAAGCCTGAATCTGAACGTCTACTCGATGATGATCCTTATCAGGCCGGGTATGGCTACGGAGCACTCAACCATGCTCATCAGGCTAGCCAGCCAGATTCGGAATATGTGAGGCGTGAGAGGGAGGCGCTGGAATCAATCTGCCAGCGGACATCTGAGTGAGTATACTGTCCTAGTTGCCTTCTGTTCATATGGAGTTGAATTCATGCTAATCGTGTCCCTTAGCTCTGTCATCGATATCTGGTCCATCCAACCACAACCACACCTTCGACCCCAAGCAACTCTCCACACCCCTATCTCTGCATCTCCCGTCCCATCACAAAGGACCGATACAACAACACCTGTGGTATCTACGCACCATACATCACCGCCAAGCCGTCCCACCTCTGGCTCGTCAGGCACCGTCCCGAAACACTGGGGTGAAGTTGTCGTGAACCCGAACAAGAAACGATCTCGTACCAATATCAAAACGGATTCCAAAGCCAGCCATGATGTTTTTGGGGTTCTCAACGTCACCTAATATGATGCGTTTGGGGCATGCATCGCTGCACATTGACGATGACGATGTACACGACAAACGAGGGTGTGGGCTGGTGAAAATAAAATCGAGGATGCAGTTGAGGGTACTGGAAGACCGTTTCATTATTTTCTTGCGCCATGCTGTTATTTTTGGGGGTTTTTTGTTTCTTGCATTGATCGCAGGTCGACTGTCTTTCGCACATAGCCATTCATTCCTCTCTCTTCCTGGCCTGATAATACCCATTGGCGCAGACTCTTTCTTTTGTTATCAGATTCTTTTCTGTACCCCATGTTGGCTTCTTTTATGTTGGCGTGTTTTTTTATTTGCTGAGTTTGTTTCTTTGTCTTCATATCATCTTGTTCGTCGTGCACTGCTTGTATATGTAGTTCTCTTTTGAGTGCCGGACTTTATTCTTTCTGAATTGACACACAATTTGGATTATGTCAAGTGAGTCTCAGGAAATCTGGATAATGTACGTAGACTTCTAGAATCTCAACCCATATAGTAGTTCAGCTTGAGGTGGGATGGCTTTTTATATAGAAAGTATTTCAGTTTACTATACAATTGAGATATCATGGGAAATTATAAAGAACTTCACTCCCCATACTTATGAGAGATCGGCATCAATTATTCAACCTGTGACTCCGCCGATAATGATCGTAAATGCTGGACTGAATGCCAATGACAAGGGGGAAAACAAAAATGGGATTGACAGGGAAAAGAAAATGGATACATGACAACTCCCCTATGACAGAAGAAAAAGAAAACGCCCGCTGATATCCAGGGATGGACATAGAAGAGAGTAGGATGATGCAATATGTTCGTGCCGGGTTGATCCTAAACCTGACGGAAATGTCAAACTGCAGACCATTAGACATCGTCCATTGTACCCGCAGGCTCTTCACCACCAGACTCGTAGCTCCCCGCCGAGCTGAGCTCATCTTCAGACTCGGTGTCCTCGCCTGCTTCATCCACAGCCTCTTTGCTGGCGTACTTGTCAACATATTCTAGGAGCGAGCGGTCAGTATGGTATAATAGCAAACATAAGCCTTTGGGTTGTAACACACCTTTCACCTTTGCCTCATATGCCTTGGGTTCTCTCATCATCAGCGCAGCTGCTTCCCCGTTGAGAGGATCCGAAGGGTTGGGATAGCGGAGGAGCTGGGGAAGGAAGACCTCGAAGATGTTGAGCATGTCATACATCGGCGACCAGGTTTGGTTGATCACATCGAGACAGACTGAGCCCGAACTATAGCAGAAGAATCGCATTAACCTCAAGAGTTTCATTTCCACACATGTCAGACCACGCTTGACTCACAGCTCATCGATGTTTGGGTGGAAGATTCGGTTGACGAATCCGATGCTCGGGCTTTTGTATGGGTACTGATCAGGTAATTCGACGTGAATTTTCCAAAGGCCTCCGGTAAATGGTGCTAGAAAGGTTAGTATGATCTAATACTGGTCGATTATGAATGAGACATACTCTCTTCCGGGCCCTTGAAACGAACGTAAAATTCTTGCCTGTTGCGAGTAGTTGGTATCGGAGAGCTTCAAATGGTTGATTGTGGTGTGTTAGGTACATACACTGGAGTCCGGAGTTAGTATAGATCTATAGCTGACAGAGGGCCAGAACTTACTGTTGTCATTGACCAGTGTCACCTCATAGTCACTCATGAGCCTAGATTAACCGTTAGTATATTTCCCGTCAACCAAGTATGCTTGCCGAGACCGATCAAAAACGTTCGGAGAAGCGGCGGCGAATTTGAAAGGGTAGGGAGTTGTCGGTCGTACATCCTAGCGAGAATGTTAGTGCCGTGTATTTTGAACATTTCTGAACTTCTAGAGCATACTTCATGACCTATATGATGAACAAAAAAGAGTTATTAGCATCTCCGGCGACTCTGGGGGCTTATCGGACGATCCGCAACATTACTCACATCTGTCTCGATTCTGCGCTTTGGGCTACTCATGTTGGTGGTTTGAATGAAGGAGTATTTTCGATCTCGAAGGTATTATCAGCTGCAGGCTCTCACAGAAAAAAATAGGCCCAGCGGTGTCAAATGCCGTGATTCGCAAGCAGACCCGGAGGCGGAGCGGGGAAGTAATGGGCGGGGCAGACGATGGCCTTTGAAATAGATGTTAAGTAATTCAGGGGTCGGTGATTAAGTAGAAGCAAAGTGAGAGGGATAACAGATATCAGAGAAGGCTTCACTTCTCCCGAGCGAAGGAAATAGAAAGAAGAGACGAGAATGAGGTCTTGGATGAATGATCCATTAGATCGGGCCCGCGGACAGTGGACCTGCCCGTGTGATGAGTCGATGAGTCAGCGCCTGCCGGGGCCCGGCGCCATGACGATGACTTGGGATAGGTCGATACACTTCTACGGTATATAATTGAGAACATAATTGGTTCATCTTTCCATGATAGTATTGTAGGGTTGTGTTGCTGTAGGCATCTATATCGTGCTACATGAATGGTTGAACTTTAGTTATACCTCTGTGAGTAATTCTCGCGGCCATTCTATAGTTACACTCTTTGAATAGTGTTTCCGACACACATGCACAAAAAAGAAAGAGACATGCGCCCTGTACGTCCTATATGTTGTAGAAAGTGTGGATCAGATGTCATCCATAGCTAGCCATGTACTCCCTACTAATAGGATACTTAGAACAAGAGGCACTGCGGCTACCATTACAGAAGAAATCCTTCTGGGAGAGTAAATAGCATTTTCTTTCGATTGTCTAAAGCTCTTTTTTTTACTGATCAGAAATTAAGCAAAACTGGGTCATACTCTGTTACCTAGGTCCCTCCAGTTAGGTTAGGATGGGTCACGTGGCTGCCTCAGCTACAGCATAGTATCATCTCTTTCAGCTATCAGTGCAACAATTTTTGGTCATGTTTCTTTCTTATGTCTATGATTACAGGTTTGAATTCTAGCATACAATGTTATCGGTGAGCTGTATGTTTGGATATGACTGTAGTATGTCGGCTTTGAAAAAGAAAAAGAAAGTGTAGGTAACTATTGCATGTCTCCTCCTGAATCCTATGATTGGGAATAAAAGGGGCATATATAAAAATCGTGGGACAAGATGATACACTCAGTGAGCAGGACCATATACATCAACGTTCTTCTGACCAAAGTGCTACCACTCATCCACTTTTTACCATGGCCACCGACCCTTTGAAATATAATGGACCAAATCAAATCCGACCCTATCTGATGAACGTCTTGATGATGAAACATAGAAATTGAAAAGTCACACGAATTTGTGTCGGGTGAAATGTCTAGGGAGGTAAAGGGTAAAGAGGCACGATATACAGCTCGAAGGCATATCTGGACTTTATATAGGCGCAAGCTCAGAATAATTATAGCCTCGATATTTCATTGTAGATCTTTGACGGAAGAAGTCAGTATAAATCAAAATATCATATGGAAAATCTTCAATCAATTTGAGTGACGTGCGAAATACTGCGCTCAGCTTCTTCTTACGTATCTAGTTGTATAAATTCTGAAGTCAAGGGGAGAAGGTGATCACAAACCACTATGCGCTGATATCTAATGAAGTAGTAGTTGTTTGTTTATATATAAACAGCATAGTCAGCCCTCGAGCCATTCCCATTCATATGCCGCTATATATCGCGATATGGGACTTGAACAATTCTGATATTCAATTTGCAAGGATATGAGAAGCATTTCAATCGAATCTCAACTACGATATATTCTATAAATGTCTTTGTGATAACCAGTGGTAAACCGTAGAATTCGGTGACGAGCATAATTGCTATAAACCAATGTATTCATGCATGTGTGTTCTCTAGCGGTGTAAATGTGTATGTGTTGTTAGCTAGACTTCCCTGATAAAAGCCCAACTGTAGCAGCTTAACTCGCAGCAAGTATCCTCCTCTTCGCAAATCAGATACTAGTGATCATGTTTACGTCTGCTACGGGTGCCTAATTAAGACCGGGCCCGCAGGAACCCGCTGTACGGGAAGAAAGCGATTGGTTGGAAAGTGGAAATAGTGGGGCTGTTGCCTAAGGTTGCCTAAGGATGCCTGGACGCTAACGCTAAGTGGATGTCAACGATATGAACCTAAACATTCGAATGTTGGCTTCCTCTTTATTTAAGACTTCGTCTCCCCATTTTGCCAGTTGATATATCCTTACGCACTCTGATTAAATTTGCACCATTCTCAACATGGCTTCTTTGCCCACCCTCCCAGTGAAGCACAATGACTTCGTGAAGTATGTCAACGCCAACTTGGAGAAGCCCATGGTGGACTTGGTTCAGCCATATAACGAGTTTGACGCCGTTCTGCGAAAGAAATTCGCCCAAGACCCCTCTCATCCATCAATTCAAGATAACTATGCCAACATTGTACCGCTGTATGGCCAGACCGGTTCCACAAATATTTCCATTCGAGCTCGAGACCTTGTCTCAGAAACGCCAGAGCAAACGGAGAAGTACATTTTGCCCTTGAGTGCAAAAGACCGGAAACCACATGGTTCTGCGGCAGTTGTACCCTCTTTGAATGAGTTCAAGAACAACTTTGCGCTCTTTACAGAGGGCTCATTGAGTGAAATTGACTGGTCTAACGTGGTCGCTGCTGGTAGCGCTGTCGTCACCTCACTTTTGCCTGTACCAGAAAAATATCGCAACTCAAAGCGTGGCCTTCGCAAGTACTACCATGAGGAGTTTGCTCCAGCGTCAGATGTGGATCTCTTCTTGTATGGCCTGAATGAGGACCAAGCGATTGAGAAGATCATGCACATCGAGGATAAGATCAAGAATACTATCCTCTATGAGACCACGACCATTCGGACGAAGAATACGATTACCATTGCTTCTCAGTATCCGAACCGCCATGTGCAAATCGTGCTTCGCATCTACCGCTCAATCGCTGAGATCCTCACTGGCTTCGACGTTGATGCTTCGTGCGCGGCTTTTGATGGTCGCCAGGTCTATGCCTCTCCACGTGCAATCGCTGCATACATCACTCAAGTGAATCGGATTGATCTAACTCGAAGATCACCATCATATGAGAATCGGCTCTCCAAGTATTCACATCGAGGATTTGAGGTCTTCTGGCCTGCTCTTGATAGATCGAAGATTGACCCGGTGAGAATTGAATCCCTTGGACGAGAGGGATGAAATGTCCGAACTAATTTTTGAGATAGACTATCTTCGAGAGAAGTTTTACCAGAACTGAAGGACTTGCACGGCTCCTGGTATTGGAAAAGCTTCCTCGGTCTCACGACCGGGACAACTACCTCCAAAAGAGGCGTGAGGAACGAGGTCGTCCTCCTTTGAGTTTGTACCTGAAACGTCGTCAGGGTAAAATGCTGCATGGTAATATCAAGGATGACTGGGAGGATGAGGTGCCCGAATGGCAAGAGCAAGACCAAGTGTCCGATTACCATACTTTTGTTCGTATCTTCACCACAACCGAGCTTACTCCCATTCGACTATCACTGACCCTCTGATAGACTATTCCTTACGGTCGGAGATTCAACGCCAGGAATATCGAGAAGCTACTTTACACCAAGGATCTGTTGCTGAACGCCCAATGGAATCAGCCCAAAGACCGCACAGTTTATCTTCATCGTCATCCAGCATTCTTCGGCGAGGCGGAATATGTTATTGGCGACTGCTGTGGCTACTGTCCCAAGCCTGTCACCGAGGAGGAAGTCAAGGTCGCTGATGAGGAGGGCAAGATTTATATCTTTGGTCATATCACTTTCATCAAAGATGATCCTGGCCGCCAGGAAATTGGAAGTTTCAATCCGATCACTGAAACCGATTGGACTGGTGAGTGAATTGTCCGAAATGTTTCTTTCTTTCTGAATTATGCACTAATACCAATATCCAACATTGTAGAAATGGCTTATGTTGGCCGCACCGAGAAACTTTGCCAGGCAATCTTGGCAAACGATGTTGACTCCGTGAAAGCTTTCCTTGCGGATGAGGGTACCGATCCAGACCGTCGTGACTACACTGGACGGACACCGCTCCAACTCGCGTGCATATGCTCGACCCCTGAAGTGGTTCAATGCCTTGTCGACGGCGGTGCTCGCATGATTCCCCGTATGGCTGATGGAAATACAGCGCTCCATCTTGCCGCCGCCCGGGGAGACGTCGACATGATTCGAATCTTACTCACAAAGAGCAATGAGAATGAAGAAGAAGAAGCCAAGAAGCAGGATTCTCTGAAACATAAAGGAGAGTCAAAGACCAAGCCCAGCACAGACGAGGATGAAGATATCGATATGATTGACCAAGACGATGCCATGTCTCACACCTCTGCCTCTTACGTCAAAGTCGAAAGCGACGAAAAGAATTTGAACGTGTATGATACGCTCCAGGAGAATGACCTCGAGCCGGATGTCTACGACATTAATGTCGTTGCATGGGATAGTCGGACTGCTCCTTTGCATCTCGCTATTCTACATGGTCATACTGAGGCCGTGAGAGAGCTTGTTACATCCTTCGGTGCCGATGTCTTGATGCCAATTAAAATCCTGAATGAGCGCGACAAAACACCCCAGGCTGCAATTCTTAACCTGGTTCTTGTTCAAGTCCTTCCATTCGAAAAAGCAATGGAGATGTCGCAGACCCTTCTTGAGCTCGGCGCTTCACCAGCGCAAGCAGACCTCAAGCAGAAGACACCGCTACACTACCTTGCTCAATCCGACAAATTTGGAATTTTTGATATATACGTGCAACATGATGAGCCAGCAGTAAAGCGCGCCATCAATCACTTAGCAGTTCAGGGCCATTCCTACACACCAGAATTCTCCTCGGCGTTGATGTTTGCTCTCACTGCGCAGAACGCACTCGCGGCAGCCAAGCTGTTGGATACAGGGGCCTACCCGAAGATTGATCCCGCAGAGGTTATGAAGGCTATTACGATATCTAGAGGACGCAGGACCTACTACGGCGTCACCGAAGAAAACGCAAAGTATTGTGTGAAGCAGCCAATCTTGCTGGCTATTGAGAATGACCTCCCTTTACTCGCCATTGATCTGCTTCATCGCGGGGTAAATCCTAACACCGATATCAGCGAAAGATATCGAAACCAGGATCGGACGGTATTGGACGTCGTGCGCCAAACTTTGCGTGACCTTCGTGAATTCTTGGTTGTGCGCAAGTACCAAACCTATGCTAATTCCATCGCGACTCCCCTCGATCCGAATGACGATACATATTTGTCAGATTTCCAACCTGGCACTTACAAAATGGCCATTGCAAAGGATCTACTCAGCAACGCGCGCAAGGCAAACCGAGAGAACGAAGAACAAGCCAAGAGGGCTGAAGCTGCCCCGGCCGATCCTCCTGGTTTGGCTGAGAAGAAGGCGTTTATTGCGGAGTTGATTTGCAACTACGAGAAGCTGGAGTCCATTCTGCTACAAAAAGATGCAAAGACTTGGGCCGAGCTTCATCCCCCGCAGACAATTCCCGTGCAGTTCCCAGTCCACGTCTCGACCGAGGGAACACAGCTCACCTCTGAGCCTTGGAAGATCAACTTCCACTTCAATGTACCAGGCATTACTGATTCTGCTCGTGACGGATATCTGAAACTGTATGTGCCTCCTTTTATCTCACAACCTAAGAATATCCCACTGACATTGATATAACAGTTTCGAAGCAGCTTGGAATGGCGACATTGGTACCATAAAAACCTTGACATTGGGCATGTGGGGACCTCTCAATGAGAACGCTCCGCTTGAGATTGCTGTAACCGACAATCAAGGCCTGTCTGCCCTTTCAATTTCTATCATGCGCGGCCATTTCGCAGTGGCTAAGACCATTCTTCGAATTCTCCACGTGCAGTACAAGGTAAAAGCGCCTCGCGGTCGGATACACTTTGAGATAGATGTCGATGAGTGTTGTGATGACTGTGATGACTCTCATGAAGAGAACGAAGATTTGAACATAGTCAGTCACATTGTTGATGATACCTTCACCCACGAGAACATCGGTGAAGTTATGACTCAAGTCGAGAGCAATACTTCTCCTCTTGAGACGTTCGAGAAACGGTTCAATGTCTTCCTGTTTTTCGACGAGTGCCAGAAGGAGGATTGGAACAAGCGAGCCCTCCTGTTTCCGAAGCTGCACCGGCACCGGGATTGGAGTTGGATGAATAAAGACAACTCGATCAACAAGATTGGGTTGTTGAAATACGCTGTGTACACAAACAACATTCCTCTTTTGGAGTTCCTTCTGAAGACTGGATTGGACCTTGCCTCTACCAACCCTTCGGTAAAAGGTGAGTTCTTGGTCAAGGTCGACGAGTTCCAGCTTGCAATCTCACTTGGACGTATTGATTGCCTTGCCAAAATGATTCAAAGTACTGGAGCTGGTCTTCCACTTACAAAATTGAGTGATGACTGTTGCGTTGAGGAGAAGAAAGAGCCTCAGTACTACCCTGGGTTGTCGATTCGTGGCAGCAAGCGTGCTGATTGGGCTAATGCCGGTCGAGATAAACCGTTAAAAGAGCGGGCACAGTGTCCTCCTCTCCTTATTGCGGCTCGTCAGGGTAATTTGGCTAGTACGGAGTTTTTCCTTGGTACCGCACCTGCTCGCTATTACTTGGAGTATCTCAATTCGAATAAGGATGATGAGAGAGTCAAACGATTGACTAAGTCCAAGCTCGGACTGGAAGGAACACTCTTGACCTGGCTTCAAGAAAGAAGTAAGTGCCACCTATTCAGGAACCCGGACGAACATAGCTGACCATATAAAAGACAACCTCGTTATCCACTGCGCAATCATCTCCGAACCAAATGACGAATCCGTTCGTCTAGTTCAGTATCTTGTGGATCATCACCCTGAATGCTTGGAAGTCCGATCGACAGAGGGATTGACGCCTCTCGCCTGGGCCATGTCCCTTCACAAGGTCCGATTTGCCCGCATCTTGGTAGAAGCTGGAGCCAACCAGGCTGTCCGCGACAAAGAGGCGCGCAATCTCCTCCACCTGATTCTCGTATCAGCCAATGGTCGAGTCTGTAGGAACTCCAGCCGATGCAGCAAACTCCTAGACCTGCTGGATAAGCAACTCCTCCCAACAATGCTCATGGAACGCGCCGGTAAAGGCTCAAGGACGCCCTTTTCCCGTTGGCTTCACGCCCAACCCGACTTTATGCCAAGGGACCCGGCCATTCCTCGGCCCCCTAAGAGTCCCCAGACCGAGGATGAGATAGTAACCTCCATGACGAGCCTCATTCTGGGCCTAGCCAACTCCACGGACCAAAAGCATCTCGAGGTCTTTGACGAAGCTGGAAACACACCTGTTCATGATGCTGTGAAGAAATGCTTCCCCCAAGTCCTTGGACAACTCCTTGATCGTCGTCCTGACATGCTCAACCGGGAGAATGCCACCGGTACCACTCCTCTTGAAATGGCAGTTGACGCTTGGGTCAACAAGAGTACCTCTGGACCGCCTGACGGTTCTCCAAGGTCGCAGGTTAATCCCCCTGTGAGTCAGAGCGCTTTGCAGCGCGGTTGTCACTTATTCATCCCCGGTAGCAGGGTCACGTATGACAAGGAGATGGCTACGCTTCGGGTTTGTCGGGAATGGGCCCAGCAACGACCCGGAAAGAGAAGACTTGTTAGTCTGTTTGAGGCGAATGAGGTCGCTAAGAGATTGGTGGCGGCGGGACAGGCTACTGGCCGTGATGGTGTTGTCTCCGAAGATGATAATAAGTCTGAGGATGATCCGTGGGGAAGCATGTTTGATCATTGCTAGTTTGCTTGTATTGAACATGGTAATTTCTAGCGCAATGATTATTTGTACTGAATGGTCTTTCTTTTTTGCAATATATCCTAATCATATCTACTGCTTCATTCCCTGTTTCTAGAAATTCCAGCTACTTGCCAATGAACATTCCTGTAGCTTCTTTTCCACTATATACTGGAACTGAAAGATTAAGAAATATAAATACTCAAAAGCAGTAGATTATGATCACCTCAAAAAATATCATGAACTTAACCAACCCGGCTTCTGACTCAGTGCTGCTCCTCGGGTGGCAGCTGAACCTTCACTGCACTCTCCGCCAGAGCTCTGTTCCGACTATTCTTGCTAGCGATATACGAATTAATATACTCGGGCACTTCAGCGACCGTACCATCACCGCTTGGAACCGGGGTACCAAACGTTTCCCATACCGGAACAACACCAGTCCAGACACTACCAGTAATCTGCGCGTTGCCTGAGTCCTTACGCTCATCCGAAACACCACCATCACGAATCTTACCGCTGCCATCCACAATCCTTACCTTCAGGATGACAGTCGACTGCATCTCCGCACGATCCGGCGGCACACGCGAGTGATCCCAGCGATCCGCGAGGACAGAGTTCGTGATCAATTTCATGGCCCAGAGCTTTTCTTCATCATCTGTGACGAGGGTCGCATAGCCGTGTAGGATGGCAGAACGGTAGTTGTAGCTGTGCGAGTTGGGCGTGAGCGATAGGATCAGCCCGTCTACTTTGCTTGTTGCGACGCATATGGGGAGTCCCTCGCCATCGCTGCAGCTGCGGGCCAGGTTCATAATCCGTGAGCTGACGTAGCCGTGGAGGTAGCACTCTAGAGGCTCATCGATGCTCGCAGAGGGGAATTCGAATGATCCCATTTGTCCTATCATCGGTAGGATTGCGGGGAATGGGTCGTCCGGGCCTGGGTTGAAGGATACATGAAGAACTTGGGAGTCATTGATGATTGAATGAATTGGACCTAGGTCATATGTGGCTAGAATATAGTGTTAATAGTTGAATATAGTGCAGATCTATAGTGATCTCGTACCTCGATGCTTGTACCGGTTGGCGGTGTTGGAAACCTTCTTCGGGTAGGTCAAGGTTCGGCCCATGATGTATGGCAGTTTGTAGAATGTGTGTAGTTAAGAGAAGCAAGAGGTAAGCGGCGACGATATAAGCCTTTAAGTGTTTACTACGTAGATAGATGATGAATATAGATAGGTGATCCGATGAGCTAGGGCACGCCTTCAAACACCCTTTTTAGCAGGTCCATCCGCGCAAGGTTTCCCCACAAAGGTTAGACCGAGACATTCTTGATAGCAGGCTGCGCACAGATGCATCAAACCAAGAATCATGTATACGACATGACATGGGAGTGGACAAGAGAATGGTCTCCGATGCCAAACGCAGCCGAGGTGATTGGCCCACACCGCCGACTGGACCGCGAACCTGGCGATAACAACGACTCCAACAGTTTACTCTTATCACTTATTTTTGGGACCTTGAAGCATGGCGGCATGCAGGTCTCTCGTGCGCCAGTGCGTCATCAATCTGCGCTCATCTAGACCTTTGAGTCATTCATTGCGCCAACTGCCTAGATGCAACCCTCTGTCTCGCAGTTATGCTACCTCGGTGGCCGCCGCGGAACTCAGATTCGGCCAACCGTTGCATGAGACGCATCCCCATATCCTCAGCGCAGGCGAACGTTTGTCATTATCTGTGTCCTTGAGTCTTGTTTATTTCGCTGATCGTCTGTTGTGTAGTTACTCCCGGAATAACCGCCCTTGAATATGCACAACGTCGATCGAAGCTCGCCAACAAGCTACCCAAAGGCGCGATTGCGGTGTTGGCTGCCTCGGAAGTCAAGTACCGTGCCCAAGGGATCTTCAATGAGTACCGCCAGGATTCTAATTTCTTTTACCTGACGGGTAAGTTTGCTTGGCACGCCCGTGATGCCGCGGAGGACACCCGCTAAACAGTTCCACGCCGGATAGGATTCAACGAACCGAATGCATTAGCGATCATCGGAAACGACGGCTCTGGCGATAACCATATTTTCCATTTATACGTGCGGGAAAAGGATCCCAAGGCAGAACTCTGGGATGGGGCGCGCTCCGGCACCCAGGCTGCTGTGGATGTCTTCAATGCGGATGAGGTGCGAAGTGTTGGCTTAACCAGGTGAATCATTGAGCTGACACCGAGAACAGACAGGAAACATTGAACGCATTGGAGATATTTTGCCGAGTATTGTCCAGGGAGCGACAGAAGTTTACTCGGATATCCCGACATTCGATGGTTCAAGATCATCCTTGAATCGGTATCTGTATGGACCAACACTCGCGTCGGAAAAGTTGAAGAAGGTCGTCGACCACCGCAGAGTCAAGCCCCTGAAGAATCTGCTCAATGAAATGAGGGTGTTCAAGAGTGAAGATGAGGTTGTACAGATGCGGCGACTGGGACAAGCGTCAGGGAGAGCATTCACCGAGGCTATGCGACAGGACTTTACCCGAGAGAAAGATCTCTATTCCTTCCTGGAGTACCAGTTCAAGGTGAATGGTTGTGATACAAACGCTTTCGTTCCCGTTGTCGCGGGTGGCCAGGTAAATCTCTCGACTTTTTTTTGGTGAATTGGACACTGACGAACCTAGAACGCTTTGGCTATTCATTACACACGAAATGACGATGTATTGAAGTTCGTATGCCTTTCCAAACTATTCTGAGACTCTGCTCACGCTTAATTTTAGGGATGGTGATTTGGTTCTCGTTGATGGCGGTGGTGTAAGTTCTTCTAATCTGAACTCGATCTTACAGCTCTAGGATACTGACCAAATTATAGGAATGGGGAGGCTATATTTCTGACATTACTCGAACATGGCCTGTCAATGGCAAGTTCTCTGATCCCCAGCGGGATCTGTACAATGCTGTGCTCAAAGTGCACCGGAGCTGTCTCGCTCTGTGCCGCGAGACTTCCAAACTTTCTTTGGACAAACTTCATAGCATCGCCGAGAATGGGTTGAAAGATGAGCTCAAGTCCCTGGGCTTTGATATTTCCGGCAATGTATGCATCCGACCTCCTTCCGTGGGTATGCCGCTGACTCCGACTAGGCACTGAACGTTCTCTTCCCGCACCATTTAGGCCACTATGTCGGCCTGGACGTCCACGACTGCCCCGGGTATTCTAGAGGGTACGACCTGAAAGCAGGTCAATGTATAACAATTGAACCGTTCGTCCCCAGCCTCTTTCTCCGCAGACTTGAAACAAGCTAATACATGCCAGGGGTATCTATGTTCCTAATGATGAACGATGGCCCGCCCATTTCCGTGGGATCGGAATTCGCATCGAGGATAGTGTTTGTGTCGGAGACGAACACCCGATTGTCTTAACCCCTGAGGCTGTCAAGGAGGTATGTTTTAACTCTAGTAACCCCCCGCATGCACTCGTGACTAACTTTTAATAGGTTGCGGACATTGAGGCACTGCGTAATTAGATCTGATGTATACGGTAGCCGTTAGATCCCTCAAATTCCCATGTACAATAGCATAAGGCTTCAAAAGATCATATTTGTGCCCCTTTATTTTATCCTATCTAATTTCTAAACTAAACCCTACATGTCTGGACTATCCTTGCCTAGATTACTTTGTGGTGGCTGGTCTGCGGCCAACCCGAAGGCTGGTCCGGGGAGGTTGGAGTCGATTCGGCAATTTTTAGCGGCTGTATGTTAATAAGAGAACATTGCACAAAATATCCCCAGAGAATGAGACCGAGAATGGAAGTAGAGAAGCAAAGAAACCCGAAAAGAATCTTGGTCGCGGTCAAAGAATGCAATGTTGATGTTCATGCTTCGCGCTCTGCCGTTGGTTGTCAGGCCTCCGCCCAAAACAAACTAAGCTCCACACCACACGACGTGCTTTGCTCTTCTTTCTTTCCTCCTCCAGGTCTTCCACCTCGTCTTTCTCTTCCCATCCAACCCTTGAACACTTCGATCTATTTCTCTTTCCTTCGGCTGCTTGTTATCGTCTCTTGGATACAATGTCCATTCTCTGATCTCCTCTAACCTTAGACGTGTAGCACGCGTGCTCCTGACCGAGTACCCCTCTTTGATATTTGACTGTTGTCACTATACAACGTTTAGACGCGTTCTCGACCCTGGGAACTTGTTTCCCAATGGCAACTGTCTTCGTACCTCCCTCGCCACGAAACTCCATGGCCATGGCGACTCGTCGTCCACTCGCAAACGTGCCGAATGCAACCAATTCTCCACACAGGGCAGGGCTGTTACCAGTTAAACGAGCTCGCTCTACTCAAACGGAGATCCCGTACGGACAACCACCGCCGAAGAAACAATTGATTGAGAGCATGCAATACGAGTCTCGTTCCGCCACCTGTCAGACCACGAACACGGACTCGAAACTTTTCGCCCGACGATCGAACAACAGTAACCCTAGTGCGTTTGAAAAGAGGCTCGTCGCAGCCAGGGAGAAGGAACGCCAACCGCAAGTGAAGCACATGAGAGTCGAGAAGGCTCCGGCAGATACCATGGACTCCATTCGACAATGGCAGCGGCACTATAGGAAGGCATTCCCACAGTTTGTGTTTTACTTCGATAGCATTCCCGAGGATGTCAGACGGCGGTTCTCTCGCCAGGTCACTGCACTTGGAGCTGTAAGTCATATTGCCCACAGAACATTGAGCTCTCCCGTCTTCAGTGATTACACACCCCCATTGGCATCTTCTCTAACACACTGCGATATAGCGCGAGGAGAAGTTTTTCTCACGCCTAGTAACCCACGTTGTCACCTCACGAGCTATCCCCCCAGAATCGGCCACCCCAGCAGAACCGGAGTCAACTGTAGACGCTAGAAACCGCGATAGCAACGTTCTAACCGTCAACCCTTCTCTCATAGAGAGAAATGGCGACAATCACCTGCATGCTTCTTTGAAAACCGAGACCCGACGTGACCAAGGCACCATGGACATTCTGCAAAGGGCTCGACAGATGGGCATGAAAATCTGGGCGTTGGAAAAGCTTCAACGTATGATCACTACCATCAATGACAGTGACATCGCCGCCCAATATGAACAGGCTGCTCGGAATAAGGCCGCTGGTGGTAACGCCGCCAACGCTGATCTTTCGCGGGTTCTTCGTCAGGAACTGCTTAATGGGCCGTCCGATCGTGATCCATTGGCATCACTTGAGATGATAATGTTCAAAGGTCCATTTGTCTACATCCATGACATGAACGAGAAGACCAAACCAGTCATGGTTCGAGAATATCCCCGAGTCGCTAGACGCCAGGATGGATCTTGGCCACAGTTCCGAAGTGCCCCCCTCGGAAAATGTCCCTTCATAGATGAGCCCCCAAGCAGGAAGGAATATGACCGACACCGATTGCGCCAAATTCACAAAGAGAAGAAGGCTGCATCTCACGCGGCTGATGGGACACGTCATGCTAAGCCAAAAGCAGCTGCGCCAGTTCAAGCTCCCGAATCTGTGACCACAACAGAGATGGCACACTCCCAGCCATCGGCAAAGCAAGAGGAACGGGTTCCGCCTCCAATCCAAAATGAAACCCAAAAACCATTGGATGAAACCCATGAGCGAAAGAGTTCTGAAAGCTTTGTTCCTCCCCACTTCCCTCGCACCGGGCCCTTCTATGCTGGTTGTGAGCCAGCTGCCTCCGGTATTCAGCCGTCGAACATGACATCCGCAATTCGCTCACAAATGATCTCATCTACTGCTGCTGCACCTGGCGCGAAAGCTGGGCTCAGCAAGGAGGTTCATGGGCTCAAACGAAAGGTTCTTGAGAAAGGTACAGGTGGATTCACGGCGGGATCGATGGCTGCTCCTCAACGCCGTGGGGATGGATTCACCACGGTTACGACGAAGAACAACACCAACCCCCCTGGTAAACCCAACGTTGTCATCAATGAAAATGAGGCAAAGCAATCTGAGGTCGCTGGTTCCAAGCGACAAAGGGAGGACAAAGATGAGCAAAAGAAATCCGAACGCCGCAGAGATCCTAAGCCTGGCTATTGCGAGAACTGCAGGGATAAGTTCGATGATTTTGAAGAGGTAAAAAAGATTATCTAGGTTTCCTTGTTGCTTAGGTCCTTCTCGATACTGATCAATCTCTTAGCACACTTTGACTCGCAAACACCGTCGGTTTGCCGCGAACTCCACGAACTGGGCTGAACTCGATGCATTGCTCTCCGAAATCCAGCGCCCCCTCAAGGACGAATATGAATATGACGAATAGATTTGCCGTTTCTCACAGCATTCCATGATTTCCTTTCGACCTCGGCCTCTTCTATCCGATACTTTCGCACCCTGGTGGAGTATCTTTCTTCTACCACATTGCATTTTTATTTCCGTCATGTCCGATTTGAACCTCAGAACCTCGCATAAACATACCCTCGGCATCGACACATGCATGGTGGCGTTTTTTTTTCCCCCTCTTCTTTTTGTTTATCATGCATCAGCAGTACCAGTAACCAGTTCCTCTCCGACGGTCTGATCTGCTTGGCTTGACCTCAATGGAGGTCGTCCACTCTTTTACAGCATCTTTCTTCACTTCTTTCGATTGTATTGAATATCCGATTTTAAAACAGCATCAGGTCGCCTTGGAATTCGTGAACCGACCTATATCAACCGCCGACGGCAATTTTGGATACTTTCATTTCTCATGTTGCTCCAAGAAAAACTCAACGTCGACGCTGCTTGTCTCATGTGCAACCAGCTTCTGCTTTACGGTCTCTAATGGTGGCCGGTTGCGATATACCGAAGGTATAATGGACGATTTAGCATGGACCAAGGGTTCCTAACCTTGCATTGCACTCCGTTCTAACACATCGTTATCCCCTTTTTGGTCCCACGGGGCCATATTTTCTATCTCGTCAGCTTTTCCTTGCGTCTTCTCACTGGTGGTACCTTGTTTTCTGATGGGCTGTGGCTTGAATACCCAGCGTAGGCGGCCGAGTCTCTGTTGAGATTTTTACTTTCTCGTGACATTACTTACCCGAATAACCATTTATTCGACTCGATGATCTGTATGCAGTTTGTATCGTGCTAATTGAATTGTCTGCTATAAAATATATTCTTCAGTAGAGAACACCAGCCAGAAGTAGAAAAGTAGAAAGTGTGCGAGGCCCCTCACTTAGCCCAATGCGGTAATCACCTCGGCGTGACGTAAACTGCGAGCGGTGACATTAGTGCCAGGCGGTGAGAGTAAAAAAAATATCCCCTCGAGCTCCAGTCAATGTCAACATAATAAAAGCTTTATATTGAATATTCAGTTGATAAAGAGACAATTATCATAGTCACATATTCCTACTAGCGCTAGATCGGCGTGAATGCACCGTTCCTGAGCCCATCTACCTTGCAGCCCCGCAAAACGTCTCGGTACTCGGCCCCGTAATCGGCGGCAGTAACGAAGATCTTCAACTTCAGGAATGAATTTGTGATGCTCCCAACTACGCCGCATAACCCAGCACGTTCCGGGCAGAAGGATATTGAAAATACAAAACCGAAGCTCCGGACATATTCCTCGATATATGACCTCTCGCCCTCTTCATCGTTTTTGCTCGCACACACGAAAAGCTTCAGTTCGCCGCTGAAGTCATAATTCCTTTGATATTGCCACTTCTACAGCTCGGACGGGATACAACTTGTGCATATATCATTGCATATTGGTACATATTGAGATATATACTTCTTGGGCACCGAAATTCTCGCTATTCGAGATCGTGCGTCACGAGGTGCAGCCGCGCCACTCCGTTTTTGACAATCATACCACAAACCCAATGGCCGCCCCAGGCTCTGTGCTGCAGCGCACAGCGCTAATCTCTTCATCGATGCTAAGAACGAGAGTGATATCCGCTACCAGGACGCAAGCCACACACACCCTTCGCACCGGCCGCTGCTCTGCCCTGTCCTCCCACATACCGACGCACCCCCTCTTCCAAACCCGACATAGCTCCTACTCCGCGCCCACACTCCGTGAAAATGAAAAGGCGCGAAAGAAGGTTACTATCCAGACGCTCCAGAACATGCACAAAAAGGGGGAGCCAATCACAATGCTCACGGCACATGACTTTCCCAGTGCTCATGTAGCCGATGCGTCGGGGATGGATATGGTGTTGGTAGGGGATAGTTTAGGGATGGTAGCGCTTGGACTGGAAAACACGACGGAGGTTGTTATGGAAGAGATGATTCTTCATTGTCGGAGCGTAGCGCGGGCAACGAAAGCCGCGTTCATTGTGAGTTGCCGGGATTTTTTGACTGGCTCCACAGTGCCACCGACTAACAATCATACCCCAATTCCAGGTCGGAGATCTACCAATGGGGTCGTATGAAGTGTGCGCAGAGCAAGCCATCGAGTCATCACTGCGTCTAGTCAAGGAAGGTCGCGTACACGCCGTCAAGCTCGAAGGTAGCCAAGAACTCGCACCCACAATCAAGCGCATCACACAGGCCGGTGTTCCGGTGGTAGGTCATGTTGGTCTCACACCGCAGCGTCAGAATGCCCTCGGCGGCTTCCGTGTGCAGGGCAAGACGGCTGTCAGTGCGGTGAGGATGCTGCACGATGCTCTCGCTATGCAAGAGGCTGGCGCGTTCATGCTGGTGCTTGAGGCGATACCGTCGGAGGTTGCATCGATCATCACGCAGAAACTGCGGATCCCGACTATCGGTATTGGTGCCGGGAATGGCTGCTCCGGGCAGGTTCTGGTGCAGGTTGACATGACTGGGAATTTCCAGCCCGGTCGGTTCGTGCCGAAATTTGTTAAGCAGTATGCGGATGTTTGGGATGAGGCTTCCCGTGGCATTTCGCTCTATCGCGATGAGGTTAAGAGTCGGGCGTTCCCTTCAGAGGAATACACGTATCCAATTGCGAAGGATGAGCTCGCCGAGTTTCAGAAAACGGTGGACGAGGTCTTCCGGGAATCATGATGCGCCTGATTGCCATTTTTTCCGTGGCCATTTCTTGCATATTTTGTCTATATTAATGCATCATCATCATCATTTGTACATAGCATCATTGAGCAGTTCGCGCTGGTTGTTCATAGCCTACTCAGCCGAACGCTGGCGTCATTGAATAAGCGACAATCAATTGATCGTCCGTTTTGAAACACTATTATGACATTAGCATTCAAACTCGAGGAAGTACGGTAGAAAATCGAGTTGACACTCACCCTCCATAGTCCGCCCATGCCTTCATCCAGCCCAGGCGCAAACACACTATTAACATAACAAAAGACAGAATCGGTCTCTTTGCAGTCCAGCTTCTTGCGCAGGAATTTGACAACTGTCTCGAATTTCTGCGAAGCGCTAACCTTGAACACCCGACTTTTCAAAATCGGGGCTGATGGAAGAGGCTGGAAGCGAACAGTAACTTAATCACTATTAGTTGAATTCTACCATCTGAGGATATCGCGGTGATCTGATCAACCCAAAGCCCGGAGAAGAGGGGTCCTACCTTTCCCCGAATCAATACTCTCCACGTCTGCAAGAGCCTCGTGCGCATCACGGGGTAAATTGGTCAGCATGACCGATGCAGACATATTCATCGGTAGATCAGCGCCATGGTCGTCATCTGGGATCGGGGCGTTTGCTGAGCTGGGAGTGCCTGAGCTCTGGGACTGCCGCAGGCTTGGGCGATGGCTGAGTGTGGTTTGTAGATTTGGAGTGGGGGAGCGTTGTGGAGAACGTGTTGGAGAAGATGGATTCATGATGTATGATGCTACTTAGAGAGGTACGTAGATGGGAGGAGAAAGATGTAAGTAAGTTGGGGGTTGACGGAGGCGGGGGGCCTTAACGCGCTTAAAGTTTGGGCTACGCTTAGATGTGTAAACAATCATTTTCTGTAGAGCTTCATAGCTCTGAAAGAAGTTTGCCTTCTTTTCTTTTCATAGATAATTGCAAAGGGTTTACTTAGATCCAACCTTCTGGGGTCGGAGGTGTAAAGTTAACATCAGGCAGAATTTTATCTGGGAAAAGCTCTCTCCACTTCTTTCCACCGTCCTACATCGTCGGGTCACGCAAAAATGGAACCGGGCAGTCTTCGATCATTGATAAAATGCAGCTGCAAGGAGTCGCAGCCTCAGCTGTAGCTTTCTTCTTGGCTCTCGCTTTAGCATTGTCCAACCGAATGCTCTTGCGCTCTATAGCGAGGAAAACCAAGAAGGACACCCCGGCTAGGGCAATACTCTAGATCCAAACGGCCTATATCTCGCCCCATAGGAAATATCAACTCTTTCCCTCTTGACTCCAGTACTACATTTGTACATGTGGATTGCTATCGTATTTCAAACAATGTACCCAGGCTCTGACATCACATTGTAGGCTCATATCTTCCGTATAGACCATCGCCGTTTCTCCCTTTTGATAAGCTTCATCCAGCTATATAAGTAGCTCTCTGTTTATTGCTAGAGAATCATTTCTGCTTCTCTTTTCTCCCTGTCCTCTGATCGTCCCAAAATAGTCTACAGGGCAATTTCGCAGACGCTAAGAACTTCATGTCAAAAACTATGCGCATACCAACAAAATGTTTGATAAACTCGTCCTGTTGCTCCTGTCTTACTTTTTGGCACTGTCTAGTAAGTTTGGCCTCAGTTTGGTCTCTTTTATTTCAGTCGCGATGGCGATTCGGATAGAGCAGGGGCCTGAGTCCACCGTGGCGGAGCTCGTCCGCCTTGCTGAAGAGAAGGGCGGTCGAGTAATGGCCGACGTGGCCACTAACCTCATCTCAATCGTTATGGTGTGTGCTGTGACCCTACAAGGCATTTGACTTGTGTACCAGGTGTTATGGAGACTAGTTGACCAGTATATCCCTTGGTCGCTGTTCCCCGTGAAGGAACAACAAACTGAATCCTGATATAGCTAGTTTCTAGCACCAGGTGCTGGGAGGTTTTATATTGCTGCTTTTCCCTTGTCCGACAAGCCCAAGAAGGGATTGGTGCCGAGAAAGTCAACGATATCTCGAATCTGCAGACCGCAATCTCGAATCTTCAAACCCCAAGTATCATTGTGGATTTCCTAGATGAATCAATAAACTATAAGTAGGCAATGGCATATCGTACAAACTATGATCTTGTTTTACTCACATACAAATACGACATTAGAACTAAGAGAATATGTACCAGGTCAAGGCTTTCCCGAGCCTCCCCACTGGTTAGAGCAGCACTTCCCACAAGTGGCACTATTCACTTCTCCGGTTCCCAAGGCTCGTTCTCCGCCCAACGGCCTGGGGCGCATGGTTATGCGCGGAATATATATCTGGGGACTAAGTTTGAACGGCGATGATGCGGGAGGGAGACCGTATATGCAGCTCTGAAAGAAACGAGATAACCACCTTCAATCTGCAAAATCATTCATATCTATCAATTCTATGGTTTAATCTAGACCTAGATAACAATAAAACAGCTTTATATTTAATCCCTCCCTCTTTAACTTGCCTAGATCGATAGCACGTTGACTTGTCAACCAGGAGAATGATCATAGATTGAACCTCTTTCTGTGAGGATGGGACTATTGTCAGTTCTGGTGCGAGAGGGAGGTCAATTACAAGTCATCTTTGATTCTAGGCTTACCTTACTATATCATTGAGCTATGTATGTCTCTCTAAATAAAGGCAGTGTCATAATGTTTGCCAGTTTGTTATAATACAGTCACAGTTCCTTTCATATGGGTGTATATGGCAGCGACAAATCGGAGATCGTCTGATAAATGCGTATGGTACGCTTACGGAGGATAGTTTTTTAAGCAAATCATATCTTCGTTTGATCTTCCATTCAACTACTCTCCTCCACTTCTTTATCACACAACACACCATGGCGCCTGTCTATCATGGCCAGTGGTCTTTTGACAAGGACACTTTCTGCGTGACTTCCTCCGGTGGCCATGTTCACCCACGTGCGACGTATTCCGAGCTGGATGACATTTTCTGTGCACCTTTAGGCGACATCAGGGACAGAGCTGACCATCAAGATCACTGGTACGAAGCACAACTTCTCCATTTTGGACTACCACCGACAAGAAGCAAAGCTGCAGCCAAGATGAGGTTGATGGATGCCTTCCAGGATGAAACTCTAGATGTTCCGGAGCAAATTCTCCGGATAGAACAATCACTGTCGAAGAAGTGGGCCAAACGAGACTCAGAGGCTCGTGTAATGGGTCCTTCGATGCGACCCTTATTTCATCCTATCATCGGGAGAGCGGCGGCAACCGACACTACCGAATTTGGCACCACCCAGAAACCGTGGGGTAATCAGGAGGGAAATGCATTTGGTACAGGCTTCGCCGGAGGAGCCAGTATGCAAGGCAACATGCGACCCCAACGAAACCAAATACGACCCCATGCTCATTCAAATGGAAAGAAACGTAACCACGAAGAGCTCCCGACCCGCCCTATGAAGAATGCCAGATCTCGTGGTGAGACTGGTGGACCCAACTTGCAGGACCAGATCCAGGTCAACCCGAACGGCGAGACCTTCCATCAGAGACCGACAGTTATTCCAGTCTCAGTTGGAAACGGACAGCCACTCCCGGCTCCAGGCATGGAATTCCAACAAATTGGATATCAGACAGTGCCTCTATCGCACCAGACTACATATGAGACAGTGAGTTGTCTTTCCGTGTATAAGAAATACAGTATAACCATATCTGACCACAAACGCAGGACACACGACTATCTTCACCCGGGCTAATGGACATCGACGGTCCAAGTGATTAGTCTAGGTACGGCTACAATCCAGCCAATATTCTCAACCTCAAGGCTGGATGGAGTTCAGTAGCCAAGGTATGAGTGGACTTCGGGATTTGGATTGGTGAAGGCAAATTTGAGATAAGCTAGGGGCATGAGAATTTGTGTTAGGTGCTACTAGGGGGAGAGGAAGATTCGTGAAATGTTTGGAGTTCAATTGATTCAACGGAATTTGATAGCTTGCCAGTCTCCACTTTATGTATCAACCAGTCCACCACTATGATGCCTCATGTCAAAAATCAGTGGTACTCGTTGTCCTTCAACAAGCTTCGCCTCTCCACATAAGTAATCTCAAATCGAAAAGGTGCATCAACAAGCCCAGTTGACTTCTCCCATTGTGGATCCAGATACCACGGCTTGATCAGCAAGACCTCGAAGACGGTGGGTTGTCGAATCTGATGCAGCGGGATAAGCCAATCGTCCAGACGGTTTGTTACGTGGGGATATAAATGGATAGTCAATTTCTTCAGGCCAGGCAGCTTGGTAGCGAGAATCTGACAGCATTTATTCCAACTTAGACCACCAGGATCCGGAAAGCTGAGCTGCAGAGTGCGAATCATGCTTAAGCGCTGTGGTAGAAGTGTACGCGAAAAATCAATAATCGTATCTGTGTGGTTAAAGAGGAAAGTGTTCTTTTGGAAGATCATATCAATAACCTCGGAGTATCTAGCACGCTGTTAGTTGGCTTATTTCAAACATAGATGGAAGTACTCACAGTCTTCGACAGGTTTGTAAAAGAGGCACAAAATCCGCTCTTCTCGTGTCAAATTTCCACTCGGAGTTCTCGTGGTAATATGATCCGTAGTTCATGGGTGTGATGCAGTTTCCCCCGGGCCGACGAGCAAGCAATCCCCAACAATGATGACTGCATGGACAGAAATTGCGAGGCTCGCTGCATAAAATCCCGACAATTTCTTTACGGGATCGTTTCCATTTGTGCTGGTCCGGTCGTATAATATGCAGCATCCGGCTACATAGATAATGTTCCCAAATGAGAAGTCGGACTTCAGTGGGTAGACATTCGAACAGAGGAGACTGGGCTTGTTGGAGAGTAGATTGTTGCTCGCGTCGTTTTGAAAGTGATAGTCGCCATCCACGACTAGTCGACACTTTGAGGTCTTCATTCTCCGGAAGTGGTGGGGTGAGTGGCCTGGGGCGGGGTTTTGTAGATAAACTGAGGTGATTTGAGTCGTCATCTTGAACTCGGTTCTTCTTTGCCAACCCTAGCTTTTTGCCATCTGCCTCGTCGCCCAGGTTTGGCGCCATATTTGAACTCGTAGAGTGAAAGTTGGATAGTGTTGCGTCGGGCGATAGCGACATAAGAGCTAAACACGCTGACGTGTAACGTCAGCGCGCGTCTCAGATGTGGACTCTAAATTTGAAGGCTAAGAGCTAAGATTTCTATGAAGGGGATAGAAATTGAATTGAAGTCAAGATGATAAATCAAACAACGAACGTCGCCCAAATGTAAAACATATAGTACCGGGACGGCCTTGTTTGTCTGCATTAAACTATGCCAATGAACTATATAGCAGAGACAGTCACCAAAATCAGACGATACTTGCACTGGATGATCTTTTTCACTTTCGATCAAGCTCGGGATTTCACAGCCCAGGTGTATATAGTGGATTTTTACAGGGAACCCCCATATCGACCCTTCTGCCTGATTATGCCTGAGACAAACATATACTAACAGTAACAACCACAAGGAAGAGACGGATAGCACCAAACCAGAAAAAGTTCGAAACCACCCAACGAGGAACGTCAGAAGCGTTATATCTAACAAAATCCCCGTCTATCCAGACAGACAGGAAAGCGAAAGAAAAAGACAAGTAAAGGGGACATAGTGGTAAATAGCCAGGAAGGATCCATCAAGGTCGACAACCCGGCCAAAGCATAACAGAGGGAAGAGAATAGCAAACCCTGACTCCGGTAAAGAAACCCCCGTCGAGCTTGTCCCTGCCGGAGAGGTTATTGCGGAGCGAAGCGAAGGGGCTCCAAAATCATTAGAATCAATACAGTGAAGATGTAATCGGCTAACGTTGGCAGAATAATCCAACCGGCAAACCAAATAAACCAGGTCTAATTTGGCTAGACGATAATTTCTATTACGTGCTAACTATGTAGTGTTAGCCTAGTTACCCAAGCAGTTTCTCAAGCAGTTTCTCAAGCAGTTGCTTAAGTACTTAGAATCCTAGAGCAAATAGACTCTCTTCCTTTAAATTAAACTAGCACGTTACAGTGATTACAGAACTATAACCAAGTAAGCAAGCAAGGATGGAGTTGTGGCGATGGGGGCCGAATGAGGGGCCGAATGAGGGGCGGCGACCTTGCAAGGCCAAAGTAATATATTGTCTAAGGAAGCCGATACAACGTACAAACCAGCGACGCGAACCTAGGAGCCTGACTGGCCTATCGTCCTCGAGAGTGGATACTCCGATAGTCGACGCACAGTGGTGGCTGGTCAATGCCGGCGGCGACGTGAAGACAATCCTCCTTATCTCGATAAATAGGGAGAGGCAGGCCCTCCACCTCGAAAGATGGTGCCTTGCTCCACCCCACAACCGGCCCACAGCCCGCCACGCCCCGAGTATGGTCCCGACGAAGGTGGACGAGGTAGATATTATCGTGGGTAATCCCAGGCCATACTCACGTACTATACGTAGTACTGTACTAATCATTGCCATCATAGGTTGGCACAGCCGGAATGTCTACTGGCATAGCAGTCTAACCTAATTAGTATAGGTCAATCTTGGTACTCCATTTTCAATACACGGACCATTTAATACGGTTTCGCTACTGTAAAATGCACAGCTTTGAATACCGGAGGATCTATTAGTCCTATAATGTCTATTGTTTATTTTAATTCATGTAATCAGGCTCTATAAATTTAAGTAGCTGAGCCAGTACTCCATTGATTGGACCTATATTTTACAGAACCGGTTTAGCCGACATGTTTTCGATGCCTTACAGATCAGGCCTCATTCGGTATAAATTCCCCGCATCCCCACTTTCATCTTCGCCCTTGATAAGCTCAGCTCTTCAACGTCCATATTGTGACTTGAAGAACATGGCTGAAAAGAGCATTGTACCGGCCGCTGACCTTGAATCATTTACGGAATATTTAGGAGGCTGCAAACGCATCGTTGCTCTGCTTGGAGCTGGAATCTCAGCAGCGTCAGGCTTACCCACCTTCCGTGGCGCAGGCGGACTCTGGCGCTCCCACGATGCAACCTCCCTCGCGACTCCGGAAGCCTTCGATGAGACTCCCGGTCTTGTCTGGCATTTCTACAGTTATCGGCGACACATGGCCTTGCAAGCCGACCCAAACAAAGCACACTACGCCTTAGCGGAGCTATCGCGAAGGAATGAAGACTTCATCACATTGAGCCAAAATGTTGACGGTATGGATGTCGGACAAGTGCTTCTGTCTGAATTACTAAAATCCCCTCGTGTCGTTTTTAGGTCTCTCTCAGCGAGCGAACCATCCCTCGAAGCAGCTGCATCTTCTTCACGGCACTCTGTTCACTGTCAAATGCACCAATTTCTATTGCGATTACACCGAAGACAATTTCACTGACCCCATAGTTCCTGCCCTCGAAATTCCAAAGAAGAGCCCAGGCCTTAATCCCTCTGCGACCGACAAGACTGGCGAGGAAGCATCGAAAGCGCTAGCAGAAGCGCTGGACGGCACCAGCAACGAAGTAGACATATCCGATTCCAGCAATCCTATCGCCACAGTGAGCAAAGAGGAGCTACCTCAATGTCCGAAATGCAAGGATGGATTGCTCCGACCGGGAGTCGTATGGTTTGGGGAACCCTTGCCGGAGAAGACGCTCAGCACTGTCGACAAGTGGATCGCGGCCGGGCCAATTGACCTATGTTTGGTCATTGGCACTAGCGCAAGGATCTGGCCAGCTGCGGGGTATGTCCATGAGGCTCGTTCGCAGGGCGCCCGAGTTGCAGTGTGCAATATGGACCGCAAGGATACACCGGGCGAGCTTCATAACGGTGACTGGTTCTTCCAGGGAGATGCAGGCGTTATTATCCCTGAGATACTCAAGAGCGTTATTGGCGAGATCTGAATCTCATGGGAGGATGGATACGGGAATGGCGAATTTTGATATTGGGGTTTGCATGAACTGGTGACGAGACACATGATAGTTGGATGACAAGGAGCTTTGGATTTCATACAAACTGGTATTTCTAGGTAAATCTACGAATCTTACAAATGAATAGGCCAATTGCACAGACTCTGAGACACCACTGCCGTATACAAATGCCGATCATGCCTCGGGTATTCAAATTTAAAACCCTAGAAATAGCGGAATTATGAGCTGATCTACAATTGCAACCAATTGGCCCGAATCCAACTTGTATTTGATATGCGGGGTTCGTAAGGAGTACATATATAGATCTACATTACCCTCAACATCCAAGGGGTGACATTTAAACTCGGACGCCCCCTTGACAATACGTACCACCATCAATTGTACCTCAATTGCGCGACAGACACAATGAAGTCGACAACTACAGTACCCCAGAAACGAAAGAAGGAAGACAGCGATGATGAGGATGATATTGTCAAAGATGGCAGCCTCACATCCGCTGCTGACAATTTCTTCGAGGCACTGTGTATGTGATCGAAGCTTCACGCAGTCCATTGGAAAGGCTAACCTTCTTTCCAGTTGAGGCCGGTATCACATACTGCTTCGTCAACCTGTTAGTGACTGTATTAGCCACTAATTCTATGTGTTCTGACCGGTCTGATAGAGGGAGCGACCATCCCGCGATGTTGGAAGCAATGATCAAGGCTAAGCAAGGTGAGTACCGGATATGTTACCAGCAACCAGGGCTTATTTATGATAGAAAACAAACCCAATTTTCCGAGAATCATTACCTGCCCTTCTGAGCTAGTTGCCCTATCAGCTGCACTGGGATATGCTCAAGCTACAGGGGTTCCGGTAGATGACTACGCCCATCATATCAATTCTTTCGCTAACTTCTTGCAAGCAATGCGTAATTGTGCATGTCGACTGCGGCACTCTTGCTATGGGACAGTCCATACATAATGCCTCCGTCAGCAGAGTTCCTGTTTTGTGCTTTGCTGGTTTGAGCCCTTTTACTCAGAATGGCGAGTTGTTGGGTTCCAGAACTGAGTTAGCAAGCCAAACGAAGTAGGTTTACATGGAGCCAGCTGACTGATACTGAAGTACAGGTTCATCCATTGGCTACAAGACGTACCTGATCAAGCAGCGATTGTTCGACAATACTGCAGATACACGGGTGAAATAAAGACCGGACGCAATATCAAACAAATGGTCTCGCGAGCTTTGCAGTTTGCTACATCTGATCCCAAAGGTCCGGCATATCTAATGGCTGCGAGAGAGGTACTCGAGGAAGTAAGTATTCGAAGTTATCGCAATAAGCCAAAATTGTCTCTAACCATATCTTATGCAGCGTGTGGGAAATGAATCTCTAGACGGTGAAATTCTCAGTTCGATCACCCCAAGTGCATTGCCAGAGCAAGGTAGGGTGATAATTTGAGATTTGAGATTTCATATCGCTGACAGCAATAGAGGTAGAATTGATTGCCAAGTCGCTGATGAGCGCAAAGCGACCGCTTGTCATTACAAGTTATCTTGGTCGGAATCTCAAAGCGCCAGCCCTCTTAGCCGAACTTTGTGATAAACTTCCAATTACCGTCGTGGAGATGGTCGGCTCTGACGTTTGCCTCCGGAGTGACCACGAAGCATATCGCGGCGTTACCGTCACTACTCATCCGGAAGTTCTTCAAGCTGATGTTATTCTTATTCTTGATTGTGATGTGCCCTGGATTCCTACTGCTGGAAAGCCTCGGAGTGGTAAGAATGTCCAAAAAACCATGTTTCAGTGCTGTTCTGACACACACTGCAGGGGCAAGGGTATTCCATCTAGATGTCGATCCGTTGAAGCAACAGATGCCACGTAAGTTCATATATCGACCGTATTGCTGACTTTTCTCTGCTTTTTTATTAACGATTACATATCAGTCTTTTCAATCAATGCCACTCGCAAGCTCAAGGTTGGCTGTGGAATTGCGCTTGGGCAAATCAATGCCTTCTTGGATAAACAGGATATCGACCGGGCTAAGTATACCCTGGAGTTTGAGGAGCGGTCAACTAACTACAAAACCTGGAGGGAAACTTTACAAGCACTTGAATCACCGTCGAAAGATGGTGTAGTCAGTGTGCCATATCTGGCATCGAGACTGCGAAAGTCTCTCCCCCAAAACACTATTTACGTTTTGGAGGCTGTAACCAATGCAGGACACCTCATCCACCATTTGAACTTGACTAAGGTATGTATTCATGCCAATGTGCTGATTCTATGCTAATCAAATTCCAGCCGGGAAGTCTGATTGCCAGCGGCGCAGGTGGTCTAGGATGGGGAGGTGGTGCAGCACTGGGCGTCAAGCTAGGCAAGCCCGGCTCATTCATATGTGCAATGTAAGTGTTCACCAGCGCGGGAGCTCTTCCACAATATCTAATAAGCATCAGCGTCGGCGACGGAGTCTATCTATTCTCGCAGATGGAAAGCGTATATTGGATCGCCAGACGCTACAATATCCCCTTCCTCCTCGTTGTGCTTAACAATGGCGGATGGAACGCACCAAAGGTGTCCGCACTTCTGGTTCACAAGGACGGGTTATCATCGAAGTCGAATAGACGAGGTCAGCCAGATCTAAACTAAATATCTTGTGCATAGTAGCTGATCTAGTACAGATCTCAATATCTCGTTCGACCCTTCTCCCGATTACCCCGGTATCGCTGCTGCAGCAGGTAAGGCGTGGGGTGCGACAGTTACCACGCGAAGCGAGCTTGATCCTGCTATCAAACAGGCAACAGAAGTTGTTCAAAGTGGGAAATGTGCTGTGGTTGAGGTTTCGTGAGTGGGAATAGTGGCTCTTAAGTAACAACCGCTTACTTTCATCTATAGTGTTCCGTCTATGTGGAAAGAGAACTAGTACAAAATGCCAGAAGGGTAAATGGGAAAACCAGTTCTCATTTTCTGGCTTCAAGAAGAATTTGCTTCTTTTTGTGGTGTGTTATGTTGAAACTGCGTTGTCTCCAATGCAATGGGAGGTAGTTGTTGCTTTGAAAGTATGAAATATGTCAGCTACTAGACATAGATTGGGTACTAGCTTGTATGCGATTGATCTGATTGATATCTAGATGATTGATATCTAGATGTAATACTATTCTTGTACTATTCTCCAAGAACTAGATGTGCCTTTTCTTTCCCTGTGCTGCCTGAGGCACCCAGCCGTTGCTAGGCCAACCTCAAACAAAGCGATAACCTTTTGGAATCGATAACGACTTCTCCCTTGGATGCTCGCAAACCCCCACCATCGACAAACCACTTCGGATTCAAGGCATCATCTAAGGGTGAGTGTCTCCAACCCTGTTATATTGGTTACATTTTCCTGGAACTCGAAATTTCAGTTCCTAGGGGATCCCACAGTCCACGAGCTGGTCGAGCCCACAAATAACATAAGAGACTAACTGCGAAATCCAGTGCTCAGATATCCCTCTTCGCGTCTTGATGCCCTAAGATTAGATCATTCCAGACTTGGTTATCCTGTGAAGTCAACAAACAAACCTATCAATTGTCTGACAAGATCTACTCAAACCACAACGTCAAAACACGATGGCTAGAGAAAGCACTGCGCCAATGGAGCCCCTCACTCCAGGGGGAAAACCAAACACCCAGCCTCACCCGGCACACATCCAGGAACCCGAATTCGGAAAACCCTCACCGATCGGCCCCGCACAGCACAGGTCAAACCACCTTTTCAACATCCCGAAGCCAAATCAATCTCGTGCCGAACATCATCGACCCGTCCCTCGACCGCATCCGCAACAGCAGCCACAATCACACCAGCAAGGCCATTCGACTGCTACGCCGTTGGTGAAGCGAAGCGAGCCATGGGATCCATTCAAGCCGGTCGCACCATCAGCCTACAATAACCCTCGCGGAGGGTTCCAACATGGCGCAGTGAGTATCAAGCGACCCGAAAATGTTACTTGGACAACTCCCCGGGCCCCTAGGCCTGTATATCAATCCAAGCCTGTTCCACCAAAGATGGCGGGCGCGACGAAGAATATACAGAAGTTTATAGATCTCACACGCGACGACACTGATCCTGTTCCAAGGGCATCAGCCTATGCGGCGCCGGGCTTCGGGGCTATGGATATGAATGGCTACGTGGATACGGCTATGGCAAACGAGAACATCAAAGCTTTGCTGGAGGGTGCATTCGAGGATGAGGAAGACAAGGCTGAGCCGAAACCTAAGGGCAAGAAGAAGAAGGGTGGAAAGAAGTCCAAGAAGATGTCACAGAAGAAGCAGGATGATGAAGTCGCGGTGGACGAGAAGAAGGAACAAGCGATTGACGACCTCGATGATCTTGCTGCTCAACTTCAAGGGGTCACAGTGAACGACCCGAAGGATAATAATGGCGCCAAGTCTGGAAAAGATTCATCTACCAAGCTTGATGAAGAAGACAACGAGGCGGCAGAGGCGGAAGAAGAAGAAGATGAAGATGAGGAGGAGGATTCCGACGATGAAGATGCCGGAGTCGTCGAAGGCTTAAAAGTGACTCTTCTTCCCCATCAAATTGAAGGTGTGAGATGGATGTGTGACAAGGAGACTGGCCGAAAGACGTCCAAAGGGATTTTCCCCAAAGGCGGAATCCTTGCAGATGATATGGGTTTGGGCAAAACAGTGCAAGCTATTGCTTTACTGCTCAAAAACCGCAAATCTGATCACGAAAACAGCGATGACAACACCGAGTCCGCAGGCAAGACGACCAAGTTTCCCCCAAATTGCATTGCCTCCACTTTGGTAATTGCGCCACTTGCACTCATCAAGCAATGGGAGGCAGAAATCAAGGACAAAGTTGAGCCATCCCACAAGCTGAGTGTTTGCATCTATCACGGTACAACACGCGCAAAGGCTTCAACGACTTTAGACAAATACGATGTTGTAATCACAACGTATGGAACTCTTACCTCCGAATTCAACTCGTCCGCATCAGACAAGGCCAAAAAGGCGGGTATTTTCGCAGTTCATTGGTACCGTATCATTCTTGACGAAGCGCATACAATCAAGAACCGTAACGCCAAAGCTACCCAGTCAGCATACGCATTGGAGGCCCAACACCGCTGGTGCTTGACAGGAACGCCATTGCAAAACAACCTGGATGAGTTGCAGAGTCTCATCAGATTCCTTCGCGTGAAGCCCTATGACGATTTGGCCGCATGGAGAGATCAAATCAGCCGGCCTTTAAATAATGGCCGTGGAGGTCTCGCTATTCAGCGACTGCAGGTCTATCTGAAGGCCTTTATGAAACGGCGCACAAAGGATGTGCTTAGACTGAATGACAATGTGAAGCCTGGCGAAGAAGAACCAGACGGCAAGCCAAAGAAGTCCTCAAATGGATTCCACATCACTAAGCGTGAGGTCATTAAGGTGGCTGCCGAATTCATGCCTGGTGAGTTAAACTTCTACAAACGTCTCGAACAGCGAACGGAGAACAGTCTTGAGAAAATGATGGGTGGTTCCAAGGTCGATTACGCTGGAGCTTTGGTTCTGCTGTTGCGTCTTCGCCAGTCCTGTAATCACCCAGACTTGGTCAAGGGTGATTTAGCCAAAGACAAAGATATTCTTTTGCAGAACGGCAGTACGAATAGCCAGTCGAAGTCGGATGACCTTGACAGCATCGCCGATCTTTTCGGGGCGATGAGCGTTGTGGCAAAGAAATGCGATGTTTGCCAAACGGACCTGAGTCAGGCTGAAATCAAGGCTGGTGGCAGTCGCTGTGGTGAATGTGAGGCCGACTTGAATGCCGATGTCATAGGCACAGAAAAGAAGAAGAAAAAGAAGTCGAAGAAGAGCCACAAAAAGCCTGACGTTCCGGACTCACCGTCAGCCCGCAAATCCGATGCACAAATTGCTCGTTCTCGCAAAAATCGACGAGTCATTATTGACAGTGACGACGAAGACGAAGAAGAAGGCGATTGGGTTATACCTCGCGACCAGCGCAAGATGCCTAACCTCGGAAAAGCAGGTGGCTCGGACGATGAAGACGCTGAAGGGGGTGGTGAATGGCTCATTTCGGATGATGAGACCGATGATGAGACCGATGATGAGGTCGAATCACCCTCCAGAAGGAAGAGCCAGCCCATAATTCTGAGCGGTTCCGATGATGAGAGTGATTCCGAAGCGGATGACATCTACAACGATGAAGGAGAAAACGGAGAGCTTCCATCCACTAAGATTCGTCATCTTATGCGGATTCTGCATCGCGAGGCACCGGACTTCAAGTTCATCGTTTTCTCCGTCTTCACATCTATGCTTGATAAGATTGAGCCCTTCTTGAAGAGGGCTAATATTGGTTTCGCTCGCTACGATGGTGGAATGACAAATAACCACCGCGAGGCTAGTCTCGAAAAGCTTCGAAACAACAGAGGCACCCGGGTCTTGCTCTGCAGTCTACGTGCTGGTGCATTAGGCCTCAATCTGACAGCCGCTAGCCGTGTCGTTATCTTGGAGCCCTTCTGGAATCCCGTGAGTTACAATTTTAAATCATCTATTGCGCATTGTGCTAACCCTGAAGCTAGTTTGTGGAGGAGCAAGCTATTGATCGTGTCCATCGCCTGAATCAAACCATTGACGTAAAGATCTACAAGATGGTCATCAAGGGTACCGTGGAGGAACGCATTGTTGCGTTGCAAGACCGCAAGCGCGAACTGGCCAATGCCACCATCGAGGGCAAGACCGGCGCTGGCAAGCTCACCGTGCGCGACATGATGGCGCTCTTCGGTCGTGATGCAGAATCCCGATTCACCGATAACCAGAGCACCCTAGACTTCAACCAGCCTACTCGACTGCTGAATACTGGTGATGAGAATGAGCCTGCTTCTTCCTCCACTCAGGAGTCTGCACACTCTGTTCCGCGCGGCCGGGGAAACGAGGTCAAGCCTAACCGGCCGCGAAATGAAGACTCGGTTTATGGCCGACGGTGGTAATCAGCATGGTACGAAATTATGAAATGAAATTTGGAGATAACGTTTGCGGGAGTCCCGGTTGGTGTCAGGAATGTGTTCGTATTTCTATTAAATTTATTTCATTTCTTGTTTGATGTTATATTTTACTGGCTGATCTCGTACATATCTTCAACCCATTGTTGCTATGCTAAAACACACGTCTCCTTGCCCTTCATTCCCCATTGTCGGCCTGAGGTTGCTCCAGGCTAAAGAGTGGTGGAACCTTGGTCGTTTGATGGCTGGCCTCACGCCTCCCATGTATCCGGAAACAATGCCCGCGAGTCGGATTCCCGCCCAATTTTAGACATGGCGATTTCACAATGGCGCTCGGCATTGTGCTCCGATTGGCATACCTATGAATCTGGATAATAACTGCCGTCGCTATAGATAGGAGCAGTTCAAGCACTATTACTACAAGTGTGCTGTATGCCATCTATTTAGTACTGATGGATGGGCTAACTCAACTTCTTTGATCTATTCTGACTTATTATACTTGATATGGCAGGGCAGAAGCTAATTGAGAGTCTAGTTGTCAAATCCAAGTCAGTTTTAATGCCGCCATCCAACACGCTTATCACACTCTAGCTGAGCAGACCACTCATCTAGAATGTGTGGGGTATCGAGCAGAGATGATTCTCGATGGGCCGGAACAGGTACCTCCATGTCAGGTTCTATGGTTCTGGTCCGGAATCGCCGAGTCTGGCCTTCGTGCGCTTGAATGTCAGTAATTACCTGGAGATCTTTGATTGAATTGCGCTGGCAGAGCACGGAGTTGACCAGCACGCCAAACCTCTCAAGATCAAAGAGCGGACTAGGGTCAATGCAAACGTTCACACTCCTCGAATGGTCTGGATATATTCAAGCCAGGACTCGATCAGACTATTTGCCGAAGCTTTTACCATGGATATGAGAGTCTGGTCCAAAGGATTGCGAGCGATTCTCAAATGGTAGTTTCCGGCGAACCGGACAAGGGAACCGAGGACATGCTCCCAGGGAGGAAGCTTGTTTCTGGTGGATCATGCCTTGATAGGTTGAAAGCCCACAGAAGAAAGCATGGGCTGGGGAAGAAAACCCCCGTAACCCCGGTTGAAGCATGGCATTCTGGAGATCTTTCAATCTTGTAACTATATACTCTTCCGGTCTTATTTGATTCTCTTCATATACTCTGTGTGCACCCAAATTCTCCTTCATACACGATGGTTCATGCTTTACCGCGTTAATACATCGCTAACATTCTGTGAGCTGCTTCCTGCCAAATTCGCTGCCCAATTTATAGCTAACGCTGGTGGCCTTCCTAGTTCGAACCATTCTCGGCTGCTCTCTCTGCTGAGGATCGAAGGCTGAGATATGTCTTCACCGTCCGACATTAAAGATAACGGGGATTGGACGGTCATTTACGATGACCAGAGTGACGATGGCCAGAACGGCAAGAAAGAAGAAAAGCCTTCTCGAAGGAGGCAGTCTCTCGCGCGAACGTTATCCATACCGAAGAGCATGTGCATCATGTCTGACAACAAGACTGAAGTATCGACGGTAGCCGAGCTGCTATCCCCGAAGTTGAAATTGCCTCAACTGGGCACCGAATCGGCGGAAAGAGTCTTTCCTGTTCGTTCCGTCGTCTCATTTGATTCCACACCTTCATCCGCCCTGCAGACACCTTCCCTCGATAAGCTCGAAACACCGATATCTCCTTTTTCGGACACATGGAGTGCAGGCTTCAGCAATGAACAAGCGGGCTCTCAGCAGAAAAGTCCACCTGGGAAGAGTACGAATGCTGAGGATGGTGTCTCAAAGAGATCCGACCATCCCACTCAACCGCGTGCTGAGAATGAAATTCCATCGGTACTCAAAGGACAACCTTGCTCCAGCCATAATCTTGACATTTTGGCACAATTGAAAACCACTGTGCAAAACGGTGGCGAAATCCTTGACATCCACAAATCAACAAAGGGGATATGCTACTCGCATGAAGATGAAGAGAACATCTTCACTCAGTCATTCGGCGCACTGGTTGTGATAAAAGAGTCCGACGGTAACTTTGAAGTGCATATAGCAAGTGAAAACTCCAAGGAAATCATACAGCATTCTCCTGATCAACTCTTCGGGCTTCGAACATTTTGTGATATATTGCCATCATCGCAACACAGCAACTTTCTTGCTCATTCTAAATTCGTTTTGAGCGACGACTACTCAGTCCAGGACTCTGGTCCTGAGGTCTTCTTCCTTTGTGTATTGTCACCTGACGGATATATTCAGGGTACTTGGTGTACCATGCATACGAGCACAGTATATAAAGACTATATCATTTGCGAGCTTCAGCCCGAGCCTCGAGGGACAAAGGTTCAGCCCGATTTGGAGAACCCCGAAATTCAAACGACAAAAGCGGATAGCCAGACCTTGGACATGACCTCTGGAGCATTTCCTGAGAATATCAATCCTCCGGGAAAAGACCTTGATACCAGAAATAGCAAATTTCCCGACCCATCGGAGCTTCTCAATACCATCCCTCGAATCCTCCAGCGATTTGCAACTGCTCAAACGCTAGAAGCGCTCGTTCAAAATACCATCGCCACTCTGCAGAATATCATTGAATTTGACAGAACTACCATGTATCATTTCGATATTGACCGCAACGGAATTGTGGTCGCCGATGCAGTTGATGGTTCGTCGGGGTTAACTTCGTACGAAGGCGTGCATTTCCCGGAATCAACCTTCCCCGAAGGATTGAAGAAACTATACACACGCAATACTGTATGCTGCTCTTGTTCTAGAAGCCAGGGCAGTTCAAAACTTGTGTATCGGGCTTCCACCAACAAAAGGCCCCTCGACATGTCAAACACCTATATCCATGCAGCACCGGCGCCCTTAACGCCGCATACCGAGAATCCCGTCAGGGCCTGTTTGTCAATCCAAATCAATGTCTTTGGTAAGCTTTGGGGTCTCATATCATGTCAGTCCTACGACAGTGGCCAAATGCTCCATCCGCTCATCCAGAAAGTGTGCTGGTTTGTAGCCGAGGCGGTTTCAAGTAACATTGAGCGTCTGTCCTACACCTTACCCTTTCAATTTCGAGAGCCGGACATCTCTTTGGATAAAACGCGCACATCTCAGGCTATAAAGACCCCACCCGGTGATCTTCTCAGTCTGTTCGGGGCAGATTACGCTGCAGCGTCGATCATGGGCGAGGCCAAAATCTTGGGGAAACCAATCGACTCGCAGGAAGTTTTGGCATTGTTCGAATACATGAAAGCCAAAGAAAATGACACGGTGTTTTGGTCTGCAGATATCGCTGCCGATTTTCGGGATCTCAATTACTCGCCCGGCTTTCATCATCTTTCTGGTTTGCTTTACGTTCCTCTTTCCATTGATGGTCGTGATTTTATCATCTTTTTTCGGGCTGATTTAGAGAGCCATAACCTTGCTTCTAATTCAAGCCGGCAACATGAATGGTCGTCGGCAGAGTTTGGAAAGGCATCTGTACTGTCTTTGCTCTATCGCACTTTCACCGATATATGGCAAGAGAAGGAGGTTACACTGCAGAACAACCAGTTGATGAGGCTTTTACTGGCTAATTCGGCGCACGAGTTCAGAACACCTCTAAATGCGATCATCAACTACCTGGAGATTGTTCTCGATGGTTCTCTAGATCAAGAAACACGAGATCATATTTCCAGATCTCACTCGGCTTCTAAGTCGTTGGTATACATCATCAATGACCTTCTAGATCTCACGAATACGGAAAACGGGCAAAAGTTGATAAAGGACGAGGTATTAGATCTCTCCGAGACCCTCACGGAAGCAACAGACATATTCTGGGAAGAAGCAAGACAGAAGCATGTCGATCTACAAGTAGTCCAACACGCAGCCCTACCTCCCGTCCTCGGAGATCAACGGCGGGTACGCCAGGTGATCACAAACTTGATCAGTAATGCTATACAGCACACATCTACCGGAGCAGTGACAATCGAGTCTTGTGTTGTTCCGGAGCCGCTGGAGACAGATCATATCTGTGTCGAAGTCGCAATACATGATACCGGGTCTGGCATGTCCCAACAGACTGTCGAAACATTGTTCTGCGAGCTGGAACAAGTATCCAACAAGGGATATATGCAGAATCCCAACTCATTTGAACATACTTCAAGTGGCCGTGTATTCGAGACGGAAAGCGTGCTTGGCCTGGGCCTCGCACTGGTCGCCCGAATCGTGCGCAATATGAACGGTCAGCTAAGCTTGAAGTCTGAAGAAGGCAAGGGAAGTTGCTTCAAGATCAGGCTTGTGTTTCCTCTTCCGGGTGAAGATAGTATTCAAAAGCAGAACTCGTGTGCTACGTCAAACGGACATGTGCAGGGGGATGAAAGAAAAGAAGACACAAAGAAAGACACCACATCCTCGAATTGCGTAACAAACCAGAACGAAGGGGGTATTCCATGTGAATGTGGTCAAAGTCCAGAATTCGAATCAGGAAAATGCGTCGTGCACGCCGAGGTAGGCTTGAAAACCGGGGAATCGAGAAAGCTCTCCCTTTCTGGCGAACAGCTCGATCAGAGCCACCAGCCACAGGTACCGGCCGCTTTCCTTCCAAAAGAAGATCCTGGGCAATCATCAGAAGCGTCCAAATCTCCTGTCAAAGAACTCTTCTCGATCTCACCACCCACAAAATCCCCTACCGACCAGCCCCAACCCCCTCAACCCAGCGTCTCTCCCACGATGGACTGGAACCTCCACGTCCTCGTCGCGGAAGACGACCCAATCAATAGCACCATCATGCAAAAGCGCCTTGAGAAATTCGGCCACACAGTGCACATGACAAGCAACGGCAAAGAATGCCTATCTGCCTATAAAGCTGATCCCACCCACTTTGACGCAGTGCTGATGGATCTACAAGTATGTCAACCAAGAATTAAACAAATTCCACCTCAATGCACATACTGACACTCAATTTCTTACGGCAGATGCCCATCGTCGATGGCCTTGGTGCAACACAGATGATACGCGAATACGAGCAAGAGCTGGCTAATGGAGACACGCCTGCGCCTCGCATTCCCATTTTTGCTGTCTCGGCTTCCTTGCTCGAGGAGAATCGGAAGATGTACATGGATTCGGGCTTTGATGGATGGGTCATGAAGCCCATTGATTTCCACAGGGTTGATCGGTTGCTTGGGGGTGTTAGGCTTCAGTGGGTACGTCAGGAGGTTGTTTACCGGCCTGGTGTGTGGGAGGCTGGAGGGTGGTTTGAGGCATAGACATTCCAGAATGACCATAGGAGCTGAGATGGGGGTTATTTCGACTCGAAGAACTCTGAGAAGGGGGTGAAGATATCCAATACCCAAATCGGGGCATTGAAATCATATGCAAAAATTCTAGTCTTTCTCCATGGTATCTATACAAACAGAAAAGTAAATGCAAAATGCAACAAAATAAAAACAAATGTAGGTAAACTCGTCATATCAAAAATTTTCCGCTATATCGGTGAAGTCAGGCACTGTATCTCCACACTTAAACGAAGGGCTATATGCCTTGCTTGGCATATATCCATTCTTCCATGCGGTCCGATAACTCCACTGCGCGGCTGACTCTGTCCGCCAGGTCCAGTAGAACCATCCCATTGCCGTTTCGAAGGAAGACATCTGTGCCTCGGCATATGTCTGAAGGAACTTCTTGTAGGTATCCGAATATTCCGATGGGTCCTCGTTCGCATTCGAGCAGCTGCACGTTCCTTCGGCCGCTGTTGGGCAATAAGCCGTCGTGGAAGTGGTAGAGTAGGTCCCTTCCCATCGAGTACCTCGGCCGACGTTGTTCAAATACTGCGCGCAGTCGGTGTCTGCCTGCGACCATTCACCACAAATGGTTGGACCCCATCTGGTTGTGTATTAGCATATGAGATTACAAAGAGACGGCAGCTCAATTTACCCCGAAGTAGTCGTGTTGATCTCCTTGATCATAGGGTACCAACTATTACAGATAATGTTGACCTTGGCGGTGTGGTTCAACACGATCTCACCCGTGTTGAAAGTAGTATATTGATGGGTGTCGAGGTACATGTTGTCCGGGTGGGTTTGGAACATGCTGTCCCACTTGGCGAGATTCAGAAACCCATCATGCAGGACAATAGTGGCAGTGATACCATTCTTCCGGACGAGTTCCGCTGCCTCCTGGGTCCAATTTAGGACCTTCTCGGTGGGCAGGGTGAGCATCAGTGGCTCGTTCACCAGACCGTAGATCGTTACCACATTCTTATATCGGTCTTGGGCAAAGAACTGCGAGAGTTGGTTGTGAATCTCAAGCGACCGCTTACGGTTGAGCGTACCGTCTGTACCGGCCAACCAGCCGATGCTGCCCTGCCGGCCGCTATGGTTCCAGCCATTTTGACTGCCAGGCAGTCCGTGGAGGTCGAGTTTGATCCGTAGTCCATATTTGCGGCACCACTCGATTGCGCGGAGTAGATAACGCCACGCAATCTTAGGGACGTATGGGTCGTCGTCGTAGGTAGTCACGGCCCAATAGGAGTATGGGATGCGGACGTGATCCAGCCCGGCCTCCTTGATCTCTTTTATATCTGACTCTGAGATGAATTCGGCATAATGCTGCTCAATCGTGGCCGCTGCGGAGCTTCCAAGCTTTTTAGTCAAGGTGTACTCGTCGATAATACCAGCGCTAGATGGCCACTTGCTGAACAAAGACGGGACAATGAAGGGCTCGATAGACAGCCATCCGCCTAAATTGACTCCGCGGATCGGCTGTGTGCCGTAAGGGAAGGCCTTGTTAAGAGCAGGCACATTGTCGTTCGCCTGGGCAGTGTCATCCCAAGTCGAGTTGATGCCCATAAGGGAAAGGCCACCCACAGTGGCATTTGTGAACGTAAGATTGAACCCTTCGGTCTGGTACCACGTAAATGGATCCAAGTAGGTGCCCTTGGCGTAACTCTGAAGTACCGCTGTCAGCAAATTCCATCGAGGTGATACACTCGAGACTTACTGGTATGCTTGCGCGGCTGATACCGTCCAAATTAGAGGTAGTCGAACTGTTCCCGGAGGAGGAACTCGTTTTTGAATCTGAGCCCTTGTTTTTTGACACAACAATTGCAACCGGGATGATGATGGCAAGCAAGAGGAGCATCGCCAGGAGACATCCGACCAAGATACGTTTCTTCCTCGACCAGTTAGACCAAAATTTCCAAGCCGGTGGCCCTCGGTTGTCCGAGCTGCCTTCCCAGCTGTCTTCATCTTTCCAATGATCTTGCACAGCAGGTCCACCACCGCCACGACGACGAACCCGAGCATCAGAGCCATGGCCTTCTTCCAAATAAGCACCAGACACAACTCGTGCGCCGGCCTTATGGCGTGAGTGGCCCTGCGCAACTTCAGCACCAAGTGCCGCACCAGCAGCAGCGTCCAAAGCAGCTCGCTTCCGCTGTCGTCGACGTTCCCGACGCAAGTCATCTTCTCCGCGAGACTTTTCGATACGGTCCACATCCTCGTGCTCAGCAGCAAGACGCGCCATAGCGTCCACACTCAGGAGGTGCGCAGCACTACTCGAAGACTCAGTGCTGCGATGTTTCTTCGCCGAGGCCGCAGCAGCAGCAGCATCAACTTCCCGCCGACGCTCCCTTTCTCTTTCGCGCTCGCGCCGTCTCCGCCGACGCGCCTCAGCCTCAAGGTCGAGATCAACATCCCTGGCCCGTCTATCTCTAGCCGGACTCGCACTCGCACTCTCGTCTCTGCGGTACCGCCTCTCGCGATCCGGCCGTTTAGCAGGCGACATAGCAGGTGAGCCCTTCACCCTAGAACTCCCCCTCTCCCGCTCCCTATCCCGTCTTCTCCCCTCCCCAGACTCCTCATAAGCAAGTCCAGCCTCTTCCTCCCTCCGTTTGCGCCTCTGTTCCCTGCGCCGCTCCCGCTCCTCGTCATAATCATCGCGTTCATTATGCGAGTTCGACTCGTACCCTGCTTCCCCACGGAAGCGGTATTTTGCGGTGCGCGCGTTGCCAGGACTGGACGTTGCGCCTTCGTCGGTGTCCTCGTAGCGGCCACGGATGTACTCCCTATCTCGGTCTCGGCGCAAGCGCTCTTGCTCACGTGTGCGGTCGCGATCCCGATCCCGATCCCGGTCGCGTCTGTCGGGTCGGTCTCGGTCTCGGGATTGGCTGGGCATGCCAGATGGGGGTGGGGGTTTTGGTGTGGTATGCGCTGATCGGGATGGGGAATGTGGAATTATTGTTCGTAGTGATTGTTGATTGGGTTGTTGTGAGGTAAGAAGAGGAAGGGGAAGGAGAACTGATCGGAATGTATTGAGATTGGGTTGGACACGTGGGCATTGAGGAACTCTAGCCAAGTATCTTGGAACTCCATCTATATGGGGTCGGTATAAGTTTGTTTTGCTTTTTCCCCGCACGGATATCCCGCCAAGAGATTGTATAACAAGGTAAAATGTCGTTATGTAGGGTTTGCTCCCTATAAAGCCCTTGATATATTATTTTATAAACTCTGTACAGCTCACGTCTTCATGGTGTATACCTACTTTGTCATTCTAGGTTAGGATGTGTAAATGGTTGCGGAGCAACGGGTGATAAACGCGTCCTTATATATGTACGGAGTACGGATGCTCCTTATGTACACTCTAGATACAAAGATGCGAAAGAACTCATTTGTATATTGAAATGCAAGATATAACATTAAATACACCAATCCCAGTCCACATAGACATGCTCCAGTCCATTCTAACCAAAATACAAATGTTCATATCAACGAGTCAGGGTATGGAAACTCCAAAACACTATAAGGTTAAAGAAGACATCATTGCGAAGAAAATAAAACAAAAGTGAACAACGCCGACCGAAAAGAGGAGTGATAAGGAAGAAACAAAACGCGGGTCTGATTGTTTGTGACTGCCATAAGTATGGATCTGTACAGCTGTAGGGGAAGATGGAGACGTGGCGATGCATCATGATGGTGATGATATATAAAGAAAGGGATGAAAGGAATGAATTATCGCTGTGTCCGGGGAATCTAATAGAACGAAAGTGAGATGGTGCCTCGAGCACTGCATCTCTTGCTGTAAAGATCAACGCAGTGAAATGCATAGTCGATGTGCAGTGTGCAATCAGACAGGGTCATCAAGGCCGTCTCCCTCTGGCCGCTCCCAATAGAGGGGGAGCCGGAACGTGTCGAAGTGGTGGCAACCCAGCCAAGAAGTTAGAGCTAGCATTCATTCGCCGACCTCCTTGGGTGCTAAACTGGGAAGCATTGATATCCAAGCCGGGATTTCAAACGCAACTGCGAGTCGAAACCACGTAGGTTAGCACATTAGCCCATATTGTGCGGGTATAGATTGTCAGCAGTGACAGCGCCACCCGCACGAGCGCCAATTGGTTTTCACCGAAGTCGGGCCTGTCAGCTAATGATTTGTCTGGCTCCTTCTTTGCCCAGGACGCCTGGCTCAGTCGGCTTGGGACTGCGGTCGCGGCCCTTTTTCCGACTGAAGAATGATAGCATGCCATTGGCTTGCTTGTTCTTGTCATCGCCATTATCCATCCCATCGGCGGGGGTAGAGTTATGAGCCAGCTCACTCCAGCTGCCAGCTTCGTTTAGGACCATTTGGACCCCACCACTTTTGCTCATTTGCCGCGTGGCACCCCGGTGTCTATTGTTGGGGGGTAGAGGTCGATGGAAGGACGGGGCAGGCGGCGGTTGGAAGGGCGGCGGAGGCGGAGGTGAAGGCGACATGCGGCTTGAGGGAGACGGAGGACCCTGACCAGTTGCGGGGTCATTGGGGTCGGGTGTCTCGCTGAGTATAGTCATGTTGTCACTCTGTTGGGCGCGGTAGTGCGAGCCATCGGCTTGGATGGGAGATGTATTTTTAGGGTCAGGCTGTGAGAATTGACGGGCATGCGCAATTGGATTTGCCGGGCTTGTGGTATTCCCTTGGGTTGTTGTGGCAATTGGAAAGCACTCCTCGGGATTTCTGGGACACACCATTAGCACATGGGGGGAAATGGGTTTGACGGGAAGAGAAACGCACATTACGGCAGCAATAGCTTCCGCGGCATTGCCTTGGTAGCTAGTCAGGGTGTAGTCAAACGGTTCAAACATTGTTTCAATGAGACGGTGAAGCTCTTCATCACGAATTTCCTTCGCAGTGGCATCTTCCCTTAGCTCAGCGCGCGGCTTTTGTCTACGCGCTCTGGCCTCCAAGGGCGCTTCTTCAAGAAGTAGCTCCTCTAGATCGTAAGTCGCATCAAAGTTAGTTTTTTCGCTTGATGGGCGGAATACTGGTGGGATCTGTTTGCGCTCAAGGGCTTCAAAGTCGATCTCGGCGAAGAACATGTGCGAGGTGTAGGTCTCGAACCCGATAGCACCGATTCGTTGAGTCCGATCTTTTTGTATCAATGATCCCAACGCCCTCAAGCAAGCTACTGATACTGCGGGATTGGTGACGTAGTATTTCGGCTGCGCCTTCTTGATGTTTTCGCTTAAGGTTTCTTGGCTTCGGCCTTCAAATGGTCGCTGCGCTGAAGGTTAGACAGGAAAGTAGACGGAAAACAAATCTCTCATACCTTGTTGTAGATGCACTCGTAAAAAGTAACACCTAATGACCACCAATCTACCTCAAAGGCATAACCAGTTCCTTCATAGACTTCCGGGGCTAGGTAGGCTAGTGTTCCTGATTTGCTTGTAAGAGGTTTCCCCGGTCGGTAATCTGATGCCACGTTCTATGAATTGGAGTTAGCCGAAGCTCACACCAGTGGTGATTCGTGCCGATAGAACTTACAAAATCAGCCAGGTGAACATGTCCATCGGAATCCAACAGCACGTTGTCTGGTTTTAGATCTCGATGAATGATACCCTGCGAATGGATATACCTCAGAGCACACCCGAGTTCCGCCATCCAAAACCGCACTGCATCCTCTGTGAAGCATTTTCGGGAGATATGGAATCGAAGATCACCACCGTTCATTAAATCAACCACAATATAGCTTGAATCTGGTCAGCAAGGAGTGACGATAGTCAATTCCAGAATACTCACATGTACTCCATGTCTTGGAAACTGTATCGCAAATTGCAAAGGAACGGATGGTTCAAATGCTCGAGCATTCTCCGTTCACGAATTATATTTCGTACGCTTTCCGAACGAACCACTGAAGCGAATGTCAGCTACAGCTTTCCCAACCCGGCAGCTTTGTAGTTCCAACAAACCTTCCTCTTTGCGAATATATTTTAGGGCGAATGTAAGACCTGTATCCTTCCTTTCGACGATTCGTACTTTTCCAAATGCACCCTTTCCAACCACACGGAGGAGCCGGAAATGATTGAGGTTGACTAGCAGAGAAGGAGCCATCAGCATATTATTCGAAATAATGGAAGTCCCTAAGACGTCCTCCCCGAGTCGAGGCCAGTAAACCTACCTGCATCGTTGCAGGACATAGGTTTCCCCTGAGTATTTCCCATGTTGCGAGGATAGAGCGATAGCCAGAGTAATCAAAGTTGACTAGTATCTTGCTAGCAACATCACACTTGTTCCAAAAGTCTTCCGGTCGAATGGCGATCGCGTCAACGGATGAAGGAGACAGATTTTCGGTGAATATCGAGCTTATCTCGCAATTTCCATGAGAGGTGACTGAATTCCGAAGGTAGAATGGCCAAGCGGGGGGGGGGGGAGGGGGGCCAAATATTCCAAGAGACGCCGAATATTATAAATGCAGGAAAAGATGTAAAAACCCTAAAACTAGAAAAAAATGGTTTAAATTATAAGGCCA